GCCTCTCTCTCTCCTCCTGTTCCTCTCTTCCTCCTCTCTCTCTCTCTCTCCCTCTCTCTCTCCCATGCCCTCTCGAAGCATATCAGCGGTTCATGCCACTGCCAGCAGCTACACAGCGATACCTACTGTTATGTGCCTCTTCGAGCACTGCCTTTCTCCTGTTGCCAGATGCAGTTTCCCATGGCAACGGCTTCTTGCTGCAGCGCCTGCAGATGCATCGCAGTGGCCACTCAGCAGTGCGGCCATGAATTACATGTAGACATGTATCAACACAGAGTGCGAGAGTCCGCACAGCGCATGCACAGTATTAGGTAGGTATCGTACACTGCTGAGAAACACGTCTTCACCCTTGGGAGCGGTGAGTGCATATACAAGATCCAAATGAAGCCAAAGTGAAGTCCAAGTGAAGCAAGCGGCGCGCCGTTGTCGTGTCTCGCACTAGAAGGTACCTCCTAGCTGTGGTAGGTAGAAAATTGTCCGCGCCAGTCAGCGGATCGCTGTGCAAGGGACGAGCCGTCGGAGTTGGCAGGGGTCTCTGCTGAATTCTGTACGGAGGTAGAATAATGTGGAGAAGCGAAGCGAAGCGACGCCGAAAAGGCAGGAACGAGAAAAGCGGTCGGGAGTGGATTGACCACTCATTGACACTCGTCGCACTCCCTCTTCTGGTCGGGCGACCATCGCTACAGGTACCTTCCAGCTACATCCACTCAATCAGCTCAGCCCACCTTCGCCATGTCCTTCCGCCACCTCTCATGAGTCCGACTCGCCCTCTGAGCCCAGCACCAACAGCTTCCCCCCAAGCACTGAAGGCGGGACACCAGCCAGACGGCTTCGCTGCGAGAGAACACCCGCCGAACGAGCATCTCGCCCATTGACTTTCGTTGACACCTCTTCCCCGCCACGCCATCCCTCTTGTCCCTCGAACCCTACCACCGCTCCTCCTCCTCCTCCTCCCACTGCTGCCCGACCGATCTTCGACCGCCCGAACCGAGAATGATGTCGCGACCATTGGAGGCTGGCACCTCCACGCTGTATGGCTCATACGCCGAGCTCAACCACAACCACAATCACACAACTGCGCCCTCGCAGAATGGCTGGAATATCGATGATGTGTCCGTGTGCGCCAGCCCCGGTGACTTGGCATCTTCCGCATCCAAGCGCCGAAAGACGTGGACTCCAGTTCCGGACAACGAGAGCCTCGGGAGCGCGCTCAGAAAGGCCGTCATGGAGCATCAACTCGGTCTGTCTCTCAACTTCGTGCTGCTCTTGGGCATGACTTACATGCTCTTTCCTTCTCTGCGAGATAACATCAAAGCTTGCTTCATGCTGTCCTACGCAACCGAGGTGCCAGGCCAGTACGGCCAGGGTCTGCGGGACATGTACCTGGTCGCAAGCTTTGTCATCTATTTCACGGGATTTCGAGCATTCATGTTGGATTATGTTTTGATGCCCACAGCGGCTGCATGCGGCATTGGACGACGAAAGGGACGCGTGCGATTCGCGGAGCAGGCCTACATGCTTGTGTACTATGCCGTCTATTGGTTCTGGGGACTGGCAGTCTTCGTCAAGGACACTCCCAGCGGCATCACAACCGCAAACGAGCTTCTGATTTCACTCTGGCGAGATTTCCCCCGGCTGCTCATGCCTGCCAGCATCAAAATGTACTATCTGACGCAGTTTGCCTTCTGGATTCAGCAGATTGTCGTCATTCACCTGGAGGAGCGACGCAAAGATCACTATCAAATGCTGACGCACCACTTTGTGACTGTTGGTCTGATTGGAGGCAGCTATGGCTACCGGCAATGGCGTGTAGGCAACGCGTTCTTGGTGTGCATGGACGTGGTGGATCTGATTCTTCCGCTCGCCAAGATATTGCGGTACATGAATATGCAGACGGCCTGTGATTGTACATTCGGAATTTTCGTCGTGACGTGGATCGCAGCACGACACGTCTGCTATGTTGCGATCTGCTGGAGCATCTACGCGCATGTCAATGTGGTGACCATGCCGTATGGTGTGTACTCCACCATCACCGGTCAACGCTTGAGCCCAGACGGAGGCAACGTCGTCTTGGAGAACCTGTTGCAACCAATGTTGAGACCTCACGCGAAGACGTTTGCGTTCAATGGTAACATCAGATGGTCTTTTCTCGGTCTACTCGCAGCACTACAAGTCATCACGCTGGCGTGGCTCGTGATGATTATGAAAGTTGTGATCCGTGTCATTCGAGGACAAGGTGCCGATGACACGCGCAGCGACGACGAGGGAGAAGATGAAGATGTGGATCCCATCCCACCACATCATTCGGACCGTGGTGTGCCCATTGATGCTGACAAGCCACGTTTCATCGAAGTCGAGACGACGACCGAGGAGCACAGTTGGCCATCGCGCAAAGTGGCAGCGAACGGCAAGCGCAAATCCAAAGGCATCTCGAGTGGTCTCAAGCTGGGCGAGCACAAGGAGATACTCAACAGGATCGGCTGCCTGAGCGAGGAACAACTGGCTCGCGAGAGAGAAGCACGAAACGGAAGTACCAGTCCGCGACCAGCCAGTGCTGGGTTGCGTTAGCAATGACGAAGAAGGCAAAAAAAAGTCGCCTCTTGAGACTCCGTCGGACGGGGGGTGAGTATAAACTAGGCAGCGCCCAAAAAGCTTTCGTTGGAGAAGAAATATACTTGAATCATGAGCATTATCTCATTCTCTGTCGCCCACCATTACCATGATTCGTCTTGGAATGTCTTCTCATGTTTGAAGTGACATTGTACTCGACGCCGGCTGACGTTGCGCGCGCATGGAGACTGTTTCGACCGTGTTCTGTCTTCATCGGACCACTTCCGTCCGTTGTGCTTTCCAGCTCCACCTCTCACTCCGTTATTTCTCAACTGTTGGCGCAAGGACATGCATGATGCGCTCATGTTCATCTTGAAGGGGCTCTTCACTCTCATGACAGTGCGTTGTATGCGATCTAGAGTATTATGTCCATGCGGTACTTGCTTGGACGATGGTGTCTCATTCGTACGCGCTGTCATTGTCAATCATGGAAGTCGAGGAATGCGTGCTGGGACGAGAGTGGGATGTGATACTTCTCTCTTTTCCCACACGTTCTTTTTGTCATGCGGACAACGAAGTAGGTAGGTAGTAAGTAGTAATAGTAGTGGTAGCAGCTGAGCTGATGAAATGTGTGTGTGTGTGTGTGTGTGGGCGGGCCTACTTCAGCAACGAGTCAAACGAGAGCACAGCGTGGTTCCATTGCTCCGCGTGGGCAGCACTCCACGACTGCACCTTCGTAATGCCTGTCAGATCCTCTTGCATACGATCTGGATTCGTGGTGCCACACAAGACCTGGACGTGTCCGAGACCCAGCACTAAACTGTAGAGGGCGACCTCGTTGCTAACTTGGGCGAGAGCTCCCACGGCAGCGACAGGTGACGAGTGGAGGAGGTGCGGATTCGCGGTGAGCGTCCAAAAGCTCTGATACACGATCCCCTTGCTCTGGCAGAAGTGTCTAACGCTGCCGTCATAGCCCGATCCTGGGTAGAACCTGTTCTGCAGCACCGATGGCTTGACAGTTGCAGCCTCCCACAAGGCGTGGAGCACGTGTACATCATCGCAGTTGGAGAGGCCCAAGGTGCGTACCTCGAGGGGGACATGACTCTCCATGGCCTGCCATGCCTCCAACGTCTGCGCGGTGGTTGGGAAGGGCGAGTGGAGGACCAAACAGTCGAGATAATTAGGTTTGTCTCCCCCCTCGTCGCTGTGTCGGAGGTTGTGCAGGGACGATGCTACAGAGGCATGAACCTGCGCGGTGATGCTGTCCGCTGGATCGTACGGAAGCGGCTTCGTCAGATCCTGGCCGTGGACCGACGTGTACTTGGTTTGGATGTAGACGTCTTCGCGGCGGATACGGCCATTACTATAGTGCAGAGCCTCACGAATGCCAGCGCCCACGAGATGCTCCTGGTAGTGCTTGGGCTGGGCGGCAGTATCGATAGCGCGGAAACCCCGAAGGAGGGCTTGCTTCACGAGATGCTGTGTGCGATCCTGTTTCCAGGCCGTGCCGTAGAGGAGGCTGGGCAGTGTCTTCATGTTGACCTCCTGCAGAGAAGAGACGGGAGGGAGAACGAGGTCATTGATGTCATGTGCACTGGGATGTGTGCCTGGTGTTGCCTCGCAAATGCATGGCCCCTGTCGCCGAGACGAGACGAGACGAGACGAGAGAGAGATCTGCCTTAGGCCGGCCTGACATCTCCGACCCCGACTTTACCCAGACATCGGAACATCGGACATCACCAAGGGAGAAAGCCCATCACCTGATGCCGTACGGGAATTACCTACTCACCTCCCTCCACCACTGCCGCACTGCGCACTGGCACCGGCACTGGCGCGCACCCTCCACCACTCTCCACCACCGCGAACCCTCCCGCCTCCTCTGTTATGGTCTGAGCCCAATGCAGGTACGGTACCTGCTGGACGCTGGTGGCGCCGGCCGCCAACCCACTCCACTGTGCGCTTGGGCGACGGCGACAGCGACAGCGACGATCGCCCCGACGACGACGACAGCGGCGCCTGTGCTATTCGTGGACCAGGACCTGCGCGAGTCGTGACCGGTGCGAAACGAGCCGAGTCGTGGAAAGATGCTCTGTACCTTATACCTTATGTGAACTACTAGTTCCATCGCTGTCGCATCCGCTGCAATCTGCGGCATGCGTTTCAGCCATTAGTCGTCTGAGCCTCCTCTTCCGGCACCACACATGCCAAGCACAGCTCTCTTCGCATACGGTTCGCCCCGGAGTAGTCGTGACGGCCTATACGTGACTGCTCCAGCAAAAAGCAGGAGGTAATAGTCGCAGCGAGCTGTACCTAGCTAGCTGTACTGACTTCCCAGCCTGGGCTGGCGCTGGCGCTGGCGCTGGCACCAACCGCAAACTCGGTTCGGCGCTGGGCGAGCGTCTCGAAGCGACCAGGATAGACTGGCTGTGGTGGTGGTAAAATGCCTTCTCGAACTGTACCGCCGCGAACATGCCCTCCCGCTGCCAGCCACAGCAGAGAATTAGAAGACAACACCAACAACAACAGGTAGGTTTGCCGCACAGAGCCGGAGTGGAGTCTCGTTATTTTCAGCCTCTGACAGGTCCCTACATTGTCGAACCAGCCAGGTACGGCTGGTGGAGACGTATAGTCGTCATATCGTCGCGTGTCGCAATCGAAACTGGGAAATGTCTGGCACAGACAGTCGGCACGGAGTCATTGCTGCGCTTTCCAGCTGCTGAAATCTTATCGTGACGAGGACTTCCCTGCACTTATGTCGCCAGAAAAGCTGCAGGGCTGGGCGACCACATGCTTGACCCTGGTAGGACCCTTCGATCTCCAACTCCGCCTCAAGATCGAACATATCCAGCGATGTCACAATGCACGAGGCTGCGCCAAACTGCTGAGTTCGAGCCAAATTACAACAACGTATACAATGGCTAGTATCGAATAAGGTGCTGCCAGGTTGTTGCACAAAACAATCACAGAGCTCGTTTTTCAACCTCAATGCACTCCAGCCAGCAGCCAGCCTTCACTCTGCCATCCACTTTTTTTCGTGCCACTCCGCTTCCTTCTCGGTTCGCACTGCACATCAACACCTTATAGGCCTCGCTCTTGCATATGTTTCACAGCACCATCTCAGGGCTCTCACATCGAGCATCATCAGAACTACTTGGAGACCTCGAACCAACAACAACAAGCACACCGGGAAGCTATCCACTGCGTTCCCTTCCCGAACACTCAACATCGACACCTGCCATGGCGTCGCCTTCCGAACTTCCTCAAAGTCCTTCCGACAAGCTTCCTCTCCACGAGGAAAGCACTCAGGTAGATGACAACACACAAGAAGATGTCAAAGGCTTTAGGGGACCCGCTACCATCGGTGGCGCTGTCACAAGCAATGATAACCGACCACGCACTGCGGGACGAGACCGCGGCCAAAGTATTACTTCCAGAATGGAGGGTTCCCAACCTCCACGCCTCGACTACGATTATGATAACGATGACATTGCAAGCCAAGCTGGCATGGCAACACGACGCCCGTCCCGCCAGCAAATTATGCGATACGGTCCTCCTCCTTCTGAAGCCGGCGACTATGGCTACGACCGACCATACTGGCCACGTCCGCCATATGAGTATGGCGTGCCAGTGCGCCCACCACCGCAGCACCCGGGCATGGGAGGCGACTACTGGGGCGAGGATCCAGCATATTACAACCGACCTTACAATCGGCGCATGACTTCGTTGCGAGAGTCTGATGAATACCGATCGCAAGCTGGCAGTGCAGGCGGCAGAGGTCCTCCAGGACCACCAAGACGGCGCTACACACCCTACGACGATGAGCCGTCCGAGTACGACCACGATGACGACGAACGACCTCTCCGCAACCGTGCCCGAAGATATCAGTACAGCGAGAAAAGCTCGAAGAGTCCACCACCAGAAGTCATCATGCGATTGCCATTTACCGAGTGGATGAACAGATCTGCGAAAGCCCGTAAGTGCGCCAATAGCTTGCGGAAAATGTGATGATGCGATTAGATGCTGACCATGTTGATAGATTTCGTCGCTTCTCTTGGCGAGTTCATGGGTACGACCATGTTCTTGTTCTTCGCCTTTGCCGGTACCCAAGTGGCCAACATTGGTGCCGGTGACAACGCCAATCAATCGACTACGAATGCCAACACTGGTTTCAGCCCGATTGTGTTGATGTACATCTCCCTCTCGTTTGGCTTCAGTTTGATGGTCAATGTGTGGATTTTCTTCCGAATCTCTGGAGGACTGTAAGTGTTGATCAATCTACCGCTAGTACAAGCGCACATCCTAACGTGAGACAGTTTCAATCCTGCGGTCACTCTTGGCATGATCATCGTCAAAGGTGTCGGCATCGTGAGAGGTATCCTCCTCATCTGCTCGCAACTTCTCGGCGCAATTTTCGGCTCGTTCTTGGTCTCAGTCCTGTTTCCAACGACGTTCAACGTGCGAACCACTTTGTCAGAAGGCACATCGATCGCACGCGGAGTCTTCGTACGTCCCCTTGACATCAGAATACCCATTTCGCACAACATGTTCTAACGATGCGCAGATCGAAGCCATTCTCACCGCCGAGCTCGTCTTCACCATCTACATGCTGGCAAACGAAAAGCACAAAGCCACCTTTATGGCACCTGTCGGTATTGGTCTCGCTCTCTTCATTGCAGAGTTGATCGGAGTCTACTACACCGGTGGTAGTCTTAACCCGGCGCGATCTTTCGGACCATGCGTGATCTCTGGCATTTGGGACGAGGAACACTGGATCTACTGTGAGTCTATTCCTCATGCTGCCGTCCTCTCACGAACTTTGTACTGACAATCATCACAGGGGTCGGACCTTGCGTCGGCGCATGCATCGCATGGGCATTCTACCGAGTGATCAAGATGCTCGAGTACGAAATGGCGAACCCGGGACAAGAATCCGCGAGTAAAGAGGAAGCCGCGGAAGAAGCCGAGGAGATGACACCGAAGAAAGAGACGGTTTAAAGAAAAGAGCATGGAACCAAAAAAAATCAAGGCGCTGGGAGCTGATTTACGTGTGGGACGTTGTCGGCGCTGATTTATGAGAAATCATGCCCTTCCGCCCCCAGGAGTTATGAAGAAGCGGGATCGGGCCCTTTGAAGATGATGAATTAATGATTAGTGTTTTTACAAAGTCGTACGCTATTGGTACTACATGATGTACGATAGTAGTACTTTGAGGTACTACTACTATCACCGATGTTTAGAATACACTTAACCCGCCTTCACTGGCATCAATGTGCTGGCGCAACGAGGGAGCGAAGGCGATGTTTTGGGCGAAGTGTATCATCAGCATAGTATGGAATGGAATGAAAATGGGAAATGGCAATTCGCATTGCAAATTTTTGTACAATTATATCGAGAAATTTTTATTCTGCGCTCTTGTATCTTTACAGAATGATTTGATTTTTCAACTGACTTTGATGGAAGCAGGAAGACAGACTGGAAGACAGACTACAAAGCCGAAAGCCGAAAGAGGAATGAGGTAGGAGGTAAGATGCGCAACAGCAACACCAACAACCAACAGCGAGTCGGTCAGTGCTCATTCTACTAAGGTAGGGTACCTTAATCACTAATACTAAAACCATAAGGTGCGGATGACCACAAGGTACCTGTAACAACAATAATAACAACAACAACAACAACAATCATGACGACGCCGACCACCAGATCTACTGCCGCCACCACGACAACGAGAAAAAAAGTAACTACCTACCTTAGTGATCAAGTAGGTATGTATACCCGCAATCGCTCCTTGTCAATAATTGAATGACCTTACCTTATTTTTATTGTCGTATGCTTGTACCTGATGCTTTGTATGCTTGTCCTTAATTCACTCAATCAGTCGTAAATTCGTAATCGTACCCGAAGTTTTTCTGTTTCGTTTTGTTTTTTCGTTTTCTCTTGCCTACCTACCTTTTGACTGTTTCGCTTTCATCTGGTTGTTCGTTCGTTTCGTTCGTAATCGTAAGGGTAGATAAAGGTAAGTTACCTAGTGCATATAAGGTCAGGTATGATGTACAAGAAGTATAAGTGGTACAGATTTGCGCTATTGGAAAAAGCTAGCCGTTCGCAAATTTGTTGTAGTAGGTGATAATATAAGGCAGGGATAATAATAGTGATAATGATAGGAGGTAAAAATATCGGAATTTCTCTTCTATCAAAGGCGACGGCATGTAGGTATAGTTTCTTTCTGTAATAGCATAATTTCTCTGTAGGATTGTTGTAGGCAAAGGATGTAATAATGTACTTGGTGTAGGAATTGCAAATCTGTCTTTTTCTTATTATCAAAGGTTCGAAGGTACTTACTTACTTCCTCGCGAGTGACTTGTAGCTGTGTAGTATGCAGGCACCGCACTAGTAGAATGAGAATAGGAGATGTGAGTGAGTAGAATGCCGTGGTATAGGAGGTAAGGTAGAGGTCAGGATCCTTGTGGTTTAGTCATATCTTACTAAGTTATACCTCCACTTCCTTTCTAGGTTCCTTTCTTTCTTTTCTCTCTCTTTCTCTTTCTTTCTGCGCTGTCCCAACAAACCTTTACGGGAATCTTCTTCTCGCTGCTGTTTGCACGCACTTTTGACCTGCGTTGAATTGCTCTCTGCGGCCTTGAATTGTTGTGGGACGAGGACGCGGCATGTCGTGGTGGTCCCAAGAGATGCTACAATTAATGCTCGGCGAGGAATCCCCAGCCTAGGCACATTCATCACGTGCAAAGCGAAGCCCAGCGACGTCGACCTTTCGAAGCATTTCAAGATGGAGATGGGCTGATTCCTGAGTATTGGCCTCTCTCTCTCCGAGCTGGGTGAAGACTGCGGCTGTACTTGATCGAAGGCGAGAAGAACCAGTCATTGGGTCTGGTTGGGAGTACTTGCAATAAGCCCCCTGTTCTTCTTCGCAACGCCTCCATTCTGGCGGCAGTGAGAATTCGGCGTACACTGCAATTTGGTTTCCGCGGTCTTGACTGCAGCACTTGTGGGAGCTTCAGCATAGCATACACACACAAGTATTTTACTGGGGACGAAGGCGCAGAAGCTGTTCCTGTTCGTGGTGTACAGTTCCAAACGGCGTTTTTGCGTACCATCTTCGCCTGGAGACGTATGGAAAGGACTTTTGGAGAGATGGAATCCGCTGAACGCTTGTAAACTGGCCTGCCATGAATCTCCTTTCCATTTGGATCGACTCCGGGCTCATATCTTACCCGGCAGTACTGCATGAAAGCTTGCTGCCCGCTGTTGGAGACACGTCGGTGTGCTCGGACTGAGGGCTGGGTCGTATATGGATGGCGGTTCCCAACGCATCTCTCTCCTCTCGGTTTGAATAGCCTGGAAGATCCAGTCGTTCCGAGCGTGGCTCGCCACTGGGATGACTTGGATGAAACTGCCGTCGAGCAATGAGTTCAGGCCGTGCCAGCTTCTTGTCACTGTCTCCATCCAGGCGCGCAGCGACGGCATCCGTATAGCGCGGGATGCCACAGTCAGACGCCCTCCCACCTCTCGAGACGCTTTTCCGTGCAATGCGCCTGCTTTGTACCCAACTAAGACCTGGCGCTTTTTGTCTCACCGTCCTCAGATCTTCGAGGTCCCAGCGACTCAATCTTGTGGCAATATCTCAGATCTCTTTTGTGCCATATTGCCCTCGAGAAAGTCAGAAATGCCGAGATGTGAGCGCTCGAGGCTTGGAACCTGGTGCTATTTGTGTGGACGACTGGCGGGAGCGGGCGCAGTCGAAGACGACGGATACTGCTGGACTTTCGGCTGTTGCTCGCGTCTCATCACCATGGCGCTTGTCCTTGTGCTCGTCAAGCCGCCTGCGTGAAGCAGCCATAATCCTGCAGTGGTGTCGTTAGTGTCAGAAGCACTCTTCTGCTTGCCCGACTGCAATCGTGTCTTGATCCATGTGCTCTAAGAGAATGAAATCATCAAGTCAGGTGTCGCTCTCTCGGCAGCTATTGGGAGTGTCCGGCGGAGTCATCCAGCTGCCATTGAATCACTTTTGCAGACGAGATGAATGACTGTAGGCGCCGACAACCAGGTGCGAGGACACGCACCGTGGGGCAGCTCCACTCGGTTGTCGTAGGAGAAGGACAAGAGGAAGAAGCGCGTCAGGTCGATTCTTGTGCGCGCCCATTGTACTGCGCTTGTCCAGTCCGTCGAGTCACTGAATCTTGACATCGGACTCCTTTATCATTCATGCTGCTGTCAGTACCGCTGGCTGAGTGTTGTATGAGCCGGGAGGGCTGATTGTCGGGGGATTGTGCGAGAAAGGCGCCGTCTGCGAAATTCTGCAGCCTCGCGATTCCTGCTCGCTCGCCTCCTCCGCCTCCGCCTCCTTCTCCTTCTTACTACCTCTTTGTACCGTCGCCCCAGCGAGCGCGTGGTACGTGTAAGGTCCGTGAGATCGTCAGCGTTCTCGTGGTTCTGCTTGTAGTTCTGGCGGTGATCGTGTGTGAGCAGAATAACCAGCTCAACACCGAGCGGCGCGAACACTCCTAGGAACATCTGTCTCACGGTCAACACGCGATACAGTCGCACTCTTGACAATCTAAACGGGCGACTTCTCAGATCGCTGTCTGATGCTGTCAAGAGGCAGCAATTCATGGCTGGCGAGACGAAGCCGCAGCCACAACAGAGGCTGATGGACGGCGGCACGCGCCACTCGCGACGCTCGATGACATTCTTCTTCTTCTTCTTCTTCTTCTACAGACCATTGCAAAGAGCAACGACGTGATGAAAAAGTGCCTGCAAGCAGGTGGAAATCAAAAATTTACCCGGTCCAGTAGGGGGCTGGTACCCCCCACTGACAAGGAGAAAACCACAGCAGAGCCAGGCTATCTCCCAAGGTTGCTGGTTCAGGAGGCAGCAACCTCGGTGTGGATTTGAGCAAGGAGAAAAAAGAAGATGGTGAGGAGGAGAGGGAGAGAAACATACTTATACCTCCGCTCTCAGCCAGCCACTAGCGCCGGCTGCACCCGCAGCTTCTCATGGAAGCATCTGGTCCAACTCGTCGTCATCGTGCACTGGTACTGAGTGTTCTCTGCCCTCGCCCATCATTATTAGCCGTCAAAAAAAAGATGTCCAGTGTTTGGTGGGCTCTTCGCTCGTGCCATGTGTGTTCGGAAGACCCCTGAAGCCTTCTTTCCGGGACTGCTACTGCCAGCTCACCAACGCCCTCAGGGGCTGTTCTTGCAGAGCACGATGTGAAGCCACTCCCTACTCTATTGTGCCTCGTGCAGTTATCGATCCAGGGCCTCGCCGTACATGAGATCCTCTTCCTTGAGGATCCTTCGACACAAGATCGTGTATCAATGCACTCTCTGTCACGACGCTGGCGTGCAGACCTGCTGCGCTTCCGTGTGCTCAGGAGCCAGGGGGAGTATTTGTTCTGCGTCAACGATAGCCTGCAGTCTTGAGGCCACCGGACGGTCTGAAGTGGTCGCATACCTGCTTCAATCCATGCTAAGCCATGCGCCCCTGCTGGTGGTCAGCGAGCACTGAGTCCGCCACGTCCGTTGCACGCGAATGAGGTCTCCCTATAATCATTACATCTCAACTATACCATCCAGGCTCCATTATGTCGGAATTTGCCGTCTCCCTTCACATCAGAGCTTCGGCCTTGCACCTCGAGTACGTGTTGTCACGAGTGACGAGTTGTCGGGTGATTACGTACAGCGCGAGTGAATTGTTTGCTGATGATCATAAGTGGGCACTCCCAGCCACACGCCAAGCTTTCCAATTCGCAACCCTCCATATCACTTCTTTCTTTCTTACCTTTCCTCTTCCTTTCTTACTCACTTCCTCTCCCTCCTCCCCTCACCACAACAACAACACCACCACCCCCACCACCCCCACCATCGCACCACTGGTGCAATGGCACCACAACCTGAGCCTTCGGGCCATTCATTCCCAGACTTCGCTGACGGGGACGTCAGGGTCGTCCTCACTGGCTCCCGCCAGTATCGCCTGCACAGCGGTGTGCTCAAAAACTCATCTTCAGTGATGTAAGTTCACTCCTCGCGCGCTCTCTTCACTCCCCAGCCTCCGCCCGTGCGCATCAAGTCGCAGACAAGCGAATTTGAGAAGACATGCTGACGCTCGAGCGACTGCTTGTAGGAGAGACTTATTGAGCGAAGAGAATGCAGCCCAGCTCAATAGCTCTGCTCACCGCAAAGGTGTCGTGATCCGTCACAAGCTTGTCCTGGTGGACAACCCTGCCGTCGAAGACGAGGAAGAGTCCAACTTGCTGTACGTCTTCCAACCCGTTCCGCTGGACGCGCAAGGGCGCCAGGCAGCCGGCGCACCGCAAGGCATCGGCCTCGAGCTGGAGAACGGTCGGCGGATCCCACCGCTTCTGATGGCATATGATGCGGTCCTAGGGGCCTTCTATAACCAGCCCATCAATCTGGGCGACTCGCAGGAGGATGGCCTTGCCGAACTGCTTGGCAATGCATTTCAAGCCACCATTGTGGCCGAAAAACTCAACTGCATCCGCATTGTCTGCAAGCCCATCGAGGCCACTTTGCTTGCCGTTGGCCAGGGCCTGTACAAAGCCATTGCCGACAACCCGACGGCCTGGCTGAGTTTTGCTACGCGTGTAAAGTCACGTGCTATCTTCAAGGAGGCCATGGTTCACGCAGCCGGCCAGTACTCCCAGCCACGCACCAAGGTCGCCATGAGTGATGGCACGCTCGCGCCCGAAGTTGTCAAGATTTTGACACGCAAGGGGGAGTGGATCAAGAAATCTGTGAGCGATTCCTCACGATACCTGGCTTCGTATTACCCTGCAATGCTCCTACGTGAGTTCAAGCCTGGCGACAAGGACAATGTCTCTCGTGCCTCGTATGGCAACGATATCATGATGTGGATTGCTGTGACCATCTTCCGACACTGGGTCTGCGACATGATGGCGGCCGACAACACCCATCAAGCACATGACTGTGGCTGGGCGTGGTGCAATGTGATCTGCGAGGGGGGAGACAAATACCTTGACCGCAAGATGCTGCAACGCAGCTTTCACGCACGGTTTCCGATGACTGGCAAAGGGATGGCCTGCGTCGAACATCGCCTTGCGGAGGTCAAAATGGAAGTCAAACAATGGATCCTGGTAAGTCTGCTCTTGATGTCACCGTCACAACAACCTGCTGACAATTTTTAGCCGCTGAAGAAGAGCAATTCTGCTCTCGATCTTTCCTTGTACCCCGTCGCCCATTTTCTCCATGCCAACGTGCACTCTGACGACTATCCGTGGGACAACGTGACGCTGGAGCCGATCCACGACTCCTCGGACGAAGACGAGAGCAATGGCGTCGATGAGGATACCCAGGGTTTGTTCGTCGAAGGTTCGCCGTTCGAAACTGTCGATTCCGAAGATGACGAAGAGGGTCCAAACATGGGCGGCTTCATCGAGCCGTCTTCAAAAATTGCCGAAGATGACGACGTTGATATGGATACTGCGGACGCTACACCTTTCCGTTCAGAGTCTCCTATCTTCGATCTCAAAGGCACTGCTGCCGACGACGCTGCCAGTTCCGATTCGGAGGGCAATGACACGGACGAGTAGAAAGACTCGATGACGCGCTCAACCGGCTGCAATAGCCAGTATATAATAAGCATGGTGTGGCAGCGTGCAGAGACAGACTGCGAGAGCAGGAATGAGAGTGGTTTCATAGCCTGACATACCCCAATGGCACAGAGTCACTGTATTCAATTTTTCTCTCGATCTACTTCATGACCCAGGTGTAAAGCTACAGTTGCTGAGGCAGTAGGCAGAATGCAAAAGTATTACTGACGAAAAAGAAAACACAGGAAAAAAAGGGAAACAAAAACCCAAATCGACTTTCACCAACATCTAGTCCCCCTGATCCTACCTAATAAGACCTACCTACCTGCATAAATACCGCAATTCTGCTCTCCGCCTATCCATATATCCAATACTAGAAATAAACGAAAAAGAAGAAGAGAAAGAAAACGAAAAGAAAAAGATAATACAAAGACTTCCCTTTTCCATTTCCCAATCCCGCTCTCGCTTCCGCTTCCGCTTCCGCTTCCGCTTCCGCTTCTCCTGAAAATTAATCACTGACTATGCTTGTAATGAAGGATAGGGGTGAAGAAGAGGGGAAAGAGGGGGGTTTGGGGGAGAAGAAAAGAGAGAAGAGAAGAGAAGAGAAGAGAGAGAGAGAGAGAGAGAGAAGAGAAGAGAAGAGAAGAGAGAAGAGAGATGTGGTATATATGAGATGTTTTGAGGAAGAATAGTATAGCTAGCTAGCTAGCTGAAGAAAGAGGAGGAGAGTGAGTAAGTAGACGGAGAGGAGATGGGAGAGATGTCTCAAGCAGTAGATTGATAGATTACCGACTGCGATTCTTTGATTTCCTTTTTTCTTGTACATTTCTTTGAAAGTATAGGGAGGGAGGGAGGGAGGAAGTGATTTTCTACTCTTTTTATGCATTATTATCATCAATCAATCAATCACCTTATACTTTCAACAATACATCGTACCAACTTCCCTATTCATTCATTCATTCATCCATTCTCCAACCCTTCGCACCTCCACCATCCTCCCCTCCCATTCCCCGCCATCCACCACCACCACCACCACCATCGCTAATCAACCAAACAAAAAAGCCAAGCAAGCAGCATCATATAATTCAGTACCTTCCTCTCCACGCTACCCACCGAGTCGCCAGACTTATCCGCGTCGCATTTAGTCTCGAACGAAGCCGCTCAGAATAAAAACTCTTTCCGCAATCTAGCACAATCCGAAATAGAAAGTATCGCTTTTAAAAAAAAAGAGGGAAATCTGCTCGTGTCCGGTATATCGCTCTAGCGTGCGTTTTGAGGTGAGATGAAAACAGTCAGATTATAGGGTATTTGCGGATACCTTACGCAGGCAATACGACCAACCGACCGCTGTAGCGGAACTGTGGGCTATCAATGGAGCCCCGTGGGTGGAACGTAAGAATGCGGCGCCCGTCTCAGCGTACCTCCACCTACCTCATAGAGCAGTGTTGGACGTTAGACGTGGGGCACTGAGTGAACAGAACAACAGAACGCAAGGTGGCAGTAGGCAAAGGTCTATCTATACTGGCTTCGACACACCATATGATATCGTGAAAGAGCGTACTTTAGCTGTTTGTTCCTTGCGTAGGTACCTATTCGATGTGCAAAAGCTCCCGTGGGACATGCCCGTATACGTGGAGATGAGGATTCAGTACCCAGGACTGCAGCCTCCAGACGTTGTCGTTCTCGAACGTAGAAGATAGTGATGACTGCTAGGAGGATCATTGGCAATTCGCATGGTTTCTTGATTTACAGAATGATCCGTGATAGGTTCGTGGATAAACTTCGCTCCACGCTGGCGATATACGTCCCGAGCTGGCTGTGTAACGTCTTCAATGCGAGAGCACCATTCGTCTATCCATGCCTTTGATCTAGTAATTTCTCCAGGAGAGCCATCTGCTTCCGACTCTCCTCTTTCTGCTGCTCCATCTGCTTCCGAATCTCTTCTTTCTGCTGCTCCATCTGTTCCCGCTGCTGCTCGAGCTGAGCCTTGTACATTTGTTCGACTTTCGCCATCTGTTGTTTCATCAATGTCAACTCTCCCTGGCTTCCCCGGCTTTTGGCTCGGCGAAGCGGTGGTCTGGGTGATGAGTCCCTCTCTTGCGAGTACTGTTCGCTCACTTGCGTCTCACCTTCACCAACACTAACATCGGAGACCATGTATGTTGGTGGATCTGGCAGACGCGCAATTGCCTGCTGTATCCTTCGCAGATGCAAGGGATAGAAATCGCGGTAGACAGCTCGTGTGAAATTTGAGCCCGTGTTCCTGTTTCGGCCGAAGTCACCGTCGAGACTGTAGTCGTGAAAATAATATCGATGGAACGTGGTGCGACCTTCTCGGATGATGGGAAAGTGTCCGTATATCTTGACCCTCTCATTATCGTGGGAGACGCTGAAGACGAGGATGTGGCCGCTGAGGCTTTGAGCTGTTTGTTCTCCGGCAGCGCGGCACAGCTGAACGATCGCGTTGACGGCGATGCTGGCACTGTGTACGTTTTGTCGGTCTGCATCATTGATATTCTTCTTTCCGCATTTCGACTCGCACAGGAGGAATGGGAAGTACATGGACTCCGTGAACTTGGTAGGGTTGTTGATATTGGTGTAGTTCTCCAATTTTGACGTTCTTCTTCATTGAAAGTAGCCGATGACAAGCCGTACGCATAGTCTGGCCTTGGCTGAGTACCGCCGAGCAGACTGCATCTGTTCCAATCCGCAGACATCTCCTCCTTGACGTTTTCCAGTGTGTTCACCTGGTCCAGTATATACAAGAGCTCTGCGGAAGGCACAATGTGAGGGGTGAGGTCGCGGCGAACCCTTTCTTCGTTGCATTTGCTCGCTCGTTCGAAAATTCTGATATACATGTCCTCGGAGCAAAAGTTGTAGGCGGGAGCGAGATCGTCCACACTTAATAAGGCTTGACACATAGCCTTACTCTCGGCAGTGACTAAGTCCTTGGTGGTCAAATTGTCGAATACTATACCGTAGCGTTGGAGTTCTGCCTCGTACGCAGCCGTGTCTCTTGCTCGCCTCAAATAACTCGGTGTGCTAGACCGACGCCTCTTATTTGATCCATCGCTCTCGGGTTCGCTCAGTTGGCCAAAGTCTTTCGGCCACTCGCCCGTCCTTGCCCAATATTGAACAGGATCTTGTTTTTCTGCGCCATCCTTGCGACAATTTGAGTCCGGCTCCTGCCCTTGTTCGGACTCTTCTTTCTTGCGTTTGCAGCAAGGCTCTTGTGACTGCTCCAGTGCCTGCTCGTCGTCGTGGCGCCTACGCTTCTTCCCAGAAGACCCGCTACGGCGAGAGTTGGGCAGACGGATATGATCTTCTCTGCTCGCGCTCCTGGGGGCGCCTTCTGAGAGGGAAATTCTTGGCTTAGTCTCCTGTGTGCTCATTAGATGAACGTACGCCCCATGAGGCCAAAGTTCGCAACGCTGGCGGTAAGGAGCGTGGACGTGAGCAATGTGTGGGGATGTAAACACGCGGGAGATAGTATAATGTTTCGCGATGCGCCCCGCTGCGTTATCTCAGTAGGTAGGTAGTACTATTATAAAAGAGAGCAAAAAGGTGATTTTGCCATCTAAGATTCAAGAATCAAGATGAAAATAAGGTAATATATAACATCGCTTAGTCAGGTATGCATAAGTTATAAGGTAGGGCTCCCCTTCCCCGCCAGGCCCACCATATTCCCAAAACAAAAACAAAAAAAATGAAAGAGCATTTCCAAATCCGACACCTGTGTGATTCGAACACACGCTCCCGAAGGAACTGGCTTAATAACAGTCGAAGTACGATTACAATCGTACAGTTCCAATAGCAGGCCAGCGCGTTAACCACTCCGCCTGTAACAGCATTATTAGCTTCAATACTTCGCAGAATGGGTTTGGGATAGACGAATCGTACCAAAGTGCCACGATGTGGGGATTAGTAAGCAGGGCCTCTACAGTGTACATGTAGATAGGTGGGTATTTAGGTAGGTAGCTGCGAGCTGGTTGAATTTTATTTCAGCAATAGACAAGAAGAGGCCAACCTATTTTGCATCTCGCCCGGTACGAGACGATGAGACAACAAAGAAAAAATCGAGCATAAAATGGCAGTGGAAGGTCCAACTGCTGTTCTGTGATTCAGCACTACGCCGGCCATCTGCCGGACTACTACTACTACCTTACTACTACCTAGTGCCCATGGGGGAAAATACCGAGCTGTACCTCTCTTCCATCGAGCAATCGTACCTCGGCAGGACAACATTTGTCCATCCGATGTGCGCCCCAAATACCTCCTTGGTATCACCCCTTGTATGCATCAATCGCCCAAAGTATGCCATTATTGCTCATGCTCGCGCCATCGTGATCATGAGGTTCTTTACGGGAAGTGCCGTACCCGAATAAAAAAAAGGTGAGTCTACGAAAGGTCCTGCCGGATCGGGTTTGCAATCAATGTTCGCGGAGGAGAGTTGTTGCAATCATGAGCAAATCGGCGCAGAGTCAATTCTACCACGAGCGTGTTGAGGAGAGCCGCTCTTATGCTTGGTGTCCTCGTCGAAGCAGGGGTCGAGGCTACTGCCACTGTCGGCAGACGCAATAACATCTTTTCCCGCCAGAGCTTTCTTCCGTTGCTTTTGGAGAATTGGTCCTCTCCGTTCATTAAGCGTCTCGTCGTCAGAATCTGCCTCAATATGCAGTCCTGGTGGGTCAGCTGGCGCTGCTCGTGGTGGGCCTGGGATCGATGCGAATCTCGAGGTCCCGACGTCGCTGCTGGGACCGTTCTATTGTCCACGTCCAATATTCTGGCGAGCCTATTACAGGTCAGTGACTACTCATTCGCTGGCTGGGCCATACGGCTCGAGACTGCTTCACCTTCATCATCTCTATTCTTGCTTTGAGGTTTTGGGTGACCTCTGCTGCTCTTCTCCAGCTTTCGACACCTTCTCCGCCCAGTTGACTTCCTCGCAGACTGCTCGCGCCGTCGCCATTGGGCGTCGCCCGTCCACTCGATCCGCCGGATAATGCTCTCGAGCTCGGTCGCTCTGCACCTACACCCAAACCACCTCTTAGCTTGGATTCTGTCAGAGTGTCACGAACGTTCTCCTTACCATCTCCTCCATTCGAGTAGCCATGATTGGGGTCAATATTGCTGTACGCGCGCGAGCTGGGCATATTATATGTCCTCTGCGTACCATAACCGGGCCGCGGAGGCGGGGACGTGGGTCCTCCGCCATTGAGGCCATCCACAGGGCTGTCTCTCCCAGCGTGTTGTCGACCGAGTCTGGCAATCTCGCGCTTCAGTCTGTCAATCTCTCTTGAAAGACTGTTGGCGCGATCCTCGGAGCTTTCGGCATCAGAGCGAGCGCGTACTAACTGTGTCTCCTTGGCTTTGATCTGTAGCACATCACGTGTATGATCCTCAATCAACTGTGCATTCTGCACCTGGAGCTCTGAAACTTGGGACGACAGTTTGAGCTTCTCATTGCGCAGAGTCGAGGCTTGGTCACGGACGAGGTCTACTTCAGCTCGGAGATCTGTTAACTCCTGGCGTTCTATTGCGCTGAGAGCTGAAGATGCCGGATCGTGATTGCGTTGCGTAGGAGGTGAGACCGGTGCAGCGGATGGTTTTGCCAGTGGCCTCCCAGCCAGGCCACGGCCCAGCCCAGCCCGGGGAGTGGCAGGCGCCTGTGGAGGCTCGTCCAGAATGACGCCCTGGCGCTTGGGAGATGCAAGAGACGACGCCGGAAGCTTTCCCCGATCCACGCCGTAGCCAGAGCTCGGGGGCTTGATGCCACCTGGAGCTCGCAGCCCACCCGGTGGCTTGAGGCCCGGTTTGCTTGTAGGTCGTGGTTGCATGGGGGCATCATCCGTGAAGGGGGGACTAGCCGACTTCGGAGGCGCCTTCTTGACTCCACCTGGGACAGGTCTTCGCGTTCCAGGCGCAGGCTTCTTCCCTGCAGCGGGAGCGGCGGCTTTTGGTGCGGGCGCTGCCTTTGGCTTCCATTTGGCACGAACTTCTGCAGCATCACGCATCTCTGTAATCTTCGTTTTGCGAATGTCGTCAAGACCTTCAAGATGTGCCAGCATGTTCCGATCGCCCATGATCTTCCACATGATACCAAGAACTTCCGCGCCAGCGTCTCTGAGAGGAGCAGCGCTTTCCGTCAACAGCTTCTTGCATCCTTCGGCGATCTCTTTCGTTTGCTCAAGCGAGGGAGGCTCCCGCGTCGTCTTCAGTGCTCGCGCCATGAACTTGGCGCTGTTCTCCTTGATCTGCGGATTCTTGTTTTTGAGCGCCTCAAGGACATCTGCTTGAATGTCACCCAGGCTGGTCGCGGCGAAGACAGCATCACAAGCAGCTCCAAGCGCGTCAGTGACTGTAGGCTTCTTCTCCTTCAACCGCTCCAGCATCGACGAGAGAACCTGGCTCCTGTACTTGCCAAATGCTTTCTTGAGGCCTTTGGCCAAACACTCCACCACATTTGCGGCCACTGTGACCACAGCGATGTTTGCGTCTTTCATGCTCTTCGCGCATCCTCGAATTACATCATCAAAGTAGCCTTCCTGTATCGCTGGCACATTGACGAGTGCAAATACCTCGTCCATGACCTCTTTTCTGTCCTTCCACTTTGAGCTCCCTATTCGGTCATTGAAGTCGTCGGGCAGCTTCTTGGCCACATCCACAGCTTCGAACTCTGGCTCCAGGTCAATTGCCGCCTCTTCCTCCATGTCCTCTTCTTCTCCACCTGCAGTAGCGGCAGCTTCGACTTGACGCTCCTTAGCCGCCTGTTGTGATCGCAGTAAACGCTCTTGTTGCGGCGCTGGCTCTGCTTGCACAGGCTCGAACAGCTTGTCTAGATCCTTCTGCTGTACGTCTTTCAAATCGCCCCAGAACAGTGGCTTCATGGGTTCGCGTAACCATCTATACAGCTCTACAGTGAGCGCTTGCGCCTCTGCTCGCACATCCTTATTCGCGTGTCCGTACATCTTGGGCATCAGCTTCAGAACCGGTTTCGGCTCGACAGTCTTACACCCGTATGCATGGTAGATTTCCTTGAGCGCCGACAGCGCAGCAATGATCATCTTGGGTGTCTTGTGCGACAGAAATGGCAGCAGCTCTTCAACGATCGGCTCCGGCTTGTCCAGCTCGATCAGCAACAATATCGTCTCGAGCGCGGCTGCCTTGGCTGCGGGTCGTCCTGTCAAACCCTTCTCCACCGCTGGTTGTACAGTCTGGCTCCTTGTCTTGCGCGCACCATCAGTGCCCGCGGCGTCCAAGAACGCATTATAAGCGAGCAGGGCTTCTTGTTGCGCTGCAGCATTCGCATCGCCCACTGCGTTCTTCCAGACGCCATGATCATATGTGAAGTCTTTGACAATATCGCTGCTCGGCTGTGCAGTCTTGAACTCCTTTGCTGCGGTTTCATAGCCGCCCTTGCGAGCTTTCCAGTTCTTGTGCTGGAACTGTTCCAGCAGCGGCAGCTGCGAGAATTCCTCGGCTTCAGCCATGGCGGGCTGTGAGGAGTGGTGGTGGTGTAGTCGTCGAGTCGATGCTCGGGTGTGACGTGGAGTGCGTGTGGTGAGAGGACGGGCGGTGCATGTGCGCAAGTTGGGTAGCTAGCAGTTGACTGGTCGGCCTGGTGATGGGCTGGTCGCTTTGCTGCCTGACTGCATTCGCTAAATTATTCTCCGAGTCGTGGGCCGCGAGTTGTCTCAGGGGCGTGTTGGTGGAGCCCGTCCCTGTGGAAATCGGTATATCGCGACAGAAAAATCGTATCGCTAGGGATTGATGCACATGCGCAGCGTGACAGGAGGGCGAGGAGAGAAAAGTGTTCAATGTCGAGGATGACTTTCTTGTTTACTAAGTTGTATGCAGGAGGCTTGTGCTCGTCGCGAGGGAGGGGTCTAGCGTGGATTTAGGCTCCTTGGTCTTGGCAGAGGCATGAACTCTATTCTGTTCTATTCCCCGACAACATATATGTACCTCTTATATTTGGTACTATCTTCAACAACAGAACGACCTCCCCCTAGGAGAGTCCAGAGCACAGCCGACAAGCATGAGCAAATGTCATACTTACAGAAAGTCTAGTGCCTCTCGATGCAACATTGTCTCTGCCGTGTGAACCACATCATCTTCCTTCGGTTCTGACATGGTGATGAACTGTGATGATCGACATCACGCCCCTTCCTAGACCACACCCCCGGCTCTTCGTAGTAATAATCCATCCAAACACTGACCGCTTAGAAAGGACATCACTCTTTTGAAACTCCACCGTGGTCTCCCATCCATATGAAGACAAGCCTCTTGAACCAGTGAGCTCAAGCCATAGGTAATGCTCAGCAGCCGTCTCGCCAATGAACATGGCCTCAACAATATTCACCCTGTTTGGGCCTCAATACTCTCTGTATAGCTACATTTGTTCGTGACCTGAAGGCAGTTCGGGGATGGGGATGGCCGAAGGAACTGCTTCCGAGCATCGGTCCAACTAGGCTTGATCTCCAAGGGAGCAAATCGTGACTTCAGCTCCAGTGATTCCTACCATCATTGAAAGCTGACATGATGTGTGTTTGTATGACAAATGGCTTTGATGTCTAGGAAAGGGAAATAATGAGTTCAGCATGCGAGTTTTTACCCATATGTGAAAAACCGTCAGCTACCTGAGAGAGCAGTGGAGTTGGAAGTCGGGAGTGCATGCATGCCCTCTCTGGATTTGAAAAATCACGCGATTCCTTTCTTCTTCTTCTTCTTCTTCTTCTTGGATACTACGCGGAATGGTGATTTCATCTCAGAGATGTATGGGTCTCTTCTTCTCAAATGCCCATAGTCTCAGACATTTCTCTGTCTCTCTCTGCAACCAGATGGACGAGAAAAATTGCTAATCTCTGGAGAGGTTGCGACTTCGCGGGTGGCCTGTGATGATAAGTATCAGAAAAAGCAGCTCAATTGTGATTTTCAAATACCTGCCATAATTCACAGCCCATGATGCTTGACGAGCTGAATCTTGTAACAATCCCAAGGGTTATCTGTCTGCAGCTCAGTGGAAAAGGACGCAAGCATCATCACGGGCCCATCCCGGAGCACATCTTGCTGGATTTGAAATGTCAATACCTTAGGTTCGTGCCGAGCTACATGTATGCCACTGGACACACTTTCATGACGCGCACAGTGGAATCGTGAGAAGACAGCGCCTGAAAGACCGGGCGCGTGCCCGCTCGCTACCTTGCCCATCAAGGTATGTATGCTAACACAGACTCGCCAAAAGTCGAGCACCACGAGCACAGGCATCAGGCAGAGGAGACGATGGCACACCTAGCGATCGAATTCGTGTGGAAGCAGATCTGATCGTCATGCTAATGTTCTTTTAGCGACTTCGAGCGTTCGCCCAGGCGGCGGGACGACGTGCTGTGAATGAAGGAGAAGCCCGGTGAGCCTAGTCTCGGACTTGAGGCCGACAGCAAGACAAACCACCAGGGGTTTTTAGTGCTTGCGCACGGCTCTTTCCAGATAGGTATGTGCATATAGTCTTAGGAGCCACTGGACCCGATCACTGCGAGCGGCTTTGCGGTCCTGGGCAGCAGCATTTTTGTCGACGTCAGCTAACCACCTACAGTATGTACCTACCTCCATCTGTACAGCATTTGACGTCTTCCTTCGTGACCAAACAAACTCTTTCAGACGCACCGATAGAGTGTGCGTAATATATAACCGGCTCCAGGATTCTAAGAAGTACGAGTGAGCATGCAGGACCTTGATGTCCAGCACCAATCGTGGTATTCCTCCTCGGCACAGTCGTCGTCTTGAGGGAAAGAATAAATGTCGGGTGATTTAGAAAAAAAGAAAAAAAAAAGTGACGCCACGCCGCACCCGACCACAATCGCAGCGTCCGGACCAAGAAAAACAATGAGGCCATCTAGCATACGAGAGGCATCATCGCATCGAAGAAGTCTGTTATTGCCATGGCAATCACGCAAAAGGGATCTTCCCTGAGCAGACATACATGTATGTACAGTAGGAGGTAGGTGAACTGCCACATCCTGGTTGACCGCGCGATGGGCTAAGCCAAGCCATCTCTGGCGCCATTATTGCACCTTCGTTCCATTTGTCGCACGTCAGTAGTTAGGTTGTCGCAATGCAAGTTGCAATTGCGTGTTTTGAGTTCGTTGTCCACACATGCAATCGGAAATCTGGGGGCTTGGTGGTTGGTGGTAGGAGGTAGTGGTGGTGGTGATGTTCCGGGGAGATGCGATGCGTTGTCGTTTGTTGTTGCTGTGGGCGATCGATGGTCGAGGATCCGTGACGCAAGCGGCTCTTTTATTATTGGAGAGCGGTGAAGTGGTCAAGAGAGATGGAAGTTTGAACCTGGAACCTTTGATGATTGAGGATGGGAATCGTTCGTCCCTAGGAAATCCGATGGCCGGTATGTCGTCAGCACGATCATGAGCTCAGGAGTGTACTCGTATTGTGAAGACTCCCGACCGCCGTGTAGTGGAGCAAGACGAGATGGAGCTTGGCACAGCCTCCCACAACGCGTACCTCCTACCTCCTACGTCGCGTCGAATTGCGAATCGCTCTCCACAGCGGAGCGGACGACCAGGGCGTTCGCGCTCGAGGTGGAGAGTGGAGACGTGGAAAGTCTAGAACATGGAAGCGAGGACTAGGAGGTACCTGACCTCCTAGCAAGAGTCCGTAAAGAGCACATACATACATGTCACTAAGAACTAATGCACAACAACTGTCAAGGTGATGTTTCGAACTTCGAAGGATGCGATGCCCAGCGCTGGATGGCGACCGCTTGCTATTGGCACGCGCGAGCGCTACCTCCTACACGATTAGGAGATGCCGAACCTCCTAGCATCGGATTTCCCTCCCTGTCGTCTGATGATGCTAGTTATCGGCCAATGATATGATGCAACTGAAGCGTGGTATCGCGCAATGTTCTGAATGAAGAACGCTGGCCTCTCGGAAGACGGCCTACATCGATGGAGCACACATGTCACATACTGGTCGGATTGATAGGATGCTGCAATGGTCTGACGGCAGCACGTGTTGAAGGGGTCTGGCCAATCGTGGGCCACAACCGAGGGTGCTGGGCAGCGGGGAGGTGAGTAGGTCCTGACGATCACATCATGGCATGCAGTCCATGCAGTGGGCGTGGTGGTGCAGAAGAAGGACACTGGCTCGCTCTCACTGAGGCGTATGTGTGCGTGGGTGCGGTGACTGACTGCGGGTAGCACACAGATGGACAGAAGAGTTTGCATTTTGACTTCCATAGTGCCAAGGCTACGTTGACCGGATCGACGATTGCGGCGGGCATCTACCTCCACGCACATGCAGGGCCGGCGGCGGTTGGACACAGAAACATGCGCACTCTCACTGCGAGAAGTGCTAGTTAGAGGTAGTTGTACGCGGCGGTCAGCGCGGATCCTGTATTGGGACAAAGGCCGCCCTGCTAGACCTGCTAGACCCATAATCTGCTCAAAAGACGCGATGCGATGCACTCACACACCTCAGAGGCTCAAAGCCTCCGAACCTTCGACCGTGATGGCGCTTCTGACAGCGCCATCCTGGCCACACCAGGGCGGCGATGACAACCACTGGACTTGCTTTCTCTCTTCTTGTAGGAGGTATTATATTACTTGGCCAACGCCGGCCAGAGTTGTGGTTGCATTGTGATTGTGGTTGTGGTTGTTGATCTTATTGTTGTTCTTATTAGAACTACATGTACCTACTACCTGACTACTACTTCATACCTCTGCCTCCCAGCTCCTTATCAATCTCCCTCCCTCTACACATCCCGTCCGTTCTTTGTCAGTCGGCATCCCTCCTATCGTAAGTCAATCCTGCCTGCCCTGCCTGTCTTTGTTCCTGTTCCCGACTGGGAAGACGTATCGGGTCTGCCCCTCGCTTCACCCAGCTTCCCTCCCCCCACGGCGCGAGTCTTATCAGCTCGTTATCACAGCCAGCAGCGCCATACCATACAGTCGATCAGTCTAGGCTGTCGCGGTTTGCTGCTTTTGACTGACCCGCAACCCGCAATCGGCAAATCTGCAACCCAATCTGCACCCTCGATCTCGGCATCCGATGTTCTGACTCTTGTTTCAGCCGACTGCTAGTTCTACTCACTTTTAAACAAAATCACCCGTGGCTCGAGCACTCTCCCGCACACGTACACGCACACGCACACCTATACCCACACGCACACCCACGCCCACGCCTACCTACATACCTCGATCCCCCGCCGACTCCAGTATTCCTGCAGAGAAAGCCGATGCTCCGTTGTGCAAACTGCCCATCGCCTCAATACACCAGATAGCGGCACTGAATAGCATTGGATAGTCTTCCCATTACAACGATTGCATCTGGCCCATATACCGCTCTTTCGGTGCGTGCAGCCACGGGAACAGCCTTCCTGTCTGCGTATACCAGAATCGGAGCTACTACATCGATTGCTGAAAAGCACCAATGAACCAACGACATGTACGACAGTCTTCGCAGGGACGAAAGGCACTACGACCCGCGCCCTTGACGCAACGGAGGAGTTATAATGCTCAGGCTGCTTCCAGCCATGTCCAATCGAATTCTGCTGCCCCGCCCGTGTCGTCCCCAAGAAAGGCTGCAGGACCGGGCTGGAGCAGCTCCAAAGCAGCATCAGAGGGGACAATTATCCCAAAGGACGAGGACGAGGAGTTTGGCATGACGAGCTTCTTGCAGTTCTGGTAGGTGTCTGATCTTCCATCTGCGAATAGTCTGGGCTGACTTGTTACTAGCACCACCTGTGAGAGGCAGATCGTCACTCCGAATCCGAGCATACTGTATTGCTCATCCGAGTACGTTGACACTACCTACCTCTCTTGGCATTGCTATACCTTCCTTGACTGACACCACAGATAGATGCCGGCGACGGGACTCTCGACCCACATCACTCCAGGACATCCAGACGATACAATATGCCATGCATTCGCCTCCGCCGCTGTCGGCGACAAATTCATATTTCGATCGCCCGCCACCCGAAATCGTGCCTTCCATGTTACCAACCGTGGTACGGCCCATGTCCCAAACCTTCTCCGAGCTGTCCCTTGGTGATTACAACAACTCACCTTCCGACCACGACTCTGGTAGCGAAGCAGCATATCGAGAATGCAAAGTCACAAACTACCTCGACCAATTCTATTCCGGCTTCAGCCAGTCTGCCAAGCAACAACGACCGAGAACGAAGCGAACATCGACAACGAGTACTGGTACCCGCAGTGGTGGCGATAGCAGCATCAACCTGCCCTCGCTCTCCCACTCTCCGAGCTCATCATACGGCACTGTGGCTTCTGTGGCGTCTGTCCGACCGATCATGAAGCAAAATCCCTTCTCGAGTACCTTCACCACGAAGAGCGTCGACCTCGTCATGCCACACAATGCCACAGCAAGCACGAGCCCGACGCAATTACTCAAAGATGCGAGTTCCAAGAGCAGTGCCAGCACTCTGACTTCTTTCCGAGTAGCCGAAGCGAGCGATACCAGCTACTTGGGTGTCCTCTCACCCAATCCCAAGAGAAAGTCTACTCGAGAAAGAGCGGATGATAATTTGAAGCAATTATTCCGACACGATGCCATGAAAGCTTCACCCAAGTCAAGTAAGCATCGTAATTAATCAAAGATACGAACATGGCATACCTATACATTACACGATAGATTGTGAGTCAGGTCAGCATGGATTTTCCGGTTGTTTTGTTTTTTTCTATTTAGCGATGGGGAGCGATGGAGAATTTGGATAGATGGGTGTGGATGAGGGAGTGAGGGAGAAGTGACATTTCCCCCTCCCCCCCAATAAAAAAGTTTCGGTCGGGCATAGGCACAGGCGTCTTTTTCGAGCAAGGGAAGGTAAAGAGGTGGGAAAGAATATTTGGTATTCAGGTACCCCTCTCTATAAAAGTGAGGGGGGGGGGGGCTCTAGGTAAGCGCCTGAGAGCGCGCCGGGCAATATTAAGAATTTAATGAATAGCCTTCGCGAGCGAGCGAGGTTACATGTTAGGTACCTCTTGTTATTCATCTTCTTGATCTTCTTGATCTTCTTGATCTTCTTGATCATGATCATCATCACCAATCTTCCAACCTTTGCATCAGGTATTCCGTTCTATATATAGAATATACATCTATCTACCAACGGGCAACTGCCAAAAGCAAGGCCACGCAAGACACGACACCTCAATTCCCCTTCAATCCCTCCCGTCACATCTCTCCCCTCTACATCATCATTATAGGGCTTTCCATTCAACGCAGTCTGTCCTGTCGTCACCATGTCCGACAGCTATTACCTACTAGATTGGGAATCTTCGGCTAGGACCAGAAATGTGTCTTGTCAGTAAGCGCCCGGGCCGGGTACAGACAAGAGGTCTAGACACAGTACATACTAAGGTACTGTAGTACCTCCTTCCTCCTACTGGTTCAGAAATCAATGTCGCTTAGAGCCGCATGTAAGTATATACATACCTATATGCATAAGGTGTATATATATATTGTGGCATTATTGTGCAGTCGACAATCTTACATGTAAGTACCTAGTGACCTCTGGTAAACGGGACGAGACGAGACGAGCGCCACGCATTTTCATGAGATAATCCGAGCAGAACCGCTGTTCTTTTCTATTTTTGACACTTGGGATGCTTCATGGTGGTCTCGAACTCGCGCCTGCTGCTTGTGCCGTGGTTGTCACAGTGCTGTCCTTGGCTGTGTCCTGGTGGCAATGCACTTTCACAGCGGAGGAATCGACCCACTGCTGATCATCCAGCAGTTCAACTTCTCCATGACCTGTATTGCCTTCTTGCGCCTCCCCCTCCCCCTCCTCCGGCTCCTCTTCCTCATCACCAGCACTCTGCGCCACACGTCTCTTTCTTTCCACGTTACTCCTCCAGGGCTTATACAGTAGCACTGACATCAAGCCAAACACCACGAAACTTCCACATATAGCCCCACCGATGATATCGTAGTGGTCTCCTGCAATATCCACGCCGTCCCAGAACGGACCATCAAAATCGGGACGTACATTGTGAATCATAGTCAACAGCTGTATGACACCTATGCTGATGGCCACGGCCACAGTGACGGCGGTCAACACACATTGATAGTACAACACTGCAATGGCATCCTTGGCAAGACGTGCAGAAGTGTACAAGGACATCATCGCTGCGCCATCGAAAGTATCCAAAAGGCACATGCCTGCCGTGAAAAGGATGGGGAAGATCAAGATGAGCCAGATCGATGTTCCCTGCGCAGCTTGGATACTGCTGATGCCGAGCAAGGCAATCTCAGAAGACGTATCGAAGCCCAAGCCAAAGAGGACACCGAGAGGATACATTTTCCAGGGACGATCGACCAGTTTGAATGTTTGGCCAAGGATGGTCGTCATGCACCCACCTCCTTCGAAGCTATAGCTTAAGCTCTCTTGGCCGATGGGTGAAGCCACCGCTCGCTGAAGTTGCTGGTAGAGCTTGTAGAGAATCCAGCAATTCATCGCTCCCAGAATGATGAGAAAGGCGGCCGAGACGGAGGAGCCAATAATCGATCCGATGGTGCTGTAGTCATCGAAACGCTTTTGTATGGCAGCACTACTTGCTGCGACCACGACGCTTGTGATAACGACAATCGTGCTGTGGCCAAGGCTGAACCAGGTGCCGACAGTCACTGGCTTCTGTCCAGATGCGACTAAACGCCGAGTCATGAGATCGATGGCCGATATATGATCCGCGTCCAAGGCATGGCGAAGTCCAAGCGTGTACGACAGGACAGCTGTGGAGATCAGCGCGGTATGGAAGTGTAGCACAATGCCCACAGCAATCCAAACCACAAGCTGGACCACAACGAGCAATAGGACGATGGCCACGGCATTCCCAGGCAGCTTCCTTATCCATGGTATCTGGTCGTGGTAGTATGCTGCGTGTTTCCTCCACTTTACCACCAGAGCATTTCGTTCTACGTCACGGTCCATGTGGGAGGGCTAACAACTGTGGTTGGTCGCACAGTGAAGGCAAAGGGGCCTGGGGTCAACTGGCTTTAGGAGTAAGTACCTGAGTGCAGGGAGTGCTCGCGATAAGGCCCCAGGCTCCAGCGATGGTATCGGGCAACACAATGTTCTCATGTGCCGCAGCGCAGATTCATGTAGCAACTGAAGCCAATGTTGGCAGGTGCACTTCTTTTCGCATAATCCCCACGCACTGCGGGGTATCCGGTGTTGCTTACACACACCCGCAAGCGGTAGCCGTTGGCAGTCGACCTGCGAATTGAGAGTACCTAATAATTACCTGGTATAATAGGAAGCTCAGTACCTATGCCTCAAAGTAGTTTTGATATGCATAGACTGGCGTTGGTACCACCAAAGCCGAAGCTGTTGGTCAACGCTGCATTTACTGTAAGCTGTTGCGCTGTGTGAGGAACGTAATTGCAGTCGAAATCCGAGGCCGGACTGCCAGGATTGTCGAGATTGAGTGTTGGCGGAAGGACATTCTGGTGATACGATCAGCGAGTGACAGACTGTGTCGCAGTGGAGGGAATGGTTGAGTCGTGTCTTACATTGTGGCACGCAAGTATGGTGAAGATGGCTTCGACTGCACCGGCTGCACCCAGGAGATGGCCCACGGCGCCTTTGGTGCTCGACACGTTGATCTGGGAAGCGTCAGTTCGGCCTTCTTCGCCGAGCAGCAGCCTCTTGATCGCTCGATTCTCCGCGGCGTCGCCGAGCTTGGTCGATGTGGCATGGGCATTGACATAGTCAATCTGGCCCGGTTTGAGATGAGCGTGCTTCAAGGCTTGTCGCATCGCCAAGTACGCGCCCGCACCGTCTTCTTGCGGCGCAGTCATATGGAATGCATCTGACGACAAACCATAGCCTCTGACCTCGGCGTATATGTTGGCGTTGCGTGCCTTTGCATGTTCGAGCTCCTGAATGGAATGTGTCAGCCCAGCGCAGTACATCACGACTATCACACGGGCGTGGGACGTACCTCTAAAACCACAACACCAGCACCCTCACCGATCACGAATCCTGCCCGGTCGCGGTCAAAGGGTCGAGATGAGGCCGTGGGCGCGTCGTTCCAGTCTGTAGCCAGGCTTCGTGCTCGCGCGAATCCCGCAATGGCCAGCGGGTGGATGCAAGACTCTGCTCCGCCGGCCACCATAACATCGGCGTCCCCGAACATGATGAGTCGCGAGGCGTCGCCGATGGCATGAATCCCGGTGGTGCACGCCGTCGTTGCGGCGTGGTTCGGGCCCATGAAGCCATGTTTGATCGAGACATGGCCCGCCGCCAGATTGATCAGCAGTCGGGGCACGAACAGCGGCGACACTTTGCGGTAGCCGGCGTCGTGAAAGGCCACCGAGGTGCTGTACGCCTCGTCCAGATTGCCAATGCCGGACCCGATGGCGACGCCCGTGACTTCCCGCTGGTCCTGCCTGGTCGGATGCCAGCCCGCATCGTCGAGTGCTTCCTGCGCCGCCGCAATGGCATACTGCGCAAACAGCGCCATTTGCCGCTCTTCGCTCATGCTCAGCCAGTCCTGCGCCTGCCACCGCCCATGGTCGCGACTTCCCAACGGCACGAGGCCCGCGACGCGACTGGGCAGCGCGCCGAACGACGCGCCCTTAGCAGCAGTCGACACGATGCCGCTGTGCGAGTCGAGTAGGCGTCGCCACGTCTGTTGGACTCCCGCGGCGAGTGGAGTGACTGCGCCCAGCCCCGTCACGACGACTCTTCGCATTTCATGATACGGTTGATCCCTTAGGTATTGTCGGGGAACCTGGAAGACACGACAAGTACACGGCTGGTGACGCGTGACCAAGTCGCGTCTGAGGATTCTCGTCATGAGCCTTGGCATACCTCCTACATGTACTTCTCAGTTCTCACGGGCCGGCGCCCCTCCCGAGGCTCCGTTGTGCGCGCTCCGGCTCCGCCGCTCCCGTCCGTCCTCTGTCACCTCTCAAAACATCCCATCCAACCTGGAACCAACACACATCTCCACACGGCGATACAGCCTACATGTATCCATACCCTATACTGACCATTTTTGCAACGGCCCTGGAGCGGCTCATCTGGTCCATGTCTCCCTCATCGGCTGTGGCATAATATGAGCTTGGCCGAATAGGCATGTCAGGTAGTGACACGTTACAGTCACCTTTCTGTTTCACATACAGCTCCGTCCTGACAATGTACCCAAGCCTCCCCCATCCAATCATCCCGGGAATGCTGACACTCCAGACGCAGAGATGTTGTTCAGCTCTCCCGGATAATCGTAGCGAGAGTGCTACGAAATAAGCGACAATGGCACGGCAGCATACCATATACGACAGTGCAATGCAGAAGGACACCCACTCCACTGTACACCTGTTACGGATGCTTGTGACTGTGATAAGCAAACAATCTCTCGGCTTGCTCCGATTCACTGGAACAGATCCATGATCAAGACTTGCGGTACTGCGCAGCATCTCGTGCCTTGTTACTACTGTGTAGGCCTTGAAGGGACGCAAAGAAACATGCATTCCCCAGAACGCAGGATTGTCGCCATATCAGGGTTATACATACCTTGCAGCTGATGCGCAGTCTCCCATTCGCCGCTGCTCTTCGTGCTCAACAGCCAGCAGTCAGCTCGCTACACTCCAATTTCCATGACCTTGGGGTACAGTGTACACCACGAAACACCCAACTTGACGCCTGCGCAGCTCAAGTTCTCCGTTGCTGTCATGTCGAAGACTTCCTGACATAGGCCTGTGTTCTCTATTTCCCTCTGCTTGGTCTTTTGTCGAATTGATGCAACGTCAGCTTGGACCAGCTGCCCAAGGTCCTGCGGCAACATTTGCTCTTGAGGTCGCCTTTGTGAGCGAGAGGTCCGTTCATCATAAGGTTGCTGATTTGACATGGATTCTGTACGAGCTCTACCAAGTCTGCGCCCGCGAAGCCCGCTTTCTGGGTTCTTAGTGTTGGACAATAGTACTCCGCGATTCACAGAGCATTTGTAAGTCACGATGATATGGTCATCATTGGAGGTAACAGTAGTAACAACGGCAACGCTCCAAGCCAGCGATGGCTGGGAATGAGTACATCGATGCTCAGCAAACTGACTCACTGAGGAGCAGTAACGACGCTCCGCCTTATTCTCAATATCAGAACTTTGCGGGACAAGACACAGGCGTGCCGCAATATGGCTCCGACGCGGCGAAGGTCGGCCATCAAACGTCAAACAAAGAACGACCGCGCTCGCCCGTTGAGTTGGACATTATGCCGTTGGCCGAGACATATCGCGGCGACCATGAGGAGAAGGAGGTAGTCATTCCGACGCCTGTACCGCCAGCGTCGAAGCCAGAGCCAGAGCCAGAGCGGCCGATGTCTGCGAATCATGGGACTACAAAGCCACGAAAGAGGCGGATATGCGGGGTGCCCGCAATATGGCTCTGGTCAATTCTCGCTGCCATCTTGATCCTGGGGGTATCGCTCGGCGTCGGACTAGGCGTCGGACTCCACCAGAACGACAGCGATTCCGAGTCTTCGCACGAGGCAGGCGCAAACACTACGTATATGATCGGCGGCGCGGTTAACCCACAGTACTATTCGGAGGAGGGCGCATTCAATGGGTCTGGTATTGCGCTTGCTTCGCAATCTTTCTCCCGCCAGCTGGAAGATGGCACGCAGGGCAATCTTGTCATGTATTATCAGCACTGGACAGGACAAATAAGATACAAACAACTCGCCAACGACGGAACATGGAAAGGGGGGGATATCTCCGCGGTCGTTGCACAGGATGCTAGAAACAGCACTCCTCTATCAGCGGTATCGTATGTGCTTCACAACGAAAGCACGTGGCATGTCTTTTACATCGATCAGAACGACACGATCAAGCAGAGATCCAACAGTAACGAGACGAATGTCTGGACGGATGGGGCGCTTAACAGCTTGAATCTCAAAGCCCATGATGCGCAGCTGGTCGGCATGCAAGCTTGCTATTATGGAAATGAATATGGAGACTCCGACTACATACACACTCCGTTGCCGAACGAGAGCGTAGAGGCAAACCGCAGCACCGAAGTTGGCATGCACTTATGGTATGCATCCAGTGAAACTACATTTGAGCAGTACGGCTGGCGGGATGGTGACACTTCTTGGGAGCATCAGCTCACCTGGAACAACCTGAACGGCCATGCAGGGTAAGAAGACCCCATTCTCTCTCAGAGCTCTTCCTGCTGGCACTCATATTGGCACAGCTGACTGATGTTGATTAGAGTCGGCTGCTACTCTTGGGGCCCAGGAACTGCCACGTATGTGATGTTTGTTAATCTACAGCACAGCGTGGAAGTCTACTGGAAAGACACCAACACGAACCTGACAAACAGTACGAGTCATCCGATCAACGCGTGGACCAAGAGTGAGTCTCCCCATTTCACAGTACTGTGGTCACGCCGAAACGAGGACATGCACATGCAAATACTTTTCAGTGTCCTGTACTAACCTGCTACAGCCCCAATAGCCATTGACAACGTACACCCTGCATCGAGTCTAGGGTACACCAACTACTTTTATGCGCAAGACGAAGCTTCGTTACTGTTCAATGGTTATAATATATCTTGGTCTGCAGAGAACAGCACAATCTTGACGGAAGACACCTTCACAGTGCAGGGAGAGCCCGGTCTGCCTGGTACGCACCTGAGTGTGTCAGCGATTCCTAACAACTCGGGTGGCAACAACGTGGTAGTCTTCTATCAAACCAATGGATCCGACATCAGCGAGTATACCAGGGATCTCTATGCTGGGCAGTGGTCGGCGATCGATATACCTTTGGTGAAGTAATCATTAGGAGGTCTGGTGGCATGGCGTTCCGGTGGCGAAGTGTACCGCAGAGCAGGTCACACATGAGAGCATGTAATATATAGAACGCATGCAAATTTCTGTAAAACCAAAGTCATGCTGTTGCCATATGCAAGCACGTTCATACGTGAAGTGAAGTGAATATGTATGCTCGTGCGTTTCCAAGTGGAGAAGCTCCCGTCTCGACGCGCTCCGCTTCGCGTGTCACCTCACCGTTTCAGTCGCGTTCTGGAAATATCACCATCTCACTTCTATGCGACGCACAAAATCCCCGATAGCATGCACGACTGCCACGATACATTGACATAGCGCGACAGTATCCGTCGAAATGCCGCGCGTCACGCGAAAGAGGGCAGCTCAGACAGCGCCTGAGCCTGAACCCGAGATTGAGGAGGAGCAGGTCGAGGAAGCGGAAGCGGAAGAATCGCATGATGCTCAGCCCCCAGGGCAGCAAGGGAACGACGAGATGGATGTCGAGGAAGATGTAGAAGAAGGAGACGAAGAAGACAGTGAAAGAGAAGGTCGCGCGTCGCTCGAGAACGACGCTCCGCTGACGTGGAAGGCCGGCAGGCCCATCGCGGTTGCGACCCTGCTACAACGGCTAAAGGCATTGGCAGCGGAGCTGCAGTCACTGGCGCAGCACGAGGTTATTCGCGCCGCCCTGGTGCCCAAGGCCAAGGAGTTGGCAAGCCCGCTCTTGCTCGGTCACAAGGACTACGGCATCAAGATCTATACCGTGCGGTGCGTGGTGGAAATGTTTAGGCTTTTCGCACCACACCAACCCTACAAACCCAGCCAGCTGAAGGAGATCTTCAACTTCGTCGTATCGACAGTGATACCCGGACTCTCAAACCCCGCTCATACGTACAACACCGAACACGAGGATATCATCAAGTCCCTGGCGGAAATTCAGAGCATCGTCCTGCTCCCGGATCTGCCAGGAAGTGATCAGTTGCAAACACAACTATTCAGCAACTGCTTCGATGTGCTTGCAGGCAATGTGTCTGATGGAGACAAAGAGCTTTTGTCGATGAATGTGGAGTATATGTTCACAAGCCTGCTCTGCACGCTCGTATTCGAAGCAGACGCAGTTCACCACGAAATCGTGGAGGTCATACTCGCCCAGTTCCTCAGGGCCGACCCTAAAGCCACGAAGAAGAAGGGCGAGGCACGATTTTCAGAGGTGCTCAGAGATGTCTCCCCAGCATACAGTTTGGCCCGATCTATATGTAATACTTGTCACGAGAAGATGACTCGCCACATTGGCGAGTATTTCCAAGCAGTTCTGATCGATGCTAGCGAGGCACGACCTGACTCGAAGCCAGCAAAACCAAAGGCCAAGAGGAAAATGCGGGATGATAGCGATGACGAGTCTGAGTCTGGTCTCATCGAACCATCTGCAGATGAACTCCAAGAGGCCGAGAAGGCACATAGCCTGTTACGTGAATTGTGGAGGTCGTGCCCAGCGGTAATTCAAAACATACTTCCGCAGGTTGAAAGCGAGCTGAGCACCGAGAACACGCCCTTGCGCATCATGGGTGTGGAGAGCGTAGGCGATATGATTGCCGGCATCGGTGCCGCAGGACCACCTCCACCCTCGACTCTCGACCCGGCAGCATATCCGTCGCAAAGCCTATCTGACTATCAGCTTCCTGCACAGCAGAACATCGTCCTTATTCCCGCCGCGCCTCAAGCATTCTCGTCGACACATCCCACGACATATCAGAGCTTCATTGATCGACACCGTGACAAGTCTGCCCAAGTGAGAGCGGTCTGGGCCACAGCCTGTGCTCGGATCATTCTCACGTCAGGGGGCGGGAAGGGCTTGGATTCTGCGCAAGAGTCGCAAATCTTACAGATCCTTGCGGACTTGATCACAGACAATGATAAAAGAGTTCGCTTCGCCGCCGTTGCCGCTGTAGCAACCTTCGACTTTCAGTCGATTGTTCGAAAACTTGGCAGTCATGGGGGCGCTGCGAAAGAAGGCTCCATACTGTACCAACTGGCGTCTCGCATCAAGGATCCGGAGGAAAGCATCTCCGCGACAGCGCTCGAGCTTCTTGGTAAGATCTGGGGCGTAGCATCGGGGGCTATCATAGAAGGCAATGAGCGTATCCGTGAGCTGTTGGGCCCCATTCCAAGCAGCATCTTCAACGCAATGTACATCAATCAGCCGAAGCTGAACGCGCTCATCGCCCGAACCATTATCGAGTCGTTGCTGCCACTTAGCTATCCTCCCACAAAGGGTAAGGCCTTTGGAGAGAAGGATTCGCAACGAGTGCCTGACTCCCAGAGCACACAGAGCAAAGGGCCCGATCCGGATCGTATTCGAGCTGAGCGTATACTAGCACTAGTACGAGACCTCGATGCCAAGGCCAAAGCCGCCTTCTTCGGTCTGCAAGGTCACCAAGTGTCGCGTGCAAAATACGTGTCGCTCGCGCTTGCTTTGACCGAGAAGCTTGAAGGCGTTGCGAAGGGCGACACAGCAGAGGCTAAGAACCTTCAAAAGATTATTGCAGTTCTCGCGGACAGATTTCCAGACAAGGTTACGGCTGTGAAGCACTTGACCACGTTCTTTGGCTTTCATGACCGTCGAAACTTTGCGCTCACTAGGTTCGCAATCGCAGCCGATAGTGACTTCAAGAAGAGTCGCAATGCACTGATTGAATTGCTCAAGCGTTTGAGTGGAGCAGCAAGCAACATTGCCAGCTCGATAGACACTGTGAGGCCGCTTTTGTTCTCAGCTGCAGTACTGGTCTACAATCGAAGCCATGTTCCTGCAATCGTGACCATTTCTCGTACCGATGAAAATGGTTTGGGTAGTGCGGCACACGACGTGTTGAAGGAAATTTCGACACACGCACCACTGGTATTCGAAGTTCATATCAAAGAACTGTGTGAGACACTCAAGAAGCAGGCACCTTCTGCTTCGTCGTCGAACGACCCCACTACTGAGGACACCCTCAAGGCGTGTGCTGGATTTGCTCGACAATTTCCAGAGAAGATGCCGAAAGATCGCGAGTTCTACCAGGCGATGGCCAAATTCGCCAAATTCGGCTCCCCGCCAACAGTTGCGAAGCATGCGGTGACTGTCATAGTGGCCGCTGCAGAAAAGAAAGACATGTATGTCAGCGACATCTTGAAGTATTGCCTGACCAATTTCGATGTCAGCGAAGAGAGAGCAGCAACGAGATTGGCATCGATCAGCCAACTGCTTCTACTGGCTCATGTTCAAACCGAGGACCACGCAGATGCTATACACGAAATCCTTACTGGGGCACTTGTCAACAGAAGCTCAGCTGAAGCAACAGACGCCACATGGACGGACGAGGTCGACGGCGAGCTGCGAGTTAAGCTCTGGGCGCTGAAAGGTGTCGTAAACAACATCAGAGGTCAACTATCCGATGCAGACACCACACGCCTGGACAAAGACTTAGAGGCTGCCATCATTAGGACGTTCAAAGTCCTCAATACCATCATTCATCGTGAAGGCGAATTGGCCGGGGAGCCTACGCCGGAACATCATAAAGCACACATGCGCCTCGCCGCTGCGAAGCTGATACTGAAGCTCTGCTGCGACAAACCCGTCAACAAGCTCTTCGCTGCTCGGGACTTCAATCGACTTACAACCGTTGCGCAGGATGTACTGATGCAGGTTCGAAGTGGGTTCGTCGCCAAGCTCAAAAAGTATACTGGTCAGCAGAAGCAGCTCCACCACCGCTTCTTCAGCTTGATGTTTCTATACGCTTTCGAGCCGATCAAGGCTTTGAGAGAGTCGACTGCTACACACCTGAAAGCTCGTGCTGCTTTCTATGCAAAGGCTGGAGTGCCCATGATGGAAAACGTCTTCCCATACTTCCTGAGCCTGCTGGCACACCACCAAGATTTCTCGCCCTCTATGAAGGATCTTCCAGACTTCATTGAGTACATTATTTTCTACCTCAAGGCAGTGGGTAATGAACAGAACCTGTCAGATATATACGCATATGCTCAGCGTGCGAGAAGCTTCGAGGATGCTATCGAGCCCGACAATAGCGAAAATCTCTGGACTATGGCAGATCTGGCTGAGGCGATCATACGAGCATACGAGCAGACCAAAGGCTGGTCCCTGCAACTGAAATCTAGCAAGCCGTCTATGCCTAGTAGTATCTATCGGCATATAAGCGATCACCAGCGGGCAGAGGAAGTGTCTCAGAAGCGTTTCTTGCCCGAGGAGCTTGACGACACCATTGAGCAATTGGTGGGTGATCGGCTCAGGCCGAAGAAGAAGCGAAAGCACACCGAAGGCGAGTCAAAGCGGCCTGTCAAGAAGGCTCGAGCTACCAACGGTGACGAGAAGTCGTTGGCTGTGCGCAAGAAGAAGGTTCCCAAAGAGCCAAAGCCCAAGCCCGCCAAGAGCGTCAAGAAGCGAGCAAGTGATGCTGTGCCGTCTTCAGCGATGCGGAAGAGTACTCGGGTCTCGAACGCACACAGTTATGTAGACCCGAGCGACAGTGAACAAGTAGACGACGACGATATCATCTGGCGGTACGAGGCAGAGGGCTCGGATGAGGAGGCAGACAAGGAGAATGTCGGATCTTCGACACCGCCGACCAGCGATCCCTTGGCGACGTCGAAGAGCCAGGAAGAAGTTGTTGAGGTGGCAGACGAGGACGATGCTGAGAGTGAGGTCGTGGTTGATGAGCCGGTTGCAAAGACGAACGGTACCAAGGAGCGAACGCCCCGCACGAAAAAGAAGACGCCCACGAGCAAAGCGGCGAAATCCAAAGCAGCACCGCCAAAGAAAGCGGCGGCGGCAACGAAGCAACAGCCTGCGCGCGGGACCAGAGCATCGACCAGAGGTGCGACGAAGCGAGAGAAGGACACAATGGACATAGCGAGTGAGAGCGATGGGGAGCTCAGCGCAATGGAGGCTTAGTGGTACACAAAAGCCGAGTACAGTACGTGTTTTCGAGGGAGGGAGTACATGTATGCACCACAGTCCCATTCATAAGGAGGTCCGGCGGTGTGCAACAATCTTTTTTCAAAAAAGAGTATAGATACCCCATCGAGTCGATATTGAAGTTACCTTACCTAGTATTATCGTATTCTGGCTCGTGAGATGGCGTATAACAACATAGATGGAGATGGATTGGTACCTACTTTGCATGCATCTTTTCTCCAATTCAAGGCACAAGTGGTGAAAACGAATAGGGCGGGAGTTGCTTTTCTTTCCTCCGTTTCCCATATCTTTACACAGCGTCTCTCTCTCTCTCTCTCTCTCTCTCGAGAATATTAAAATCAGGTAGGTAGGTCGTCTTACGTCTGGTTGGTTGTTTGTTTGTTCATTTGGCGCATATACCCATTTTTGAGACAGAGCTGTGTTTCTTCTATACATGATCCGTTTCCGTTCCTCTTTCCATTTCCATTTCCCTTCCCTTTCTTTTCTGGGAGGAGGGTTCCCCAGGTAGAAAGGAATGCCCAACACGTACGCCTTTATCATCTCAATCCCACTCACTACTCATGATGATGGAATTTGAGAGAGAGAGAGAGAGGGGGAGAGTGTTTACTTAACAGCAATCCCGTTCTCTCCTCCTTTCTTTCTTCTTCTCCCTCCCTCTCTCTCTATTGTCCTTTCCACTCCCATCGAACCATCTCATCCCTTCATCCCATTCTTCTATTATTCACTCCCTTCCAGTCCTATCCTATCATTCCCCACTTCAACCTCTTTCTCCCTCAGCTTTCTTCTCATATCCCAGCAAACTGATTCCCCTGCCCCGCCTGTTTCTGTACATGGCCCAAATATTGCTTCGACACCGCACTCCACGCCGTCATGTATTTTTCCATGCACATGGTGTAACAGCTCGTTTCGCCCGAGGAGAGAGAGGCTCCGGGTTTGGGGATGCAGCGCTCGAAGCAGTGTTCGTTGAGTTTCTGTTTAGTTGTTGTTAGTTGTCAGGTTAAGTAGAGGAGTCAATGGTGGAGTGGAAGGAATATGATGATGTGGTGAGGAGGAATTATGTATTAGGCAGGTATGTATGTAACGTACTTCTACGAGCGCTCGGGCGTTCGCCATGGCTGCTTGTTGGCGGACTTGGTCCATGATTTGTTGCTTGGCGTCGGACATGATTGTGAGTTGTTGGTGAAGAACAGATTGGTGTAGAGGCTGCAAGGTAGGTAGAGAGGTAGATGGTGTGTTCAATGGTGATGGATGGCCTGCGGGTCACACAATTGGTGATGCATCGGGAGTGAGGTTTGCGCCGGTATCTCGGGAAATTCTCGGGTTCTAGCATTCACTCCAATGGCTCCTACTTTACAATATAACTTCAACTCAGTCACTCCGTCTCTTTTCTTCTTCTTCTCCCTTTACTAGCTACGAAGGTTTTTCAGAGTCAGAGTTCTAATGAGCATATCACACGACATAACGCAAAACATCGCCTTTTGCCTCGTCTGCGACAGCTGGAAACTTCACTCACCTCATTGATCGTTACGCTACGCGTACTATTGATGATCCAGTCCGCTCATTACAACAACCGCAACTGACCACCACATTTGAACGACCGGCTGATTTAGTCTTACGCTCACCGCTTGCTTCTCACACTTGAGCGAAAAAACCTCAAAAACACAACATCGCAACATTGCAGCGATACAACATCATTGTATGTCAGCAACACAACATCACTGAGAAGCACAGAGCCATCGCTCTACAGATATTGCCGTCGCCATGAACGACCACAGCACAGATGAGAAGACCTCGTCAAAATCTTCAGAAATCGCAACTCTGGCTAACGCGAAGCTTCGTCAAGACCCGCCCTCGTCCCAGACTCCCTCTCAGCATCCCTCACAATCAAGAGCAGCAACCAGAGCGACTCCAACATCTCCCGACTCCCCAAAACCACCACCAACAAGCCTGCTTCGCGGAGAAGCTGAGATCTTCCAACCCGCATCTCTCATCATCTCCGCCGCAGAAAAAGAATCTCGGTCCTTCTCGCCTCGATACTCATGGCAGAGCGAGTCCCTAGCAAACCCGGGAAACAAGCCCGACTCCTCCTCCCCCTTCCAAAATGATAGGCCCTACTACGCCCCGCGACTCCTCGGCCATCCTCACAACGTCGACACTGAGATGTCGGAGACGGAACCGTTTTGGCATCAATATCCGACCTGGATCCCTGCCACTACCACCCCCACCATCCCCACCACCACCGCCACCACCCACACGGGTGAGAAAGTCTTTTTCCAGAGAAAGGAGAAGACGACGACGATGAGATATCCATTTCCTCTCTCTTTCCCCTCCCCTTCTGCTGAAAACAGTCTTGTTGCGAAGGAAAAAAGTGGTAATAACCATCCTGCAGGCTCGAAGACAGAGACAGAAACGACGAAGAAGAAGAAGCCAGAGACAGAGACGATGAAGAAGAAGAAGAAGAGACGACAACTTCGGCGTAAGGAGAAGCAGAATCAACAGAAGCTGAATCAGCACAGCAGGATCAGCAGTAGCAGCAGTAGCAGCGTCGTGGTGATAACTGGCGACTAGTGATGACTGACAAGGAAGAGAGGAAACAAAAAGGAGAAAAGGAGAAAAGGGGAAGAAAAAGGGGGCGAGAAAGCAGTATGAAGAGAGGAAAGGGAAGGAAAGCAACAACGCAAACTGTGCAAGTATCGTCGTCGTAGATGCTGGTTTTGATTCATCCAGCGGGTATATACTCTACATACCAGTGCCTTTCTACCGGCACCATCTATGCTGTCAATTGCCCCTTTTTTTCATACGAAATCATCGCTTGAACCTCTAATCCTCGTCCCAGTTCGCGTTGGGCTGAGGTGGTTTGGGTCCACCGGCCTGTCTCGCCACAATGATCTGATCGACACTCAGCACCGTCCTCGCAGCTTCCGTAGCGAGCTTGATTGCCCAGCTCTTGGTGACCATGAGATCAAGAATGCCCTCTTCCTCCGCATCCAGCGTTCCACTCCCTGATGACCCACTCGTGTCGAGGTCTACGCCGATAGCTGGGACATCCTCCTCTTCGCTGTCCGACTTTGGCTTGCACGTTTCATCGCGCTGCGCTTGTTGTGCGTGAGCCGTGTAAAGGCGTGCGAGAACTTCTGTGGCATCTAACCCAGCGGACTCGGCAAGCGTACGTGGAATGACTTCAAATGCTTCGGCGTACTTTCTGATGGCGTACTGTGCGAGCCCAGATGTCTTGTCTGCGAGGGTGGTGATGCGCTCGATAAGTTGCATTTCAGACGCGCCGGCTCCAGGGACTAATCTCGGATCTCTGGTAATGGCTTTCACAACGTTCACACCATCGTCGACAGCTCGTTCGACATCGTCGAGGTGGTTTTGTGTTGCGCCGCGAAGGACAAGAGTTGCTGTGCGGGTTTGTTCGTTTTCTTGTCGGAACACTGTCACGCGGTCGCCGCCGATCTCGAGCGTCTCGACAATGTCGATGTTGCCCATTTCATCTGGCATGGGTGCGCCGAGACGTGCGAGCGGTGTAGCGCCCAGCACGCGGCATAATCGGCGGAGTTCGAACTTCGATAAGACCTTGATGACGAGTATTCCGAAGCGGTTGAGGTAGTGCATTGCCAGTTCGCCGACTGTGGATCCTGCCACTACTACGCGCAGGCCGGAGTCATGCAGTTCCTTGATGGTATTCTCCATTTGAGACTCTTCGCCTTTTGTAAAATTCAGCAGTTCTTTGCTGTTCTTGAGGAGGACTGTTCCCTTGGTCTCTGTCTGTGAGATGTCGATGGGACAGCTGAAGACGCCGACCTTAGCCTTTTGCACCTTCTTCACCGTTCCATCTGGCTCTCGCCCAAACACCATTCCTTTGACGACTCTGCTCTGCTCCAGTCCACCTCCCATGATCTTCACCACTCTCACGTTGTCTACGTTGAAGTTGTATGGGTTCTTTGGCAATACCGCCAACACCGCCTCGGCGACCAAGTCTGCCAAAAACTCCTCGTTCCCGCTCTGTTTGGCCGCAATCACCGTCTTCAACGCCTTAGCGAGCTCTTCTTGATTTCTGATGTCCTCCACTTTGTCCACTTCGAGCTGCTCCAAGATTTCTTGCGCTGCCTTGCCTGCTCTCTCGTAACCTTGCACAATCTCCGAAGTTTTCAGGCCCATCCGAATCAGCTCTTCTGCCTTCTTCAGTAGCTCTCCCGCGAATACAATGACCATGTTCGTTGCATCACCCATCTCGGCTTCCTGTTGCTGAGAAGCCATGACGAGGAGCTTTGCGGCGGGATGGACGACTTCGAGCTCGCGGAGGATGGTGGCTGCATCGTTGGTGAGGATCATTTTCTGGAGGTGATTGATGACAATCTTGTTGCGCCCATACGGGCCCAGCGACGTCTGCACGGTGCTGGCGATCTGGCGGCAGGCATCGATGTTGCGGATCACAGCGCCATCCTCTGCGTCGTAGCTGCGAGTTCACGTTAGTCAGTCAGTTCATCATTGGTCCGTGTTGATGTAATGGTTGCTTCGAATGCGGTATGATTTTGCAGGACTCGGGCGTACTTTTGGTAGCCGGGCTTGAACAGCCCAGCGTTGGGTGCGCCAGGAATAGCGAGCGACATGGTGGGTGCAGTCAGAGGGAGCGGAAGTGAGGGAAGTGAGATGAGTTGAGGGTGAGGGTGACGAGTAAGTCGGTGGTGTTGGGTGGTAGAAGATTGCCCGTCGTGTTTGTTCTCACTCGCCAAATTTCTAGATCAGGCACGCGCCTCGCTTCGCCTGTCCCCACGTCTACCTACATGTATCTTGCGCACGGACCTCGACCTCACCCTACCGGGCCTACCTATTCACAATACAGGTACATATCTATATACCTGCTACTTCACAACGCAATGTGGTACTCGTCAGTAAGTCAAATAGACTGTCACTATGTTATACAGCTGTCTGTATCTGCAAGACCCACAATCGCGCTGCCATGCTATGATATATTTATATGCCATTCCATTCCATTCCATTCCATGCCATGCCACACCACCAATGCACCCACAACGCCCTTCCTTCATGCTGAACGCCGTACAATGAGTGGATGCTTAATGAGTTCAACTCTCTACAAGGCTCTGTCCCGCGCTATGCGTGAACGGAAGAGCTCCCTCTGCCCAATTGCTCCCAGAGTCCCAGTCATGATTCTGCGTTTTGCCATGTGCTACACCGGCACTGGGGTGTTTGATCAATGTCGCCGTCTCCGGAGCGGATACGCACGCCGCCGACCCATTGGCGTCCGCCCTCCAGGCTTCGTGCGGCATATCCTTCGCTGGATTCTCGGTGGCTGTTTCTGCTGTCGTCTGCTGCTCTGCACGAACCTGACCAGAAATGACTCGAACGAGCTCATAGCCCAGACGCTCAGCTTCCAGGCCCTGCACCCTGCGACGCTCAATACATTCAGCTCGTGCTTCTTTTAGGGTTTGTAGGATCCTGGGGTCCGTCGAGCGCCTATTACTAGAAGCCAGATGAGAGTTGTGGTCAAATGCCTTGGGGCTCTTACGCAGCCAGTCCAGGAATTTACGGCTCACACGTAGGTCGTCGCGAAGCACTTTTCTCACCGACCACATGATACCTTGCAGGTTGCCAAGAGCAATGTAGCCTTTCAGAAACACGACCATGGCAACCATGTTCGGAGGCCGGTGCTTCGCCCACTCAGATGTGTAGATGGAGTTGAGCAGATTGATTCCATGCTCAGCTCTGTGATTGTCGATGAGCAGATTGGCTGCTGAAACTCCAACGTGGTGCGAAACAGGCCAGCCATTCTCGTCATTTGTCCGGTAGTAGTCGATGACTCGGACGCGCAGATCATTCGCGTTCTTCTTGTCCTCGGGCTGCATCATTCGCATCTCTCGTATCAGCACGTCGCCCATCGCACACGCTGCAGCAAAGCCAGCATCATGTGCTGCTTCAATGACATTTCTAGCTCCGTCCAATGCGCCTCTCTCGCGACGGATGTGAGCCTGCACGGCCACGTTAAGCGCAAGAGGCGATGATGGCAATCCCGTCTTTCCCAGTGAGCTCTCATAGATTGCGAGCACCTCGTCATACTTTCCCCTCGAAAGTGCGAGGATCATATCCGGCACTTGTCCACCCGAGATGTCGGGCCTAGAATTGCTCAAATTCTCCGCATCGAGCGCAGAATCTGTGGCTGGCATTTGTGGATAATTTTCGGACTCCTCGTTCCTGGGTGCGGACGCTCTCTTAGGAACAGGTAGAATCTCACCATCCGCCAGTAGCTTATCAAGATCACGCTCTGCAGAGCGGAGCGTGCGACCTTTGCGCCGAGTGTCTGGTTCCCGCAGGTCATGTCCAATTGCTTCTTTGATTAGTTTGGTCCAGCCCTTCGACGTGCTCAAGGATGGCACAGCCGCGAGCAACCGCTTACACATGTCCATTAACTGAGCATGCGGCACACGGTTGACACGATAGTAGTGCTGAAAGATTTCCACTGCCATGTTGGGGCTGAGCTTCATCGGTATGCCAAGGTCTCTGAGATACTTCAGCCATTCCGGAATCAGGTTAGGTTGGCCGAGCCTCCAGTGGATCACAAGCTCTCTGAGCATTGTCAACGTGGTCTCGATGTTCGGCCTGAATCCCACGCGATTGATCAAGGCAGTCACAAAGGTCCAGGTCTCGTTGGCACTGTGTGCTCGAGCATACATCTTTATCACAATATTCAGTTTCCGCCTTGAGGCTGGATCATTCGCAACCGTTGCACTGAATTTAGTGGCCGTGTCCATCATCGTCTCGAGGGTCTCCCAAGCTTGCTGACCAGCCAAGGTAAGAGCAGCGAGCGATAATGCGTCACTCGTGTGCAGGCCGTTACTTTGCGTAGAGGCGAGAATCTTTAGAGCACGATGCGGCTGCTGCGCTAAGCTGCACACCTGCACAAGAGCAACCTCAGCTGGACCAAGATTGGCCGACTGGTCGACTGATCTCGACTGCGTGTGCATGATCTGCTCGTAGATCTCAATGACATTCGACAGACTGCGCGTGGTCCCCCAGGTCGCTTTCAGCTGATCGGCTAACCTAAGATCAACGAGCTCGCGCTGCACATCAGCTGGGAGACTGCGTCGTAGCGTTTCCTGTAGAGCTTTGGTGCAATTGGGAGATGCGCTCCGCACGTGTACCGCACAAGCAATCGCCAAAACCGCTCTGGCTTTGGGCCCTATCTGCACAACGGCGGAATAGAAGTCGGGTTGCTCGGCATGATACCGTGCAAGCATACAACATATCGAACTAAGCTGGTGGTATGTCTTCCGTCGATCGACAATGTTGCAGATACAATCCAGTTGTTTGTTTATGTTGGTTTTAAGGATCTCCGTCTGCCATTCAGCATGGAGCAGCGAGGTGAGATTACGCTTGAAAAGGAAGACAGCCAGTACAAACTCGTCTTGCGCGAGTAGCAAGTCAATGCTATGATCGAGGAGACCGACGAACGTGCTTATTTGAGATAAGGGAGGGCGGCGTCCCCTCAGCGTGATACAGAGCAGCTTGGCTGCGATGATAAATTCGCCGTTGGAACATAGCTTTTCGTACTGTACTTTCAACTCCTCAAAAAACTCCGGCTTGCTGCCGACCGCTTTTGTTGTGAAAACACTGAGCGAATCCATAGGGCCTTCCCACACATCCGCACGAAGAAATCCAATCATCACAGCTATTCTTGCTTCTGCACGGAATCCTATGGGTTGTTGACGAAAGCAAGGCATGGAGAACAGATCCAAATAGAGGTCCCAGACCTGGTCGATGGTCCCTCCGTGGTATCGAACCATTCCAACGGATGATTCGCAAGCTAACATGATCGAAGATTTCTCAAGAGTCCCTCGCGCTGCCAGCCAGAGGATGAGCGAGCGCGACTCAGTGAGTAGAGAACTCCAACACGCGAGACGCAGGAGCAGTGTGGCAGCTCTGGACTCCTCCCAATTATCAGTCCAAGGTGCATGGCCGAGGAACAAATTTATATCACTTTCAATATCCTTCCTGTTATGGGGAATCTTTTCTCTAGTCGCACAGATACGAAATTCTGACTGCTCTGGTACATATTGGATCGTGGTGAAAGACGGCCTCTCTTGGGCGCCGCCAGGTCGCCTGTCGTGTCCTTGCTTGGAGATCAGACCGGATCCTCTATCGGCCTTGGCACATCTGCGAAGCAGTGTGTCCTCGTCTAGCGTGGAGGTATCGTGCGGAACGAGAATTGGTCTTTCCTGAGACTTCAGCCTCCGAATGAGTGGCTGGTTCCTCGATATATTAAAGCCTGCAGCACACGCATCTCTGCTAGCGGAGGCAGGCAGCCCGTCGTCTCGGCGGGTGTGGACCTCCTCAGCTCCGCCATCATGTCTGCTGAGATCCTCCTCAGCTCCGCCACCATGTCTGCTGACTCTCGGTCGCCGCCTCTTTCTGCCATGAGGTCGCTGCACCAATTGATCGTAACCAGCGTCCACGACAGATGCCAGCTCCGGCCCACGCACAGCTCGGTCCCCAGGATCCAATCCCGTCAGATGGGCCCTTCCAGTAGCATCCGCCTCGAGGGGCGTATATCTCCCTTCCGCCTCATCAACCGCCTTTCTCGCCTTGTTATGCACATAGCGCGGGCTCTCCCTGATCCGCTTGGCATTGTCTGCGATTTTCTGCACCAGCACCGTCCGTCTCCTGCGTTCCTCCGCGCACAGTGTCGCAACGCCGACTGCAGTTCCAGAAGAGATGTATGCGAGTTGATAGAGAAGTCTGAGAGCAGCCTTGGAGGGCACGGGTCGGGGGTTGCTGAACATTACAGCGCCACTGTGGGCGACACGGTCAGGGGTGGTGCATCTGCGGAAGAGTCTGATGGTGGACAATGGTCGCGTGGTGGATGGAGGCGAAAGCACATCGGAGTATGATGCACTCGATTGGAAGAAGCATTGTACCCGGTAAGGTTCGGCTTCCCGAATTGCCAAGGCTTTTCTAGTGCTAGATCTACCTCCTCCTGACCAACAACATGTACCATATCACCAGGTACATGTAGCATTCCATACGTAAGGTAGGTAGGTAGGTATGTATCTAGCACTCGTTTCGCGGACTATATATATGGCATTCAAGGCATTGAAGCACACTCTCTCAAGCCGCTTAACCTACCTTGATCTTGCCCGAAAGAATCTTTCGTTGGTCGACGACCAGATACTCTTTCACCCACAGCTTGTCATCATATGACCATCGCTCCATCGGCGACCGTTCGATGCCTTCTCTGCCCTCGACTCTCAAGAAGACCTTGCGGTATGCAATACCAACCAAGTTGGCCTCCAGATTGAACTCAGTCCACTGGCGAATTGGCGCGCCGCTGATGCTCTCGTAGGGCTCGTCAATCGCATTGCCACTGTCGGCCTCGGAGCGAGGATCTGGTTCTGATTCAGCGGTGTCGTCGGATATGACTTCCTCTGGAGCCTTGCTGCTAGTAGTTCGGACAAGAAGGTCCTCCTGTCTAGGAGTGTTGATGTGTGCATCCTCCATTTCCTTTTCCTGATAGCCTCTTGCAGTCTGCCGAGTCTCCTCCGTGATCGATGGTCCCGCCTCGTGATCGCAGCCCTGGTCTGGAATCGAGTCAATAACGACACAGTCTTCGTCTGCGCCACGAAAAGGACGAGATGTTGCCTCTCCTGCAGACAATATCGTATTTTCTGCCTTTTCTGGCTCTTTCGTGGCCTTCGTAGTTGCGGAGCCCTCCAATGTCCTTCTCTCCGCTTGGCTAACGTTCTGTTCGAGCCAATCGCTGTCTTCCTGAGTAAGATCATCCATAGATATAGCCTCAAACGCAGCCGATCCGGGGGCGAGCTCGAGGTGCAATCTCATGTGCGACACAAAGACGTAACTGGCCATTATCTTCCCGTCACTCCACGACCGGGCGGCATAGCGCTTAGCGTTTTCGAACTTTAGGTGTTTCCATTGTGCGGCGTTGATCAGCTTGTCCTTTCTCCGAGTATTTAACCACTCCTTGTCATCACTCGTCAAGGCTTCTTTCGGTACGGTGATCTTTCGAAGAGTATTGAGCTCCATCAAGATTATGGAACCAGGAGAGGTATCATAGAAGCGAGCAGTCACGCCAGTTGCTGTCCATGTTCTGTCTGCAAAGCGCTCCGGTGATGTGCCTAGAATATGTAGACTACGCGATGCAGGCGTATCGAGCGGGTTCAGGGCGATCTTAGATAGCTGCGGAGAAGAAGCGAAGTTGGAAGGTGTGGCAAGCATCTTCGCAGGGGCTGTGGCATTTCCGCCGTCTGCCAGATGAGGTTTTTTGGACGGAGTCATAGGGTCTGGTAATGGCTTCCTCTTCAGTGTCTTCTTGTATGGCGGGAGCCCATCCTCAGTATTGTATTTTGTCTGTTTACCAGCCGCACGGCCAGAAAGGATCTGCCTGTTCCGCAAGTACACATTCTCCTGGATCCACTTCAAGTCGCTTTCACTAAGGTCGTCAAGCTTGACTTGGCTTTTATTCCCGGATTCCTGTAGTATCAGGTGGACGGTACCATCGGTGATGTTGTCAAGCTCGCCATTTTTGTCCTGGTCGTCAGCCCAGACTCTGCAAGGTGTTCCGTACTTGTTGTACAACCGGAACCATCCCTTCATTCCCTGAACGCCTTTACTGTCCGCCTTCCGCGCATCGTACAGCGGATTGACCACGACGGCGTGATACAAATGATAGACTTCCTCGACCGGCTTGTCAAGCCGTCGCGCCAATGGTGTCAGGTCAACACATTCGAGGTATTGAGCGAACTGGTAGTATTCTTTTGGCTTCCATTTCTCCCAGCAAGGCGGTTTGAGGGAGAACTTGGCTGGGTCGCGGTACACTACGTCCTCGATTGTCGAGTACAGCGGTACATACCTGTCGGCAAATTCTGGTGTATCATAGAGCTTTCTCGGAGCGGCTGAAGCGTTCGCTGGTTGTGCCGCTGCGACCGCATTTGTGTTGTCGTGTCCGACCAATCGAGCGACTGGTGCGCGAGCGTTCGTACTGGTCGTCGGCTCATCGTCGTCAATTTGCATGGCATCCGCTGTGCTCGCCATGATGAAAGTCGCTAGTCGTCGCTGCTCTTGTCCGTGCGCGTTTCCGACGTCGACGCTGCAAAACTTCCAAGGTGTGAAGTCCAAGGTATGAAGTCCAAGGTGTGAAGTCCAAGGCGTGATGTTCAAGCGCAGGAGTTGGTGGATAAAGGCAATGGAAAGGCAATTGGCGAATTGAGCTCAGAACTCATGTGAAGCTTGGCCACCGCCCCCGTTCATTCACTTATAACTCTCTACGCTGCACACCTGCCGCAAATTGCTTGCAACTCGTGACAAACCCGTATGTATTCGCAGAGTTGAACTCATAGCACTTCTGAGCATATTCAGGGGACGTCGTCGCAGCACCATCTCCCAACATGATGCAGTCGTAGCCCTTCGAAAACGAATCCGTCAGAGTGCCGCCGACGCACTGATCTGTGTTGACTCCTGTCTGTGGCAGAATGAAGTCAGCTCGAGCTCACTTTGCATTGCGTTTCGCGCTTTGTTTCACTCTTGGATGAATGCATTCATCATGCTGGTAGGATGCATGTCACTCAATCTCCAAGACAATTATTGAACAACTGAAGACAGAATCGAGGCAGACGAGGTATGAGACTTGTCCCAGCAGGCCATTACAAGTCAACGAAGAGCATAGGCAAGTGAGAACCTGCCGCTGCCGAGGACGAAGAAAGCGAGTACTTACAAAGAATAGCGTCCTGATGCCCTCCTGCTCGAGGAACGTCTCCAGATCAGTTCCAACACCCCACATGCCACTCATTCTGTTCTTATGAATCCACACATCAGGCTTATTTCCCAACTTCTTGCCTTCCTCATATACCTGGTCGAGAGGGGGGAACAGTGCACTATTCCAAGCACCTCGCATCAACACTCTCCCAGCCTCAATATCCGTTCCATGTTCATCCTTCACAATTCCCATGTCACTGCCGATCCCATGATGCTTCCTCCCCGACTTCTTACCATGCCTGTCCACGCCAAAGCCCTCCACATCTATACCATCAAACTTCTCTTTTCCGCTGCTGTCAACCACTGCCTCAAAGCCAAAGGCTCGCTTCACAGCAGGTGGCATCTCCTCTACTTCTTTATCTGTCAGACCCCAGTTGACCCACACTACTCTGATTCCAGCTCTTCTCGCGGCTGGCACGGCATACTCGATGAGCTGGTCGACCGCTGCATGACCCGCGCCTTTCGTTCGACCAAGAACAGGCGACAGGAAGTAGTTCTGCATGTCTATCACGATCAAAGCACTCTTGCTGGGATCGATCGCGATGGGCGAGGTCGTCGTCTCGATCGTGATGCTCGTCGGCAGGTGAGGAGTCGTGGGTGTTTCGGGATGAGTGAGGTCGAAGCCAGTCTGGGAAGAATAAAGCCAGAAATTGCGGCCATTCCCTACGACAGCTCGGTGGTGCTCGTATTCGTTGCGATCGGTGGTTGACATGGTGATTAATCTTGGATGATACTATATTGCTTTGCGGCGTTATGGTGAGCTTCACCGGAAGTGCAGAGGGTGCTTCGATCGCGAGGAAAGGTGCCGAACTGGCCACTAAAAGACCCAACAGCTGCAACTGGTTCTATTTCTGCTTCTTGACTAAGCATGCACGCTCTTCGGGTGTGGTCTGCTGAATGGATTGTGATCGTTACTACTGGCGCGGGGCTTGCCTCCTACGATAAAGCGAGAGCTCGGGGTGAGCGTCACGGAAGCTTGACCTTCCAGATCTGGAAACATTGGAATCTTCGCCGACGGCAAAAACCCTGTGCAGCAAGGTGATAGGGACACGGCACGGAGTGACGGCTTCGACACTCTAGCCTGTACATACCTAGTATATTGTAGTAGCACATCTGCGATTCTCGTGCTGCGAAACATACCTGGACCAACTCCTTTCTCTCGCACGACCAGTCTCTAACAAGACTTGCCCTTGCAAACATCAAGGTTACCTGAGGTATGATCTGGTATCATTCAAGCTCAATAGACTATACTCGTCTCTACTCTTGGTAATCGCTTGCAGGTATCATCTCACGGCTCTTCTCCAGAATATCCTTGAGGTATTCATACACAGCAAAGGTGACAGCCTGCCCTGGTGCCACACGTGCAACTCGAGGTGTAATCCCCATCCAGAATGCTCGAGCACCTTCTTGCTTGAACATTTGCGATGCAATGGTGGTAATGCGGCCTAGAGCAGTCTGACCTGGCTCGGCGGGCGTCCGTTGCAAGCGAGTCTTGATGGTGTCAATGGGAGCATTGCAGAAAGGACCGACAGCTCCTGAGATGAGACCAATGCAGGCAGTCGTATAGCCTGGTAATGGCTTCGAGGGATCCGAACTCCTTTGCTGCATGATTTCCTTGAGTTCCGTATACGCGGTAAAGTTGGCTGCTTGGTTGGTGCCTTGTCGCAGAGCTGTGAGCGACACACCACGGTACAGTGCACCGATTCCTTCTTCCTTGATCACAGTGTAGCACGCGTGCGCAGCGTTGCGGTATTTGGGCACGTCGAGTGGATCAGCCATGCTGTGGTGCTGCGCCTGCAATCGAATCTTGACGACCTCCATAGGACAGACTACAGCAACTGCTTCTGTGACACCCGCTGCCAGACCAGCCAGAAAGTTGCCACTTCCCTTGATCTTGCCATCCTTGTCTGCGAGCATTTGCTTATACCATTCGTAGCTCGTGAAGCGAATCGCCATTTTAGGCACAATACCAGTGAGCACAGCTCCCAGTCCTTTGTACAATCCAAGTGGAGTTTCCTTGCGAGCAATCTCTACGCCTGTCTTGATGAAACCTCGCCTCTTACCACCTCGTTGTTGGCGTCGAGAGAGCTGCATCCGGACCTTGATCGTGTCCAGAGGGTGACAGGCGAGAGCTTCCATCATACCAGCTCCTCCACCAGCTACATGACATTAACAACACTTTCTTTTTCCGTGCCCAATCAGTATGGTAGTCACTTGCCTATCAAATTGGTTGCTGCAGAGGCTGGCTTGCGGCCGCCTGGGCCTGCTGTGGTCTTCGCAGACATTGTATAGAGGCTCTCAATGGCAGTGAGGGTTCAGTACAACGATGTCTGGGAGCGTGGCTGCAAGAGCAGCTCGATGTCTGACACGTTCTTCACAAGTAGGAATGCGGATGGGGGTGTAGTTGAACAGTTGCGGCGGTGAATCGAAGAGACAGAAGCCGACACCGAGTCCCATGAGCATGATGAACAGGCCGAGGGAAACATTGAAGCTCTTACGTAGCTTGCCAGAATCGGTCAAGTCTGCTGGTCTCAGTCGCGTTCGCGCGGAACATACTCCAGGCTCGAGCCAGGCCTCGCTCTGGACGAGCGGAGTTGGACCTCGGCCATGCCATTCCCGGGTGATCACGGATTGTTTGGCTTCGACGAACGCACCGGAATCATGGCCGGCAAAGCATTTGCATTGTTGGACTCACAGCGGATCCAACCCGAGGCGCGACTGGCAGTTGATCCGGTGTGTCTCGAAGCATGTGACGAAAGACGACGGTGACGGCTTTCATGTGCAGAAGCCAATTATAGGTACCTAGGGTACAATAGGAGGTACTGTAGGAGGTGTTCTAGGAGGTAGCTGTCCACAAGGTTTGGTGGGGAGCTCGGCGGGGATTCTCTCATCCAACCACGGTACACGACGGCACGTGTCGACGCGTGTGGTATTACAGAGACGGGACGAACATACCTCCTAGGCACTTGTACCTAAAGGTAGGTAAGGTAGGTAGGTATGAGGTACCTCAGGTATTATTATGCACGTTCGTAAAGCTGAAAGTCCACGGCGATGTCCTGGTCGCCAGCGCGGTCGGCCACGGGACCCTCTGCTACATCTTCCTGAACGAAGCGTTGCAGCTCTGCATGAGTTGCTCGGCGCCAGCCGCCGGGAACGTTCTGGTCTTCTTCATCCAGCTGCACTGGGAAGAAGGTGTCGCAGTCGTACTCCTTGTCAATGCGCGTCAACAAGATTCGATTGAGCTGTGGCAGCTTCAGAGCGGCCTCGTAGATGCTCGTGCCTCCAATAATGTACGCTCGCCCGACCGGCAAGAACTTGCCCTCGTGGACCAGTTGTTCGAGTGACTGCAAGCCAGACACGATATCTGCGGCGACGACAACATCATCCGGCAGTGGCTGCAATGCAGATCGACCTTGCGAGCTAATCACAATGTTGGTGCGATCCTTCAATGGACGGAACTTGGGCGGTATGCTCTCCCAAGTTTTGCGGCCCATAATGACCACGTTCTGGCACGCTCCGGCGCGCATGATTCTCTCCTGGACTGCCTCGGACTGCACTGCACCACTATCCTCATCCTTCTCCTTGGTAGGCATCCATGTACCGGTAGAGGTAGGCACACGTTTGGTCACGCGCGCAAAATAAGCCATATCTTTTTTCAGCATGGGCCATGGCAGTCCGTTGGCTTTTCCAATGCCATTCTTCGCTGTGGCAGCGACGATGATGGTCAATGGAAGCTGCGCGAGAGACATGGCGGACGCTCGGGAACGATGAGTGGTGCTGCCCTTCCAAGTTGTCGATGAATGAATGGGTGTTGTTGGTGTGCAATGGCGAGTACTATAGGTAGGTACCTTACTGTATCTAGGTAGTAATGTACCTGTTCCTTACATGTAGGAGGTAGGTCCGGACTCCGGTACTAGGGAGCTCTGACGCCCGAAATCTGCGCGCGCACTCGACCTTTCAGTGTTCCACCTCTGCAGAGCTTCCATCCGACACGCCTCTCCCTTCAACTCTTTTCAATGCTACAACACCCTCTGCAGCGATGCATCCGCCCATCAGACGTACTGCATCGAATCGCCGCTCCTCTCTGCAACACATGTATCTACTACTGCAGCACCACTTTCGCCCGCAGTAGAGGCGGCAATGCTGCTCAGTCGCGGCCATATGCCTTCGCCACTAAACGCAAAAGCCCAGCGACTCGCGCTCGGGAGCGAGGGGTGAATAATGGAGACATTACCGCACCAGGCACTCCGCGATACAGGAAGCTGTACGACCTCTTCGCGCATTATCAGCGAGGAGGCTGGCTCGGCACGGCTCCAGAGCAAGTCATGGCGTTCATAAGTGACTTCAAGCAACTGAGTGGCAGAAGCGTCGGCGGGGCGCGTGTAGATCCACGGCAAATGCGCAACTTGATGGATGAACATGGTCTGAATGACAAGGACTCTTGGACCATTCCGCACGGGCTCATAATGATGAAGGAATCATATATTGGCAAGAGAATGTTGCTATCTCTGTCTCGCGCTGGGGTCGAAGAAGCGACTATCAGGATAATGGCGCAAGTCGTACTCACGGCTAGGAAGAAGCCGGCGATATTAGATGCCCCCGAGATCCAACATGCGAGACAGCATCTCTCGCAGATTGCGAGTAAGAAGGTCAATTTCCGTGCCATGGTATGTGAAGGCAAAGTTGCGCGAGCTCTCGGCAACGAGGAGATGGCGATAAAGATGTGGACCGGTGCAATGGCGGCCGCGGTTGCACATGCGCACAAGCAAGCATCTGGGGTCAAAGGGGACGATTCAGTGGAAAGGTCCGATGCCTTGGGGCTTTCGACGCCTTGGATTGATTTAATGATGCTCCACCGAGAAAGAATTGAGCAGCAGGGAAAGGATGAATGGAAGCAATGTCGACAGGCCATGGACATTGGCTGCGAACAAGACGATCCAATATCGCACTATCATGCCTCCACATATATCAAGTGGTCTGCCGCAGATGGTAGCCATATACCAACCAGTGCATGGCTCTATCATGTGACCAAAGCAGCTGCATCTTCTCATCCGGTAGCGGCATACGAGCTTGCAGAGTTCTACGCAAAGAGTGGCTGGAAGTATATCGAGGACGAGCCACCAGATCACGTCAAGCCAACACCCTTTGACTCTTTCCCATCCGCAAGCAACGAGTCTGTTATGTACCGAGTGAGCTCGTTCTTGGGGCTTGTTAAGCGGCCAGAACTCAAGCCCGAAGAGAGCATCTTTCACAATGCCATATTCCCTCATACAGCCGTACATCGATGGCTACTGGCAGCAGACTGGATTTCAGTCGCTACATCCTACCAATATGCTCCGGCATTTCTCCTTTATGCCAAAATGCTTATGCAAGAGAAGCTGTGGGCACGTGCCAATGCTCCAACAGAAGCGATCGACATAAGTGCAGAGCGATACACGTATGCAAGCGAGCAACACAAGCAATCAGATATCATATTGAATCAGTCATCTGTCGAAGACGCCGCAGACCCCCCCAATCCATATTTTAGCGTCATTCTCGCTCAGGAATGTCTGAAGCATGTCTTCTTTGCTCATGAAGCATATCACTACGGATGTCAGGCGAAGAATAAATATGCCGTGGGTCGACGTCGGGGCACCATTGCCGCCAATCTGGACGAGGATGACTTTCTCCATGAATCTGTATATGAAGGGGCAGGGTTCAACATAAGCAAATGGTTCAGGTTTCCAGAGGTGCGGGAAATGTATGAAGACCAGATTGAAAATCTGTACACTGAGGCGAAGGACATATGTGATGAAAAGGGGTGGAACATTTACGATGATGACAACATTTTGATTTACAAAGCCGGAACTGGCAAGAAGAGAGCTGTCAAGCAAATGTTCACAATCTCGTGATGAGAATTGTGGTCTGCGGCTGCCCGTGCTGCTTTCAGCTACTTAATGCTCAGTCGTCAAGCAAAATCAGTCTCGTCACTTCACCGATATATTGCCCATGCATATCTGGTCCCGGATGATTTGAGTCCCCTCGGGCTGGTATATGTCTTGATAACACTCGTCCTTGATGGGAGCAACTGGGGATTGCGGATTCTCAGTATGGCAGTGTTAGGAAACTGGCCATGTTTGCCACGATTTCCCCACGAATGGCGAGATGAGCGCCATGTACCTGCTCAAGTGTGTCATGGAACCTTTGGCCAGCTCATCGCGGTGACTACATACCTGATCTGGGCTCCAAGTGTCGTCCGATCCTATGCTGCTCTGCGGAAGCTCTTCCTGGCAGAGAGAAGAGAGAGAGAGAGCACCCTCAGAGTGTGTCTGAGACGCAAATCACAAGATATATGTACCTAGGTAGGTACTTGTAGGTTGATGCGGCAGCTGGAAGGAATTACGTTCAACTCGAACCGAATCATCATGGAAGTGAGGTTGTTTGATGGGGGAGGCGAGAAGTCGGAAGGGTCTGCACAACAATTCTATACCCGAGTTCTACCGTTCTACGCATAACCTGTCTGAGTACAGCATGGTATGGTAATTGCAGGTACAGGTAGGAGGTAAGGTAGCTGACCTATGAGGTGAGACCATCTTCGTGAGGTTCGGATGACTTAGCAAGGCCCCTCCCGTTCTGCAAAACTCCGCACGATCGGATCACTGATCACCGCGGCGCGCGGGTGATGCGGACGAGCGCGGGTGTGGAGTGCATGCAGTTCGTGATTGAGATGAGGGGAGTCCTCCAATCCATTGTGATTCCTATATTTTCCACCACATCAGATCACGAGAACCACCTAGGTATTACCACCGTACCATAATCTTACCACACCTACGCTGGAATTGTTTCATATCCATAATCCTACCCAACCTGTCAAAGGAGAGAAAACATGGCAGCTCCCGCTCGGCGATTGGGTATATTTTAAACAAACATGCCCTTCAGCCCCCCATGTGGTGGTGTGAGAATGGTGCTCGAGCTGACTAGGATACCTACATTTTAGTGAGACCGGCGTTGTTGTACGAAACCTCACCACCCCCATCATCCCGTTTGTGTTGACCTGCTTCCAGCCGCGGCTGACCGAGTGCATCATCATCATCATCATTGTTGTCCATTTAGTATCTGCGATCTGCAAGAGAAGTTTGCCAAAGCAATCTACAATTATCCGGCCGTCATTGCGACGACGCAGAAGCTGTTGAAAGCGAGCCAGGTGCTTTCCATTCCCGTCATTGCGACCACGCAGTTGCGCGGGAAATTGGGAGAGACATGTCCGGAATTGGGATTGGACGCTCCCCATGGTGTGCAGACGCTGGTGCATGCGGACAAGTCCAAATTCTCCATGTGGACGCCCGAGGTGCAGAAGGTGTTCCAGCAAGACTTGGGAGGTGAGAAGAGGGAGTGTATCATTGTGGGGATTGAAAGTCACATTTGTGTGACGCAGACTACGTTGGACCTGCTCAGGGAAGGACACAAGGTGTATGTCATTGCAGACGGAGTTTCGAGCTGTAACCCGCAGGAGATTCCTATTGCCTTGGCTCGATTGAGGGCTGAGGGCGCAGTTGTTACAAGCTCCGAGAGCTTCCTGTACGAGCTCATGGGAGACGCGAAGATTGAGGAGTTCAAAGCGATTGCCGGCTTGGTAAAGGAGTACAGTTCCAAGACAAAGGAATCTTTGCAAGCGCTTTGCAAGTTCTGAAAGGACGTCTTGGGAACGGTATGAAGGAGTTCGATGAATACATAGGTACTGTGTCAAGAAAAATAAATCGGTGTGTCTACTATCCGATCGTATTCATGTGAAGGTTGTTTTATTTCAGTACACACGCCGGTCAGCACTGCTGCGCTACTGGTTATTAGCGGCACAGCCTTTCTTCACTGTTGCACAACGCTGACGTGCTTGCTCCCCAGCCACGAGGATGCTGTAGCATGCGATGGGGGGGTGCATGATTCTGGATGTCGGGATGCGATAAAAAAAGCATCGAGGTCTACGGAGGTAAGGTCAGGTAGCGACGGAGAGCAAGTGGCGCATTCGAGATTATTGCGAAATGGGATACCCGGGCTGGGGGCCAGGGGAGGCAAAGGAGGGCTGTGAGTTTAATCAACTTTAATGGCGACCTTAGGTAAGACTACCGGTCAGCACCACTGTACAGACTGCACAGGTACCTGTTAGGGAGTACGAGGATTCACAGATTGATCAGAGCGCGCCGGCGGACGTGAGATGATCCCACAGCTCGGTACGGTAGGTCCGAATATAAAGGAGTGGCGACTGTGTGATGAGCAGTCTTCTACGATGTGGTAGGTACATGAATCGTATACAGGCATGCATCCCATTCCCAAATACATGTAGGAGGTATGATTCCTCCTTCGACCGGTCATGCCACTGCCACGAGCGCCATGACTTGCACGTGGTCGTCGGGCTCTTCATGATGCATCATTGCATCCACTGCCACCCAGATACGAAGAAAGGTAGGGTACATACTAGTTCTAGCGGTCGAAAGTAGGAGGTCGTGTCCCTTGCAAGCCGCAATCTGAGGAGCGCATTGTCTTGCGGCCGCCACGCGAGCGTGTGAAAGGATCATGTATTTTCGCATCAGGTCGCAGATTCAAGGACGGCCATTCAGGTGGCCAGCGGTGACCACCACTGTGTCTTTTAGTAGCAGCAGCAGCAGTACATGTACCTAAATACCTTACCTAGTAGTATCAGTAGTAGCAGTAGGAGGTAGTGGACTCATCCAGGCAATTTAAATACTCCGGTGCCCTCTGGCCATCCTTCGCGCACGCCCGACGACGCGAGAAGACCACGCTGCCGCCGCCGCCGACAACGACGGGACGTTCCAGCAGCGACCGACGAGAGATTCCAGAAGAGGCAGCGAGACATCCCCGTGGAATTCCACTCGTTTTGTTCGCGCGTTGTTGCTTTTTTACCTCAGACGAAGACGGGAGGGCTGTCGAGCGCCTGTTCTAGGTCGATTTCGACCAATCTCTCCGTAACAGGGCTCCAGGGGTCTGGAGAAGGGCCACCACACACGGCCGTTTCCAGTCCTTCTTCACTGGCTACAGTACCACATTGATTATTGCACTACTGCACTGCGCTGCTCTGCTTCCACTGATCACCACCATCGAGCCCGATACCAACATCACCACCACCACTACCACCACTACCACCACCACTACCACCAACACCACCACCACCACCACCGAGTTCCCCACGACACTGGCGATTGCCGCACCTATTATTTCCACCCGGCGCCCTCTCCCGCACCCCGTGTCCACTGCACACCTCCACGCTCACTACTACCTACCTTATCTTCCCGTACACTGCTCGCTGCACACTGCATCCGCTTCAGACGTGAACAGCCTTCCATTCTTGCCACAGCCAATCGCCGCAACTTCCTCCACTGGCACGCCGCTGCCATCCACGATCGTGGCCCATGGGAGCGGCAACTTTCAGCACACTCACTGCGGGACTGCGCCGGTGACACAGGAGCACTGTCGAGCGATGGCTGGTCTTCCTAATGGCTCCAGATTTGAACAGGCCCAGGCGGTAATACCACGCCCGGGCATTTACTCGCATCACAGCAATTCCGTGCCCTCCACGCCACATCAGAAGCCGCGCGACCTGGGACGATTTCACTCCCGGTCGCCTTCACCACACCGGGGTCTTGCCAACCAGTCGCCACACTCGGTGGCTTCAGAAGCAGTGGACACCCAGAAATCGAGCAGGGCCAACACGGGCGTGTGTGCGTTCGAATCTGGAAGCGAGTTCCGGAAGCGACGCATACCCTATGTCGATGGTGGCAACGAGGAATTGGCTGCGCCCAAGAAGGAGCCGAAGAAGACGCTGAGTCCAGACGAGCAGAAGAAACTGACTGCCGATATGCTACATCTCTACGACCAATTACTACCCAACATAGACAGCGAAGCGAGGCGTAAGAGACTGATTGAGAAACTGGAACGGATATTGAAAGAGAAGTGGCCGGGGCATGATATCCGTGTGAACGTATTTGGATCCTCGGGGAACCTCCTGAGCTCGAAAGACTCAGACGTGGACATTTGCATCACGACGGAGCTCAAGCAACTGCAGTCGATGCACTCGTTGGCTGAGGTCTTGCACAATAGTATGTCATCGCGACCATCGCTGCGCGCAATTGACGTTGCACAGGACATTCGAGGCTGACACATTTCAGATGGCATGGTCAAAGTCGTTTGCCGACCGAATGCCAAAGTGCCCATCGTTAAGTGCTGGGATCCTGAGCTTCGGTTATCAGTTGATCTGAATGTCAACAACTCCCTCGCTCTTCAAAATACACGTATGATCAAGACTTATGTGCAGTTGGACAAGCGGGTACGACAATTGGCCAAGATCATTAAGCACTGGACGAAATGTCGGATACTGAATGATGCGGGTACGTCGACTGTCATCATGTCTCGTCTACCTCTCTGCTAACTTTCAAATCAGCATACGGTGGCACGATCAGCTCGTATACATGGATCTGCATGATCATCAACTTTCTCCAAAGACGAAATCCACCAATCTTGCCATCTCTGCAGAAAATCTCGGATTGCCGGACGACCCTAGAGTCGGGAGAATTATCGCCGTTCGCGGACGATGTTGATGCGATCAAACGAAAGGGTCTAGGACCGGAGAACAAAGAAACGCTGGGCGAATTGCTTTTTCAATTTTTCCGACACTACGGCTACGAGTTTGAGTATTCCAAATACGTTGTTTGCGTGCGAGAAGGCCGGGCAGTATCGAGAAAAGAGAAAGGCTGGGATCCGAAGATCAATTACCAAGATAAGGAGTCACGTGTGCGGCTATGTGTTGAGGAGCCGTTCACCCAAGATCGAAATTTGGGCAATTCCGCCGACGACTATGCTTGGTATGGCATACATCAAGAGATCAGGCGTGCCTTTGATCTCCTCGCAGATGGCCTACAGCTACTGAAGTGCTGCGAGGAGTTTGTGTTTCCGCCGGAACCAAAGAGGGCCATCTTCGAACGACCTACTCCGAAGCCGAAGCCGACCTTGACAAGGAGCGTATCGCAGTCGAATAGGACGAACCTGGATCCAAGTGGTCGTTCTCGGAAGAGCAACAGACAGGGCTCTGGACAGAGAGCTGGAAATCGTAGAGCATCTAGTGGTGCAGCGTATAGCCATCATCGCTCTGGGGTCCCATTCAGTCCGCCTCTGGGCGCCAATCCAAGTGACTACTTCCAGGTCAAAGGCGGTTTGCATGAACAACTGTTTCAGCAATACCAGTTTCTACAGGCGCAACAGGATGCTCTGCGTCACCAGTTGGAAAGGCAACAGCACGTTGCCACGTCAGCGCGAGGCAGTGATTTGGCCGGGTCTCCTCGACCAAGACAGTATACGAACGGACTCGCGAGCCCGCGGTTTGCGGATCACCCTCCGCAGTCTGCGCCTCTGCTGCCTGGTTATCTCTACCACTATCCTGCAGCACCTCGATATCCACCTCCGTCCAATATGTCGCAGGCTCGTCAACGAGACGGGGCGGATACAAACCCATCCTCGCCCTCCTTGGTAGCTGCCATGCCAGCGATACGCCGCAATGGACATCGAGGCAGTATTCCAGACGCCTCGGCGAGCTCTGCCAGGTCGCAGTCTCAACCAGGACGCTCCTTGCCACACCCACTGACCCTGCAGCAACATGTACATCCTGGCTACGATGTCTCGGGGGTGCTTAACAGTCATCGTTCTGTTCCACAGATGTATGCTGGACATCCTGGTCTAGCGCTACCGCTGAGTGCACAATTCCCGGGTGTCCATACTGCAGGTTTGACTCAGGATAGCACCATGCCCAAAGAGTATGTTGGCTACTTCAGCTCTCCGCAACTTGGACCTCAGCAATTTGCAAGCTCGAGCCAGTTACCGCCGCCAGCTATGACTTTGAGAGATCCACCGACGCGACAAAGAAGAGTGACGCCGGATCTCGCGCCGCCTTTGATCAACGGGCGGCATAGCTCACGATCGCCTTCTCCACTCAATCATCTGCGCGGTCTGTCACTGCAGGGAGACGTGGCTGTAGAGCCTCCGTTGTTCATCGAAAGGCCTACCACAAATGGACAGCATTCCTCGGCGTCAACATTGCCACCAACTCCCGTCACAACCTCGGATCCTGTGTTAGTCAACGGAAGCACCGGTGGGCCAGTCATCGTGAATGGGTCCACACGAGCTCCTGCTCCCAAGTCTGCCGAACAGACGTTGACAAACGGAATCGCAGGACCAGGCATTCAACTGCAGAACGAAATTCCATTTGTGGCGCAACCGGAAGACCTGCCGAGATTGCGGCCAGTGCAGGTCCGGACGAATTTTGAGCAGTCGTCGAGCGACCTCATGCCAGAAGGTGTGCCACCAACGCGGCATTCCACGTCAGATGTCCGGGCGAGCCTCTCGCCTAATGGCACACACCTGAATGGGCTAGATGGCCACCACCACGAACTCAGCCCAGTAACGACGGCTATGCTCTCCCCAGTGGCTGAGCTTCGTACCCCTTCTCCAACCCATACAAGGGTTTTCGAACACGACTATCCGAAAACGAATGGGCTGCTCAAGACTGCAAAGGTTACTGATGCTAAGCAAGTTTTGAACGAGAATCAACATTCCAAGGCCGGTGTGAAGGTGGAGCACGAGCGGAAAGGTAGCGCCCCTGTGCCCTCGGCTCCAGGCAATGCTTCCAAGGGCATGACCATACAACCCATTCCTCCTTATGTGCCATCACCCAAGAACGAGTGGCAGACAGCTTCCGGAGGCAAGAACAAGCACAAGAAGAACAAGTCGATTGCGGGCGCCAGAGCTAATGGTGTTGGTGCTCAGCCATTTCCTCCATTCGATTTTGAACGAAAAGGTGGCTAGGGGGCAAGGAATCTGCAAGGTCTTTACAAATATCACTGTGCAGCGGCGAAGCAGCAGAGGCAAGTCGGTCGTTGAAGACAGACGCGTGCTGGGCCGATACCGACACAGCTCGTATTGTAACAACACTGCTCCCGGTAGCACACTGTCGAGCCCGTTTCGGGTTCATGGCTGGATGTGGAGAAAAAGAGAGATGGCGAAAGACGACGGCTCTGGATGGATATGGAAAAATAAACCTTGGCTTAGCAGGAAGCAGGTTGTGATGATTGCGTACATTTGTAACAAAAATGTTAAGCTCGTTTGGGATTTTGGCGTGAAGATTCGGCGTGAAGGGGTTAAACGCGGGCATATACGCGGAAAGGACGTCGCTGTTGCATGCATGAAGGACCGCATGAGCCCTTTGACGATTGTTTAGGGGAACAGGGTAGTGGCCACTCACTGTCATAGGCGTCTGAGCGCAAATCCTGTGTGTGTGTAGACATATCTTGACCGATAGCCAGAGGCAGGCAAGAGCGAAATTCATTGTTTTGGTGAGACGACCTCAAGAAGGTCGTCTGAAATTTTCTGGCAATTGCACCTCTCTACCCATTTTACCTTGCCCTACTTTTCGGACTTTTTGGACTTTTACCCACCTCGAGTAGGTGGGCAGCAGCCCGTCCACTGCTGATTTTAGGTGGGTGTCCTTGTGGTCTGGGGACAAATCGCTGAGATGTATATTTTTCTTTTTCTTTTTCTTCTTTTTCTTTTTCTTTTTTGTTTCGCCTTAGTCGTGGAAGATCCATGTACTTGCCGAGTCTTTCTTTTTTTTCAAAGTAGAAATAAATAGGCAAACATTAGTGTGTATCACGATGAGATTCATCTGTGTCTCCGACTCCATACTGTACTTACATGGTGACTACCTTGATATAAATTCTGAAATGAGGCGGCCTCAAGTTTCTCTCTCTCTCTCTCTCTCTCTCTCTCTCTCTATACGCCAACGCTGAAAAAGATTCTATCATAATTTGTTCATAATGTACCCTCATAGGTTCTTCTCGTCTACTTCATCGTTATTGCTCTCGCCTCACTCAGTCCGCAAACTGCCGTGTAAGGTAATTGCGAAAGCCTCTGTTGACTAATGTCCATGTACCATCGCCAGAAGCGGAAGGCAGGAGCTCAAATTTCTCCCAACGGGCGTCGCTGCCTCCACCAATCACGTATATGACTGCACCAGCATCGTCGTTGGTCTCGCTGGCCGTCGGGTCAAATGTGATAATGCCTTTTGGTGGCTTTCCACTCGGGTCGTTGGGCAGCGATGAGACTGGGTTCGTCACCCGCTTCTTGGTGCCATTGGGTGCTGTCGTCCAACTATGTGCTACTCCGCCTTGCCAATGTGCTGGGTCGTTGCCGATGAAGAAGGGTGCTGATGCAACACTACGAACGTCACGAACCGCTTGTGGCATCAGTGAGTGCGCTTTCAAGGCTGCCATGGTCGATACAGCAGCATCTCGTGCTGGCGGCGATGCCGCTACTGGTGGAGGTCGAAGGCCATAGTACTCTTGCACGCTGCCATGATAGCCGTAGCCGGGACTATGATAGCCGTAGCCGTGACCACCGACCGCTATTGATGGCGCAGGAGATGATCGCCCCAATGAAACACCTGATTGTGAATCGCGATCGAGGCCTGCTCCAGCCGCAATGCGGTGGATGGGATAAGCCGGGTGTTTCGGACGTGCTTTTGCGAGAGGGGCACGTTCTGCAGTGGGTGGCGCTGGAATGCTGGGTCGTATGTCGTAGACATGGAGCGTGCCTTTGTCGCTAGTGGATGCCACAAACCTGTTGCCGATGCTGAAAGCTAAGCTGTAGATGATGGAAGGATCCATACCACGCCGAAACTCGGCAATCCTTTCTGTTGTCTGTGTGCTGAAGACACGAATCAATGTTCCATGCTGGCTCGTGGTCGCCAGCAATGAGCCATCCGGAGAGAGTGCAATGCATCGGAGGGCCGAATTATGAGCCTTGAGCACTCGTTTCGTACAAGCTGCTCCGGATTCACTCTTCAGTGTGATCAGCTGGACTTGACCTATACTCTGTGCAGGGAGAGCCAACAGCTCATTAGATAGGGAGGCGACCGCGAACGTGTTGATAGAGGTTGGGTAGATGGAGTGAGCGAGGTTGGGTGCTCTGATTGGTTCCAGAGGCTCAATTTCGGTCTGTTCGGAGCCACTGTCATCATGCTCTGCAGGTGAACCTGCTCTGGACTGGAGTTCTTGATACTGGAAGAGTACTGTTCTTTGCTCCAGAATGACAGCCATCCATTTTGAAGTCAAGCGGACGCCTAATATAGGCTCGTGTAAATCGAAAGAACTCAGTTCCCGCTCTAGGACTGCATCCCAGAAGACCACCACATTCGGGCCTGCATTCTTTGATTTATGTTTGAACACAAACGCACAATATCGGTCGTCCAAAGGCTCAGCGATAGTCGCAGCACTGTTGATCGACAGGCTCGGCTGATACGCAAGGAGGCAGTTATCTAATCGGTAGGTTCGAAAGCCCTCACTGAGAGCAGTTGCAAACCGTTTCCGCGAAGCTGAATATGATATTGACAGCACAGTCGGAGTGTTTGAGGGTTGAATCGCCTGGCGAGTGTTCATTGCGCTCCAGCGAGAAGAGAGCCGCTGAGGTCGCCTACTATTGGTGTTGCACTTGAGGCCACAATGATCACCGCTCTGCCATATCGATGCACGGTGATTGGCGTATTATCTGTGCCCACGACGGGCTACTCGCGGGCAAGCAATTTGGTGAAGGAGACCGTATCGAGCGTTCGGATGTTCAGAGACTTACCGCCTGCGTGAACAAAGACGAGTGCAGCGTGAAGAGTGAAAGAGGAAGATGTCCTCGGGGTGATGCTTTATAGGTATTGCGGTCAAAAGACGGGTGTTTCGCGCATCTCATCACATGCTAGAGTGAAGTAACCACATAGAGACTAGTGTCCACACGTCCAGACGGCGGCAGCAGCCGAGTGCGCCAAGCGCGATCCCTGTTGAACCCCTTTGCGACCTGCGACTTCCATCTCCCAGCGTTCGCGGCAGTTTCCCGTCGCGCTCTCCTCCAGATTATTGCTTATTCCACGTTTCTGACTCTTGCTGCATCTCCTGCACGTGGTCAACAACGAACTCGACGTCCTCCACGCAGCGCGCGACGACCCACGACGAACCGGTAGAGCACAGGTGAGTTGGTTCCCCAAGAGCTAATGGGGGCGCAATTCGTGGAGAAGCGGTGGACTTGGAGCCACGCAGCATGGGCTTCCAGCGACCCCCCACCCCCATTGCGCTGCGACGACGAGGCTCTCGGCGTCAATTAAACAACTCGTGCTGACCAGCAATTCGTCTCACAGCTCGCTGCTATACCACCTCGCCTTCCCGCCACCTTCCAGGAACATCGCTCAGGATAGACTCCTGGCGCTCGACCTCGTTTGCTAGCACCGCCAACATGTCTACCTCCACCTCCCACATTAAGCTGCGCCGCAAGAAGAATGTCAAAAAGGGTATTCAGTTCTGCTTGATGGTCTGTGGCGCTTCAGGCACTGGCAGAACCACCTTTGTCAATACCCTCTGCGGGCGCCAGGTCTTGCAGCCTATGGACGCTGATGACCCGACAACCGCACACATCGAGGAAGGCGTCAAGATCAAGCCCGTAACTGTCGAGCTGGAACTTGATGAGGAAGGCACTCGCGTGTCGTTGACCATCGTCGACACACCCGGATTTGGCGATAGCATTGACAACGAGGCTTCCTTCCACGAGATAGTGTCCTTCTTGGAGAGGCAGTACGACGACATTTTGGCCGAAGAGAGCAGAATCAAGCGTAACCCGCGATTCCGCGATAACAGAGTCCACGTGCTCCTCTACTTCATCCAGCCAACAGGTACGCTGTGCGCCATCAAGTGGCAGGAGCATTAGCTGACAGCACGTTCTAGGTCACGGTCTTCGCGAACTCGACATTGAACTGATGCGCCGACTCAGCCCTCGCGTCAACGTGATTCCAGTGATTGGAAAGGCCGACTCGCTCACACAGTACGAGGTGGCAGAGAGCAAGAAGTTGATCATGGAGGATATCGAGCACTACCGCATCCCGGTGTACAACTTCCCATACGACATCGAAGAGGACGACGAGGACACAGTTGAAGAGAATGCCGAGCTGAGAGGATTGATGCCATTTGCGATTGTCGGATCTGAAGATGTCATCGAGATCGAGGGCAGACGCATTCGCGCTCGCCAGTACCCTTGGGGTGTGGTTGAGGTGGAGAACCCTAAACATAGCGACTTCCTCGCTATCCGCTCTGCACTTCTACACTCTCATTTGGCAGATCTCAAGGAAATCACCCACGACTTCCTTTACGAGAACTACCGTACCGAGAAGCTATCTAAGAGTGTTGCGAGCGCCAACGAGGCATCGGGCATTACCACCGAGAGCGACAGCCTGGACCCACAATCTCTTGCGTCGCAATCTGTCCGCCTCAAGGAAGAGCAGCTGCGTCGTGAAGAGGAGAAGCTGCGCGAGATTGAGATCAAGGTGCAGCGCGAGATCAATGAGAAGAGGCAAGAGCTGTTGGCTCGTGAGTCGCAACTCAAGGAGCTCGAGAGCCGTATGGGACGTGAGCACACACCAATTCATCCACTTGTCAACGAGGATGACGAGACGGACGCTGGCGCCCAGCACTAGAGGGCTTCACACCCTGTACAGGCGTGTGCAAACGTGATACCCTGCAGTTGCTGTTCGACTGCATCAGGCTCAAGGACCAGCACGGACACGTGATTTGGTGCGGATGAGATGCTGCAAATCGTGCCTTCACTCTGGCGAGATGGACAGCTCCCGAGAATCGACTGTGGCACACCCCAAGATACCCTGCAGCGACGGATTCTAGTTCACCTGGACGCTGAAGATGCGGAACGGCTTCTACTGAGCAGTATCTTTCATATGTATCGTAATTTGAGAGCGGGTTATCGGCAAGAATGAGCAGCGCATGTGTAAAGCAGCATTCCCAAGGCGTGTACCCGCTCAACTAGTATGCCCTATTGCAGAAAGTAATTAAGTTCCATTCACACGCAGCCACTTCCACCTCTGCCGCACCTCGAGGCTCACGTGATCCTGCTGGCTTGATACCGCTCCAGAGTCTCTGGCAGACTGCCACGACGTAGGTGAAGCTACTCCGCAACTCAATAGAAGGTCTCATCGCGCGCATACCACCGAAGTCATCACGAAGCTCAATCTCTTTTTTGAACAGATTACCTTTTCGCACCCTGTGCACTATATGTATGTGTATATATATATATATATACACACCTCGTATGCATAATTGAAGGTACATGTACCTTACACCTACCCTACTTTTTTCCCCACGAATCTCACTCAGCTCATGTTTCATCCTTTACCTATGTACCTGGCCGGCACCTGGCTGATCTTCCCATGGCTTTTTAGGCAGAAGTCTCCGAAAGTACTAGCTAGCCTAGCTACCTACCTACAGTACCTAGGTAAGTATCCTACTCGATTTTTTCTTATCTTTTGCCCAACGGTTTGTACCTTGTACTCAACGGCTTACTACCTATGTTACTGTATGCATGCATGCACGTATTGATCGAGATAGGAACAAATGCTATTTTTTTTTTTCCTTTCGATTTCGCGCTTGATATATGTCCTAGTGAGTCACCTAGTTAGCTGACCGATTGTTCGTTTTGTTCTTTTCCCTACATTACTATTTTTTTTTTGGTTATACTATTGAGGTATACTAGGCTTCTAGCTATAGAGTATACTAGTACCTTTAAGTGCCTCTAGGAGAAAGGAAGTCTTTCGATATAAGTTAGGTAGGTAGGTACCTATGTAGGTAGTTGTAGGCTTAGAGAAGACAGCGGGAAAATCTATGTTGTTTTCCCTTTTAGATTTTCACGGCTAAAGCAGTAAGTACAGTAGACTTGGTCCTGCAGCTTGCTTCTCTATAGAAGACTAACTAGTAAAAATTTAGGAGTTTCGAGGGAAAAGAAAATAGTACTCTGCTACGCTACGCTACTTGTTGTAATTGTTATATCATGTGAAGAGGACTTTTACTTCACTTGTTCAATGAGGTGAAGTTGCTCTGCCGATAGACTAAAATGCCGCTAGAATCATTTAGCGTTTGTGCCGTATTTCAGGCTACAGGTACCTGTATACTGGGCTAGGAGTCTGGAGGCATGTATATTAGGGATCCTGGTCTTGCATTTAATTAAGATGGGCTGCATTCATCAAATTGCTTCTCAACCTCGGGAGTTGCACTTGTTGTGAAGTTCAGGTTGTTGCAATGACACCACCTACACACATATTCACATCTTCACATCTACGTCAGTAGGGAGAACGGGAGTTTGCAAAAGTGGTTTCGGTAGACATGGATCGAGGGGATAGATACGTGAGGTTGGTTTTATTTTGAGGGAACCGAAATTCATACCTTCTATCTAAATGGGTAAATGACAAAGAATGTACCTTGTGCAAAAGCACACAACATGAACAACTGTAAAACACTACCACTGGCGCAACCACGTCCGCAAAAACATAGGTTCTTTGCCTCCCTTCCCGCTAGTATTATCCCTCCAGCCACTCAGAAAACACTAGTAAGAAGGGCAGTTGATGTGGTACTTCTCGCACTGTTCAACATCTCCAGGGAAAGTGTCTCGTTCCCAAGTCAGGTAGATCCATTCTCCGCATCCGGATCCCTTTGGTCCATCAACGGCAGTAACATCACAGTCCCCGCCGTTGGCCGCCTTGTAACCGATCGTGCCGTCCAGATGGAAGATGACCTGGATCGCTCCGTAGTTCCATGTCATGGTGCCGTCGTCTTCAATTCTGATGCCGTGGCCATAAACAGAACCATCGATTTGAAATGGGGCGCCGGGGCCATCGCCATATCCGCGTGCCACGATGGAATTCTACGGAAGCAGGTTGCTCAGCATGTTGTTTGGGGTGTCATGTCGAGATTTCTTTTTCTTGGTGTGAGGTTATCTCTCGTCGAGGGTGATGACTTACGGCTGCAAGCTTTGGAGCTGCCATTGTTTGGGTGATTGCAGATGCTGCAATCACAGCGAGGGCGGCCTTGAACTGCATCTTTTCGACTTGGGTGGTGTTTTGATGTTGTGAAGTGCGGTGGTGGCTGCTTTGAACAATGTCGGACCCAAGCGAACGTGCGAACTGTAGTTTGGTAGATGAGAATCGGTTGGCTGCTGTGTAGAAGGAGGCAACTCATGCCCCTCTTTATATTCATACCTTATCGTATGTTGCGCTTGACCCATACCTGCGGATGTACTGGCAATGTGATGAATAATGGACAGTGCGCGAGTCTCGACCCATGGCCGAGTTCGAATCTTCTCAGAGACCTAGTCAAAGCTGCGGGAAGAGCCCAAATCGGCCACTATAGCCTCGTGGATAAAGTCATCGTGAGCGGAACTCCTCGTGATTCAGCAAATCTAACCCTGTCTGACCTCGTGCCTTCCAGCGCGCCCCTTCCACGCCCAGCAGGAATATGGAGTCCAATATGCTTGTTCGCACGTCGAACCAGTTTTCGGCATGGGTCACTGGAAATGAGTATCAACTCTATCCTATTTTCGATATTGAATCCTCGCCCATGGAGAGAGCGCCGCGAATCGCAGTGGAGGACGGTCGGTCGACGTCAACCAGCCAAGGCGTTGTGAAGACCTTGGGAAATTACTCGATGGCTGCCGGTCATACAACAAACCGCGCACATGTTCCAACCATCCAATGCTTCGGTGGCGGGACGAGGATGACCTTGACAGGTAGACGGCTTGTCTGGATGATCGTCAAGCATGAAAGCTGCAACACTACACCTTGTGTCCTCTAATGTTCCTCAGATCTCTTCGAACTGTGGCCTTTCCGTATTCACCAAACGAATTCTCCCATTCGAAGTCTGGATTCCTGCCCTGCGGCCTGAGTATACCGTCCACAGATCTAACAATACGAAGAGATCCTAGGGAACGTTACTTCCGGCCATGCCGCACTAGATATTCTTTGCCAACATCAGGGTTTCTGGTTGTTGTCCCCATTCGCCCGGTCATGGAAGCCTTTTTGCATATTTCAAGGAATTTAGTTGTGCTACTGCTCACAAGACTTATGGTCAAGTCATCGAGAGTGTGGGCGAGAGCGTTGTCAACTTGTCGTGCTTCCATTCTCCACCTGAAATACTGGTACACTCCTCATCATCTGGGCAAGTCTAGTAGTCTCATCACGTGCACCATTTGGACAAGCTTCGAAAATAAATGGTTAAAAGCCGAAATCGACACCATATCGTATGATGTTGGATCACATCGTAGACTTCGTATAAGGTAGGATCCATCGAGCGTCTTGGCTGCCATCTGCCCTTGCTAGGCTTGCCTACTGTAGAGCATTCTGCTTGCGATGCGAGTTCGGGTTCAGCCATTCCATCAGGTACCTTGCGTAGTCCTGAGGCAATCTCGGTCTGCTTCATGTGCGATGTCAATTTTCATATATTTGTAGCATCCATGAACTTCCACTACTGCCGGCTGTTTACAGGCTAGTCTTACATCACTTGACTTTCTGGCATGTTGCGCTGCCTCTGTCCAACTGGTTGAGGTGCGTGTGCTGTCCCGCGCAGCCCTAGGCATGGCGAGGCATGGCGAGGCGATACTGCGTTGTCAGGTCCACAAGCAGGATCAGCTTACCTGCAGCTACCTCTCTCCACGGAGCCTCTCATCACCATCTCCAGAATCATCTGAAGCATTCTCTCTCTCTCTCTCTCTCTCTCTCTCGCCCCCTCTGTTACTCTGTTCTCACATAGCATTAGGGTCCATTGAACTCGTGTTACTCGCAGGCGGATATTCTTCCAATGTCCTCGAAGCTTTCTGCTTCCCCTCCACGAGCTACCTCGTACTTCTCTGCTGTTCCTCGATGGCCTGCGTCACAGGCTTCTTGCCTGACCTGAATGGCGCCATTCTCTTCTGCAACCGATCTGACTCGGTTTGCCTCACCACGCCGTCCGTCTTGGGCAGATGTGTCGGAAATCTCGTAGCTTTCAATGTCTGAGGTCCAGAAGGTAGATATCTCGGCTCCAAGAGACCAATCTATGAAATTTTTTATGTATTAGCTCCCACCGCGTCCTCTCCTACACCATATAAATCCTCGCCCTCATGGCTTACCATACTCAACAACCTCCACACAGTATCACTCGGCTGCGCGCCCACGCCTAGCCAGTACTTGGCTCGACTGACGTCGATCTTGATATCCTTTTGCTTTTTCTGTCCAGGCTCGGCGCCTACGGGCAATTTGGGAATGGGATCGTAGGTGCCGAGGACTTCCATCGGCTTAGAGTCGCGGGCGGTTTTGTCCTGGGCGAGGACGATGTTGTAGAAGGGCGAGTGTCGTTTGGCTCCCGAAGGCGTTGAGACGCGCGAGAGACGGAGTCTTAAAACCATGATGTCCTTTCTCAGCCTTGCTCTGTGCCTGTCCTGGCTCTGTCGCGGCGGGTGATGCGTCAAAGAATGTTTTTGATATGTGCCTCATAGGTTGAAGTTAAGGTACGAGGTACGAGGGTCACTCCCGTGCAAAGGGTCGTCGCCGCATCTCTGAACCAATCATGCATCAAATTGAATCAATATTTGACGACCCCTAGACCTTATCGCGTAAGGTAGGTACCTCAATACCTAGGAGGTAGGTGCCTAGGTACTTAGGTACTACTTACTTGCGTTACTGTGTACAACGCGTCCACTCAGCCAGCCACTCCTCTCCCTCACAACCAACACTCCGCTTGAAGACAAGAAGAGAAGATGACAACCATAGCAAGAGGAAGGAGAGACACGACGACGGCCGCGCGAAAGAAGAAGTCGCAGCGAACGGACATTTGGTCCAATCTCCTGCGCCAAACACGCGAAGCCCAAGCTCGAAACCGAACACAAGCCGTCCAGCATCGCGAACTGATCATCTGTGGTGGCTCTCCCGCCGACCAGCGCTCCTTCGTACAGAGTCTCACTCGTCCACCGCCCGCACAACCTCCTAGCAGGAACCAGGAGCGAAAGCAGCAGAAAGCAAGGGGAGAACTGCGATTGAGCAATAGATATGCCTATGGCTATGGACATGTGACGCTGTACTCGCCGCCGCAGCAGAGTGGCACAGGTGTGCAAGTGTTGGGCGCTGAGGCTGAGGAGGTCGCGAGGCTGGAAGTACATGCCCTGCCGCAGCCAACGTCTGAGTATGCTGGCACCCTGAGAGGCTTGTTGGTGAGACGGAAGAAGAAGAAAGACCAGCAGACGGAAGGACAACAAAAAGACGCTGAAGCTGAGGAGCCTGTAGACGAATATGAAGGCGCCACCGAACAGCGTCGGCCTGGGGTATGCGTCCTACTGAGCTGGAAAGAGCCGTGGAATTTCTTGGATCAGCTGAGGAGGTGGCTGCAATTGCTTGCTCAAGCTCTACTGCAACCTGGTGTGGCAGCTACGGATCCTCTGGATGTGCTCAAGGAGGCCCAAGTGCCACTCACTGTGGTTGTGCAGCATACTGAGACCCAGGAAGATCTATTCAGAGAAGGATACAAGGAGGAGGACTTTGACTTCATCTCACAGTGTCTACGAACTGCTCTCCTTCCACTACATCCTCTGAGTGCGCTGGTCTATACACCTTCTGCCGCCCCACCGCAGCAGCCAGGAAGTACTCTCAGCGAGCCACAGAAGGTCGTCTTCAACTCTTTGGGCTTGGATCTGGCAGCGTTGAGTCCTAAGAGGTCCCGCTCGAGCTCTGGTGCCGAGAGGAAAGACGAGCTCATCGTGAAGCACGAGTTCATGGACCGAATGGCAATTGTTATCCCAGCCGGATGGGACAGTCCAGCTTTCATCCGTACCCTCAGCGAGACATTCTCCCCCGAAGATATCGTCAGTGGCTGGTTAGAAGACCTGCAACCTCCACCAACTCCTTCTCCATCGAAACTTCAATCCTCTCCCCAGATCGAACAGTCCAATACATCGCCATCTCCAGAACAATCCAACGGCGGCGCAGAAGTCTACGAAAGCTCTCCTGTCCTAGAAGACGATGTTGAAGACGCCCTGACATCACTTCCCGCTAAGCAGCTCTCCTCCGCGTCAGCAGTACAATCCTACGAGAATCGAGTCTTCAACCCTGAAGCACATAAAGCTAACAAAGGACCACCGCAAATTGAAGTGGTGACGAAACCTGATCAGAAGTTTTTGGCGGAGATGAGAGAACATCTACAGCAACTCGAGCAACAGGATCGGGAGCGCGAAGCCAAAGGACAGAATTCTGGCGTGTCTAATACTGGTCTCAGCAGCACAACTCGGGTCAGTGCTTTGCCAGCTGGTGAATCTACAGGCGCGCTGAGTGAGCTGGGTGAAGTGAGTTTTAATGTTGGAGGCGTAAGCTACGATAGCGTTTCGGCAGAAGCTGCGATCAATGCGCTAAAGAAGGGAAGAGATGGAGATGAAGGTTCTTCGAGGATACATACGCCGAAGCCGAGAGGCCCTGGGGGCAATAGAATGGACGCAAATTCTGGGAAAGAGACGCCGGGGAGTAGTTTCAAGAGTCCTGAAAGTGCTAGTAACTCAAAGGCTCCGTTGGATGTCGATAAATTGGAGGAGTATTTCCAGAGCTTGCTGACTAAGAGCGGAGGTGGTGGTGGTGGAGGAGGAGGAGGGACCGGGAGTAGGAATGCTACACCCACGAGAAGGTGAAGTGGCTGGTAGGTATTCAGCAGACGAATGACTAGTGAAAAGAGATTGATCGCAGCAGAAGATACCCATTGAGCCAGTAGCGTGCATACTTGATATTTGAGCACATTTGAACAGTAAGACCCACTGGCCATCCGACCTTCTGCTTATGTCATGACGGTAGTAATGTGATTGATATACTCTCTCTTTTGCGTACGATGCCTCGTATTACCTCTTGACGATATATGTATACCTAAGAGGTAGGTAAGGTATGTACCTGTAGTTTAATGCATTGATCAATCCAACCTACCTAATTGCTGTTAATGTCCCTTAGGTAACATCTAAATTCCACCCACACTCTTAAGCTCTTAGCACACTTTTGTAAAGTGAGGTGCACATGTACCTATGGTATACATGTACCTTACGCGCTGCACAGGATGCCCCGTCATCAACCGGCTAGTTCATGTTTCCCATATACGATGCAAGAAAATAGTTAATCAGCACTAATAATTTCTGTACAGGAAACCGCATATACGGTACCAGGCAGGTACATGTATGCATGTCCAGCGTAGGTACATACGTACATCCATACATGTAGTCTCGCGTCCCATAATCATCTCCATCATCCTCCTCGTCTGCTGAAACACGCTTCGATTTTTCTTTTCTAGGGGGATGCAGCGCAACCCCCCTGCTCCTCCTCCTCCTCCTCCTCCTCCTCTCAACATCGTCTTTTCTCTCGAGCAGAATTGCCCGCGCGACACATAATTTGTACGTCATTCCATGAAGCGGCAAGATAGAGCTGTTGACTATACAAGTATTCGTGCAAAGAAGTATATTCTGAGTGGTCGTGGGTGTTTGCGGGGTTGGATGTGAGGGATGTTGTTGTGGGAAGTTCTTTTTCTTCATGTTCTTCTTCATCACCATAGGGGGTTTCCTTGTTTCGAGGGTTTGTCGGTATATCGATGTTGATGTTAATGGAAGTTGGACGAGGATGGGATACCATTGGTGAAGGGCTGGGGTTGGCAGCTCCGGCTGTGGCTTGAGGTTCTTCATTGTTGCATGTCGTCGTTTCTTCTTCTTCTTCTTGTTGTTGTTGTTGTTCTTGTTGCTGCTGCTGCAAGAGAATCTGAGACTGTTTTTGGAAGTTTCGAACTGCTCTTTCGTTGGGGCTGGAGACCTCCTCTTCTAGGCCTATACATTTCGCCCGAGTCAGTGTATATGTACAAGGGTGGAGGAGTTGTTGGAGTCTTGTAGTGGCTCACTTGATAGACAGTCTTGGCGGAGGTTTGTTCGTGCGGTAACGCGATGGAGGCGAGGATGAGGTGGGCTTCTAGGCAGGACGATGTGGGCCACACGCCTGATTTGGGTCATGATTAGAGACATGTCTCTTCTTGGAAGACTGGTGATCCTGATCTTGTTGAGGTCGGCTGGATAAGGTAATGTGCTTGTGCTGTACGTGAGCTGTAAATGAAGACTGAGAAGGTAGGCTTGCCTCTTCGTTTGATGTGGGCTTTGGTTGCGAACGTAGGACGAAGGATGTGGTAGTCGATGGGTGGAATGCCTGCACTGGTGATGACCTTGGGCTTTAATGAGTCTTGATGACACCAAACGCTCGACACTTCACTGTCACGACAAAGATCTTGCGGTATTTGACGAGGGGCAGGAGCAGTGAATTGTGCAGCATCGCGCTCAATGAACTATAGCCAGGAGGGAAGAACCAGGTTGCTAGCACTTCCCGACACTTTCATCGAGGAAGAATGCCATTGTCCTGCCTGCAAAGCCATTAATGAACGTGTTATATTCAGCAGCCTTTCGATGTATGTCCCCTAGTGGCAGGCATTATGCTATGCACACCTATGCTTGATGCTAGTACGCTTTGGATTCCTGTGTCTGCAGAGCTGTATGACGAATGTGTGATACAATTGGCCTACGAACTGTTACAGGTCCCAGACTGAGATACTCGTTATGCCTACTACCCGCGGCCATCGAGAGCGATTGAGGGCCTGGACTTGGCTCGCTCGCTGACATTTCGACCTACCTCTTGTTAGCATACCGAAGTCCTTTTTCCCGCCCCCGTGTAGCCACCTAGACCTATCTTCGGCGGTAGATACAGTCATTCGTGACATGCCTAGCCAAATCGTAGAGTACGTGTCTGCCTGGTAGACTTTCCCCTAATAGCTTCGCTTCTCGATATCAATTGATACATATGGCACCAGCCAAGACTATATCTCGCGTATCGTGGGCAGAAACTCCTGAGAGCATTGTCCAAAGGTATCTTGAGGCATACGAGTAACGATGTCTGGTAGATGAATGACATTTCCTTTGTCATAAGCATGGTTCCATGAATGATTGTGTATCATTATTGTTCTTGTCCAATGCATAGCTCCAAAGGCGTGGTCAATGGGCATAACTGCCTGCTCTGTCCATTCTGTCCATTTCGAAGTTGTTGTTGTGTTGAAGAACGCTTTGGGGAAGCATGTATTGAGCATAGACGATACCTGGTATAGTATCCCGTATTCCGGCCGATCGGCCGAGCGGATAGTTCCATCTCTTGTGGAGTCAGTTCCTGGCGCTTCCAACAACACCGTCACAACAACCTGGAGGCAATGGTATAGACGTTCACGAACATGGACTCTTACGAGCTCCCGTACGAATGTGGACAATATCTATGTGCGGTACGCCTCTAGATCAAAGACCTGGATCTTGTCGTTCGGATGGACCCAATCTTGGCATGTTTCACTGCACATGAAGAGAAGCCGATATGATATCAAGCAACGACGAGCAAGCGTACCAAGAGACATCTCTCAGAGTTTAAACAGATTCTGCTCCGGAACAACGAATCCTCACGCACCACAACGAACCATACCGAACATTACATCCGAAAGCACCGCCTGGACTGTCACAACAAGGAAAAGCGTGAGTTGTACCATGAGGATGCTTGAAACCCGCGTCCTGCTTCGATCCAGACGAAAACGGAAGGCTGCTGGTGTTTCTCAAATGCGCTGAAGTATACCTCCTACGAGCTACGAGGATGGCGGAGGCGAGAGAGAGACAGAGAGAGAGAAATCATACCTCCTCCTCCTCCTACGCTACTGTGACACACACCGACGGCCTCACTCGCACTCGCCCCGTGCAACAGGCGGCAGGGAGATTGACAATGACAACAAGCAATCCTGAATTCGTTTCACTACGTGTGGACAGTGCAAGGCTTGATCCACCCTCTAACGTGCAGTGGCGTTCTCTCTAGCGCTCCACGTTCCCTCTCCACTCGGAAGAGCTTGGTTGGTGAGCTTGTTCGAGAAACACTGACGCTTGGCGCTTCTTTAGTCTCTTCCACCTGCTTTTACTTCGGCTAGCCACTCCACTGAACACCACTTGACGTAGCTGCTTCCAACTTCTGTCGGACAGACAACAAGGAAGTCTATACAGCCGCCAGTCAATGCAGGCACGAGTAATGCAACCCGCAGGTGAGTGTCTATCTGCTCTTTTCCTCCATTTCCTACCTCTACTGTTTCTTGCGACTCTTTGTTCCCGCTGCGTCACGTCGCACGCAACATTCGTTCTGCCATGGCCATGTCAACTCTAGCTCTCGTGATTGCGCTCGCAGCGCTGTCCATGGCATCGAGCCAGCAGCAGCCTCTGTACAGCGAGTACAGCTTCGATCCTCTGGAGCATCTTGCTGGAATTGCACCTTACTTCGAGCCCAATGACCCTGCGAAGGATCCTCACCCACCCCAAGGCTGCGAGGTGACCAAGGTCGCCTATCTCGTGCGCCACGCTGCCATCAACGCCAACGACTTCGACTACGAATCCTACCTCGAACCCTTTACGGACAAGCTCAAGAACACCACGGTGGATTGGTCGAAAATACCCGAACTGTCGTTCCTCTCCACATGGACCCCGCCGCAACTCGAAGAACAAGAGCTCGTCACGAGAAGTGGAAAGCTAGAGGCAGCCCAGCTTGGTGTGCAAATGTCTTTCAGGTACCCGAAGCTGAGACTGCCCAAGCGAGTCTGGGCGAGTACTGCCGAGAGAACAGTCGTCAGCGCGTCCGGTCTCATTCGTGGGCTCGAGATGGACGACAATCAGATCAACTTGGTGCAGATCTATGAGGGGGAGGAGTCTGGCGCAAACAGCTTGACACCATACAAGGCCTGTCCGGCATACTCTTCCTCGCGTGGTTCTTCACAGTCTCAGGCTTATTCGAAGAAGTATACGGCACCTATTCTTGCGCGCCTGAAGTCGTATGCCCCGAACTTTAACTGGACCATGAGCGATGTGATTGGAATGCAGCAGTGGTGAGTTACCTCTCTGACACGCAGAAACTGTGTTCCCATGCCCGAGAAATGCACTAATAGACGGCCCTTCTGTTCTAGGTGTGGCTATGATACCGTTGTTCGTGGCAGCTCCCCATTCTGCTCTACCACACTCTTCCGCCCAGACGAATGGTTGCAGTTCGAGTATTCTCAGGATCTAATGTACCACCACAACACGGGTTATGGAAACGAGCTTTCTGGCACTCTTGGATATGGATGGGTGAATGCAACGCAGCAGTTGCTCGCCTCCGAGGACGCCGATGACCAGGATATCTACGTCTCTTTCACACATCGTGAGCTACCGCCAACTGTTATTGTAGCACTTGGTCTGTTCAATAATTCCGAATTGACTGGCGCCAACGATGTCAATGCAACAATGCCCACTGATAGGATCAACTACCACCGCCAATGGGTCAGCTCGTACATCCTGCCATTCTTGACCAATATTGCTGTGGAGCGCATGAACTGTACGGGTTCGTACGGCTACCAGAATCAGAGTGATCCGACGTATTATCGTGTTCTTGTCAACCGTAGTCCGCAGGTGCTGCCCGATTGCTTTGATGGCCCACTAGAGTCGTGCTCGGCCGCTGGATTCAAGAGCTTCGTGCAAGAAAGAGGGGAAATGTTTGGAGACTTTGCGGGTGCCTGTGGCGTTGAATACAGTAATTCCACTAATGTTATGAGCTTCTATTCATCGCCGAATAATGGAACTATGGTGGGAAAAAAGCACCGATAGAGACGGGAGGCACTAGATACAAGCCTTAATGTACATATCTAATGACGAACACATGACACCGACGAAGTGAAGAGTTCTCTATTTCCATTGTCACACTTGTCATCCTATACCCATACACCTTGATAGCATGCACAGTACATGTAAGTTGAGTGCCGTTTTCACTTCCAGGTTGTGGTTCTCACTTGTGGTTTTGAGTTGTGGTCGATATGACGGCACACGGCTGAAAGTAACGTGAGGTACCTAGGTAGGTACCTCTGCTGTATCCACAATCTTGTCTAACAACCATGCCTCATACATCAGCGACCGCTGCGTACAAGAAAAAGGATGGCACTCTCACCGTCGCCGACGACCGCAAATATGTCTTTTGGACGCCAGCAGCACCGACAGCAGCACCGCCCGCGGTGACAGTGCCCGTTGCGGACATCACCAATCTCCAACAGACGCCGGCCACGTCGAAGGCGATCGCTCTGAAAGTGGTGGTAGGCGACAGCAGCTATGTGTTCACCTTCAATCACAAGGACAATGCACGTAAAGAGCAGGAGAGCACGACCGATGTGTTGAGAAATATCATCGCGGCGAACAAAGCAAAGGATGCGAACCATCTCGCGACACCCGCTGCTGCAGCTTCTGCGTCAGGCACGCCTGGCCCAGCCAATGCCTCCGGGCCCGAAGATAGCGGCGCCAGTGCCTCCATGGCCATTGCGAAAGCGCTGTCCTCAACCAAGGTGGATGAGGGTTGGTACGATGATTCGAAGCTCAAGTCCGACATCACCCTTCAGCGGTCATTGCTCGAGTCGAATCGCACCCTGCAAGAGCGCTTCAACGAGGCCCTGAAACAGAAGCCCGAGACCGTGTCGATCGCGCAGTTCACGGGACAGTTCTGGTCGGCACGACTTCACCTTCTCCGCGCACATGCCATTGAAAAGGCGCAAAAGCAGGGAGAGTATAATGTTCTACCGGAGATCAAGTTTGTCATCAAACGGGCGGAGAAGGAGGGCGAGGCGGATACCAGGCAGCTTCAGATCTCGAAAGAGCAGATTCACTTGATTTTCAAGCAATATCCGATTGTGAAGGAGGCTTACAATGACCATGTTCCACCACTCAGCCAAGCTGAGTTTTGGACGAGGTTCTTTGGCAGTCGCTTGCTCAAGAAGCTGAAAGGCGAGAAGATCATGCAGAACGACACTCGGGATAACAAACTTGACGCATATCTGGATCGACAGCCCAGCGGCCCGGCCAGCATTCAGCACATACCCCACTGGATGGACTTGGAGGGCAATGAGCAAAATCATAGTCAGCGAAAGGGCAACAGACCCGATCAGGACATGCGGCCGACGTCTACAGAAAAGGTGCCGATCTTGCGAGTGCTGAATAATTTGTCGGAGAAGATGATGGCCCACGTGGCACCTGGAGACGGCGAGGCACACGCACCGGTCGGGTTGGATGAAGAGACCTTTGAGCAACTGCGATTGCGTGACTTGGCCAACGAAGATGTCGATAATAGGGTCAAACTCAGCATTAAGGAGCAGCAACGATATCTTGGTGGCGACAAGGATACACTCTCTGCTGATGCAAGTCTCTACGCGAAGCAAGATCCCAACAAAGTACTTGCGGTCGTCAATGCTGGGTTACAGCCGACGCAGGTCGGCAGCGATGTCAAAGGCACTTTGCGACTCGATCGTGTTATCGGATACCATACCGACGATGACTCTGACTCAGACGACGAAGCACCCGCAAGTCAAACCAATGGTACTGCAGCCAAGAAAAAGCACAAAATCGGTTCACATGCCTCCATGATTGCTGCCTCCAAAACTATCGTGTCTTCAATCAAGACACGCCGCGACTTCAGCTCTACAGATGCAACGTCACTCAATGGCCTTAGCCAGGACACGTTCGACAATCTCATAATGACCCACAACACCACTAACGAGTTCTTGCACTACTTCTGGACTCTGTTCCTCTCAGGCGATGCCACCAAGACAGCCGAATTAGCGCAGCTGGTCTCTACTCTCGACCGCAGTCTGGACCGGATCAACGCTGTCGGTGCGCAGGCTGATGCTGAGAGGGCGCAGAAGGTGGAGAATCTGAGGCGACAGGCTGAACAGCACCATCAGAGAACAGGTAAGAAAAGACGCATAGATTATGACTCTGCTGTACCGGGCGGCAAGAGAGCAGTGGACGCGATGGTGAAGCCGACAGTGCAGGCACTAGCTCAAGCGACCAGTGCATATCGCAAGGCTTTTCAGGAGCAGAGTAAAGAGGCCAGTGCTGCTGCTGCTACTGTTGCCTCTGGTGGTGGTACTTGAATACCTACAGATATAATGTGTAACAATAACAAAGGCATCAGGTAGGCTTCCAGTGCTTTCGCAAAGCTGCTAACACCTTCAATTCTTCTGAAAATATCATTTCGTCTGGACTGCTCTATAAACGGGAGTCAGTCAAATAGATCAAGCTCTCGCCATCCAGAAGTACATTATGTATGTATGCGGTATGCAACCAATAGCATTACGTGTTATATAATCATCGCTCCCCGGCCGGATGCAAGGTATATATCGTGAGACATTCCAATGGCGCAAGTACTATCTTGCTACTAGCACTCTCCCCTTTTCTTCCCCCTTGAACCAAAGACTCTCCCAACAACACCAGCAACAAAGCAAGGCAAAGGCAAAGGCAAAAGCAAAAGCAAAAGCAAAAGCAAAGCAATCCAACAAAAACTACCTTGATTCCTGATTCCACACCAACCAACCAAACCAAGCAAACCAGCCACGAAAAAACGCCAAATCGCCAGAACCAAACCCAAACCCAAACCCAAACCCTCTCCTTCATCATTCATCATTCATCATAAAAAAAAAGTCGCCATAACAATGCCAATCACCCTCACCAAACTCTGGCCACCCGGTTTCCTCAGCCCACTCCTCTTTGCCTGCGTCGTAGCTTTTTGTCTCTTATTGAAGACTTTGGAAGGGTTTCAATTGCAACAACAACAAGAACAAGAACAAGGACAACCACCACTACGACGATAAGAACAGCGAGAGCCACAAGAGCAAAAACAACAGGAAGGGAGAATCTGATGTGATATGATATGATATGAGACTTGAGGGTGGTTATTAATGATTAATTTGATGGTATTATAGTGGGGAGTATAGTACATCCAGCAGGAGGCAGGAGGTATGTATATTTATACAATATCTATCTACATCGAAGCCCCCTCTCCCATTTTCTCCACGAGAGCTGAGGAATAAATGAATGAATAAATAAATAGCAACGAGGCTGACTATGACTGACGAGCTGTAAAAGCTAGACTAGGCTGGTTCGGCAGAGGATGATCATAACCTACCTCTTCTCGTCTTCTTCTTGTTCACCTTTTTATTCCAATCGAGGTGAAATATTACAAAAAACCCGGAGAAAAAAAAAGAGCAAAGCACACACGCACCCACGAACACACGAGAGAAAATCTTCTGGTCGGGTGAGAACAGATCTACCCCTTACCTAGGTACCTACGTTATCTAATTACAAAGTGTGATGGACGAGGACGATGACGCTGATGACCTGGCATCTGTCAGAATCTCTGGAAATCTCTGGAAATCTCTGGTATGCATTGAGCTGATGCATTGATGAATGCCGGCAGGGCAGTGGTCAAAGGCTGGTGATGGAATCTGGTCTGGAGATGGTAAATCTGGTAGAACGGACACTAGTGTGGGTGAATGGGCGACATCGGGTGAAACGGAGGTCTGGAAAGTGTATCATAGATTGTTGGCCGTGTGTCGCGAGGACGATAATGTCTGCAAAATTTGTTTCATGGTCTGACTGGTTAACTTGTTCCATGCACTTCATCACGTGATACACCACCTCCTGCCTGGATGCCTTGGATGTATATCACCTGCAACGGCATCTCCTGCTGCGCAGCTACAGGTACCATCATCGGAAAGCTCTCGTGAATCAGCATTCTCCCACCAACTTTGGCAATGAAATCGGCGTTCCACTTCCCCAGTGACCAAATGCTGCCAGGATGAGCAGCTGCCGCCACTTGAACAAGCTCGAGCAAGTCCTTGGCTTGTTCCAACTCCACAGCGTAGAGTGCATCTTCCACATCTGCGACTCTATCGACACAGAACTCGGGAAGCTCAAAACCAAAGGTCAATTGGCAGTAGCATAGGAGGAGCACGAACATGTCTTCCTCCCAGCCCGCCTGTCGCAGTTGGTCGAGGTCCGCGGTTCCGGCATTCGCGGCGATGCCACTAGCAAAGTCGCTTGCAGCTTGCAGATTGGATCGTCCGAGTAACTGAAGGAGACCCTCGATGGTAGTGATGAAAGCTCCCGTAGGCACAGGCTCTGTCGTGGGAAAAGACAGGCGGAGCATCGAGAGTAGATAGAAGCGCAAGCTGAGCATCAGAGATTCCAGTATTTCGGTCTGGCTATCACGGTAGACTTTGGCAATTTCTTGCTTTTTATTGATGGGCGGCGTCGAGGGTGTGGTACTCTTGATCCTATCAAGTTTGGGCGCCAAGGATGAGACAATCATTCGTGTAATGTGCGGCAAGTAGTGCCGGCTGGGGCTCGTCTCATCGACCAGACTTTGCAGGACGTGATCGATGAACTTGAATGGCAACCTTCTCTCGAAACGGATGGTGTACGTGAGAAGTTCCAGGAGGGACGAGGGCAGCTGCAGGAACACATCACCAGGGCTTTTTGGCACCACCTCGGTTCGGTGTAGGCCAAAGGTGGCTTTCTGCGCATCCCACTTTCCAGTAGAGTCAAAGTATCCTGGTTGTATCTGTCGAATATCTGGCTGAAGGCCCTCGGGAGGGGTTTTGAGGACCAGCAGGACCTGGTCATTGGGATTACTGGACAGACAGAAGCCATAGCCCAAAAGGAGCTCGTCGTTGCTCTTGGGCCCATAATTGTTGAAGACTTCGCTACCTTGCGTAACCGCGTCACTGATTGACACGGTAAATCTTCCGGGATCAAAGCTCCAGTCCACATGAGCGGCGTGCTGGTGGTTCAAGATATCCAGCACGGGAAAGAGCACAGGGAAGTCCAGCTCATCTGCAGAGCTCCGGGACAGGTCCAGCAGCACCGTCTTTCTACGGCCGTCGGGAGCGGACTTGTACGCCGGCCAGTATTTGCTATCCTGCGGATGAAGAGCACGAGAGGAGAAGGAGCGGGAAGTGAACATGGTCACAGCCCACTGATAAAGTTGCCTATGTTGATCAAAACGGATATCCTTCACCACCTACCTACCTTGCGAGATGCCGACTCACCATGTATATGGCGTTGGATCTATGTGAGCCTTAACGAGCAGCGCGATTGCCTGTTGATAGTGTGCTTCGTGCTGGGCCCGCCGCGCCTGGGTCGTGAACAAGACATCCGTTTCGGCGAGCCAGAGCAAATCCTGTTGGTCGAAGAAAAAGGGAGTCCGGAGATCACCGTCGGGAGCGGGGAGAGTGTCCAAGTAAGGCTTCCAGTGCGATGTAGCCCGAGTGATGTACTGGTGCATGAGGTAGAAGTAGCCCACGGCTCGCGGAGCCAGGCCACCACGATCCCGAAAAACGGTGAAGGAGTCGTCGACGAGGGCGTTCAGACTCGACAGGGCAACGGAGTGCGGGATGGTACAGATCTGGGCGCCTGGGGGGAGATTTGCGCCGGCTTGACAATGCACTCCCGCGTCGTCGCTGTATGCCAGGAGAGCGTGTGGATGGAGATATCCGCCGTTGTCGTGGAGCCACTGGCGGAGGGCGTCCAACTGCGCAGGCGAAGCCATGGTGATGGTGACGATGATGATGCGGCCAAAGGAGGGTTGTTGACGTCTGGGGAGGGCTAGAACATTAAAGGAGGAAGAAGTGTATTTCAACTGATATTCTCGTTGGAGGTCATCTAGTGGGGAGGAGGTGAACGGAGAGGCAGTAATTTGTAAAGACTAAAGAGGCAGTGATATGTCTTCAAAGGGTCTGCTCCCCCCGCCGTCACTTCCCCATATAGCACTATTAGTGTAGTCTAGGTAGGTAAGGTAAGAGGGACCACATTAGTAACAGTACAGTGTACTCAGTACTGTGCCTGAGATTCTGAGAATAAACAAGCATCCGCGGCCCGTCTATTCTCATCGCCGAGTCGTGCTAGTCGCCTCATGATGATTCCACATGAGGGCAAACTGGAGCCCTAGAAGGCTAGAACAGTAAAAAGACCAGCTCTGTTCGGGTTATTGACGTTATTCTCTCTTGTTAACAAGGCTAGCCGCTAGGGCGCTAGGCTTGGCGTATTCGCCGTTCTTCTCGGAATCCCGAAGCACAAAGTGTCAAACACATATCAGTACAGTAGGCATGACATCCCCCTACTACAGTACAGTGATTATACAAGTCCCGCCTCCGAACACGATGAGAGCATTATCATCATCACTATTGACAAGACATCACATCACAGTCGGAGGAGAATGAAAGATGAGACACGGAAATACGTTCATAGGCACCTTATGTCCGACTACGCGTGTTGGCGAACGGCATGACGCAGTACAGATGCCTATCACCATGTACATACTGTACATTGAAGTATATATAAAAGAGAGGCGTAGAAAGTCTCAAAGTCCAGTAAACAAAGAGTCAAAACAACATTCAGAAAAAATTCCTTTTACAACACAGATCAGACTACGAAGATGACTTCCAACCAAAAAACCACAGTCAATGTAGTCTTTGGCGCCATGGTGAGTGAAATAATAGCCATAGACAGCTTGCGTGATGGTGAAGGCATCAATACCATAATAACTAACCACCTCTCCCCCCAAAAAAACTACAGACATTCGGCAAACCCGGAGCCGAACAATCTCGCGTCCACGACCTCTCGACAGCCAAAGCCATCTTGGACATTTTCCAATCCCACGGCCACAACGAAGTCGACACAGCACGAGCCTATGGCGAAGGCACGTCAGAAGAAATGCTCGGCGAGCTGGACTACCAAAAGAGAAAAATTGTTTTAGATACAAAATACTATCCAACGGCGAATTTCGCCGGTCCCAATGCGGTTCCCGGATGGTCGACGGATGGACATTTGGACGAAAAGGGTTTGCGGGAGAATTTGGAAAAGAGTTTGAAAGCGTTGCGGACGGAGCAGGTGGATTTGTGGTATTTGCATGGTCCGGATCGGACGGTGCCGTTTGAGACGACGTTGAAGGTGGTGAATGATTTGTATCAGGAGGGGAAATTTAAGAGGTTGGGAGTGAGCAATTATATGGCGTGGGAGGTGGCGCAGATGAGTGAGATGTGTAAACAGCATGGATGGAAACAGATTGATGTGTATCAGGGAGTGTATAATGCTCTGCATCGGTCAGTGGAGCTGGAGCTGTTGAGTTGTTTGCGGAAGTATAGTGAGTACCTACTTGTCCCTCTTCTCGACACAAAACACAAAAGAAACAAAAAGAAATCCCTACTAACCCCTCTCACCCCCTTTCCTCCTCCACCCAGAAATATCCTTCTACAACTACAACCCCCTAGCAGGAGGCTACCTCACCTCGCGCTACCACCGCAACGACAACACGGTCGAAGCCGGCTCTCGCTTCGACAGCAACAAATGGCAAGGAAAAATGTACCGCGGCCGCTACTGGAACACACAATACTTTGACGCTCTCGACCTGCTCCGACCCGTCGCATCCCAACATGGATTGACGGAAGCCGAATGTGCGTTGCGTTGGATGACGCATCATAGTCAGTTGCGGCGGGAATTTGGGGATGCCATTATTATTGGTGCGTCGTCGGTACAGCATATTGAGCAGAATTTGGTAGATTTGGAGAAACCTGCTCTTCCCGAGGAGGTGGTGCAGGCTTTGGATCAGGGGTGGGAGGGCTGTAAGGCGATTTCGCAAAAGTATTTCCATTGATGGAGGAGGTACATGTATTCAAGACTTGAAGTGTACCTGCCTGCCATGGATGTGTTTCAACTTGCGTGATGACTCAGCAAGTCGTGAGAGCTAACGGGAACGCACCAACTCCAAGAAGAACGTCTGAGACACATCCCATTCAAGCAGATTGAAGACCTGGGAAACGCCATTGAGTCAGTACCTATATACCTACCTTGCTTACACCACAGTTACTATTTACAAATCATGCAAGACAGCTGTCCTTCGCCCACCTTTATTTCATTTCCCTCTCGAATGCTATCTCACATGCTTATGAATACGCACGGGTCTGTCGTCCACGCGCTTGTTCACCTATTCTCCCTTCAGCTTGTCCTGCTTTACACTGAAAGCATCTTCTAATAGACGCTTCTCCTCCAAAAGATGGCTGCTCTTCAAACCAGTCGCCACCGATGCACTAGGGTTACGTCCCGCATACATGACGTGTTTCCGGTCGTGGTGCTCCGTGTGGTTCAACAGAGTCTCGATACGAGGTTGAGTGAAACTCCATGCACCAGCATTGAGAGGCTCCTCTTGACACCAGACAATGTTTTGCGCGTTAGGATAGCTGTCCAGGTTCTCCTTGAGCTGTGCCCATGGGAAGGGGTTGAGTTGTTCGAGACGGACAATGGCCGTGTTCTTGATGTCGTTGGTTTCTCGGTGCTTGAAAAGTGCTGCGAAGACTTGACCGGAGCAGAGAATGACGCGTTCGATCTTGTCGTGACTGTCAATCTGGAAAGCCGCGTCGGCCTCATGGGCAGGATCAGGGATGATCCATTGGAAGGCGCTGTCGCCAGTGAAGTCCTCGATCTTGGATCGTGCGAGCGGGTGGCGGAGCAAGCTCTTACTGAAGAACGAGATGAGAGGCTTGCGGAACTGTCGGTTCATCTGGCGACGAAGGATGTGGAAGGAGTTTGCTGGAGTGGTACAGTAGACGATCTGCATGTTGCAGTCCTGGTGCTGGCGATCGAGCTTCTCTGGTGCTGGGAAGATACGTGGGTCTTCATTACACAGCTGAAGGAAGCGCTCCATACGGCCAGAACTGTGTTCGGGTCCTTGACCATCGTATCCGTGTGGCAGGTTCATAACAAGACCGGAACGTTGCAGCCACTTGACCTCTCCAGATGCAATGAACTGGTCAATGACACACTGTGCGTTGTTGGCGAAGTCACCAAACTGCGCTTCCCAAATGACGAGAGCAGTGGGGGACGAGAGCGAGTAGCCATACTCGAATCCTAGGGCACCGTACTCAGACAAGCTTGAGTTAGCGATGACGAATGATCCTTGATCTTCACTAATGTGCTTCAGGGGAGTGTAAGTGCCTTCGCTCTCTTGGTCATGCAGAACGGCGTGTCGTTGGGAGAAGGTTCCACGCTCTACGTCCTGACCAGAAACACGGACGTGGTGACCCTCCTTGACGAGAGTTCCGAACGCGAGAGCTTCTCCAGTAGACATGTCAATATTCTTACCCTCCTCAACACTCTTTGTCCTGTTAGCCAAGATACGCTTGAGGTTTTTGTGGACCTGGAATCCTTCTGGAGGCTGTCCAATGACTTTAGCAACTTGCTTCAGGGTGTCAGCATCGACGGCAGTAGGCTCATGAGGCAGGATCTCGGTTGCCAACTCTTTAGGCGACTTGAAGCCATTCCAGGCGCTGGTCAGCCACTCTCGAGAGTTTGGTTGGTAGTCCTTGGACTTGGCGAAAGACTCCTCGAGCATGCCCCAGACCCAGCTCTTGTGCTCTTCGATGTCCTCCTTGGTGAAAGTTTTGGCATCGAGGAGCTGCTGGGTGTATTTGTCCAGAACTGGAAGCTGCTCGTTAATCTTCTTGTACATGAGTGGCTGTGTGAAAGATGGCTGATCGGTCTCGTTGTGACCCTGCTTTCGGTAGCAGACAATGTCGACGACAACGTCCTTCTTGAACTCAGCGCGCCAATCAGCGGCGAGCTGGCAGACGAAGTTCAGAGCCTCGACATCATCGCCATTGACGTGGAAGATAGGGGCCTCGACGAACTTGGCCAAATCAGAGCAGTAGGGAGTAGAACGAGCGAAACGTGGATCAGTGGTGAAGCCGATTTGGTTGTTGACGATCAAGTGGATGGTACCGCCGGTCTGGTATGCTGGCAAGCCAACGAAACCCATGGTTTCGTACACAATACCTTGCGCAGCAAATGCAGCATCACCGTGAAGCAGGACGCCCATGGCAGAAGTGGCCTTCTCCTCGTCATTGTTGTAGTGGAGAATGGCACGGGTCTTGCCAAGCACAACAGGGTCCTCGGCTTCCAAATGAGACGGGTTGGCGACCAGAGAAAGTTGCACGCGCTTTCCGGAAGGAGTTGGACGCTCGAAGTTCATACCCAGATGGTACTTGACATCTCCAGAGCCCTCGTCAGATGGCTCAGCAGACCCACCGAATTCGGAGAAGATAGACTCGTTTGGCTTGCGCACCACGTTGGACAGCACGTTCAGACGACCTCTGTGAGGCATGCCAATGACAATATCCTTGACACCGTAGTCGACAGAACGATCGATGAGGGCTTTCATACCAGGGATGAGCGATTCACCACCTTCGAGACCGAAACGCTTATCATTGGGGTACTTGGTGGCCAGGAAAGACTCAAACGAAGACGACCAAATCAGTCGGTCGAGAATTCGCCGCTTCTCATCCACGGAGTACTTGTAAGGCTGAGGGACTTCGACTCTTTCTCGCAGCCAATCGCATTGCTCTCTGTCTGCGATGTGAATGTACTCGACACCGTATGGACCACAGTACAAGCGCTCGCAAGCATCAATGATCTCACGCAGGGTCATCTTCTCTCGGCCGTCTTTTGCGAAACGGGGTAAGATACCAGGCCCAAGGGTGAGCTCCATGTCCATGTCCTTCTCGGTGAAGTTATATGTCTTCAACTCCAGCTCTTTTGGGGTGGATTTATTGAGATCCTTAATCCCAAGTGGGTCAATCTTGGCCTTGTGGTGTCCTCGTGCCTGGTAAGCTCGTACTAGCAGCTGTACCTTCAAGTGGTTCAGCACTTCGCTGCTCTGGCCAGCTGCAGCGCCAACGGCACCAGACGGAGCAATGACACCGCCTGCGGGCGGAGGGACAATCGTAGGGGGTGGAGTGAAGGCTCTAGAAACAGGCATGTCGCCTGATTCCATCTGAATAGCAAAAGCATTAGCATCTGTCTATGCGCTTCGTTTCCTGTGAACCTCGATGTCCTTACATTCTTGAAGTAGTGCTGCCAGCTCACGTGGACAGACGATGGGTCGCGCTGCCATTCCGAGTACATCTCATCCACATAGCCGGCAGTGTTACCCGTCAAGAAGGAGTCTGAGGGGTCAACGCCCTGATCTGTCCTTTCCGCAGCTTGTGCATACTGGCGATGGTGGGCCGTGAAGGCATTGTACGAGGAGACGCCGAGTTCTCGTCGCTTCGTTATCAGGGCGGTGCGTGGGGCGCTCTGAGGTGCTGCGCTGGAAAAGGCTCTCGCGGAGCTACCGGAGGCCAGGCGTTTGCTGCATCGGGACAGCTGGGAGAGCAGCATGGCTGCTGCACTGGGAGGGCGGTTCAGCAGGGCAGTGAGGCTGAGGTATATAGAGGTCGCTTCACACGCGGCGATGCGCTGATGAGGAGTCGGGTGGGCAGGAAGAGGAGGGATAGGGAGGGCAGGTGAGATGTTGTTTCTGTTGCGTGCAAGCGTGCACGAGGTGAGGCGAAGCGAGCTACAAAGTACCTGACAAAGATTCCGTTCCAACCACGTTGGCGGCAAACGGCACGAGTCGGAAGTCTGTTGTCGCGCCCACACACGGCACTGCTTTCGGGTCCTGGCCTGGCATTAATGATTAGGTGAAGAGATCTACAGTACAACATGTTCATCATCACATTCACCTCAGCTTCTATTGGCAGTCGATCGACATGGAATCCAATACCATTCTTGCTATCTAGTATTATTCCAGCAGCATAACCTAAGAGCCACATATCCTGAACTTCTCTTCTACCCGTCAAGACCAGCGCCGACTTCCACGATTCCACACGTCCTTTCAGCAAACTTCTTCGCCACCTCGGAGCAATCCCAGGCACTGCTGACATGGAGGATGACTTCAGAACTGATCTCAGGGCCGATTTGACAAGGAATTCACAGTCATGTTGTCTAGATTTCTCGCAGACCGAATATACCTACCTCCTGCCTTAGCTTAAAAGCCCGTAAAGTCCACTGGCACAGAGAAGACGAGTGCTGTCGATGCACACTGTGTAGTCTGTCATACCTAGGTAGGTAGTTGATACGCCTCGCATCATGTTTGTCGCAACACATCTTTGCCCCTCTGCTTCAGCTCGGCGTTATTCAGCGTTTGCTGATCGCCACCATTTACCGCCAAATCAACCATTGTAGCCGCAAGTTCCTCCTTGGGAATGTAATTCCCGCCCAGTAGGAATTTATAGATTGGCTCCCCCGTCGTCACCAGTGAAGGACGCACAATATAAGACTTCCACGATCCACCTTGCTGCTTCTCCATTTCGATGACTTTGGTCTCAACATCTCCCTACAAATTTGATCATCAGTAAGGTACTTTTTACTTTCGCCCACACACATTTGCAGGTATCGGAACAACAGAAGAATAAGAAAAAAAAAGAAACACACACCCTCATCTTCCTCCCATCACCCATAAACCACGTCTGAGCATTCTGATCCGTCACAACAAGCGACCCACTCGTGTACACAAATCTAAATGCCTTCTGACCACCACCACTACCACCACTATCCTTCCCAACCTGCTCAACACAGTTTTCAGAAAACGCCTTTGTAGCAGCCATAGTCATATCGTGATGGACCTCTCTTCCCGAGGTGGGAGAACCCAAAACCCAAATGCAAGCTTCAGCACCTTGGATACTAGCTAGGACATCTGGCGAGTATCCATGTAAAAAGTCGTGGATGATGATAGTTTGGATTTTGGGGTGCTTAGTGGGGAGTTCTGGTCTCGAGAGGACGATGATGGAAGTTATAGTAGGAAGGGAAATGAGACGTTGGAGGACTGCGGAGCCTATGAGTCCTGTTGCGCCTGTGAGGATGATTTTCATGCTTGGGTGGTTGAAGTTGTGAGAAGGCGAGATGCTGTGGGATGGGAGGAGGGAGAATCTTCTGTGTTCAGCTGAGATAGTTCCATACCTATGTTGAAGAAGGATCGCTATGTATTGAGGAAGTGATCGGCAAGGAGCTCACGGTGGTACCAATCTAGATTTTTAGCCAGCAACCAGTGTGCATACATGTACTGTCTACATGTATGTAGCACTGTGCACCAAGCTTGGATCTGGTCACACTTTCATTACCTCCTACCTGACATTCAAGCATTAATAAGATGGTTGATGATGTTGTGAAGCGGCCCATGCCGCTAATCGTCCCATTTACCAAGGACGACAGCAAACAAGTGCCCTGCTCCAATTCTTTCGCGCTCTCGCTCTGTTGTACAACTACCAGATCGAGAAAACTTCAGAGACGTCTTTTCAACACAGGCGATCAGAACCAGCCTAGAAAAGTATGATATCGGCTATAGCTCGAGCGATCTACCTGCGTGTCCCTAAACCTCTTTGATCTCGCTCATCTTCATATGATCCCAAGTTCTCCAAGCTCTGCCCAACCTCCTATATCAGATTGGACGCCACAAAAACTGAATACTGATATACTTCACTCAATAGGCTTGACTGGAGTCAAGCTCCTGCTACCAAGCAACTCCATAATCCCCAGTCCAAGCTTCGGCAACCATTGGCATTGGGCCACCAGCACCCCTGGGACTAGGCAGATCGCCAAGTTCCATTCATCTAGTTCGTTTGTGGAGCGCTGAAATGGTTGGAGGGAGAGCGAAAGCCATATGCCATTGGAAGGGCGCGGGTTTCCCTCTCGTCTATTGCTTCTTTGGATGTTGATGGTGTGTGTACTATCCTGTCCTGCCGTCTGCTCGCGCGGAGAGAAGGTGGAATATGTAGCATTAGATGGAAGGCCAAGGTCGTTGCGGAAAGTACTGTTTGGCAAGGTGAAGGGTGTTTCCCATATTTTCTTCGACTGTTCGACAGTAATATCGGTGCCATCTACTTGAGACTCGGCGAGCAACGGGCAGGTCAAGGAGAGGCAGTAGCAACAGTACGCGCTCCAGACTGCATAATACTCAGTGCACATTGAGTCGATAAGCAGCTTCCACTGGAGTCGTCTCCGGCCGTACATTTACCCATAGTATACTCCCCGCATGGGCCACTCGACCATGTTCGATCTCCGCAAGAGAGATCGAACCTGCTGCGACCCTAATAAGCGAGCTGTATATGGTCGACATCGCATTGTGGCAGAACAAGACGTCAGCAATGGCTCCGCCTCACTGCAGTCTCGCCCGCCTGTATGCAATGCTTCCATCGAGACCTACTTTTCCACGCAGTCGTCGCCGTCTCTCAAGAGCAGTGGCACTCCATCTCAGGACTAGGCATGCAGCAGCTCAACAGCGGTCTCTTATTCTTTGCCTTGCTCCGCCTCGTTCAACTTTTTCTGGACATGTGTCTACTTGAATGGTGGAGCGTCCTGCCACAAACCAGCGCTTTGCGCGACAGATCGTATCGTAGTCGGTTCACCCGTAGCCGTGGCAATGGCAAGATCCGCAACGAGGACGACAGCGAGGCCCTGCAAGACCAGCCAGGCCATGGTCTTTGGCGGAGGTGGTGGCGTCTTTTGCAGCCCTAGGAACGTTCTCTGCTGTTGGACCATGTATGCTCGCCGTGGTCGCATGGTGTTCCGGGTTGGCAGCATGTTCACTTGCAGGGTGAGACGATCCATCGGTAGCAGTAAGACGACGTAGGGAGTCTGACTTCTCACAGAACGGAACTACCTGTACTATGTAAGGTATACCTATAGTTCTAGTACATAAAGGGTCACCACTATAAGGAGGTAGTTTCTAGTGCGGCTTGTTTTGCTTTCACGCTAGCAGAGCTTACGTTTGGCAGACGACGGAAGCCCAAAGTGGCCAGCCGCCACACGTCACCCCCGGCTTTCTTTGGCTTTATCTTCCTACTACTTCTACCCTTCTACCTACTATACACCGCTATATATACTCGCTATACGCTCGCTGCCTACCTTACCGTCACCGCCGTATCCGTCGCTACCTTACCTCTCTCTTTGTCGCCGGATCCGTCGTCTTAATAATAAGTTACCTACGTAACAAAGCCGTTGCTATAGCAACTCGAAGAAAGAATCTACTACTATAATACGTCTACTCTCTCTCCTCTACTACCGTAGACGTAGATAACTATATTATTCGAACCTTAGTACGTTGTTGCGTAGCGCGTAAACTCGTATATTACTAATATACTATAGATTCCTTATATCTGCTACTTTAGTAGCGCTCGGTAGGAATATGTCTACGATAAATAACGGCGACGCTATAGACGAGGACACCGATACCGAGGATACCTTAGAGGATAAGGAGGAGGATAAGGAGGATAAGGAGGACGATACTAGGTAGGCTAGCCTTACTCGCTACTAAATCTCTACTAGAATCTCTGCTAACTCGCTATATATAGGGCCGTATACACCCCCGATCTATACCCGCGCCGGCCTACTACTATAGACTCTAGTAACTTCTAGTTCTACTTAATCGAAAGATAGTAGGGCTAGTTAGACGAGGCTACGGGCAACGACGCGACGAAGAAGAAGGTTACGAAAAATAACCTATAGAAGTTCGACTAAGCTAGCCGAATTATAGAGACTATAGAGGGTATTAATACGCTAGATCTATATTACTAGTATACTCGCGGTCCGCGCGATACGCCGTATAAGGTAGACGTAAAGAATAGTATTATCTACGCCTACTATAAGCGATATACTAAGTTAGGCTATTAGGCCGGGATACCTATTAACGATTCCTCTAGCGATTCGTAGCGAATCGCCTAGCTAGAGGCTACTATTAAAGCGCTATAGGCTACGGTCGATAGCCTATAGGCTACGGTAGGGACCGTTCAAGATAGGATAGGTAAATTAGAGGATTAGGTAGAGTAGCTTATACCGTACGTCGACGAGCTCCGGCGTATAGTCTATAATATAGCTATAGCGGTATAGCCGTAGGGTAGAGTATCGATACCGGAATCGACTACGATTCTACGTACGAATAATTAGTAGATAGGTATATATATACCTACCTACCTATTTATATATATAGTAGCGATATACCGTAGCGAGTATAGCGAGTTAGGTAGGCTACGCGCGATCTATAGCGTTTCTATAGCGAGTTAGCGAATATAAGCTAGTACCGGGTATACCCGACTAATCGGATCGTCCGCCGACCCTACGCAAACTCTATAATATAGGCATACTGTCGTAGATATAAGTCGATAGTAGTAGATAGCTATAAAAATTAGTCTTTTCTACTCGTATCTACGCTCTATATAAGTAATACCGGGCGGCGCCGGCGGTAGTAATAGTAACCGCCGTAGCGTTAGGCCCCGGGGGCCCTACGGGCTTATATCTATCGATACTAACAGCGAGCGCGGCGATTTATTTCTTGCTTAGCGCTCTAGTTATTGCCCTCTCTCTAATTGGAACCGCTAGCTTATATCGCTTAGCTATAGGCGTAGCGGCAGTACTACTCGTCGCGCTCGCTACTAGTATCGCCGTACCGGTAGTACTACTCGTCGCGCTCGCTACTAGCGTCGCTTCTAAGTCGACGAACTTAGGTAGCTTATAGGCGTTAGTTACGCTCTCTGTCTATAATACCTTCTCTTTCTTAATATAAGCGTTGTCTATATCGGTATTACCGTCGATTTCGACAAACTTAGGTAGCTTACGGGCGTTAGTTACGCTCTTTATCTATAATGCCTTCTCTTTCTTAATAATTAGTACGCTATCGTCGTCGTCGTCGGCCTCGCTAAGCTCGTCGTTATAGAGGTGTTCGTGTAGTAAGGTATAGGTGGTAAGGTAGGTGGCCTTGGTACTCTACACCACTACTTGTGCTGCTATAGTTGGCACTGACTGCAGCGTCTGCTACGGAGGCCCAAAGTGGCCAGCCGCCACACGTCACCCCCGGCTTTCTTTGGCTTCATTTTCCTACTACTTCTACCCTTCTACCTACTATATACTACTACATACACTCGCTATACGCTCGCCGCCTACCTCGCCGTTACCGCCGCATCCGTCGCTACCTACTAATATACCTCGGACGTACGTACCTAGAGGACTACGCGCTATAGACTATAATAACTATTAGGTCTATATCGCTATATAGCTCGTAGAAGGTGTCTTGTAGAGGCAGATTATTACTAATCTATACTAGTAGTTCGGTATTTCTATCGTAGAGCGTATATTCGAACGACGGCTATAAGCCTAGGGCCTTACTATAGCCGCTATACCTTTATATCGTCGATAGTACGATATCTTCGACGAAGACGATAGCTTACGTATACGTATAGCGTATACCTATACTAAGCTACGACTTATAGATAGCGAAGCAGTTGCGATTCTAGCGATTAATAGCTAGAAAATTAGTATAAGGATATATCGGCGTATATATAAAGAGCTAGGGTTTAGGAAGTAGATACTAGTAGCAGAGTAAGTATATACTAAAGAGTTAATCGCTATAGCACTCGTAGATAAGCTCGCTAAGTTAGAGGTAGAGGTATATAGTAGGAGGAACCTATATATATATCTACGTTTAGAGATAAATATAATTAGGAGGTACGTAGGCGCTTGCTATCTACTCGCTTACTAAATCGCTATCGGCTAACCTACTTAGAGACCGTATCTACCGTATTGTTAAATTGCTTAATTCCGATAGTATTTAGTAGCGATACGAGAAGGCTAGAGAGTACTATAGTACTGTTATTATACCTAGGCCGTTAGCAGTAATTTTAATAGATACGTACTATAAGTTCGAGTACTAGGGTATTTAGATATATAGCGCAATCGACGTATATACGCGGTATATAGAGTAGATTTACATTAGAATTACTAGTAGATCGGCCGTTTTAGTGCTCGCTTAGTATATCGCGATACTACGCTATAGTAGATACGCGCCGGTAATTATACGCTCGGATCGTAGAGGTAAGACTATTCTAGCCGCCGACGCGTACTATATAGTATATTATACTACTTATAACGTCGAGAATACTAAGCGTAGTACTCGCGGCGAGGCCTCGTTACTACTACTACGATTCGGTAAATACTTCCGATATAGTATAAGTAAGATAAATTAGCGTATCGAGGCATAGTAGAATCAGTAGGCTAAGGCGCTAAATAAATAGCGCGCGTACTTCTATAGCTTAAATACTACGAACGAATTTGACCTAGAGTTATTAGGCGATCGTATTACCTTTCTAGCGATCTATACTACGATTCTCTGTAAGACAGTAGTAGGATTCGTAAAGGTATAGAATTACTATAAGATTCGGAGGCAAAACAATCGGCTATACTCGATTCTAGGCATTCCTTATATATTACGGTATTATCTAGAGCTCTATAGCGCTACGCAGTAAGGTATACGTATACCTAAGGAGGTTCTATAGACGCTCGAAGGGATACTAGAAGGGTTTAGTATATATACTCGCTCTACTCGTAGCCTGCTCGCTAACTTAATACTATAGACCTCGAGGCCTTTCTTCCCGCCGATACCTACGAATAGTATAAAGCGAGCCTCCTCCCCTATAGCTTCGCGCTATCTATTAGTAGTACGTTATACAACGTAGCGACCGGCGACCGTACGCACCGTACGGCCTATATTACCCTATATAGCCTAGTAAATAACTATATTAGCTTAGAACAATAGCTAATACTCGGTATACTTCTAAAGCTATTAGTAGCAAGAGATTAGATATCTACGCGCTAGACGGCGGAAGTATTTAGAGATACTAGCAACGCGCTAATCGCGAACGAGGATTTAGGTATTATCGAGTTCTATAATAATCCGTAGGCTATAGGGCTAGTATCTCCCCTACGAGTATAACTACGAGCTAAGCGAGCTAAGCCCTCTAGGGTATATATTACGGTACGTACTATTATTTGAATTCTTTTCTATATATATATATATATATACTCTCTCTCTCTACCGACCTATTTACTATAGCCGACAACCTACCTAGCCTCTAGGCTAAATACTGTCTAGTCGTACCGTCGATTAGATATAGCGTTATATTCTATAAGTTCAATTTCTGCTCTTAGTACTATTAGCTTAATCTAAACCCTCTACGTACTGAATTCGTACGCGAACTATTATATATACTAGAAAGTAGCCGTCCGGTTACTAGATAGCCGCCGCCGCCGCCGCCGCTATAGCCGTAGCCGTCGCGATCGTAGTAGCTAGTGCCTATATACTAAGTAAAGGTTAGTCGCCTTGAAACGATCTATATAGCGAGTACTTAGCGACGGTTAATAGGGTTTCTAGACATTCGCGAGGATTCCGTAGTACGCGAATACCGTACGTAACGAGGCTAATGTCGCGTTTAGGGCTACCGGCTAAGGCCGCTATAGCCGTCGTACCGTACGCCGGTACGCTACCGCCGACTATACGTTAGCAGTATACGCCGGCCCTACTATCGTCGCGGTTAAATCCGCTGCCTCCGGCTATCTCGTTTAGTATTAGCGTTACGGTATATACGTAGCGAGTTACTACGCAAGCTCTAAAGAATAACGACGAGTAGAAGTACTACGATCCGGTTGCCTATACCGACCTCTATAACTATTAGACGAATCGCGATCGAGTAGCTAATAGCGCTAAGAAGCTGTTAATAGAATTTATACTTACGCGATTCGAGCTAACTAAGTTACCTACGTAGCCTATTATAGCTATTAAAGACTTCTACGACGTATTCTTTGTACGATTATTCTATCTAGAGACTAATAAGCCGAACCGTATATTATCTGCGAGTGTCGCGAGTACCGACGTCCTCGAGTCTATAGAGGTATTTAAAATACCGCTACCTAGTAGATCTACTATACGTACCTATAAAGCTATTATCGTCGTTTAGTAGTACAAACAACTAAGGCAAAAGCGTAAGGATAGGGAGGGTACTATAGCATTACGCGCAATACTATTATACGCGATACTAGTAGCGAGCGTAGCGAGTAGCCGTATAACGCCTATAGTATTAGAAGTCCTCGAGAGTATCGAACAGCTCTACGCCGATAAGTATAACGACGACGGCGAGGTGCATTCGCCCGCAGTCGAGAGCTCCACCAAACAGTTTCATCGAGCAGTGTGTCTGCATCTTTGAACCTTGCCGCTCGCTCGCTCGCTCTCTCGTTCTCTTCCCTGCCGTACGCGAAACGACCTTACTGTTCTCCCATCAGCCTTGGACGCCCCGGACGACCCTGAACCCCAGCCTGTTGCATAAGCGCATCCCCAGCATCGCAAAGCATACATTGCAACCCACGCGCACCGATCCGATTCGAATTCCTGCTGGACAGGTTGTTGAGGAAGAGAGTAGGGGATTCTGATGGTGGAGCTGTAGCGTGCGCGAACTCGACCTCTGGGGCGCCAGCAGCAAGCCTCGAGGTCGCCTGACAATGGCAGGCAGCGGCCAGCGCAAAGACGACGATGCCGACCTACTGGGCTTGGGTGACGGCGATAACCCTGATGGCCCATATTACAACAGCGGTCAGCGTCCGCCCGTGACCGACGAGCGCATATTACACGACTACGACCTGCACGGCCGCATCAGCACATCCCACGATGACTTTGTCGGCACCAGAGCGAATCCGCCCTCCTCGTCGAACAATGTGCCCGGGGGATCACCATACGGTCACCCTTCTGGCCTAGATCCTCCTCCGACCTTGGGTCAGCAAGGACGGCAGATGTCGCAGACTTCGGCCTTGAACAACTACCAGAGATACTCGGACGCTGATGACCATTTCTCGGACTCGGCCTCGGTACAGGGAGGCTACTATGCAGCAGGTGGTGGTATCGACGAGGATGCAATACCTATACAGCACGGTAAGGGCAAACACCGGAATCGCAACAGCATTATGAGCTTGGGGGGAGGCATTATGGGAAGGGTGAAGAACACATTCGGCATGGGACCAGGGTACAGCGAGATGGATTTGCCATTGACGGAGCAGAGAGCGAGGGGAGATACGACGAGCACTGCTGGACCACCTGCAGAGCGTACGACACCCGGTTCGAAGTTCAAATTCGGCTTGCCTGGCTTCACTAAGAAGGTCGACCCGTCCACCTTGGGACCCCGGATCATTCACCTCAATAACCCACCTGCGAATGCCACGAACAAATGGGTCGATAATCACGTCTCGACAACAAAATACAACGCCGTCACTTTCGTGCCGAAGTTCTTGTTTGAACAGTTCAGCAAGTATGCCAACTTGTTTTTCTTGTTCACAGCCATTCTCCAACAAATCCCAAACATCAGTCCGACAAATCGCTGGACCACGATAGTGCCGCTCGGCATCGTCTTGTTGGTGTCTGCCATCAAGGAGGCCGTCGAGGACAACAGGCGTCGTTCACAGGATCGAGAATTGAATAAAAGTCCTGCGCGCGTGCTGCGAGGAACGACCTTCCAAGATGTGCGATGGATTGACATCAAGGTGGGCGATATCGTCCGTGTTCACTCGGAGGAGCCTTTCCCCGCCGACATCGTTTTGCTCGCTTCGTCCGAGCCTGAAGCTCTCTGCTATATCGAAACTGCCAACCTCGATGGAGAGACCAATCTCAAGATCAAGCAAGGTATTCCTGAGACGGCCAATTTCGTGTCTGCTGCAGAGCTCGCTCGACTAGGAGGTCGCGTGCGAAGCGAACAGCCGAACAGCAGTCTGTATACCTACGAGGCGACGTTGACAGTCCAGGCTGGAGGGGGCGAGAAAGAGCTGCCTCTCCAGCCAGATCAGTTGCTGCTTCGAGGCGCAACCCTCAGAAACACGCCTTGGATTCAAGGTGTCGTGGTGTTTACCGGCCATGAGACGAAGCTCATGCGGAATGCCACAGCTACACCAATCAAGCGGACCAACGTTGAGCACAGAGTCAATACCCAGATTCTCATGCTCGGAGGAGTCTTGATCATTCTTTCGGTGATATCGTCCGTAGGCGACATTGCCATACGGCAGACGATTGGCAAACGACTCTGGTTTTTGCAATATGGTGATACGAATCCAGCACAGCAATTCTTCAGTGACATTTTCACATACTGGATTCTGTACTCCAACTTGGTCCCCATCTCGCTCTTCGTGACTGTCGAGATTATCAAGTACTATCAAGCTTTCTTGATCAGCAGCGACTTGGACATCTACTACCCGTTCAATGATACTCCAGCGAACTGCCGAACAAGCTCATTGGTAGAGGAACTTGGCCAGGTGGAGTACATCTTCTCCGATAAAACGGGCACGCTGACCTGCAATATGATGGAGTTCAGACAAGCCAGTATTGGAGGAATACAGTATGCTGGCGAGGTGCCCGAGGATCGGAGAGTGGTTGAAGGTGAAGAAGGCGGCAACGGGATCTACGACTTCAAGGCACTGGAACAGCACCGCAGAAGTGGCGAGCTGGGTGAAGTCATCCACCAGTTTCTGAGCCTTCTATCCACCTGTCACACCGTTATTCCCGAGGTGAAGGCGGAGAAGCCCGGAGAGATCAAATACCAGGCGGCGTCACCCGACGAAGGCGCTCTCGTAGAGGGAGCCGTGGAACTTGGCTACAAGTTCATCGCGCGAAAGCCGAAGCTGGTGACCATTGAGCTTGGCGGCCAGCAGTACGACTACGAGCTGCTTGCGGTGTGCGAATTCAACTCGACCCGGAAACGGATGAGCTGTATCTACAGATGCCCTGATGGTAAAATCCGGTGCTACACTAAAGGGGCTGATACGGTCATTCTCGAACGCCTGGGACAGCGAGATGAGATGGTGGAGCGGACGCTTCTTCATCTCGAAGAGTATGCCGCTGAAGGTCTCCGAACGCTATGCTTGGCGATGCGCGAGGTTCCTGAGTCAGAGTTCCACGAGTGGTGGGAAGTCTACAATACCGCGCAAACCACCGTCAGTGGCAATCGTGCAGAGGAACTTGACAAGGCTGCGGAGATTATCGAACACGACTTCACGCTTTTGGGAGCAACCGCTATCGAGGACAAGCTGCAGGACGGCGTACCCGATACGATTCATACCCTGCAAACGGCCGGTATCAAAGTGTGGGTGTTGACTGGCGACCGACAGGAGACAGCCATCAACATTGGCATGTCATGTAAGCTCATCAGCGAAGACATGACACTCCTGATCATCAACGAAGAGAGCGCGAATGATGTCAGGAACAACATACAGAAGAAGCTGGACGCTATCAATTCGCAGCGCGCTGGAGGGGTCGAGCTGGAAACACTAGCCCTCGTCATTGACGGCAAGTCTCTCACCTACGCGCTGGAAAAGGATATGGAGAAGCTCTTCCTCGATCTCGCTGTCATGTGCAAGGCCGTCATCTGTTGTCGAGTGTCACCTCTGCAAAAGGCGTTGGTCGTGAAGCTGGTGAAGCGTCACCTGAAGGCCATCCTCCTCGCCATTGGCGACGGCGCCAACGATGTCTCCATGATTCAAGCCGCGCATATCGGCGTGGGTATCTCTGGAATGGAAGGTCTTCAAGCCGCACGATCTGCCGATGTGTCGATTGCCCAGTTCCGTTTCCTCCGCAAACTGCTACTAGTGCACGGTGCATGGTCATACCAGCGCATCAGCAAAGTGATTCTGTACTTCTACTACAAGAACACCGCACTCTTCATCACGCAGTTCTGGTACTCCTTCCAGAACGCCTTCTCTGGCCAAGTCATTTACGAGTCCTGGACGCTCTCGTTCTTCAACGTGATCTTCACCGCTCTGCCACCTTTCGTTCTCGGCATCTTTGACCAATTTGTCAATGCCCGAATGCTCGATCGATATCCTCAGCTCTATCAGATCACGCAAAAAGGCATGTTTTTCCGAACGCACAACTTTTGGTCATGGGTCGGCAATGGCTTCTACCATTCGGTCATCCTCTACTTTGCCAGCCAAGCAATCTACTGGCGCGATGGAGTCCTTTCCGACGGAAAAATCGCAGGACATTGGGTATGGGGAACAGCACTATACACCGCCGGACTCGTCACCGTTCTCGGCAAGGCAGCGCTCATCACCAATATGTGGACCAAATACACTGTCCTCGCCATACCCGGATCTCTCGCCATTTGGTTCATTTTCTTGCCCGTCTACGCCACCGTCGCACCCAAGTTGGGATTTTCCACGGAGTACATCAACGTGCTTCCGGTCCTCCTGACCGATCCTGATTTCTGGCTGATGTCGATAGTGATTTTGCCTGCCTTGTGTCTCATTCGAGACTTTGCGTGGAAATATGCCAAGAGAATGTATTATCCTCAGGCGTACCACCATGTGCAAGAGATTCAGAAGTACAACATTCAGGATTACAGGCCGAGGTATGTCTGCTGTCTTGCTCATCTCATTCAGCTCCCTTCTTTCTGAATCACGTGTGTGCATTACTGACTAGTAGATGTGAAGAATGGAACAATTCCAAAAAGCCATACGAAAAGTTCGACAAGTGCAACGCATGCGAAAACAGCGTGGATATGCATTCTCCCAGACGGATGAGTCGCAAGCGCGAGTATTGCAGGCGTATGATACGACGAGGGAGCGAGGGCGATATGGTGAAATGGCGAGTGGGAGGAAGTAGTGGCCTGCTCAGAAAGGTACAGCGTGTCAGCGTTTGTTGCAGCATGGCGCTGGAGTTTCGGGAGATGTGATATATTCACTGGAGCTACGGCAACGGTGGCGAAAGGACAGACAGCTTCTCGTGTGCTCACTTTTGGTGGGCATGGGAAACTTCCCAAGCATGTGTATACTGCGATGCGATTTCAGAAGAGACATGGACGGGAGCAGGCCAGGGCTCATACCTTACGATAGCACCCATCACAGGTTTTGTCATCGCTCTCTTCCACGGCGGAAACCTCACTCTTCCGTCTCGATATAGAGACTCTTTTCCACCTCCCATCCGCGCCCTTTACGAGTTCTGATCGGCCCAATCAAGAGAAGTCGAGCCAAATACTAGTGCCTTCAAAAAGAAAGAGACTCTTAAATTTTCAAAAAGGTATGTACGAACTCTTTCTCCGCCACATGTCCAGCACTATCAATTCCCTCAGTTCTCCAACACATAGCGATATCTCGGCATGCCAGCCTCAAAGTCCAAAATGACTTGATTCGCATCCTTCATAGCACGTTTCTGAACCCACGGCTTGACCTTTTGCCTCGCAGCGACCTCAAACATTTCCCGAATTTCCGCAGGAGAACCAATCAACGAACCCACAATCTTGACCTTTTTCATAATCAACGCCATAGCCACAAACGGCGGCAACACATCATCCGGCGCTCCCACTTGCACAAACGTGCCTCCCACATCCAACAAATTCAAATATTCCCCAAAGGGCATCTTCGGCGAAGACACGGTACAAATGATAACATCCAAAGAATTCGCAGCTTTCTGCGACCATTCTTCATCCGTATCCGTCGCAATCAGTTCATCCGCACCCATCTGCAATGCATCAGATTTTTTCCCATCATTTCTCGAAATCGCCACTACTCTTTCCGCTCCCAAGGCTTTGGCAAACATAATCGCCATATGTCCCAACCCTCCAATACCAATCACTCCCACCCTCTTTCCCGGCCCAACACCATTTTGTTTGAGAGGTGAATACACCGTCACACCTCCACACAACATCGGCGCAGCCTCTTCCGAAGGAATTTCCTCCGGGATACGAAACACAAAATGTCCTGCGCCTCGCCAATATTTCGCATAACCTCCTTGGGCGGTAGCCCCGCTCGGCCAGGTTCCGTTGTACGTCATGACGAAGTTGTTTTTGCAGAATTGTTCTTCGGAATTTGTGCATTGCGCACAGTCGGGTCGGAGACAGGATCCTGCTTGTGCTCCTACCCCGACGCGGTCTCCTACGCGGATTGCTGAGGCTCCTTCTCCGGATTGGGAGACGGCGCTGCCGACGCGGATGGCTTTGCCGACGATTTCGTGGCCGACTACGATGGGGTAGGAGGTTGGTCCCCAGCCGGATCCTATTTTGAAGAAGAAAAAAAAAGAATGAATGGTTAGAGTGGGGTTGTTGATTGATATTGAGGAAGGATGGAAGGAAAGAGAACTTACGAAGAACATGCATATCCGATCCACAAACTCCACAGTGGGAAATTTCTATGTCGACGTCGGTTTCTTCCCATTCTTTGGGCGTGTAGCCTTGCCAGACCATGTTTCCTTCGGCGGAATTTTTGTCGAGGCCGCACCAGCCTTCGAAGGAGGAGTCTGAGGCCATTTTTCTTTTTCTCTTCTTTTTCTTTGGGGGATAAAAGGTTGCTCTGGGATGGATTGATAGATTGGTGATTCTCTTTTTACGAGGTCTTGAGGAGGATTTGAAAATAGACAGAGAGAGAGGGAGAGGGAGAGAGGGTTTGATTCAAGCAGCTATTGTATACCTTATATACCTATGTCAAAACTAAGTGACGTGAAACTACGGCATCATTCTAGACTTTCTCGTTAGAATGGGTGGGTCCAAAGAGAATTGATTGTATGAATATCATAAAGCGTTGAATAACATTGATTTGTTGTTTATTCAGCGGACGTATTGGTTGGTAACTACCTGTAGCCATGACGCGGCAAACACTAGAACTGCTGTTGGAACCACACACCACACTAGTGCCTAATTAAGAAGATTGATGGAATACCAATCAATAAGTGGATTAATTAAGGTCCGAGGTCTGACCTCTTAAGAAGAGAAAAGAGGGGGGTAGGTATCCCTAACTCTATATATATATGCTAAGGAATCAGTAGCCCCTAATATCTTATATAACTTATATTATATAATACTAGGGTACCTATATCCTTCTGTCTAAATATACCTCCCTTAGCTTAATTATATAAGAAAAGCTGAAATACTAGATATAGTAACCGTCTATCTTAATCTAATAATTAACTATATCTACTTACCTAAGCCCTAGACTCGTCCTGAACGTCTAAAATAACCCCTTCGGAAGGTTCTTTATAAAGCTATTAGCTCGCTGTTTTGCCGTTCTAATCTATTTAACGGTTAATCGTCCTGCTATAGTTTCCTATCTTACCTAGTATTAGTAGATATCTATATACCTTAGAGCTATATTAAGTAAACTATACTTATAATTAGCGATATCTACAGCTCGTTAGTTATTATAGAAAACCTTAGTTCTATCCGTACTAGGTTCCTTATTTCTAGAGGAAAATACCTTGTTAAATTCAGAGAAAAGTCGAGTCTACTAGTATCTATTACCTACAATTAATAAGAGTACTAACAACTCTACCTCTACGGTTAATTTAGTAACTGTCTTCTGCTTAGTTACTTACTAATTAATAGCATTACTATATATTATTATTAAGAATCCCTATAAACTCTTCCTGTCTAGGTTATTACTAAATAAGGTATCTATATACAGTTCTATCTTAGGCTTCTCCCTATAGAAGTAGAGCTTTATCTCTCTAGTACTATATAGGTAAGTAAGTAGGTAATTAGCAGCGTCTATATAAGCCTAGCTTAGGTTCTTCAAGAATTGAGAAAGAGTAGTATATACTTTTGCTATATTAGGCCTTACTAGAACAGCTGTATAACTAATTAAACCAACCTTTATCTAATATCCTTTAATAAAGTTAGGTCTAGTAGTATTAGTAGCAGGTTCTAGGTTTCTAGTAGGAAGTAGTATATCTAGAAATCGAGCCCTCTTATAAATACTAAATTTAATGTTAATTTTCGTTAAGTAGGCAGTCTAGCTTAGAGTTAGGATATTAGGTAATTCCTCTACCTCTATACCTAGGAAGAAATTAGGGTCTTTCTAAGTAACTTTAAAGTTGGAAACTAGGTACTAGTTAAATAAGGTAGCCTGTTCCTTACTCCTATAGATCAATCTAATATTATCTATATAGAAAACTATAAGCAGACGGAGATCTATATTTACTATTAGGCAGTCAATTCTAGGAACTAGCTTAAAGCTATAGTCTTCTATCCTTATAACAAACAGGTTATACTACAAGCGAGGTAACTTAGCTAATCTATAGAGTGCTTTCTTAAGGATAAAGCAGGTATCTAGACTAAATCTATATTCCTCTATTCCTTTAGGGATTAAACAATAGACAGTATAGAGAATAGTAGTATTTAGGAAGGTATTTACTATATCCTATTGCCTTATCTTTAAATTCCTTATAAATACTAGGGTAGTAATAGCCCTGAATACCTTATAACTAAGTATAGCAGTATAGGTCTTATAGGTTAATAGTAATTAAAGATCCCTACAGATATAAAGCCTAGCCTTATACCTAAGAATCTTACTACTAGTTAGGTCTATCTTATAGACAAATACCTATACTAAAGGTACTTTATAGCCCTTATAACTAAAGAATACCCTAAATATCCTCTTGCCTATAAGCTTTCTAGCTTTATTAAATACTGCTTGCCTAAACTGTTAGTAATAGACATACCTTTCTATCTCTTTCTAGTTAGTAGGTAGTAATAGTAAACTTGTTACTTAATAAGGATCCTTAAGAGTAGGTAGAGTATAGACTTAGAGGGAAGTAGCTATAGTAGTGCTTAACTTATCTAGGTAATCTTCTAACCGTCTAGTTCTATAGTCGATCTATCTTCTATAGTTGTCTATACTATACTAATAGGTACTCTCTTCTACCTCCCTATCTAAGGCAGGGTACTAAGAGACCGAAAAAGCAGAGGGTAATAAAGAAGCGGATATACCCGGTAAGGCCCCCGGGGCCTAACTATTATCTCTAGTAGGTATTTCTAGCGGCGTTAGGTATAATAATTCCTGTTCTAGCACTTTACCTCCCTACTGTTTACTACCTCCCTAAGGTTAGATAGCAAAAGTCGGGATATTAGTAGCTAGAAAGGGGTTATCTATACCCTTACTTGTAGATTCCTTAGGCATTAAGATTGAGTTAATTACTGTCTAGTGAATAGTAGTAGGAACCAGTTCTCTAAGTGTCTGCCTATTGATATCTAGTGGATTGTATCTCTTATTATCCTTAAAAACTATATCTCTTGTCCTAATTACCTTGTTTAGGGGTAAAGGAATCCAGATCCAAAAGATATTAGTAGAGGTATACCTACTATTACCGTAAAGCCCTCTCTCCTACTACCGTCCTCGGGTAGACGATCGGATAGGCTCGGCTTACGGTAGGTCACGGCGTAGCTCCGCGGTAAAAGAGGTAGGATAGGTAGAGATCCGGAAGGACGCGGAGATGCCCGTAAGTAGTAGGAAAGGTAATATTAGAAGACAAAGCGCACTGTAGGGTAACGACATCAATTATAGTAGAGTAGGTATCCGTATGTCTACGTCCTAATTATGTCCGTCCTCTCCTCCGTCCTAAAAAGAAGAAAACTACCCTATATAGCTACCCGCCGGGAGTAGTACGGCCCTCCCGGGCCGTCCGGCTCTCGGCTCTACCCTAACGCCCTACGTAAAAGAAACACGCCTAGCCGCTTAATACTACTTAGGTACCTAATATAAGCTCTCTCTTCTATCTTGTCTCTCTTAGCAATATCTCTGCGGAGAGCGAAGGCCTTGCAACTAATAGGGTAGAGATAGCTAAGGAAGGGCTTCTTAGTTATGACTTTCTCAAATAGAGTTATCTAGTTAAGCTTAGCAGTAGGGGTCCTATTAAGAAGGTAAATAGCTGAATCTAGGAGCTATAGCTATAGGTTCTTTAGCAACCTGCTATCAATTCTAAGAGTCCTAGATTTGGTAACAATCTCTCTTCTAGCAACCTTACTTGCTCTCTTAGCTAGAGATATTATCTAGGCTAGGTTTCATCTCAATTACTTAGCAGCCCTTAGTTATAGGTTCCAAGTGCTCAATAGCCCTTACAGATAGGTAGCCTAGTAACTAATACTATTGATTAGCCGTTGCTATTAGAGGTAGGAGTAGTTTGTAACTAGAATCACTAGATTATATAGTAGCAACAGATCTAGCAGGTAACGTTAAGGCAGATAAGGTTAATTTCCCCGCATTCTCGGAGTGTAGGGTATATATAGACTTTACCTCCTTAATTCTAGTACTGATTTTTCTAGATAAATTAGTAAGTCTAGTAGTTCTAGTAACACTTCTTATTATAGGCAACCGTTCGATAATCTAGTAACTATGCCTATTACTATACTTAGAGGTAAGGTATACCTAGAGCCTAGGCTCCTTATATAATTAGCTAGTAATCAACTTGTCTAGCTAGTTTCTAGTATTATAGTAAATACCCTTCTTGTTAAGGATCTATAGTAAGACCAAACTTATAAAGAATCCCGGAATAAGCCTTGCCTTAAGAAGAGTAAGCTTCCTAGTAACTCTATTACCTATATTAAGATTAATAGTAGCATCTACAATTGCCTTAGGTTAGTACCTCTTGTCCCTAGAGATTACTATATTAGAGGAGGTTAGTAACTCGGACTTAACGATCCTTGCCCTTATAGCCTCGTTAATAATATAAATATTAGTACTACTATCTAGAATTATAGCGTTATAAAGGCGGGTATAGTAGCTAATTGAACCAACAGATGCCTTAGAGGTTGATTCTAGGGTAGTAGTAGTAGTAGTATCCTCAATCTCTGCGGCTATACTCTTATCCTTTCCTTTGTCCTTTAACCCTTAAGTAGTATTATAGGCTTGAATTGCTTTGTCTACTCTCTCCTTTAAACTCTTGTCTTCTTTAAACCTCTTCTTAATCTTCTTTTTAGTATCCTCTCTTAGCTTCTATACCTTAGGCCTCGGATACTCGGCATTAAGGTAATAGTATTCCTTCTATATATAGTTCCTACTACAGAGGCAGGGCTTTCTTAAAGAGGAGGATAATCGAGTTAAGGACGAAGATTCGGTTACAGCCGTAGATAAGATACTAGCTATAGTAGTTCGATACTTACTCTTGAACTTAGTGTCTCTATTATACTAAAAGTAGGACTACTAGGCTCTTAATTCTAAATAGAGTAATATTACCTCCCTATTATTCTGCTTGTTAAGTAGCCTACCTATCCTTATAGCTATATAGTCTCTATAGAGTAGAGACATAGAAGTAAGCTATACCTAGGTAGACTTATTATCTACTTATATACTAACAGTATCTCTCTTACTATACTAAGTGAACTATAGGTATATATAGTTAGAAATAGTTTTTCTATAAGGTAGAAGAGATAGGGTTTCTAATTCTTTCTTTAACAACTGAGTAGTAGTAAGGGTATTAGGCTTAGTATATTCTAAGAGCTTCTTGAGTTTCTCTCTTAGAATCTTATAGTTAATTACCCTATACTAGAGGTCTAAAGACAGAGACTAGTTAATTATTAATAAGATCCTCTAATACCCCTTTTGCTTGAGTTCCTATACATCCTTGTTATACCTATACTTAAATTAAGCTAGACTGAGGGCTATTAGTATAACGTTATTAGAAAGGGAATTGAAATTAAAGACTAGTTGTCTTCTAGACTAAATAGGGGCTTCTAGGTTTAGTTTATTAATTCCTAGGTTAATATTATCCTATATCTAGAGGGCCTCTACCTCGTTCTTAATATAGGTAATCTATACATTCTAGTCCTACTAGGTACGTAGCTTAGCAATCGACATCGTTAATAAGGGTTTAGGTAAATTAGCTATAGTGTCTTCGTTAAATTCGTCAAACTACTCTAGAACAGCTTAATTCCTAGGATACGAGCCTCTAGGTATCTTTTCTTCTAATATAAGCTGACTTAATAGTCCTTCTTTAACCTCTTAAAACTTAGGACTCGGGGATCGGTCGATTATAAGCTAATCTAATAGGCTCGGGCTTTCCTCTCTTCGTCTAGATAAGCGGGTTTAGGCCGGTATAAAGTAATAGTATACGGTCCTTAGTTATTATCTTAATATAGCGGAGTTTGACCAATCTTAGTTAATTCTAGGAAATATTAGGTAACTCTAACTATCTAGTAACTAATTAATTCCTTTGATTAATCAAGCAGAGCTAGCCGGGCTTATAACTGTTAGAACTATATACTATACTAGTACCTAATTGAGAAGATTAATAGAATACTAATTAATAAGTAGATTAATTAAGGTCCGAGGTCTAACCTCTTAAGAAGAGAAAAGAGGGGGGTAGGTATCCCTAACTCTATATACATATACCAAGGAATCAGTGGCCCCTATTATCTTATATAACTTATATTATATGATGCTAGGGTACCTATGTCCTTCTGTCCAGACACTACAGGTACCTGTAAGGTAGCCATGACGCGGCAAACACTAGAACTGCCTTATTTTTTTAAAAAAATGTCCGTGTTTAGCTCGGCAGACTCTCGGTAGTCCGTCGTTCTAGTAATCATCCTTGCTACAATGTGGATGCTCTCTACGCAAGTCTTCTCCATAGAGGAAAGGAAAGAAAAGGAAAAAAAAATGTCTCAGTGCAACATCATCATCGACATTAGCATCATCATCATCATCGTCGTCGTGCTTCGGAGATTTTCGGTCTTTCTTTCGTATTCGTTAGTAGGTCTCTATATCTGATTGATAGGAGATTGATAGTAGTCAGTCTTCGTCATCCGCCCAACATCCTCAATGAATCCGCTCTCTCTCTTATTCATTTCATATCTGTACATATCTGTACATATCGCTCTCGGTCGGCTATATCATCATCATCACTTCACGCGAGACGAGAGATGCGAGTGCGAGAGCCGAATGACGCCAGATGACTGACCACTTTTCTTCTTTCTTCTATAAATCCCATTGCTGCTTGCTTTGCTTTGCTTCGCTTACCCTGTCTCTGCAGAGCTGGGAGTAACATATCCTCATCAGAGGTTGTGACGGTATTGTTCTTCTGGGAATACAGAAGTCGAGAAAGAACTTTATAGGTCGGTAAGGTACAGGTACATGTAGGTAAGAAGTTGGAAAAAAGTCAGAGACAACAAACGTCAACGCGGGGCGAGCGAGACCGAGGCGGCTACCTACCTTACCTACTTGCTACCTTACACTTCCATTTCCCAACCAACATCACCTCTCACCACCCACTACCGCCTCCAAAAAAACATCCAGTACATTCACATGTACATTATTATATGGACTCTTCGCCACAATTAGCCTATCTCCTCGCAAAAATGGCCGATGACCAACCCGAGAAACTTCCCACTCCAGCTTCATGTACCGCAGGTATGAAATTGACCACCAACCACATTCAGAAGAAGAAGATGTACCTACATACTCGAGAATGGGATTGGCTGATTTTTTGATTGTTACATTCTGGGAGAAAAAGACTTTTGTCTTATTCCATTGTGAGTAATACCTACTTTCTTCTTTCTTTTCTTTTTTTAATTTTTTTCAAAAATAGAGGAACTCCTACTGCATCCGTCTCGCAAGAAATTGCAGCTGTCCAACGACTTCTCAAGAAAACGGGAATTAAGTATTCAATGCATTCTGCAGGAACTACTCTTGGTATGTACATGATATCAGTAAATACAAAAAAATACCTCATCCGTTTCATCTTTCAAATTCTAATTCAAAATCAAAATTTACAGAAGGATCATGGGATGAATGTATGAAAGGTGAGTAATCCCCCCAGAAAGTACTGAATAGGTACATACCGACCTTATGTACCTGACCTTCATAATTGATTGATTAATTGGATTGATTGATTGATGAGAAATACTTGTACCTACCTACGGTACCTTAGTCATCGGTCAATGTCACGCATTTTTACATGCGAGAGGAGTGGTACGGATTCAAAGCGATATTCGAGTGGGTTCAAGGACGGATAAGAAGCAAGGTTTTGAGGATAAGGTCAAGGCTGTGGAAAGATTGTTGGCGGAGGATGATGATGACAATAACAATAAGAATGATGGGGAAGATGATGAGGGTATTACCTATACGAGATGATGAGAGGGAGGGAAAGAAGAAGGAAGGAAGAAGGAAAGAGAGAGATGAGGAAAGAACGAATGAGAGAAAAAGAGAAACAAGAGAAACAAGAGAAAGAGAGAAACGAGAAAAGAGAGAGAGAGAGAGAGAGAGAGAGAGAAAGAGAGAGAGAGAGAGAGGTCCCAAACGTGATTGTTCTCATTGCATTTGGCAGTAGACGATATGATACAAAGCAAAAACACACCCCCAAAAACGCCTGATACATCAAAACATTTCAAGCGTGTCTTCTCCATCCTCCTCCTCCTACACTTCCCACATTCCTCATCACCATCTTCAAATAGGAAAAAAAAAGAACCATAGTATAGTAGTAGTGAGAGCCCAGGAAAAGAATCGTGGCTTCGGCTAGTGGTGAGCGTCCTCGTACGAAGGTGCCTCCTCATACACGGGAAGGGGCTCAGACTGTTCGAGAACGGCGGCAGAATACTTCTTCTCACACTCAGCCTCGGCCTCCGCGACGGCATCGCCTTCTTCGAGGCGGACCGGCTCATAACCGCGGCGACCACCTCGGCGGTGCCGGAACCAGAGAAAGCCGAGAAGACGACCAAAGCAGAGACCAAACAGGCTGACAACCATGCCGACCGCGACGCCGGCCATGGTCGGAATGAGCACCGCGGTGAGGCCACGAGCAAACGAGTGCATGAAATGGTATCCGCCATGGGGACCGTCGACGTGATCGTGGGCTTCCATGTGGTGTGGTCGGCCGTGAGATTCCATGTGGTGTGGTCGACCAGCCTTCTTGCCTTTGGCGCCATGACAGCCGACCCTCTTGCCGCCATGGCGGTGGCCTTGACGCATGCTCTTGACCTTCTCCTCCAGCATGTGCTTCAATTGGCATAGCCTGGCAGAAAAGAATCGGCAATCAGTTTCCCCGTCAAGAGCTGCTAGTGGCGGCAGAATCAAATCTTCCACTGGTTGTGCCGGCTCTCGTGCCTCAGTCGCGATTTCCGTAATGAAGAGCTCCCCCTCAGGAGTCTTCAGGAGCATGATGATAACCTCGTCGAGAGAGACTTGTTGTCCTTCCAATGCAAAGATGGTGTGCTTGATGGGCATTTTCATATGTCCGTCTGGAGAGATGTGCTCCGCCTGTTGGTAGGAGACACCGGAGCTGGTCACCTCGAGTGGTGTCGTCTTTGCCTTGCCCGCCTCCACGTCTTCAACCGACACCGAAGAAGCTACTTGGTTGACGTATACACGCTCTTTCATCGTTTCCAGTTGGATGCCCATGGGGAAGACAGGCTCCCCGTTGATCTCGAGAGTCTTGCCATTCTCGGATACGGTCATGTTGATGACGACGCTGTACGAGCCGCCTTGGATCGAGAACTCCTCCTCCGCCGCAGGCTCCACATCGTTGGCGCCCTCCGTCTGCTTGAATGGGAAGGCACATTCCGGGCAAGGCAGTTGGATGAGGGCGTGTTTGGCACCGGAGCCCTCGGGAAGAACGAGGTCGGCGCCCTGTTCGAGTTCAAAGTTGGAGGGAATGAGAAGAGCAGAGGCGCCCAGCGCACTGGCTGCGACAATGCCGGCTGTGCGGCCGATCATGATGAAGTGCAAATTGGAGAGATGAAAGTGAAAGAGTGGTGGTGGTGGTGGTGTTCGTCGTGGAGAGGACAGGAGAGAAGAAAGGTGTCGAGTTGTAGTTGTAGGAGAGAGAGTGAGGTGGAGAGCCTGGGCCCTGAGGTGTTGGTGTCAGCATAAGGTAGCCATGCCATGTCCCATGATGCTGACGCGGTTTCAGGCCAGTGCCAGTCTGCCCTTTGTTCCCGCCACTAGGGTCGACCTTATCGTCTCTGCCATCGTCCCGCCGTGATTGGCTGTCTGCCAGGTCTGAACCCCGGACCCCGGCGAAACTTCCGCCGACAACGCAGGCTTGTGTATCATTCGTTTCCTGCCTGTTCCTTTGCCTGCTGGCTGCTTCGACTGTCTTCTCTGCTCGTCTACCTCCTAATGCTACATAGACTCCAGAGATGCCTTATCATGGCTCGATGGGATACCAATGCCATCATTCTCCACGGTTGGATTTGCAATAAGAGAAGCTCGACCACGACAGGAGCCTGTACGCAGCCAGATCTATTCCGAGCCATCACCATGTCTAATGTTAGAAAGCTTCAGAGAGACCAGGATGGGAAATAGCGCTTGCGCTTATTTACAAACCACTTCATCAGGGGCTGCTCCAGTTCTCATCTGCTCGAAGCCTCGAACGATTAATGATTAGTTCGCATTGTTGCCCCGTGGGGTTGCACGGCTACGACTTAGGTAGGTCTCACAGTAGTCTTGCCGTTTTCTCGATAAACGGGAGAGGGGCTTGTCAGCTGTACGGCGAGATCTGGTCTCTCAAGACAAGCTGTTGGATACTGGGCCAAGGCGATATGAAGCTTGCACTGCAACATGGCGAGGTTGAGTGAGAGAGAGAGGACGTAGAACTAAGGGGGAAGAGCTATCGTGGCAAACATGTGGCTGTTGCGGCGTGCCATCTTTCAACACATCAGCGTGCTGTTGGGCTGAATTTTGAAAGGCAGGAGACAATACCTAATCGCACTGTCGTGATATATGCTGTACTATGAGATGGAGAAGCCGGACGGTAAGTGGGCGATGCTCTCAATTACATGTATCGTGAAAGTGTCAAAAGACCTTACGCGCGGTTGCAGGTTCTCGAACAGTCTTTACCTCTTCAAATAGAGAAACGCAATGGTGAATTGCAACACCACCTCACTCAACATTCACATCCGCAATAACCAGTCATACCCAACCAGTCATACCCACCCATCTCCTCACATGAACTACATGTGACTCTCGCTCCATCCACAACCCTGACCCAGAACTACCTTACCTTACCTATTCAGAAGCCACCGCCAACTACCAAATCATGGTGTTCAGCTGGAGCGACACCGCAGACAAACAGATGCTTCTGCGCATCATGCATCTCGCAGGGCCCGTCAAACTGGCAGATTTCGACCAAGTCGCAGCAGGAATGCCACCAGGCGTCACCGCTGAGGCGTGCAGGTAAGTACATGTAGCAGCTACACATCCTCCGCATCCTTCCTTCCTTCCTTCGTTTGTTGTCAATGAGAGTGCATGGTGAATGGTGACTGACTTCTCCAACAACAGACAACGCTTACGCCGAATCAAAAAACAAGTCTCCGACAGCGAGAGCTCGAAGGAAACTACTACTACTCCAGTCAAGCGTGGAGTCGCTACCAAGAAGATCGGAGGCGCAAAGCAGAAGGCGCAGAAGTCAGCCCTGGGCGGAGAAGCTGGCGAGTGGGTTGATGATGATGATGGGGACGATGAAGAGGAGAGTCCGTTCAAGAAGTCTAAAATTGAGAAAGATCAGATCAAGTCAGAGAGCAAAGTCAAGTCAGAGCACGACGAGGACGACTGGCTGGTTTGAACGGGGTTACTTACATGTACTCTGAGAAGGGCGTAACTACGTACGACAGGGTGGGCCAGGACTCAGATTCAACTCTTCGTCCTCCCTCGTGAACACTTCATATCAATGTGGTTGCATTTTGTGGCGAGCCCCGAGAGCGTCATGGGAGCTGGCGAGAGAAGCATACCACAAGACGACCCTGCACACACACAGAGAGAGAGAGATGAGTGTCGAATCATCTCTCATACTGGCGCAGATTTGGAAAAAGGCTGGCAAAGGGGCTTGATACCTTGGCGAGTGTTTGCCCATGATTACTTCTAGCAGACCAGAAGGTACATACCTTAGTCTGCATTCATCTCTCCAAGCCTCATTACCTGATAACTTGACACAGGCTTTCTGTGTTTCTCTCCACTTGTTTTCGCCTGCTGTTCTAGTCACGCTCATCACACTCCACGAATATCGCTCTGAATATGCGTAAACACGCTCGAGTACTGCGAGAAGCAGGTGCATCCAGTCATGCTTGCAAGTACCTTACATTGTAGCGAGAAACAAGTCGTTGAGAAACCGCCTCAGAAACGTAGTGGATTACCTTGACGATGAGAGTACCTGGGTACCTACATACTTACCTACCTAGGTACCTTAGGCATACAAACTTTGGTCAGCGGCACGGGCAATATCCAACGAGTATTGGGTCTTAGCAAGAGGGAATAATTCACGGCAGAGCCCATGTTGTATGTATTGCTCTTCTAGCAGCACAGATGAGCATGATCTTGTCTGAGTGGGCTATGAATGGCGAATTTGAGAAGTTCGGGCGGCTGAAATGGCATGGGAAAAGAAAGCACTGGCAGCGCATCGATGAATGCCACCTAATAGGTGTGACTCGTGATGTCTAGATGTATAGCTCGCGAAACTGCGCTGGATGCACGCGAATTCGACTTGTCTAATAAAGGAGGTGAATTTGGATTGGGAGGAGTGCCAGTTCAGATCCTGTTGCTGCCATTCGGGCCCGTTTCGCTCTGCTCATGACCTGTTCTATGGCTTTGGCGGAAAGCTATGCGATCGCGTCTGCTCCATCATCAGCAACATCTTGATACATCCATGCCAAATCACTCCTGCCAAATTTGCAGTCTTCTGGCCTTCCATCACGCCCATACTGTACATTGTCATTTTCCTGTATGTTCAAAGCCTAGGCTATGCAGCACAACGCCATCCCGATGCGTTTCCAGCCCATGGTCCAGCACCAGTATTGTCCCAGCCACCAGAACGCAGAGCTTACTCCATCTTGACCACACCCCCCAGAGCTTTCAGCGTCTCGATGATCTTCTCTGCCTCCTCCTTCGGCACACCCTCCTTCATCATTTTTGGCGCGCTCTCGACGAATTTCTTTGAGTCTACCAAACTGAGCCCGAGCAGTGCCTTGATCTCCTTGATGACCTTTGGCTTGGATGCAGCATCGAATGACTCCAGCTTCAGGTTGAACAGCGTCTTCTCTTCTTTGGCAGGCGCCGCCTCTTCAGGCTCCTCCGCTGCCGCCGCAGGAGCGGCACCGCCAGCTGGTCCCGCAGCAGCGAACCCTCCCACGGGCATATCAGGAATGTTTAAGCGTGTCTAACACCCCACTTGTCAGTACGTTGTCGATATCGTGCTTGCTGCGCGTGATATAGAGGAGATACCTTCAGCGTCGACACGAGGTCTGCAGTCTCCAACAGGGTCAATTGGCTGATTTGGTCTACGATGCCGGCAATCTTCGCGTTGGTAGGCAGTGCTGCGGGATCGGTGGACTGCCATCTCCTTTGCTGCCTTCGGTGTGTCTGAGCGGTGGCGGCGAATCGGGACGACGATCGAAGACATTGGCGACAGGTGCGCGCAGCGTAGGACGGAGTGAGCGACATGGTGGCGGTGTGTGTGCAGGTAGTGCCAGTGATGTTGTGGTTGAAAAAGAAGAAAAAGTCGAGCGGTTGACCACAAAGTTCGATATTGGAGCCGAATCTCGGCCGCAGCATGCCCGCAACGCCGCGCGTGTACAGCTGACGCGCACTCGTTCTGAGGTAAGCCGCGCGCGTCGGTTCTTGGCATGCACTCGAAAATAAAACACTGCACTCGTTTTCAAATCTACTATATTTTGTAGCGTAGTCTTGTAAAATATCGATAAAGGTAAGTTTCTAACATTTATATACTATGTTAGTACTAATAATATAGTAGTAGGATCGGGATAGTAGGTTTAGAGAAGTCGACAAAGTAAGTTCCCTTTAACCGTTACCCTATTGTTATAGTAACATTAGCTATCTAGTATTTAAAGAAGTCGACTAAGTTCCCTTTTACCGTTATCCTATCGTTATTATAACGTTAGTTCTTAAGTAAGGCGACTATTATTAACTATATTATCGAAATTTTTCTAACTTTCCTTTAACTATTACCCTACTGTTATCGTAACGTTAGCTATCTAGTAGGAGAGATCAATAATAGAGTCAATACTCGATAGTAGAGTCGGTATAGAAGATTTAGAGAAATTGATTAAGTTTCCTTTAACTATTACCCTACTGTTATTATAACGTTAGGTGTCTAGTAAGAGAAACATTAATAATAGAGTCAATAGTCGACTCTTCTATACTAATTCTACTAAGTTTCCTTTAACTGTTACCCTACTGTTATCGTAACGTTAGGTATCTAGTAGGAGAAATATCGATAATAGAGTCGATAGTAGAGTTAGTATAGAAGATTTAAAGAAGTCGACTAAGTTTCCTTTAATTGTTACCCTACTGTTATCGTAACGTTAGCTATCTAGTAGGAGGAATATCGATAATAGAGTCAATAGTAGAGTTAGTATAAACAATTCAGAGAAGTTGACTAAGTTTTATTAAGTTGTTACCCTACTGTTATCGTAAGTTCGTAACGTTAGCTATCTAGTAGGAAAAATATCGATAGTAGAGTCAATAGTAGAGTCGAAAGTAGAGTTAGTATAGAAGATTTATAGAAGTTAACTAAGTTTCCTTAAATTGTTACCCTACTGTTATCGTAATGTTAGCTATCTAGTAGGAAAAATATCGATAGTAGAGTCGATAGTAGAGTCAAAAGTAGAGTTAGTATAGAAGATTCATAGAAGTTAACCAAGTTTCCTTTAACTATTACCCTACTATTATCGTAACGTTATCTATCTAGTAGAAGGAATATCAATAGTAGAGTCAATAATAGAGTTAGTATAGAAGATTTAAAGAAGTCGACCAAGTTTCCTTTAATTGTTACCCTACTGTTATCGTAACGTTAGCTATCTAGTAGGAGGAATATCGATAATAGAGTCAATAGTAGAGTTAGTATAAACAATTCAGAGAAGTTGACTAAGTTTTATTAAGTTGTTACCCTACCGTTATCGTAACGTTAGCTATCTAGTAGGAAAAATATCGATAGTAGAGTCGATAGTAGAGTCGAAAGTAGAGTTAGTATAGAAGATTTATAGAAGTTAAGTTTCCTAAAATTGTTACCCTACCGTTATCGTAACGTTAGCTATCTAGTAGGAAAAATATCGATAGTAGAGTCAATAGTAGAGTCGAAAGTAGAGTTAGTATAGAAGATTTATAGAAGTTAACTAAGTTTCCTTAAATTGTTACCCTACTGTTATCGTAACGTTAGCTATCTAGTAGGAAAAATATCGATAGTAGAGTCGATAGTAGAGTCAAAAGTAGAGTTAGTATAGAAGATTTATAGAAGTTAACCAAGTTTCCTTTAACTATTACCCTACTGTTATTGTAACGTTATCTATCTAGTAGAAGGAATATCGATAGTAGAGTCGATAATAGAGTTAGTATAGAAGATTTAAAGAAGTCGACCAAGTTTCCTTTAATTGTTACCCTACTGTTATCGTAACGTTAGCTATCTAGTAGGAGGAATATCGATAATAGAGTCAATAGTAGAGTTAGTATAAACAATTCAGAGAAGTTGACTAAGTTTTATTAAGTTGTTACCCTACCGTTATCGTAACGTTAGCTATCTAGTAGGAAAAATATCGATAGTAGAGTCGATAGTAGAGTCGAAAGTAGAGTTAGTATAGAAGATTTAGAGAAGTTAACTAAGTTTCCTAAAATTGTTACCCTACCGTTATCGTAACATTAGGTATCTAGTAGGAGAAATATCGATAATAGAGTCGATAGTAGAGTTAGTATAGAAGATTTAGAGAAGTTAACCAAGTTTCCTTTAACTGTTACCCTACCGTTATCGTAAGTTCGTAACGTTAGCTATCTAGTAGAAGGAATATCGATAGTAGAGTCGATAATAGAGTTAGTATAGAAGACTAAGAAGATTTAAAGAAGTCGACTAAGTTTCCTTAAATTGTTACCCTACCGTTATTATAACGTTAGCAATTTAGTAGGACTGTAGAACAAATATTGTTAATTAAGTTTCCTTTAACCGTTATACTATTGTTATAGTAACGTTAACAGTTTAGTAGGAAATATATTCAAAATATAGACTAGATGCCTAGGGCTCTCTACTATATAGCTTTCTACTAATAGATATAGCGATCTAAGTCAAAGTCTAACGTTTCAGAACCGTTTAGGTAATAGTAACACTATAATTTACTATTTCTATAGCTTCTAGTCTTCTAGATAGAAAGTACTTTGCTTATACTTCTAATATACTAATAGTATACCTAGATATATTACTACTTAGTTAGTTAGTAGTACAATACCGTTAGGAAACTGTTATAATAATAGTTACCTTGTTAAGTAGGTCTTACTTCTTAAAGGGAAATACTAATATTAGTAAAACGGTATTAAAACAGTAGAATAATAGTTTCTAAATATTAAGTAATCAGATATTGCTCTATTAATTACTAGATCTTAGTAATAATATATATATAAGTCTAAGATAGTAGTAGTATATAAGAGTACTTTCTAGTTAATATAAAGAGTATATAGAGATATATATTTAGATCGTCTAGTACAAACTCCTAGAATATAAGTAAACAAAATATATAAATATATATACTAGAACTAGTACTAGGGTACAAAAAGTCTATAATAGTATAGTAATAGTATAGTAACAGTATAGTAACAGTATAGTAACAGTATAGTAACGATCCGGTATTATAACGGTATTGTAACGGTATAGTAATAGTATCTAGTATTTACTATTGTCGAGATAGTAAATAGTAGAGAACTATAATACAGAGTCGGTAAGTATAGAGTAAATAATAGTTTTTAGATAGCTCGATAGAAGTAGATACAAAGGAAGAAGAAAAAACATAACCTGCACTCGTAATTTAAACTATGCACTCGTTCCGTCTTGGGATGCGTTTTGAATGCTTAGTCAGGAGTGCGTAGAACCTCAGAACGAGTGCGAGTCAGCGCCGCACGCCAACGCCGCTCCTGCAGAACGATGGATCTATCATCTGGAGACAAGACAATTGAGGAACGATCTAAAGACGTCTCCCCCCATCGACAGCCGAGATAGCTACATTGCCAGACCACCACCACGCGCCTGATAAAACGCGGTATTCTGCGTCTTCGACACTCTCATGGAGTGCACCTGGGATGCTGCCTTGCTGCGCCAAGCTGATCAGCTCCCAGCGGAACTGCTGCAAGTCATACAATATGGCAGCAACGAGCAATATCTCGAAGCCCTCACGGAAACGGCCTTGAATGCCCGATACACTTACAACCTGTTGGCACACTGCGAAAATGTCTTTGCTCATCTTTGTGCGTCTCTTCGCGCTCATGGATCTCTTGCATCCACGATTGCCACTATGGGCCGAGTCGTTCCCCATGCGCCCTATCTTGCACCTTTGGCCATACACCTACTAGAAAACGAGTGTCACGTTCCCGGACAAGGGAATGGCGACAGTGAGGACATATCCTACCTACTGGGCCTTTTTCGTCTACTCAGGTTTGATCGCCGAGTGTTTCGCAAATATGTACATACCACTCAACTCTGGAGTCTGCTTCGAACTAGCAGTCCGCCTGTCATATATCTCATTATTCGAATAATGCAGATCCACCTCCAGGGCGCCGATCACTGGTTTGAGACCACTCTCCGTCAATACCTTGGCGATGACAATCCGGACGTTGCGATCGAAGGTCCATGGGACGATAGAACCATCGACTATCGCTTCTTGTCACTATGGGAACAGACTCGCAGTGGCGAGATTCGAAAGCTCATGGCAGATGTCCAAAAGTCTGAGCTGCTACGATCTGGATTGAAGTACCGTGTCATTCCAGCTGAGCTACTTCATTCGGCAACCGCTCTCATCGGTGGCGTTGTGCTCCCTAGCATATCTGCGTCCAAGACCAGAACGCAAGGAAACGCCTTGGTTGAGACGGAAACGACGCGTAGCAATCTAGGAACTGTGGCGCACGCTTTAAAACGACCTGGGCCGCTACTGTTGACCGGCCTCCCCGGCTCTGGCAAGACATTACTCGTTCAGCATGCTGCTCGGTCCCTTGGCAAGTTCGACAAGATGGTGACTCTGCACCTTAACGAGCAGAGTGATGCGAAGATCCTGCTCGGTGTCCATACCACAGGCGATGTACCTGGCACGTTCACTTGGAAGCCTGGTGTGCTGACTACGGCTGTTCAGGAAGGCCGCTGGGTTCTTATCGAGGACTTGGACAAAGCTCCGAATGAAGTTTTGGGAACGTTGCTGCCACTGATTGAGAAAAGTGAATTGTCCATCCCAAATCGGAAGGAAACGGTGTATGCTGCCGAGGGCTTTCGGATTCTTGCTACTGTGCGAAGTACCATCAATCATCGTGGAGAGGAGAGTCGACCCTTGACGCACATGGTGGGATCTAGACACTGGCAGAAAATTTCCATCGCCACACCAACGACCGCCGAGCTTGCAGTCGTCGTCGGTAAACTGTACCCAAGTCTCGATAAGCGAATACCACAATTTATGGCTGTGTATGAGCGTCTCGTTGCCGCCAAGCAGCAGTCAGTGCTGATCGGACAGAGTAAGACTGGGGTGGCTCGCTCCATTAGTCCCCGAGACTTGTTGAAATGGTGCAAGCGCGTTGCAATGGTACAGAGTGGGCGCTCCTCTTTCGCCAGCAAAGACATTGATGATTCGTTCCTCGAGGCTGTGGACTGTTTCCTCGGGGCTCTCCCGGACGACGATGTGCGTAGCAATCTCGCTTCTGTGATTGCAGAAGAACTTCACATTGACCCTGAGCGAAAACACCATCTACTTCGTAAACGAGAAGCTCAGTACAAAGCCACCAGGGAGAAAATATCGTCCGGGCGGTACACTGTCTCCAGGGCGCGACACACAAAAATTGTCGAAGGATCATTCTCGACAAATCCGCATACATGCCGCACTCTTGAGAGTGTACTTGCCGCGGTCGTCAATCGAGAGCCGCTATTGCTTGTGGGCGAGACCGGAGTGGGAAAAACTACCGCAGTGCAGCATCTCGCTACGCAAATGGGGAAGAAGCTTGTCCCTTTCAACCTTTCTCAGCAGACCGAAGCTGGAGATCTGCTCGGTGGGTTCAAGCCTGTCAACCCTCGGACCTTGATGATACCGCTGAAAGATGAGTTTGACGATCTTTTCAGCGAGAGTTTCCCTTCCGCAAAAAACGAGAAGTTCATCACACTCATGAACAGAACTGCGGACAAAAACAACTGGCTCGGTGTGTGTAAACTCTTTCGCACAGCTATCGGCATGGTGGATCAAGAGCGAGCCGCTACACCTCCTCGGGAAGAAGGCGAGGCTCCGGCCAAAAAACGCAAGACTGGAAGTAAACGTGTCATTGATTTTGGCAAGTGGGATGCATTTCTTGCGCGAGTGGAAGCAATAGAAGGCCGACTCAACACCTCAGACAAAGCTGTGGCATTCACATTCCTCGAGGGCAACATCGTCAAGGCTGTTCGAAATGGAGACTGGGTGCTCCTAGATGAGATTAATCTGGCATCCTCTGACACGCTCGAGTCAATCGTTGACCTGCTTGATGTAACACCATCTTTATTACTGACAGAAGCCGGAAACATCGAGCGTATCGATGCTCACCCAGACTTTCGTGTGTTTGCAGCCATGAATCCTGCGACAGATGTCGGTAAGAAGGACCTACCACCTGGCATACGATCACGCTTCACCGAGCTGTATGTTGAAAGTCCTGACAAGGACGCCAAGTCGCTAGAGAGCATCGTGCGGTCATGGCTAGGATCAGCAGCGGTCTCGGATGTTGCTATTGCGAGCGATGTTCGTGGGCTCTACCAAAATATAATAGCCCTATCTCAGGATAACAGGCTCGTCGACGGCGCAGGTCAGAAGCCGCACTTCTCACTGCGCACCCTGACGAGGACATTGAGCTACGCTAAACACATCCAGCAAACGTGCAGTTTGCGGCGTGCGCTGTACGAAGGCTTTCAGATGAGCTTTCTCACCTTTCTGGACACTGAGTCTGCTGCCTTAGTGCAACCGCACATTGAAGAACACCTTTTCAAGAAGACGAAGATCAACGTCAAGGCTGAGTTGAAGCGCGCTTTGCGCAAGCCAGAGGACAACCAAATATATGTGCAGGGTCATCCTGGGAGCAAGCACTGGATCCGCAAGGGCGCTGAGGATCTGGAGGATCAGCCGCAGTACATCATCACAAGTTTCGTGGGACGCAATCTAGAAAATCTTGTCCGAGCTGCTTCAACTCGTCAATTTCCAGTACTGATACAGGGGCCCACCTCTGCAGGCAAAACAAGCATGATCGAGTATCTTGCGCGACGTACTGGGCACAAGTTCACGCGTATCAATAATCACGAACACACTGATCTACAAGAATACCTGGGGACATATGTCTCTGGCACAGATGGACGTCTTCAATTTCAGGAGGGCGTTCTAGTCAAGGCCTTGCGTGAAGGCCATTGGATCGTTCTCGACGAGCTGAACTTGGCGCCAACGGATGTGCTTGAAGCCCTCAATCGACTGCTGGATGACAACCGTGAATTGCTTATTCCCGAGACACAGGAGACCATCAGACCACATCCAGACTTCATGCTATTTGCCACGCAGAACCCTGCCGGACTGTATGGCGGGCGCAAAACGCTTTCACGTGCCTTTCGCAATAGATTTTTGGAACTTCACTTTGACGACATCCCGATCAACGAGCTTCAGGAGATTCTTGAAAGACGCACGCAGCAACCTGCTTCGCGATGTGCACGCATCGTCACCGTATACCGAGAGCTCTCCAACCTGCGGCAACAGAACAGGCTTTTCGAGCAGAAGAGTTTTGCCACGTTGCGTGACCTCTTCAGATGGGCTCTCCGACCCAACGACACCATCGAACAGCTCGCGGAGAATGGGTATATGCTACTATGCGAGCGTGTGCGCAAGCCGGAAGAGCGAATTGCTCTCAAAGATGTCATCGAGAAAGCCATGAGCAACAAAGGACCCAAAGTGCGCATCGACGAAGATGCACTCTACGCCGCAGATTGCCCTGAAGTGCGGCAGCATATACAACACGCTGCCGATCGGGGCGTTGTCTGGACGAAGGCTATGCGAAGGCTTTACGTGTTGGTATCCCGAGCTATCGCTAATGACGAGCCTGTCCTACTCGTTGGTGAGACTGGATGTGGCAAGACGACAGTATGTCAAATGCTTGCGGATGCACTCAAGAAAACACTGCACATGGTCAACGCCCATCAGAATACCGAAACGGGCGATCTCATTGGATCGCAACGGCCGTTGAGAAATCGCGGCGCCATAGAAGAAACTTTACGCTCACGGCTTCTCGCCTCTCCGCCCCTGCAAAGCACATCAGAGGCGCAAGCGCGATCTACAGAGGAGCTACTATCTACGTATGATCAGGCCTTGAAGTCTTTGCCAAAGGACCAACGAGCCATTTGGCAGAAGGAGCCTGGCCATCTTGAAATACAAACCTGGCGAACACGATTCAAAGCACTCTTTGAATGGGTAGACGGCAGTCTGGTTGAAGCTATGCGCGAAGGCCAGTTCTTTCTGCTCGACGAGATATCCTTGGCCGACGACTCGGTCCTTGAGCGTATAAACAGTGTCCTAGAGTCATCACGGACGATCTTGCTTGCGGAGAAGGGCAGTGTCGACTCAGCAATCGCCGCAGCATCTGGGTTTCAATTCTTCGCAACAATGAATCCTGGTGGCGACTATGGCAAACGCGAGCTCTCTCCTGCATTGCGAAATCGTTTCACCGAGATATGGGTACCCGCAATGTCTGGCATGGACGACGTGCTTCAAATCGTGGAGTCAAAGCTAGCAACAGCAGCTCGGCCGCATGCTATGGCCATGATTCAATTTGCTACCTGGTTCAAACAGAGATTCGACACATCAGCTAGCTCTGCAGTGTCGATTCGCGATATACTAGCCTGGACCCAGTTCGTCAACGCACATTCGCCAGGAGACTTGGCACCGGCGATTGTACATGGAGCCGCCATGGTCTACATCGACACTCTGGGTGCAAATCCTGCAGGTCTGATGAGCATCTCATCCTCGAGCCTTGCCGACGAACGGGGCGCCTGTTTTACCCAGCTTGGTCGCCTGCTTGACATCGACGCTTGCGCATCATATGGGTATGAGTTTGAAGTGCAAAGCAGTCCGGAATCGCTCAGAATCGGTCCATTCAGACTAGAGTGCGAACGGGTTGTCCAGGCCGCACCAGCGGCATTCACCTTCGATCCGCCGACCACTCGCTCCAATGCTATGCGAGTGCTCAGAGCACTACAGCTTCCCAAACCTGTGCTTCTAGAAGGCTCACCGGGCGTAGGAAAAACGGCGCTAGTGACTGCTATTGCAGCTGCCATAGGTATGCCTCTAGCCAGAATCAACTTATCGGATCAGACGGACTTGATTGATCTATTTGGATCTGACGCTCCTGTTGAAGATGGGTTCGGTTGGAGAGATGCGCCCTTTCTTCGTGCCATGAAGAACGGCGAGTGGGTTCTTCTCGACGAGATGAATCTCGCTTCGCAGTCCGTACTCGAAGGTCTCAACGCTTGTCTGGATCATCGAGGGGAAGTCTTCGTGCCTGAGCTTGGTCTTTCGTTCGCTCGGCACCCTCGCTTCCGCCTCTTTGCCGCACAGAACCCCCATCATCAAGGCGGAGGTCGCAAAGGTTTACCTGCATCCTTCGTCAATCGTTTCACTGTAGTGTATGCCGACACCTTCAAGGCCGAGGATCTGAACATGATCTGCCAGCGGTCTTTCCCGAGCCTTGATGCAGAGTATATCGAGAAAGCGGTCGCTTTTGTCACGAAGTTGAATGGCGAGGTGGCAGACCGACACACGTTTGGGTCCAGTGGCGGTCCCTGGGAATTCAACTTGCGCGATATCACACGATGGCTCGCACTCGCTTCTTCCACCGATGGCTTGCTCAGAGCTGGCACTCCTCGGGACTTTGTGGAAATGCTGTTCGCACAGCGCTTCAGAACGAGCTATGATAGGATGTGTGTTGCGAATCTCTTCGATGCTGTGTTTGGGGAGAATCAGCACGCAACGGACCTCTACTGCAACCTATCTACGAGGACTCTGCAAGTTGGTCTGGCGCTTCTGCCTCGAAGCGACTTGGGTGCTCAGTCGTTCTCCGAGGGTTCCAGATTGTCAGCGCAGCGACTGCGTGCAGTTCAGTCTATCATGCTTTGTGTCCATAAGGCGTGGCCTGTCATCTTGGCAGGCGGGCCAGGCGTTGGAAAGACCACGACGCTTGAGGAGCTCGCCGCGTGTGTAGGTGCCGAGATCGTGACTCTGGGCATGAGCGCTGAGACGGATGCGCTCGATCTTATAGGCGGCTACGAGCAACACGATCCTCATTGCCAGCGAGCACAGGCTTTGTCTACACTTCGCTCGCAAGGGGATCACCTCAGCAAGTTAGCGCTCGCTGAAGGTTCTGCAGATCAGTTTGCAATACTGCGCGCAGCTTTCGTGGACATTGAGCAGAATGCGACCCCCGCCGCTGTGTCGAGACTGCTAGACCTTCTGCCTGATGGACTGAGGTCGACTCTCTCCCCCGACTTGGAACAGCTGACGACTACAGCGCAGGCGATCGACAAAGCGCGATTCGAGTGGATTGACGGTCCTCTTATCGATGCGATTCAACAAGGTAAATGGGTTATCCTCGACAATGCTAACTTGTGCAGTCCCTCTGTCCTCGATCGGCTTAACGGTCTCATGGAGCCTAACGGGGTTCTGATTGTGAACGAGCACTGCGCGCCTGATGGCTCTGCGCAAATCATTACGCCCCACCCCGGGTTTCGGATCTTTCTGACGGTCGATCCAAGACTGGGAGACCTCTCACGAGCCATGCGAAATCGAGCTGTAGAGATATTTCTCGACGCACCAGCTGAATCTGCGAATACTTCAACAGGCATCTTGCAACCAGAGTCAGCAATGACTCGATTCAGTATCCTGCACCAGGGAACAGTCGATGCCGTACCCAATGAGCATACGTATGCTGTAGCTCGAGATCACCTTGCTTTCTCCGACGAGTCACTACTGTCTCGTTTCAGAGCGCAGTGGAGTACAGGTCCTGTAGAGCAGGTCGACGACGATGCTTCCGCGTCGTCCGGTCATCTCACCGCACTTGCCAGCATCCCTGCTGACCTTCAAGCTCTGTATCAAAGAGTGGCGACCTCTCTGCAGGCGCCTGCTGACTATGCTCGTGTACAGGTCAGTAGTCCAGAAAGTCACAAAGTAAGTATCACGGCTGACGGTAAGTGCACTTTACAGACTGTTCATCCTCTCAACAATCAACCTTTCGTTCAACAGTCCCAGCAAGTCTTTGCAGTAGCTGTCTCACTTGCAGTGCGTCACGATATTGCGAGCCAGCTTGGTGCAATCGACGCTGCCTTGGCCACTTTGAGGGCCGATCGCAAGTTATCTGAACATCTTGCACGATTCTGGAAGACCGCACGCCGAAAATCTAGCAGTTCGTCTAGTCTACTGTATATCCTCGAGCAATTGGTATCACCAATCCGCGCGTGGCTTGAAAATCGCAGTGATGTAGCCCCGGATGAAGTACAAGCGGTGAAATCCAGTGCTGGCAGCTTGATCGCCTACTGCTGGACTCTTCTGCGCACTTTGAGATCCACCGCATTAGACGTGCCGCTCCTGACGGCAACGGCGATTGTCGGTCAATCATTGTGCCACCACAATACGTCTGCACTTGAACGGACTGTTGCTCAATTCCAGACTGGCTTGCATGAACTCGGCCTGGTATCGGATACTACAGCCCGGCACGCTTTTGTTGCTATGTGGCAACATTTCCGGCCGGTCATGCCAAAGACTATGGACACGCTACGAGCACTCTTACATTTGGAAGACGTGATCGACAAATTTGATCAATCGACGCTGAGCTTTCGTTTGCCGATCAAGCAGATTACAGAGCTCCGAGTGCACTTCCGGCGGGCGCACGATATGAACAGCAGCGCTGAGGATCTCGAATCTTTGGCTGAGAAGGCACTGGCATCACTACCAGTATCTCAGGTCAACGACGAAGTGATCGATAATGCTGTGGTCGTCACACCACACTTTGCAACCAGCTTTGAAGCTCTCTTTCAGCGGTTCACCATCTTGTCGCAGGAAGCCGGTGCCTTCGACCTGACCAGCATTGAGGTATTGTCGCGGAGGAGAACGGTCGATGGATTACGTGCCACCAAGACTACGATCTCTACGCCATCCCAGCTTATCTTAGGGTGTCTTAGGTCGTTATCCTCCTCAGGCATGAGCGATGCGTCAATCACCGCGACCCACCAGTTCGCGAGCGCGGAGGCGATCCTCGATGGCATTATGAATGTTGGAAATGTCAACTTACAGGCGCTGAGTCTGCTCGAGACAGAAACAAAGACCTTGGGCTATGCGGTGGGTGTCCGCGCTCAGACTATCGCAGCCGACCCGCTGCCAGATCTGGACGTGCTTCTGCAAGGCTTGCTGAACGCCATCCTTCATGCTCTCGCCGCCAACAATGAGCTTGGTATACTTCAGAACTATGCTCTTGGCCTCCTGACTGCTCTCGAGTCTAAGGACTTCGTGTGTCTGCCAAATTTGCACGACGCAGATGAGCGGATCGCCGCAGTATGCCGACGGCTTCACACAGCGGCCTCGTATTCGTGCGCGAGCGAACATACCAGGAACCATGCGGCAAAGGCTTGGTGCGCGCTGGCGACCGCTTGTCTCGACCTATATGTGCCTGAGCATGCCTTCGATCCCGTCCAGGAATCACAAATTCGCACAGAAATCTTCCAGCACACTGTTGGCGAGTTGCAGGCGCGACTGAGAGCTTTGCAAGTATTCAGACGAGCATGGGTCGGGGAGAGTGACTCGTTGCGATGTCGTCTGCTCGAAGAGGACATCAGGTATCTAGGAGATGGGCCAGCGGTGGTGGAGATATGTCGACCAACGCAGTCTAAGCTCTCCCAATTACACGGTGACCTGCAAGCTCTTGCGCGTATCGTCAGTCCGCTGAGACGAGATGCGGGCGCCCAGAGCTTGAACCACGGTGCTTGGAGCAATTTATCTGTCATTCGTGGCCGTCTAGATTCTCAGTACCGAGCATATGCGGACCTTGCTGCCCCTGTGGTAGGCTTTATCGACTGCTTGGCAGTGGCCCAACAACTCGCAGCATTGCCAGGCGACGATTCACGAACTCGTAACGGCTCGCTTGCCAGTGTCACGCCATTATCTGATGCTGGTTTAGAAGATTGGATCAACGATGAGCGCCTCCTTGAAGTGCAGCTTACTTGTCGATCAAAGGAGGAGCAGATATTCTGGCTGTCTGTCGTGGCAGCACGCTCCTCAATCGTTCCACTGGGTAAGGCTACGCCAGCCCTGCGCTCGGCCACGAACAGCACGCTGCGTCTGTTCTACGAAGCCTGGACCAGAGAGCTCGATCGAGATCAAAGACTTGCTGCTCGGAACTCAAGCTTATACCAATATCGAGGCGGAGATGACGAATCCGAGGAAGCTACCTTGGCAGAGTTGAACGAGCTATTCCCCAGTTACGAGAGGGAAGATGATGCCACAAAGTCAACTCCAAGCGTGAACGCGCAGGCACTAGCATCGCGTATGGCCGCGATACACCACAGCATTCACACTGGTACAGAACCGAGTCCAGACGTCCTGCTCGACTTGCTGCAACAAGCCTCTCAAGTGCCGACGACGCGCAATGCGTCCAGCATAGTCACCGTGATCAACGCGCTTCACAAGCTGTCCAGCAGCTTGTCGGCGCCCCAAAGGAGCAAGAACATTTACACGGACCCTGATATAGGGCAGGCAAAGACTCTCGTTGCGCTACTCGAAAGAGTGACCAACCGGTTTGAATTCATTCACAACGCTTGGCCGGATCATGCTACGCCAATCGAAGCACTCCGTGCTTGCAATGCGATCATGGCGCTGGGCCACTCGGAGCCACTTGCGCGTTTCTTGCCTTTTGTCGAGAAGCTCCACGGCATCGTGAACGAGTGGCAGAAGGTGGCCAGTTCAGAGTACTCGGTATTCTCTCTGCTTGAGGAGATCACGAGTCTCATCGTTAGCTGGCGCCAACTTGAGCTTGCAACCTGGGCTGGTCTATTCGACCAAGAGGATGAAGCTTGTAAGCAGAATGCTTCATCGTGGTGGTACATCGCCTACGAGACCATCATCGCCGCCTCTGAAGAAGAATCGCAATCTACACACTCGCTGGCACAGTTCTCGCAACAGCTCCTCGAAACCCTTGGCGGCTTTCTCACGTCCTGTGGTTTGGGTGAGTTTCGCGTCCGCCTATCGATGCTGGTTGATTTTGAGGCCGATTTGGCTTCGAGAGCCATTGACAATGATGCACTGCGACCTGTTCGAAACGCGCTTTCCAGCTTGATAGAATTCTACTCGCACTTCACTGCATCAGTGACAACCCATTGGGCCAACAAGCGAGCTGAACTTGAGAAGCAAATCAAGGAAGTTGTCCAATTGGCGAGTTGGAAAGACCGCAACATTGAAGCATTAAAGCGCAGCGCCAAGAACTCGCACAACAGACTCTTGCGCAGCGTCAAGAAGTATCGAGTGCTGCTTGCCGAGCCCGTGGCCCCTCTTCTACAATCAGACTTCCCGGCCATACGGCAGATGTCTCAGGGGCAGGCTGTGCAAGTCCGAGATCTTCCACTTGGTCAGGGCGTTCCCACTGTACACCTGCAAGCCTGGTCTGAGCGGCCTCAGATGCTCAGAGACCTCTCAGCATTGGAGGGTAGACTGACATCCAATGTCTCATCGATCACAGTCGCGACCAAGGCATCTGCCCAGCTCGAGGAATTCTTACTCGAGACCCAGGCAGAGGCTGCTGAGCTTCGTAAAGCAACTCCAGCCACTAGCACGGAGAAGAACAAAAGCATCGTGCAGCAACTCAAGACGCGCAAGAGACGCCTGCTTGCCGACGTATTCCGCGAAATACAGGCCATGGGTTTTCAGAAGAACCTCGGTGATGATGTTCTCGCGCAGCAGCAATCACTGCACGGTGTGTTGTCAAAGTCGCCGCCGCTACGTTTCCCAGAGAGCGTACTAGACGCCCATGGAGCTGACTACGAATATCATCGCTTTGTTCACGTCATGCCGACTGTCCGAGCCAGCACGGTCAAGCACAATGAAGACCTGACGCCTGCAGAGATAGCTCGTGGAAAGACACTCCTGGAGAGCATGCTCCAGGTTACTACCCAACAGAGAACGAGCATTAGCCAAGCACTAGTCGACCTTACCCGCTTCACCATCGCGGTCAACCAGCTTACTGAAATTTCTAAGCTCGGCAACATTCGTGTTCGAGTTCCGGGTGCTTCTGGACAGACCGCGTTCATAGCTCAGGTTCGCAGTCTGCTGAGTATCGTCAGAACCATCCATCGATGTGTACGAATGCAATCAGAGCTCGCAAGGACAAACTTCTCGGGCTTTGAAGGCGAGCTGATCACGATTGCAACCAGCTTACAGGCTATGGTCAATGCCCTGTGTTCTCAAATCAGTCTGCCTGAAACGCTCACGACAAGCCTCTCTCGGGATGTCATGCACGAGTACAACGACACCGTCGCCGTCCTCAGCACTGCAATAGGCAATGCTGTCAATCTACATGCCGAGCTTGAGCCTCTCCTGAGCCACGTATTACGATGGACCGGCTTTTACAGCTCAGAGACAATGGACTCCACTACGGTGCCTTCAAGTGCCAATGTGTGGACGCAACGTTTGCTTGACGTACTAGGCAGAGTCCAGACCTCTTCAGACACCCGTGGAAGCAGCGCTACAAGCGGAAATGCCAAGAAATCTTGGTTACTGGATCAACAGCAACAGGTGCAAGAGGCTGTACGTACTCTGGATGTTCATGGCACTCGTCTCGATCTGGAGGACCTCATATCCTCGTTTCCGTCAGCACGACCAGTGGATGGAGAATCTGCAATGGACCAGGATCTGGATCAAATTGCTATAGTCTGTGCCCAAGCACAGCCTGTTCTGGCCGCATATGCCATGAATGCCCAGAAGCTGCTTCATGAGCTTTGCAATCTTCATGCCACAATCAACAGAGTCGCCTACCACATGGCCACTTCTTTCATCCAGCTTGCTAGGGAGGGCTTCTGCACGCCATCAGATAAAGCACAAGGTGAGGAACAACAAAGTGGCGAAGCAGAGAGCGGGACGGGACTTGGCGATGGTGAAGGTGGCGATGATATCAGCAAGGACATTGGTGCAGACGAAGACCTGTCTGAGCTCGCTCAAGAAGCCACGTCAAAAGAGAAGGATGGTGAAATGGAAGCTGAGAAAGATGCGGTGGACATGGCAGATGAGGATTTGCAAGGCGACTTTGACGAAGACGCCGGATCGGAAGGCGAAGAGCAAGAAGATGGTAAAGAGGACGGTGAAGACGCTGAGCTCGACGAAGAGACGGGTCACATTGGCGAAGATGATGACGCGGTAGATGAGAAGACCTGGGATGATGGCAAAAAAGCAGAAGAGGCAGACAAAGAGGCGGATAAGGGCAAAGGAACCCGCAATGACGACCAAGCTGCTGCTGAGAACGCAGAAGTCGGAGAAGAAGAAGAAGGAGAAGAAGCACAGGACGAGGAGATGGAGGAGGACGCCGAGACTGGTGCTGAAGCTGATGCGGAGTTCGGTCAACCAGAACGAGAGCAGGCTGATCCGCACATGCAGGACGAGCAGAACCTCGACTTGCCTGATGACCTTCAGATGGATGGCGACAAGCAGGATATTAGCGACATCGATGATGGAGACGACATTCCAGATGAATTGAGTGAAATTGGCGACATTGAAGAGGATAAGAGTGGCAAGGATGAAGATAATCCTGACGCTGAGATGGCTGAGGGTGAAGGTGATGAGGAGGACCAGAAGACAGGTGAAGCTCAGGTACAGGAAGAAGAGGAGTCTGCGCAACAAGATGAGCAAGGGGATGATGCACAGTCCGACGTTGCAATGCTGGACAACGAAGACGCACATGAACACCCGGAGGACGGCCTGAAGGATGCTGATGCCGGTCAGGGTCAAGAAGAAGACAGTAGTGCTGAGAAGAAATCGGGAGCCGTATCAACCGTCGAGCAACAGGACGATGAGCTTGAAGCCAACGAACCAAGCGAACAGACGGGCGCCACTGAAGGCAGTCAGCGGACGCAGACGAACGAAAACTCTGGCCAGGCAGAAAATGGTGACGAGCAACAGCAATCGCTGCCTTTCAAGCAGCTTGGCGATGTTCTGAAACAGTGGTACAACCAACATCGTAATATCGAGGCTGCGCAGGAGCCCGACGAGCAGAAGGACACTTCAAATGAGGACATCGACATGAGCGATCCGCGGTTCGAGCATTTGCCAGAAAACGCGGAGTCTGACATGCAGGCTCTTGGTGCTGCCAGCGCAGAACAGTCGAAAGCGCTCGACGATCAAAATGCAATCGACGTGAACGAGACGACGCCTGATGATGTTCCTTTACCCGAAGAGAAGCCAGATGAGTCGCTGGATCTGGAGCGGGAAGAAGAGCCTGAAGCTGCTGGCGCGAAGGGGGAGGGCGTTGACAGTGGAGCCAAAGCAAATCAAACTGTGATTGGCAAGCCGATGGATCCTGACACTTCGATGCCTGACCATGCCATTGATCTCGATGAACCAGACGATATCGAACACGTCGACGAACAGCTGACCCAGACACATCTGTCCCACGATGAGCCTGATCACATGACTCTTGAAAGCGCCCGTCAGGAATGGAGTGAACACGAGAATCGTACGCGAAACATGGCGATCGTCCTTACGGAGCATCTTCGTCTGATACTCCAGCCCACGCAAGCGACCAAGATGCGTGGTGACTTCCGGACGGGCAAGCGGCTCAACATCAAGAAGATCATCCCCTACATTGCTTCTTCCTACAAGCGTGACAAGATCTGGATGCGGCGATCCGTGCCGAGCAAGCGAACATACCAGATCATGCTGGCCATCGACGACTCCGAGTCTATGGACGAAGCGGAGCGCAAAGGACTGGCCTTTGACACCCTGGCCCTGCTCGCCAAAAGCATGGCCATGCTCGAAGTCGGAGAACTTTCCGTTCTCGGCTTTGGAGAGAGCACCAACGTGGCTCACTCCTTCGACATGCCCTTCACCTCGGATGCCGGTGCCGAAGTGGTCCGTCAAATGACATTTTCCCAATCCAAAACCGATGTCAAGCGCCTACTCGAAAAGTCCATCGAACTCTTCCGCAACGCTCGACTCAAGGCAACAGGCTCCGCGAGCAATCTCTGGCAACTCCAACTCATCATCTCCGATGGCTTATGTGAAGATCATCCTGCCATTCGCCAACTCGTCCGCCAAGCCCACGAGGAACAAATCATGCTGGTATTTATCGTCATTGATGCCACTGCTCCCGAAACAATGGCATCCTCTTCTTCTTCTCCTCTTGTCGTTCCCAAGCAGCAGAGTATTCTCGATTTGCAACGAGTGGAATTCGGAAGTGACGCGAATGGAGACTCGCAAGTTTTGATGCGCAAGTATTTGGATACTTTCCCTTTTCGGTATTATCTCATTGTTAGGGATGTGCTTGAGCTGCCTAGCGTTCTTGCTGGTGCGCTGAGACAGTGGTTTGCGGAGGTGGTGGGGAGTGATGGATAGATTGAGTGGTGAGAGAGATGGGAATGAATGAATGTAGGGTAGGCGGTGGGGGAAACATGAAGATGTGCAAAAAATGGGATGGATAGAATGGCGTATTGTATGAATTGGTTCAATTACATTTGCTCGGCTTTTTTATTTTCTCGGGGTCATTATCCCGCCGTTTGCCTGACAAGATCTTTGAATCACTCTCAACCCGTCTGTAGTAGAAAGGTACATGTAGATTTGGTGATACTCGAAAACCAGTCCCTTCCTTCTAATTTATGAGGCTATTGTCTGCAACTGAAATTCTTGTTGATGACATCCCGCCTCCGTTCCATTTATCTACCCATATCTCATACAAAACTAGTCCATCATCCCCATCCCCATCATCGCCTCCCCCTCCCCCAACATCCCCAGCGGCTTCACCATCATCGCATCACCGCCCTCCACGCATTTCCTCCCCCTCTGACCTTCCTCCGCTCCCATCAACACATCTACCATCCTCACAATCGCCTCCATCTGCACTCCACCTCGCCAATCCGCATTTTCCCCCGACCACCCCACCCAATCGAAGCACGCGAGCGCTGCTCCAGGATATTCAGTGCCGTTGGGATACCAAATTGGACGAGAAGTGATGTTGTTGTTGTTGTTGTTGTTGTTGTTGTGGTCTCCTTCTTGCGCGACAGCAGCAGCTTGAGGAAACAGAAGAATTATATGGTTGGAATCAGCATATTGCACATATCCCGTATCGAGGATAAATTTGTAAGAAATGTGTGAGACGCTCATGGTGCAGCCGTGCAGGGCGATGTGGAGTTTACAGGGAATAGAGGAAGAAGAAGAGGAAGAAGAGAAATTGCAGCTGGAAGGAATGTAATAGTATCCAAAGTGAGCCAATCCTATCGCGCCAGTGGAATTCTCTTGAGCGTATTCGTGGAGTGTACCTGTTAGCGGACCAGAGTTTCTCCTGGGTTGGATGGTGTCGGTGCCATATAGCCATTTGAGCATTTCACCTACTCCGTCGTAGTTGCAGTTGGCGATGTAGGGACTGATGGAATCTGTGCATTGACTGGACTGTGAACCGGAGGGGTCGAAATCGGTAGGGAAGACATGTGCTGCATGTTCCAACTCGACGAATGTAATTTCCTCTGCAGGAATAAAAGCATACAGCTGCTTCTCCAACTGTCTCATCACCGAGGAGGCGACAACTTCGTCCAAAGCACCTGTTTGGAGATAAACTTTGCTCGAACGGAGATGCTCGATGGGATCGATTTGCCCCTCGAGGCTCCATTGCTGGATGTGGGCGATGGGTTTCTCGATGGACGGGGTGTGGTTGCCCATACAGGAGGTGTAGAAGTCTTGATCTCGAGCGCAGTCATATGGCCCTCCGGCGAAGACTGCAAAGCCAGAGAAGATGCTCGAGTAGGCGATGCCGAGTTGTGCGGCCATGAAGCCTCCGGCGCTGAAGCCCGAGACTGTGATTGCTGATGGGTCGATGTTGTACATGATCAGGCGGATGTTGTTCGGTTCGTCAGTGACTGACTTGTCCTCTGCATGAGAGATGGTGAGTTGGGACTTTGCTTTCCTGGTTTCCAACCTGTGGCGAGCTGTTGTGGTCTCTAGATGAAAGGATCAATAAGCATCTCAGTCACACAAGGAAGGATCTGCCGACATGTCATATCATATGTTGTGGCACCCATGGTTCACAAACATCTTCCATTGTCGGCGTCTTACAGTAACAACATCATATCGTACAGCTAGCCCGTTATTACTACCCTCCTACTCCTGCTGCTGCTGCTGCTCCTATTGCTGAGACAGCCTGCGGACTTGTAGGACTCATCTCAGAGACTACAACTGACCACGCAGGACGTTGCCACTCTTGATAAACAACGTCCAGATCAGTCCCACGCCCGTCAGGAATGACACTGAGCGGGCATTCGCTATGAGAATGATCGTGTTAGCCCAACTCACCGCCGAACACCACCCAGAACGGATGGGTCACAATCATGACTCGACTCACCAAGCGCATCCGTCGTGTTATTAATGTACAACAAGTTGTACGCGACCCGGCTGGCGAGGTAGCCACCAGTCAGAGCATTCAGCGTCCAATTGTCCAGTCTGGCCATGTTCCCCGCAACGACCGCGGCAGCGAAGAGACCGATGTTCTCAAAGCCATTCTGTTGAGCGCCCTCGGCACGCACGATACGTTCTTTTGTGGCTAGCGAGGGTGTTAGTGAAGGAATGACTACACAGACTCTCTCGCTCTGAACCTGGATGGAGGCTGATTACCTTTGTCGATACTCTGATCGGCATGCGACTCCTTCGTGTACGCTCGAGGGCTCTTGTTGTCAAACTTTCCGAGACTTGCAGCATAAAAGTGCGGCGCAATGCTCAGCACCCAGGCGGCGGGGATGGTGTACAACGACTGGAGAAGGTATTGCCTGTTAGTACGTAGGTACTTTGCTGCACTACGTGTACTCTTGATGGCGCGGGTTGAGCACTCACATAGTTGCGGGTCAGATCGAAAGCTGAGGCTGCCATTTTTGCGGTATAGATATTTATAAAGATATTCTTCGTAATTATTGTACCTAGGAGGTAAGTGTGATGTGTCTGTAGATGGATGGACTAAGGACGAAGGATCTGTAAGTAAACAAACGTATGTGCGATTATATCATTATTCCCTCCCTCGACGGCATCGCTGCCATTGGCAGTGACGTAAGTGTCACTTTGTACTGGCGATATGGAATTCTTTGTACCTCGTTGCCGCTTTAGCCCTGCCGCGCCTTTAGTCCCGTCGTTCACTGCATGTAGAGAACGAAAACGACACAAGGTAGATATCAACTGGATGTGGGCATGTTGGAGAGCATTTTGAAAGGAAATGAAAGGAGGTTTAGTAGCTTACTTTCAAGCATTTGATAGAAGGCATATACAGGTATGCTATGACCTACTACTCCATTTCAGGAGTGATGATATTGCTTCTGCCGCCATCTATCAGCACATCTCTCAAGGTCTCACAGCTTTTGATCCTGATGTCAACAAAGCTTTCGGGGCTGTAAAAAGCCGTATGGCATGTCAGCACCATCCTGCCTTCTAACCATGGCTCCTTATTGCGGTACGCCTGTATCAAAGAGTGAACCCGGTCTTCGGGTATGGGCTCTTCTGGCAAGACATCCAGTGCAGCACCAGATATGATGTCCTCCTTCAGACAACGTTCCACGCCGTCGAGGTTCAATACCTCTCCTCGCGATGTATTCACGAGGACAGCGCCCTTGGGAAGCAGCGATAGCAGCTCATAGTCTATGGAGTTGCGAGTCTCCCTTGTGCATGGGCTATGCAAGCTCAGCACGTTGCTTCTGCGAAAGAGCTCCTTGATGTCCTTTGTACGTTCGATATCCAAGCTCTTGTCCACGCCATTGGCCAAGTACGGGTCGTAGAATAGTACTTTAAACCCGAACGCTTTTGCTCGCAGTGCAGTAGCAGTTCCAATGCGTCCGAGACCAAATACGCCAAAGGTCGATCGCTGTAGGCGTGCCACCAAGGGCGTTTCAATCGGCATCCAGGGATCGGGCGGGCTGGCTCGCTGTCTCTCATTGTGAAGAAGTATGCCTCGCCGCATCGACAACATCAAGCCGATAGCGTGATCTGCGATTTCTGCAGTACCATAATCTGGTACGTTGCATACGGTGACCCCTCTGCTGGCCAGAGCAGATCGATCAAGCCGGTCGTAGCCCACACCCATTCGAACGATACTGCTCACTCTCAGCGGCCCAGATCGACATGTGTGTGTGTTGCTCTCCCCTAGCTGGCCAGGATACTCACACCTTCAGCTTCGGGAACAGGGCCAGATCAGACTCGTTGAATCCTATCTTCAGCACCATAATGCCATCTATCCTCTTGCGAAGGTCTTCCGGTATGGCAGACCATGGCTGGGACTCTGGCGTTCCTGTGGGCCACAGCCCGGTCGATACAAACTCGAGCTTGTATTGCTGACCAGGACGAGGAGCGAAGATTTGCTGTTCGATCGAGTCGTCCTGCGGCGATGATGATTAAGTGTATGGTCTATTAGCCACCAGCATGGTAGATGCATACTGGATAAAGCCCGTCCGCTTGAATGATGGTGAAGGTCGGCATCTCTGCTGACATGGCTGCTGCTGTCATCCTGGCCTACAATGATGTATAGATAGTGTGAACTCAGCTGGGTCCTGTCTATACCAGCTGTCACACCAGAGAAGTAGTCAAGATACTGTACATGTACCTATCTATCGGCTTCGCCTACTTTGCCCGCGGTTCCTTTCGGTTACTGTATGCACTCTAGTTATTAGGAGGTATTAACTGCATCGGCGACGACTGAGTACGGAGCCCCACACCGGGCAACAGGCCATATATGTAACCTCAGGCTGCCATCCCCAGTCTTCCACTGATGAGTCGCGGTGCACTTCCCAAAGCCACTAACTTACTTTAGTGGGGGTCGCAACTCGCAACAGCATTTCGCTCCAGCTGCCATCTTCAACAACAAACACCAACAACAAGCCCTTTTCCTCACCACATCGTCCCTGTGGTGCCTCCAACTTTGCACTCCCCCAACCCCCCACCCCTCTATCACCCCGAACCGAAGTCTGCCCCTAGAACGCCCTCGTCGACGAGATATGAGCTGATCTGACGGTGGAGAAGGACGGAACTGCGCAACCTGCGAAACTTCTCGGCCTTGGCTGCTCCATGGCCAATATGACGGTCAATGAGGCCTTTGCACCGGTGCTCTCCGCCCTGGCCGTGATGTCCAGTGGCGCGGACAAGACGCAAAAGACACAGGCACACAACTACTTGGAGCAGTTCCAAAAATCACAGGAGGCCTGGACCCACACATTCTCGATTCTGCAGTCATCACAGTCCACCGATGAGGCGAAGCTGTTCGCTGCAACAACGTTGAAGGGAAAGGTAAGGTAAGAGCACTAGCGAGGCGTCAAGGGAGCAGAGTTGACTAAAGGCCGATGCACAGATAATCTTCGACTTTCACCAAATCCCGCGAGACTCATGGCCGCAACTCCGAGACACGCTGCTAGGAGTGGTTGCGCAGTACGCAAAGGGCCCAAAGCCCATTCGGACGCAACTGTGTGTCTGTTTGGCCAATCTGGCCATACTCATGCTGGACTGGAAAGACGTGCTGCAGACGGTGGTGAGCACTCTGGGCGGTGACCAGTCTGGCATTGCCTGCGTGCTAGAGTTCCTTCACGTGCTCCCCGAGGAGGTGACAGAAGGGCGCAAGATCAACCTGGCCGAGGAAGAGCTGAGGGAGCGACAAGTGGAGCTGCTGGAGATGAATGGACCGCATGTTCTGCAATTGCTGGTGCAATACTCGCAGTCTTCGCCAGAGGCAGCCAAGAACCCGCAACTCATGGAATGCATAACATCCTGGATCAGGGAAGTGCCGCTGAGCGATATCGTTCGCTCTCCTCTCATGGGCGTGATCATGGCCGCAATACAGGCGGATTCGTCATTCGACGCAGCGGTGGAGACGTTGTGCGGTATCTTCAAAGAGACGAGAGAAGTGGACGAGAACCTGGACACCATCAAGGTACTTTACCCGCAACTGGCGAGTCTAGCCCCCCGAATCGCCGCTGCTTCAGAGGAAGAGGACTGGGAGACATTTAAAGGTGTAACAAGAGTGTTTGCAGAAGCAGGCGAGGCGTGGTGCGTACTGGTTGCCCGCGATCCTGTGCAATTCAAAGCTCTGGTGGAAGCTGTATTGGAATGTTGCCGCCGCGACAAGGAACGCGAGGCTCTTAGTCAGACCTTCAACTTCTGGTACGAGCTCAAGCAGTACATCACTCTCGAACGCTATATGGAGGCGCGAGTGCAGATGGTCGACATCTACTCCCAGCTAGTGGACATCATGATCTCTCATCTGCAGTATCCTTACGGTGAGAACGGAAACGACTCGGACCTGTTCGACGGCGACCGAGAAGCAGAAGACCGGTTCCGCGAGTTCAGACATCAGCTTGGAGATGTGCTCAAAGACTGCTGCGAGGTCATTGGCGTCACCGATTGTCTTACGAAGAGCTACCTGCTGATCGAGAAATGGGTCGAGGAGTTCGGTGCACAGGCACAAAACGGCAAGGTCCCACATTGGCAAAGACTGGAGGCGCCATTGTTTAGCATGCGAGCCATGGGCCGTCAAGTACCGTCGGACGAGAACATAATGCTGCCACGCCTCATTCCACTCATTGTGCAGATTCCTGATCAGGAGAAAGTGCGTTTCCAGGCCGTGATGGCACTGGGACGATATACGGAATGGACAGCACAGCACCCGGATACCCTGCAGGATCAACTGAATTTCATCATGGGCGCCTTCTCACACCCTTCGAAGGAAGTGATACGAGCGGCGGCTCTCAGCTTCAAGTTCTTCTGCAACGACTGCGCGGAGCTACTCAAGGGCTACATGCCTCAGATACAGCAATTCTACGAGGCGAATCTAGATGCACTTCCGTCAACCAGTCAAGAGGAGACCACTGAGGGCGTGGCTTCCGTCCTGGCCAGGCAACCACTGGACAGCCTCTACCCGAACATGAAACTGTGCTGCGATCCGATCGTTCAGCGGCTCATGACCATGGCCCAGAACGCTACTGAAAAGGAGCAGAAGTTGGCAATAGCAGATCTGTTAAACCTCCTGACAATATTCGTGCAATGGGTCACGCCATATGTCGGACCTGCAGACCCCAATCCTGCCGTCCAGTACTGTCAGGAGATCTTCCCGGTCCTGGCCACTATCTGCGAGACCTTCATCACCTTTGTCCCCATCGTGGAGCGTGTGTGCCGGTGCTGGCGGTATATGGTTCTCTCATATCGTATCCATTCCGCGCCTCTGCTGCCTGGACTTGCAGAAAGACTCTCACAAGGTTTCGCCACGAGCCGTCAAGGCTGTTTCTTGTGGGCGACGGATAGCATCATTCGCGAATTTTCGGACGAGAGTGAATACGTGTCGCGTCAGACCACCGATCAGATTTATGCCTTTTACGAGCAGCAAGCGACTGCCTTCTTACGGGCACTCAACGATCTCGCTCCCGAGGAAGTGCCCGACGTCATCGAAGACTTCTTCCGATTGTCCACTGATGTGCTGCTCTACCATCCCAACAAGATCATCGCGTCCGACCTGATGGGTACCATCCTTCGGGCTGCGACGACATCGCTGACACTGCTCAAGGAAGAGCCCCTGATTGCCACGCTTCACTTTCTCCGAGATTTCTTGGCGCATGGTGGCGAGGATGCACCTTCTCCAGCGTTCAATGCCACCGACGGCACCTATAACAATCGGCCAAATCCACCACAGATTCAGCAGACAGTCAAGGCATTGATCGGCGCCACGGGCGAAGAGCTGACGCAACGCTGTATGACAGGGATGATGTACACTTTCCCGCCGGACTGCTTTCCCGACGCTTCGGGTGTCCTGCTTGCTCTCTTCCACCTGATGCCTCGAGAGACAGCGGAGTGGGTTGGCAAGACGGTTGGCATGCTTCCGGCGGGATCCATCGCTCCCCAGGAGCAAGAGCGTCTTTTGAGGAACATTGGTCAACGCATCGACAATGGAGAGACTCGGAAGATCCGAGTTCTTCTGCAAGACTTTACGAACGGATACAGGCGGCGCAATGTGGCCCCTCGCGAGGGGCTCGGCCGGTTGGAAGCGACCAAGTTTAAATTCACTGGCTAGAAGTCAGAGGGAAAGCGGCGTTCGTTGGTGATGCCGGTTGCAGCGGTTGCAGGCTCCGCTGTGTGTGAGAAGAGGGGTCGTGTCATCACAGAAGATGTTAGACATGATGACCAAGACCCGAATGGTCTTGTGTGATATTGTAGAGAGTATTGGCCATTATTGCTTCGAAGGGGCAGCCGCAAGACGCGCATTGGAGGGATCATGGAACGTATAGCATGCCGCGGCATCAGGGTGTGGTCCGAGTATATCTCACTGTCTGACTCTAGGTACTACACAGTAGCGACTGAGTATGTAGGAGTAATCAAGCCGCATAACAGGATATTGTTCACTATCTGAATCCAGAAGGCATCCCGCGGCGAGGAACAGACGGACTGTACAGGACAGGACAAGACAGGACCGTACGGTACTTGCCCAATGTCATCATCATCATCATCATCATAATCACACTCATCACACTAATCACAGAGTACTAGCCTCAGGTAGGTACTAGGTACTAGGCATGAGGTGTGTAGGTTGTGTAGGTCGGTCTGGCCCCCTTCGTTCCCACCTCGTTTCCTTAGGTCAGTTCTTACTTCCCGTCTTCTTCTTCTTCTTCTTCTTCATCTAAGTTCTAGGCTGTAATGAACATGGTATAAAATGTTTGTTAAGCAGAGTCAAAGTTTACGAGTCGTTTGCGAGTGTTTGTTTTGAGATGATGAGATCAGGTAGGAGGTAAGGTACGGTAAGTTCTAACTTCAACTAAACTGAACTAACCGGTTTAGGGACTTGCAGCTTACTGCGATCGGTGGTTGCACGCAAGGGGGTACCTCCATCCTAGGGGGCACTTCCATTTTTTTTATACTTTTTCATTTAGTGTTTTGGTGTTAGGGGTTCGGTAGGTAGGGCTCACTGCTGCAGTTACTTCTATCACTCACTCACTCACTCACTTTTACAGTTTTTACTTACTAGGAGGGTAGGTATACTGGGTAAGGTACCTACCTATCTTGTACAAGGTAAGGTAAACTTGGTAAAGTATATACTGTAGGTACATACATACTTGCCGAGAGCAAGCATTCGAAGCAACCGTATATGCTTTTTGGGGGGCAAGGGGGAGAGGAGAAGGGGAGGAAGTTGTTCGATTGTTCGTTCTATTTTTCTTCTTTTTACGGTAAGTTTCTAGTTTTTTTCTGGAGATGATTTTGACTTTTTAGTTTTTAATGGAATGTTCAATTATCAATGATTCAATGTTTGTTCTAGGGATCGTAAATTCGTAATACTCTAATAGATGACGTTGCGGGCATTGATTGATTGATTGATTGATTGATTGATTCTATTCTATATGTACCAGAGGTATATATACATGTATGGTAGAGGCGGGTTTTATATTTTTGTTGTTACTAACTACATGTATTGGATATAGGAGGTTGCAGTCGCATCGTTCCGCAAATTCATAAACGACCATCATCATCATCATCATCTCACTCACATGTATAGGGGGGGGGGGGCATGCTTTTACTCCATCTGTTCACTGCCAAGCAACCTAGCACTGCCTAACCTAGGTGTGCTTCCGCGGTCGCCCCCTTGCAATATCTTGATTCGGACGAAATACGCGAAGCCAGAGGCCATCTCACAATCCCGGCTTCATCATCACTCATCATCATCCCTTCCTTCTCGGATCGAAACGCAAAAAGAAAGAATTGTTCGATGATACACCATACCGCAAGGGGATATCGCAAACTACCTACTACATACATGTACCTCCTACCTCCTAAAGTGATGTAACCTTCCCCGACAACAACATCTGACTGGATACCCAACTTGAGGACGCTAATTCTTTGTCAATTGAGCCGGCTTGTGCGATGTCCGAATTGAGCATTTTCCTATTTTTTCTTATTTTCTTTCTCTTTTTCTATAATAAAGCTCTTACATCAGATTTTCAACGGTTTTTTCCTTTTTTGCTCTTTACAGTCTACACAAGGATCGCGAGAGCCTTTCCGGTATGGCCGCGCCGTATTCACCTTTTTTTGGGGGGCCCTCAAGGATGTTTTTAGTTGAACTAGTAGACGACGGATAATGGTGATGATGATGATGATGATGATGATGTCTGGTCCGTTCCCAAGAGCGAAGGAAAAGAAACGATGTGATTTGCGGAATCATGGTGGCGAGCTAGTTGAATGTCGATTTCTTGGTCAAGTCCATTGTCCATATTGAGACTTGGGAGGCGAGCTCTTTGAACTCTTCCCAGGTTTTGGGCCTGGATGACTAGTTTCTGCGCCGTTCGGTACCGGAGGACGGACTGACTACCTGATCCACAGACCTGATTACTGAATCACTCAACGATGTTGATGGGCGTGAAAGTTCTCGTATAGAGAGAATTGACCGGGAATTTACAATTGTTCCACCAGTGAGTGATGATATGCCTTTTACACTTTTTCATTCATAACTGTTCTGAGGGTTGATATACTATTACTGACTATAGGATGATGGTGTACTCACTCACTCATCAACCACTCACTAGAGTAAAGTAGTAACTACCTACATGTAGTGTTCACGGCATATGCTATTCATACCTACGCCCAAGGGGAAAGTGGCAGTCAAGTTAGGGCTTTTCCGGCACTCGGAACTTTGGGGAGAAGCTGACGAAGGCTGTGATGAGAAGGCTGAGAGAACACCCTTCCATCATACTGTACCTTTTCCTTCCCTGTTCCATGTTTGTCATGTGTGCGTGTCAAAAGACAGGGTGGCGCCACCCCTTTGTGATGAAACGACATGTTTTTAATGTTTCTCTCCTCCCAGAGTCAAGGTAGACCGTTGATGAGATGATGAGATGATGATGAATGATGAATGATGATTGTCTCTCCGAACACGGGAACTAGTGGAAGTTCGCGGTTCATGCGATGCAGCATCCTCTTCGAGTATCGTCGTGTCACCAATAAAATAAAAAAATAAAAAAATATCATTAATTACCCAGGTAGGTAGGTAGGTAGGTACCGGTAGGTAAGGTATACAGTAAGGTACACATACATGTCATTTTAACAGGCAGGCTGGTTGCTGCCATGTGCATGTTGCTCATGGATATACTGTATTGAGTATAAGGACGCTTCCATGTGGCATCCATACGAGATGCAGCCGAGCCTACCAACTTGCCACCAAACATCCTGGACCAAAACACACTCTCCTGGGAGTCCTTGATGACACACGATTGCTGCGTATTGTTCGGACACTAGTGGATGTTCTTCAAATCAATAGCGTCACTTTCCTTTTCGAGAGTGAGCATGAAGAACTTTCAACTTTCTCGCTCACTTACTCACTCCCTCTCTTACATTTTGGCTTCCAACATGGGTATTTGCAGAGAATGCTGGCGCTGGACTGGGCTGGGCTGGGCTGGGTAGGGTGGATACGTACTCGAACAGAGGGCGGTCTACTAGCTTTTTGAGGTCGTATTTTGAGTGAGACACAGATGTTTTTTTCTTCTTCTTTTTGCACAGACTCCACTCGGGCTACTTTTTTTCAATATATTGATTCTCATGACCTGACTCGACTCGGCTCACTCTATCAATCATGCTTTTCTGAGAGCGCCGGGACTGGGTTTGCTGACTGCGTGGAAAATTGTACTGTATAAGGTACACATCACTCTTGTGCCCAACCTGAATACCTACTGAGGTGCCTACTATCCGTCGAGACGGAGATTATAGAACCTGGCACTCAGTTTTGTGGCATTCGCCACTATACTCGACCAGCGAGGAAAGTTGTAAAGAAAAAAGAAACAGACAAAACGCAAAGAAGATTGGAAGATGCCATACCGTCCCAACGGGTCTCAATCCCATGTTACATCGTTCGACCTGCTATTATACGTATCCAAGACGCTCTCGGGATCAAAGTCAAGGTGACATCCGTATTCCTTCAAACCGGACTCCGTATAAAGCATCGAGAAGAGTCTCCTTCTCTCTCTCTCACTCTGTGCCCCTGTTTGGACATGTTCGTAATGCTGATGATGATACAAACTCATCTCGGGCATTTGGGTATATTGCCCGGGCATGTATTGAACAACAGGTAGATTGATTGTTCAGAGTCGTCGTTTGTGTGTGTACGTACTAGACATCGACACCATCGAGCCAGCGCATATGGAACAACAGTATCTATCCCACGAGGCGGTAAGATAGGCAGTCTTCAAAACACGACACGAGTAAGTTTTCCTGCGTGCGGCACAGGTAATTAATTGGTAATGAATCACCGGACCTTTCTCCGACAGCGCTTCCTGCCTCTCGCTTGAACCGAGAGAGATTCGCGTCAGTGTCAACAAAGTTCCCTGCTCCGTTTACAGGTACAGGTACCATTCATTCACTACCTTACGCGTCCACCATGGTGTCGCCCACAAAGGAAAATATCAATGACGCGAACGCTGCAAATCGCTTGGAGTTTGTGAAGCAGACGGTCGCTGAGACGTTTGGATTCCAGGTATGGATGTTATGCATTTCCGTCAGCACGTGTTTTTCGTCAGGTAACCTCCCAATCATTTGATATGTACCTACCTTACTCACCCATCACTCTCGCAAACAAACAAACAGGTACTAAAAGTCACTCCCATCGCCTATGAAGAAGACTTTCCCTTTCCCTACAACAACTTCGTCTTTGCCGTACACATCAATCGGGAATCCACTCCGTCAAAAGAAACTCTCCGAGCCAAACAGCCAGGCTGTCAAACCATTCCCGTCGACGAGGAGACTTTTATCTGTCGTATTCCCAACCCACTCTCGGGATACAACGACAAAGTCCGAGTGCAGAATGAAGTCGCAGCCCTCTCGTTGGCGCGTGAGGCTTTGCAGCCGTCTCTGCTGAGCCATCTCGTTCCGCGCGTCTACGGATGGGCGTCGGCTGAGAATGGTGGCTACGGGTGGATTTTACAGCAGTACATGTCTGGAACTGGCCCGTTGGCGGAATTTTCGTCTTGGAGCGAAGAGGATAAAGCGAATATTCTGGATCAGATGGCGGATGTTTTGGCTTGCTTGCAACGTTTTCAATTGCCGAGTACGATTGATCGATATGGAGGGGTGGGGTTTGATGCAGAGGGGAATTATGTCAATACTGCTCTCAGCATGTACGATGCTGGACCATTTGAAACGTATCCGGAGTTGCTGCGCGCTACTATCACGTCTAAGCTCATCAAGGCAGACGGCGATTCTCGAGTTCGAGGATGGAGAGATAATGGCATTCGTGCTCGACTTGATGAATTCTTGAATCGTGGACTTCCTACACTTCTTCAAGGCGTAGCCTCTCTCGACAAAGTCCTCGTCCACGCAGACTTTTGTAAGATATCTCCACCAATCCTTCAAAAAAGAAGACCTCAGAAGAGGAGGAAGAAGAAGAAGAAGAGGAAGAGGAAGAGGAAGAGGAAAGCACACTTTCGCTAACAAACCAAACCCCTCTCCACAGCTCTCGACAACATTCTCTACGACCAATCCAGCAAAAAACTAACCGCCATCTTCGACTTCGATTTCGCCCACATCAGCTCCGTCGCAGACGAATTTTTCCGATCTCTCGGCCACGACATTGGTCGTTTTCCCTGCATCCGAGATGAAATCCCCGAAGAGTTGCAACTCCATCAAGCCATGCTTCACGGTTTCCCGCAACCTTTGCCGACGAATACGACAGACGAGGTGGATTGGATCGCTGCCAAGGCGTGGGACGATGCTATTGCAGTTCGCGGTGTGCAGCGGCCTGCTACACTTCCTTCTATGGATCTGGTTTCGGACTTGTTTTGGTTGTCGTCGCGGATTTTGCCGTTTCGATTGTGTAATGAGGTCGTGGTGGGGAATAGTACGGAAGAACAGCTCGCGTTGCGGAAGACGGATGGGGAAGCGTTGCTGAGCAAATTTTTGAGTGATTATGGATTTTGAATTTTTTGCGTCTGTCGTGTGCACATGGCTTGGTGAGGGAGCTCTTCTCGTCATTTTACCTACCTCAGGTAGGCGAGGGACATAAGCAGGAAGCAGTTCGCGTAAGGCAGAGATGCCGTGCACCACCGAAGCGCTAGTAATCATCTAGCGTCAACTACCAACGGCTCAAGGTGTCTACCAGGTACGGTATGATTTCATGCTTGATGGACGTTTCACATGTTCAGTACGGTCAGGTACATATACCTCCTAGTGGCGTGAGCACTTCCTTTTACACATCCAGCCTCTCGATCACAATCGCAGAAGCACCACCACCACCATTGCAGATGCCAGCAACACCAACCTTGCCCTTCTTCTCGCGCAAGACTCCGAGTAAAGTCGACACAATCCGAGCCCCAGAGGCACCAAGTGGATGACCCAATGCGACCGCACCACCGTGCAGATTCACCTTGTCTTCCGTCACGCCCAGCAATTTCATGTTGGCCAATGCAACAACGGAGAAGGCCTCGTTGATTTCAAATGCATCCACGTCTTCCTGCTTAATGCCCGCGTGCTTCAATGCCTTGGGCACTGCAAGCGCAGGTGCGGTGGTGAATTTGGATGGGTTCTGAGCGGCGTCGCCCCAGCCGAGGATTTTGGCAATGGGTTTGAGGCCATGCTTCTGTACATACTCTTCGCTTGCGAGCACCGTCGCTGCCGCTCCGTCTGATAGAGGCGAGGCGTTGGCAGCTGTCACGGTGCCGTCCTTCTTGAATGCGGACCGCAGCTTTCTCGTTCCTTCCTCGTTGAACTTTTTGGGTTCGTCGTCTTGGTCAATCACCGTATCCGGCTTGCCTGAAGAAGCACTATTAGCCATGTGTCCGCCGCATCGAACTTCCTGCAAGTTGCAGACTGAGAAAGCATGTATTCTCGTCTGCCATCACTGCATGCGTGTCCCTCACTCACCTCGTGTGCCCTTGATCGTCACTGGTGTGATCTCCTCCTTGAAAAATCCACTCTCGGCGGCGGCAATCGCTTTCTTGTAGCTCCTGATCGCATATTCATCCTGGTCTTCTCTGTTGAATCCGTGGTCATCTGCACACTCTTCACCCTGCAGACCCATATGCTCATTCTTGTAGACATCGGTCAAGCCATCCTTCAGCACACCATCAACGAGCGTCTGATCGCCGAACTTGGCGCCGTTTCGAAGAGTCTGCAGATAATGTGGGGTGTTCGACATGCTCTCTGTTCCGCCAGCGACGACCACATCCGCCTCGCCGGTCAGAATGGTCGCGGCAGCCAAGGACATGGCCTTGATGGACGACGCGCAGACCTTGTTAATCGTCGTTGCCTCAGTGGACTCGGGAAGACCAGCGAAGATTGTGCATTGTCGGGCCGGATTCTGACCCAGGTTGGCCTGGAGAACATTGCCAAAGAACACCTCTTGCACGTCCTCGGGCTTAATGCCGGCTCGCTCCACTGCAGCCTTGATTGCGGTGGCGCCAAGCTGAATAGCCGTCTGCGAGCTCAAGGAGCCTTGAAAAGCTCCCACGGGAGTGCGAGTCGCCGACAGGATGTATACTGGTTTTGGGGGGGCCATCGTGGTGGTGGTGATCGTGGTCGGGGGCGTACGAGGGGGAAGCAGATCGAAGGTCGTGTAGGTCTAGCTGTGGTGGTTGAAAGTGGACAGATGATGAAGAGAAGAGAAGAGGACAATGGCTTCTTTCAACAATTTTTTTTAATTGCACACGATATCGTACCATACCATCCCACCGATCCAAACAATCGCAAGGGTCTGACGCGAGGGTCCAAGCTCCCTCCCAGTCGCGTTCCTGCGGCGGGGTGACGGATCGCGGCCCGTCTTTGCTTCCGCTCCGCCTCTCCATTCGCGAAAAAGTCCGGTCCATGATCGCGTGCATGTTTGTATGTGTGTCGCGACAGCGCCGACATCACCAACCCGTCGTATCTCTCACCCTTTCGCATTACAACTCACCCGGACGTCGCCCAACATGGACGACCTCTACGACGAGTTTGGTAATTACATTGGGGAGCCGGAAGAGAGTGAGGACGACGTCGACGCCGGCGCAGACAATGGCGCGCAATACCTCGACGACGATGAGGACGAGCCACCGGCGACAACTGGCCAGGAGCTGATGGAAATTGACGACGAGGGGCCATCGAACGCCGTCGTGCTGCACGAAGACAAGCAGTACTATCCCTCGGCCTCGCAAATCTATGGGCCCGATGTCGAGACTTTGGTGCAGGAAGAAGATACGCAGACGCTGCAGCAGCCGATTGTTGCGCCGGTTGAAAAGCAAAAGTTCACAATCGAGGAGACGGACCTACCGCACGTCTACTTCGATCGAGGATTCATGACGGATCTGATGAGCTTTCCCGAACAGATACGAAACATCGCACTCTGTGGGCATCTGCATCATGGAAAGACCAGTATCATGGACATGTTGGTGACTCAGACGCACGATCTATCCAAATTTATGGAAGGCAAGACCGGAAAGGCTCGTGACGAGACGATCAAATACACCGATACGCACATACTGGAACGAGAACGAGGTCTGTCTGTCAAGGCCAGCCCGATGAGCTTGTTGTTACAAGGAACCAAGGGGAAAAGCCATCTCTTGAATATCATCGACACTCCCGGGCACGTCAACTTCGCCGATGAGGTTGCAGCATCCCTGCGATTGGTCGATGGTGTCGTTCTGGTGGTGGACGTGGTCGAGGGTGTGCAGGTGCAAACAGAACTGGCCATCAAACATGCAGTACTCGCCGGACTGCCACTCGTACTTATGATCAACAAAGTGGACAGGCTGATGCTGGAGCTGAAATTACCTCCCAATGATGCATACTTCAAGCTCAAGCATGTTGTAGAAGAGGTCAACACGTTCATCGAAAACACCATTCCCGGACAAGGCGAAAAGTTCCGAGTGAGCCCGGAAAAGGGAAATGTCGCTTTCGCGTGCAGCAGCATGGAGTGGTGCTTCACGTTACCCAGCTTCGCCACAATGTATGCCGAGAACTACCCCAGCGCAGAGTTCGACGTCCAAGAATTCAGCAAGCGATTATGGGGAGACATTTACTACAATCCGGGCTCGCGGAAGTTCACTCGAAAGGGAGTCGAGGATCGTTCGAAACGCAGTTTTGTGCACTTTGTGCTGGAGCCCATATACAAGTTGTACTCACATACCTTATCCGAGTCGCCTGCAGATCTGAAAAAGACACTGGGAAGTCTCGGCATCTCTCTTAAGCCCAGTCAGCTCAAGGCTAACGCCAAAGACCTGCTCAGATTGGTGTGCGAACAATTCTTTGGGCCTGCAACTGGTTTTGTCGATATGGTTGTACAGCATATTCCCTCGCCCGTGCAAGGTGCGAGGCAGAAGCTGGAGAAGTACTATACGGGCCCCATGGATACCAAGACCGCTCAATCGATGCTTGAGTGCGATGCAGATGGCCCTCTTGTCGTGCACGTCACAAAGCTGTTCAACACGCAAGATGCACAAGGCTTCCACAGCTTCGGGCGAGTCATGAGCGGGACAGCGAGGCCTGGCCAGCAAGTGCGTGTTCTGGGCGAGAACTACAGTATCGACGACGAGGAGGATATGGTGAATGCGACTATCGAGCAGGTCTGGATAGCCGAGAGCAGATACAACGTGCCTGTCTCAGGCATGCCTGCTGGTAACTTTGTCTTGCTGGGCGGGATTGACAACTCGATCATGAAGACCGCAACTGTGATTGCGCCTAAGCTGCCTGATGAAGAAGAAGCATACATTTTCAAACCAGTCGCACACTTCTTTGAGAGTGTCTTCAAGGTTGCTGTCGAGCCCATCAACCCATCGGAGCTTCCGAAGATGCTTAACGGTCTGCGCCACATCAACAAATCGTACCCACTCATCACGACCAAGGTCGAAGAGAGTGGTGAGCATGTCGTTCTGGGCACCGGAGAGCTGTACATGGATTGCGTCCTTCACGACCTGCGAAAGCTTTACGCACAGATGGAAATCAAGATCTCAGATCCTGTCACAAGGTTCTGTGAGACTTGCGTCGATCAAAGTGCCATGAAATGTTATGCTTTGACACCAAACAAGAAGAACAAGCTGACCTTCGTCGCCGAGCCACTCGATGATGGCATCGCAGAAGATATCGAGTCCGGCAAGGTCAGCATCAAGGATCCGGTCCGCAAAGTTGGAAAGTTCTTCGAAGAGAACTACGGCTACGATATCCTTGCTAGCCGTAACATATGGGCGTTTGGTCCTGACGACATGGGTCCGAACATACTACAGAACGATACTCTCCCTTCGGACGTCGACCAGAAGCTTTTGCGAAGTGTGAAGGACACAATCCGTCAAGGTTTCAGCTGGGGAACGAGGGAAGGTCCTCTGTGTGAGGAGCCTATTCGGAACGTCAAATTCAAGATTACAGACGTCGAGCTCGCATCAGAAGCCATCTTCCGTGGAGGTGGTCAGATTATCCCTACCGCAAGACGAGCATGCTATTCGTCTTTCCTCATGGCGGGACCCAGACTGATGGAGCCAATGTACTCGTGTACCATGCTCGGGCCTGCCAACAGCGTCAGCTCGCTCTACACAGTTCTCGCCCGGAGAAGAGGGCACGTGTTGAGCGATGCACCAATCCCTGGAACTCCTCTGTATAGTGTGCAGGGTCTGATTCCTGTGATTGACTCATTCGGTTTCGAGACTGACCTGCGCATTCACACCCAAGGTCAAGCTACTGTATCGCTCGTGTTCGACCGATGGCAGGTCGTGCCTGGCGACCCACTGGATAAGAGTGTGAAGCTCCGACCACTGGAGCCAGCTAGCGCTCAAGCTACAGCTCGAGACTTTGTGCTCAAGACGAGGCGGAGAAAAGGGCTCAGCGAGGATGTCACTGTTAGCAAATATGTGGAGCCGGAGATCATGAGGCAATTGAGGGAAACCGGCATGCTTGATGGAGCTTGACGGAGCACGCATGGTCACGAAGGCACATTTCCCACACCGAGTTAGGAAGCAAGCGGGAGATCCCCGGTCATTGCCATTGCAACAGGAATTTCCGTATTGTCCTGCATTCCACGAGTACGCGGCTGCCTGGCTGCCCGTCGCTGCTGGTGAGCCAGTGTGAGAGTTTGCCAGTACTACACGCATGGCCAGATGTACCGCGCCAGAGAGAACTCTGTCATAGTCTCCGGCTTTGATGTGACGCTTCATACGCGACACGCCGATTGGAGTTGAGCCCACGTTATATGGAGTAATTCGTGGTAGGCGACTGTATATACCCGGGCAAGGCACATCCTACCGAACGAGCTGAGAGAAGACGACAGAGATGCTCAATAACACTGGCGGCGGCGATTGGGTGCACTTGGGGGACTACACTTGTTACAAGTAGTACTCCGTTTATCTTGTCACGGTAGTGACAGCAACATTCCTCACCAGCTTCTCGCAAAGAAGATACTGTACCAAAGGTCATGTACCGTAGTGTAGCAGAAGTAGGTATGTAACCATGATCAAACATGAAAAGTTACATGTAGGTACCTAATATTAACCACCTGCAGCTGCCTCAGGTTTCTAAACATTAAAGGGCACCTTCCAATATGTACCTAGGTTAGGTACTTATAGGTACCTGTATTCCAACATTCTTCAACTCATCCAAAAAAGCCTGTAAATCCCGCATCTCCCTCTCATCCCTCTCATCCCCCATCCCTATCCCCGTATTCACCTCCTCCTCCTCCCTCTCTTTCCCCCCACCCTTCCACCAAAACCTCGCCCTCTCCCTCTCCCACTCCATCAACAGACTCCTCTCTCCCTCACGATCCAACAGCCCCAACATACTCTTCCACACCACGATACGATCATCACTCTTATCCCGCCAAATTCGTAGACTTTTCAATACCGGCATTCCTGTCCAGTTTCCACTGGCTAACATTTCAGCTTCGAAATCTCGGACGCGGATGGTCGGGCTGGTGATGATGATGTCGAGGGTGATGTGTTTGATTGGGGGTGGGAATGGTGGTGGTGATGGGAATGGGAGTCGTGGGGTTGTTGTTGAATTTTTCTTTTTGTTCTTTCTGTTCTTCTTTTTGTTTTTCTTTGTCATGTGCTTCTCCTGTTGTTGTTCAATTTTTTTCAGAAATTGTTCTATATATTGTATTGATTCTTGGAATTGTTTTTCCTGTTGTTGAAATCGTTGAAATTGGTCGATAATTCCAAAAGTCCAAGTTTCGAGAATGGCGAGTTGTTCTCCCGCATTGGATTGCGAGTGGGAACATTCGAGGTCCAAGTTGAGGACGGGGATACGCAAGGCTGGAAAGGGGAGTTTGGGAAGGTTTTCTGCATCCGATAAACTCATATCACCGTTTCCAATAGAGATGTATTCATGCGGCATAAAATTTCCTCCTGATATCACTGGCATACAATGACCAGGATGCAGCGAATGGTTGTAGATGGTCATGGAAGATTTTTCGTCTGCGATGGATTGGTAGTCGTGACGTATTTGTTTGTTAACGAGGAGGATATCCACGTTGGGGATGTTTTTGGCGGTGATGCGGAAGTAGTTGGTGACCTGGAAGTCTTCGATGGAGATGAGAAGTTGGCTGAATATCATCTCTTGGAGTTCTCGTGGGATGGTGGTGAGAGAGGCCATGGTGGTTGATCGCGAAGGTGGCCGTAGTGGAAGGGGATGAGGAGAAGAAGAAGAAGAAGAAGAAGAAGAAGAAGAAGAAGGAAAAGAGGAAGAAGAGGAAGAAGAGGAAGAAGAAACACCAGTAGTAATTATGCAGCAGGGAGCATTTCATATGAGTATCTATATATTTCCTGCTAAAGGGAACGCGGTATGCGAAGCTTGAGATGTGACTGATCTCACACCGTGCTGGCGCATAAGAAGGACCGGAACACCGTGATTATCATGGTACCTCTGAGGTGCATCGCGGCATGTCTCGGGTTCGGCGCCGCTCACATCCGCTGAACGACTGAAGTGATTGTACCTATTGTTGTGACGTGTATGAGTAGAGGCCGACACAGAACACAGAAGCATTCCAAAGTTGTTAATAAAGTTAGTCCTCGGCCAGCTGCGCTTCGTCTATGTTTCGCAGGAACAACGTGAACCACCTAACTACTTTGAAATGGTTGCTGACTGCAACCGATTCATCCACAGTGTGGATCTTGCCCAGAGAACTGTCCTCTTCCTTGACATAGCCGGGACCGAAGCCTGTCATAAAAAATGCGAATGTCAGCACTGTCTCATATCAACAAGACTCCGTTGGCTTCCTGCTCCAACTTACGAAAGATGTGCTTGGTTAGGTCCCAGTAATATCGTGTGTCGGTATTGCCCGTCATGAGAGCGGGGGCAACCATTGTGTCCTCGCCATAAAGAGCACGGATCGTTCCTGAAATAACAGCATACGGTGATACTACATCAATAGAGGTCGGTGTCACTGGCGCAGTCTTGAGCGAAGTCTTCTTGGAGCTGAGAGAGATGGAGTTATACGCGGCATCTTCACCATCAAAGGCATGGAGTGTCAAGTTGTATTTCTCGGCCACTGGCTTCAAGATGTGGGCGAGATGTGCCCATACAGTCTCTGGCTCGTCCCTACAGAATCGTGAGTTCGAACGTCTCATCATATATGGCTGCTGGTGGTGTGAGAACTTACCCAATGTTGATTCGGTGGTTGACAGTGGCAACTGCAGTCTCTGGCATAGCGTTGGTCTTTGTGCCTCCGTGTATCAGGTCTACGGCTTGAGAAGTCTGCATAAGATATTTAGTCGAGGCACCAGCCTTTGCAGCTTCTATAGCGAGTTGATCATGGTGCTTCTTGGCACAAGTTGGTAGGTCACTACTCGCACTACGCGACTTGAGCAGCTTCTTGAGCTTCTTGGGGAAGTCTGGAGCATATTCTGCGCCGCATTGCAGAAACTCCAGGTATGGGTTCTTGTCCGCGAGATAGGTCGGGTATTGCTGGCTCTCGATGATTGTGATAATCTCACTCAAGATGCCGATGCTAGTGTGGTCCTTGGGGACTGAACTGTGTCCTCCGGGAGTGCGGACGGCAATATCGACATCGGTGTAGCCCTTCTCAGCGACTCCAGGCACGGCGAAGCCGGTACCGAACGCTTCCTGATAGCCCATGCCCTCGTCAACGATAGCCGCAACACCATCTTTGCCGTAGCGCTCAAGAAGGAAGGAAGCAAGATGGCCAGCTCCTTGATGACCGCTGCACTCCTCATCGAAGCCAAAGGAGAGCACAATAGTTCTCTTCGGTTGATACTCAGCCTGGAGCAGATATTCGAGTGTCTCGAGTATTCCGATCAGTTGGTTCTTGCAATCAGAAGAGCCACGGCCCCAAATGAGCTGGCCATCATAGTGTCCACTGAATGGTGGATGTGTCCAAGAATCGACAGTATCCCCATCAACCGGGACCACATCTTGATGTGCCATGAGCACAATTGGCTTCTTGTCTGCATCGCTCCCTTGCCATGTGTACAAAAGTCCATGAGTGTTGACCTTCTCAACCTTGAGCTCGCTGTGGATGCGTGGGAAAGTAGCTGCAAGGTATTCGTGAAAGGGAACGAAGACATCCCATCTCTTGTCCTCCCCAATCTCGCCCAAGTCGTCGAACGACTCGGTCTTAATCTGTACCGCGCCCGATAGACGCGCGATCGAAGCATTCTCGAACTGATCCGTAAAGAGGAAATCGTAGGCGTCCTGAAGCTTGTCGTTCGACGGCGGCCATAGTGCCGGGACTTGGCCGCAACTTGGCCCAGAGGACTGTTCATCATGATCGAGATGATCTCGCCCAAGGATCGAGGTCAGGGGACCATACAGCCAATTCAGACATACAATACTGATCGTCAGCGATACCAAGATGGCACGGAGAGCGCGCTGCCTGGTCCCTGCAGATGCTGGAGCACGCTGCTCGACGGCAATGGGGAGAGATGACTTCTCCATGTTGGGTGTGGAAGAGAAGAGAAGGGAGAAGACGGAAATCAAACGGATGTTCTAGAGACGATGTCGATCATGACAGACCTGCTGTCTTGATGGCATTCTTGTGCTCTACTGATACCGAATGGCGGCCTGCCTATCGCGTTGCCTCAGCTCGTCGTCGACAATAGTCGGCCGCGGCATCAAAGAGTGGGGCGGCCAAAGGAACGATGTGCTTTGTCATACCTCCTAACACCAGGCTCAGTCTCAGTCTCTCAGATCGCCGTTCGCCAAGTTCATCCTGCCCTGATCCTCACCTGTTGATGCAAGTCCACCAAGCATCGAACATCGCTATGAATATGCGCTCGATATGCTCGAGACGACAGTAGAATATGAGATCAGGCAAAGCAGGTCAGGTTAGGTAAAAATCATCCAGAAGGATCTCATCCGATATGCATTATGCCTGCTACATGCTACCTACTTCAAGTCCTCACATTGCTCTCCATTACTCCCCATGTTCCACGGTGGTACTCTCTCTCATTAATGCAGGCATATAATCTTGTATAGAATAGCTATTGCCTGGACATTTTGATGACCCTATGGCGCCTGCATTCCACGCACGGAGTGGTTGATCTCGTCACCTCCCAACGTCGACAGCAGCAGCAACGGCGGATCGCACAATGCTGTTTGGAGATCTCTCGGCTCTGTGTGGCATATGAAGTACAGTATCGCAAGAGTAGAGGCCCCAGACCGATGGGGACCGCCCGCATGGTCACGGTCCGTCACACTCTGCCGTGAGTCTCAACACTAGACCGAGAGAAGGGCTTTCCCGGTGGTTCCAGGTGAAGAGGATGGTACTTGGTTCGCTCTTTGCGCGTGCTCGTTGCCATTTGTACCTCCTAAGAGGCGGCTCCCACCGGCAGTATAACGAACCGCGCTAACTGGATGGCCGATACATGCTTGACATGGACTCTACACCTCAGACAATACTTTGGCGACATCGGCGCGTGCCTGCTTCAAAGCCGCGTCCGGTTGCGCGTCCGGATGAGCGAGCTTGACAGACTGATGCAGGTGGAGCAGATCCTTTGCTCGGTTCAAATCAGGATCATCCTCATTGCCTGTCTCTGCCCCATTCCTGGCAGCAGGTCTCAAGTCGGGTCGGGCGGTGACGAGGGCCAGAGCAGCCTCCGAGTCCTGTCGACAGAATCAGTATGGAGAAGGCAGAGGTACCTTGGGCGTAGACACGAGGAGAAGATCTTACGGTGGCCTGCAATTGCTGCAGCGCGGCGAACAGATCGGACACTTTCACCTCTTTGCCCATGGTGTAGGGAGTTATATTTGATGAAGATGGGGTCTCGGACTCGTGGACTCGCAGCGACAGGCTCGTTGTATCACTACCGGGTCACTCAACACTGCCCGCACTATGAACTAGTGGGGGGCCTGTACTACCTAGTACATCCTCCGAGAACTGCCCGACTCTGGGTCTAGCGCAAGGTTCGGTCCGTCGGGGCTTCCCTTCGTAGTTATAGTTCTAGTGCTAAAGTGACGAACTTACTTACACTTACTTACCTAAAGTTCACTGGAGCTGTCGACTGTTGACCAGACAGAAGTTCGCTGCTACTCCTCCTCAGGCAGTGGCATTGGACAACCTTCACTTCACTTCCCCTCACCTCGCCACACCACTACCCACTCCTCGCCTCCTGTCCTGTCCTCGCAACTGGTGCTGTCGACGCTCGTCCGGGGACCGACGCAGACCCCGGACTCTCTGCGACCATGTCGGCAGCGCTCCAAACAGGCGCTGATGCGCGTGCGATGCGTAACACCAAGTGGCCCGAAGAGTTCAGCAAGAAAGTTAACATCTCAAAGGTCAACCTGCCGGTGATTAAGAAGTGGGTGTCGGACGAGATCACGAGGATTCTCAATAGCGACGACGACGTGGTGACCGAAATGATGTTCACCTTTCTCGAGTCGGGCAAGTTTGTGAGTGGCCTCTCCCGTCTGCGTTTGCGACAATGCCCTTCTTCTGTTCGCGATCATGCTGGCTGACTGGTGTCGCAGCCCAACATCAAACAGATACAGACTGACATCTCTGGTTTCCTCGACAAAGATGCTGCGCCCTTTTGTCGCCAATTATGGAAGCTGCTGCTCAGTGCACAGTCCGATCCAAAGGGCATCCCGCAAGAGTTGCTCGAGGCGAAGAAGTTTGAGCTCATTCAAGAAAGAGTACGAGCAGACCGAGCAGACAAGAGAGCAGAGAACAGGGAAAAGCTGACATGTGATGCAGCTAGCCGAAGACAAGGCACGCGAAGAAGCCAGACAGCGAGAGATTGACGAGCGTGAGCGCGAACGAGAGCGCGAACGAGAGCTGGCACGCCTCCGCGAACGCGATCGTAGCTATCGTGGTCGAGGAGGTCGAGGAGGCAGAGAACGTCAACGGGATCGTTCTTATGAACGTCGACCTTCACGCGATTCTCGATCGCCACCACCAAGACGTCGCAGTCCACCACGCGCTTCAGCCGCAGACCGTTACGTACCTGGAGCTCGGGGACGAGGTCGTGATGGAGGGGACTATAGCACTCAACGCCGCCGCCGCTCCCCATCCTACGGCCGATCGCCATCGCGCTCGCCATCTCCACCGAGACGTCGCAGGCGGAGATACTCAAGCTCGGATGCCCCGCGGTCCCCATCTCCGAAAAGGCGGAGAGCAGCTAGTAGAGACGATGAGGATCGCCGTGCGAGAAAGCGCTCACCTTCACCTGCACCACGCAGACGCCGGCGGTCTCCTTCTTATGATGGTGACTCTCGCTCACCACCAAACAGGCGTCACCGTCGCACGACTTCATCATCATCGCATTCACCACCACGTCGCCGATCTCTCTCCGCATCGAAACACACGGGTAGGTTGTCGCCACCATCAGACCTCATTACTGATCGAGGTCGATCGAAGAACTACCCCCGCCTGAGCCGAGAAGGCTCATGGCAGAGCGACGCTCCAGGTGAGGGGGCCTCAAGCGCCCGTATCACACCGTCGAAAGTCAACGGTGGAACCAGAAATGAGGTAATGGACTGATCCTTTCCCAAAACGCACACGTAACGCATAGCATAAGATATATCGCATCGAAAAGTTTCTTGGAACGCAAGCCACACTTCCTGACGTTCCCACGTTCCAAGCAGTCCCCGCTAATCAACGTGTGATACCCCAGCGTTCACGCGCGCTGCCCAGCGGGCTTGCCATTTCCAAGGAAGCTCTGGAGGCAAGACTCAACGCGGCTAAACAGGAAGCACAACGGCGGGGTGCCCTTCGCAACGATAGCGTGGCGCCAGGCAGCTGAAGCAGGTGCTTTCACAGGCAGGTGATTCAGATGGCATGCTCACACGAATTTGATGCAGCGATGAGTGGTCGTGGGTACAGGTAATAATGGTTTATGCAAGCCCCAGTGAGAATGCCGGGGGAGAGACGATAGCAGGCGACATGACGAGCAAGACCACGTTGTATGCCCTTCATGAATCATATCATGGACCGCATGGAAGATTACAAAGTTGTATGCCCTTTCATGAATCATTTCATGGACCGCATGGAAGACTGCGAACTACATAGGTAGTTGCTTGGGCAAGACATGATTCTGGCGACAGTGTTTTACATACCAAGCCACCGATCCACATGCTCGGCGTAGCCGACATATCCTTGCCTACCATCCATCTCGCGGGTCATCATCATTCAAAATTGTGCCTGCTTGGAAGCGACTTTCAAGCCTTCTCCCTCCAGGCCCTTCTTGAACGTGTCCTTCAAGTCATCACCGTTAGTCTTGACATCTCCTTCTTTCACAGCGACTTCCGCTTCGACCGTGTCCTTGCCGTCTTCTTTCTTGAGCTTCTGTACAAACATGTCTTCGACCATCTGTTGACCCGCCTTATCAGCTTGTTTCTCATCTGCCACACTCGCTCCTTCGCCCGCAACGCGCTCATCGAGCGCCAACTTGGATTCCCCGAGGGCGTGAATCTGCTCCTCGATAGTGCCTTTGGTAACGAGACGGACCACCTCGACCTCGCGTGTTTGTCCTACGCGATGAGCACGATTTTCGGCTTGGATGTCGTCCTGCGGGTTAAAGCCCGAGTCAAAGATGATGACCTTGTTGGCAGCAGCCAAGTTGATGCCTGCGCCACCAGCGCGGGTGGACAACATGAACACGGGGATCGTCTCGTCTGTGTAGAACTTATCAATCATATCCTGACGATCGGCCATATTTGTCGAGCCATCCAGTCTCAAGAACTTGATATTCAGCGTCTCGAGGACTTCCTCAAGAATATCCATAAGTGTGGTAAACTGTGAAAAGACCAAGGTGCGATCGCCATTCTCGACGTAGGATTGGATCAGCTCCTTGAACTTTACCACCTTTCCGGCATCCATCCACTCTTGCTTCTTCAGTGCGAAGCGCTTGTGTAGATACGAGCGCGCGGGATCGGCACAAAACTTATGCAGACCAAAGTCTCCGCCCTTGAGGCATTGTGCTGCAGTACCGTCAAGGTAAGCTCTGATCTTGTCCGGAGGGTTGCTGCCGAATTCGTCAGATTTGGTTAAAGCTGTGACCAGCTTATCGAGCTTCTTGTCATCGAAGATTCGTTTGGATAAGAGCGGGTGAATCGCAGCCTTGCGAAGAGCCATAATGATGTTCGAGGACGCTTTGTTTGTGGCAGCATTTCTCTTGGCCCCAGGCGCAGCTTTCTCTGCAAAGACCCGCTGCGCTTCCTCAACCAGATCGGCGTAGTAGTTTGCTTGTGTGTCGGTCATTTCGCAGTACTCTACACGAGAGTCTTTCTTCGGCAGATCCAGCACCTGCTGCTTCTTGCGACGGAGGATGAAGGGCGTCATCATGCTACGAGCTCGTGCCACGCGTTCGTTGGACAGCAGTGCAGCTGACGATGTGTCCTTCGTCGTCGCTTTGTGCTTGAATAGGAAGTTCAGATCATCGCGCTTCTCGTGGAACATTTCGGGCATGATGAACGCCAGTATTGCGATGAGTTCCTGCAGATTGTTCTGCAGCGGCGTGCCCGTCAACAAGACCTTGTGATCTGCACCGATTCGGGTCAGTTGTGTGTACCGATCCGAGTTCGGGTTGCGCAGCATGTGCGCCTCGTCGTAGACGCAGACTGCGAAAGGGCCAAACTTGCGGAGGAACTTGTTGTCATCTTGCTTCACTGCCATGTCGTAAGTGGTAACAATGGCATCAATCGTGTTACGTTCTGCCTCGAGCTGCTCTTGTAGTTGTCCACGTTCGGCTTGCAGACCGTAGTATGGCCGCACGACCATGTCGGGCGCGAATTTCTCGAACTCGCGTAGCCAATTTTCCAGCGTGGAGCCGGGGACGATGATGAGATGGACACCATCTACCTGCTCCAGCTGCAACTGTGCCAAGTACGAGATAATTTGCGCCGTTTTCCCCAGGCCCATGTCGTCAGCAAGAATACACGATATTCTCTTCGTGTAGAGCATATGCAGCCAGTTCAGACCGACTAACTGGTAGTCCTTCATGGTAACATCCTTGCTCATGTTCTCCGGTTGTGCGAGGAACTTTCCCTTGCGCTTTGTCTTCGTACCATTCAAAGGAACATCCTCTGCGACAGAGCTGGCGGGCGTGCCGATGCCAGAATCGTGGGATTCATCCAAGCTCATTATTTGTAGTTCGCCATCCTTGACGTCGCCAACGCCCCATGCCTTGAGCGCCTCTTGCAGCGGGCCGGAAAGTTTCTCACACTTGACGACAAGTTCATCAACAGCATCGTATCCGGACATCACTTCGATGCATTCTTCAACAAGCTGCTCGCCTAGCGCTTTCGTCTTCTTCGACTTCTTTCCAGCCTTGGTCAAGCTTTCTTGTACAATCGCACGGACTTCGTCAAGATCGTCGAATGGTCGGTGATCCAGGACAAATCGGATGTTGTCCAATGGCTTGGCTGTAATCTCAGCAAGGTCTGCCACTGTGGATTCGTTCAGTAGTTTTAGCACTCTCTCTTCGCGCATCTCCTGCACGTCTTCTGACACCTCAGGTGCTTCCACTCGTTGCAGGTCTGCGTCAGACTCATCGCTCGCATCTGCTCTTCCCATACCAAATTCATCATCTTCGTCGTCAGATATCACAATCGCGGCCCGCTTCTTGGCCAAACGACCTGGTCGCACGCGTACTTGGGGCGGAGGTGACGAGGGTGGACTCGACAGGGCAGCTTTACCACCACCACCTCGACCTCGAGGGACGACGTCCTCGTCGTCGCTATCATCGTCATCATGAATGACACGCAACGGCTTCCGGTTTGCTGGAGCACGATACTTCTCGGCAATCGTCTGCTTTGCTCTGATATCTTGCTTTGCAGTAGGGCGTGCCGGTTGCGAGGACTGGCCACTGTAGCCCTGTGACACGTTTTGAGCGATTCCCCTTCTCTGTATAGGACTTTGGGTCCCCAACTCATCCGCCGAGGGAGTGCTGCGCTCCGCTTGATCAACGAGCCATGTCATGGCCAAGGTCTGATCACCGCGACTCTTTTCCAGAGCCCGCAAACACCCCATCACGGTGATGTTATTGCCCAGTGTCGCCAGCATATTCTCCACTTTCTGCCTCAGATTCCAATCCGGAATCTCAAGAGCACTGCGATATAGCGGTTGATGATACATCGGCGCCATTGGAGCGGCCCCTGGCGTTGCGCGGGCAACATGATGCTGAGGTTGAAACTGCTGGCCGGGGTAGTTTGGCTGCATCGGACAGGCGGGAGGTGCATACATCTGTCTAGGCATCTGTTGAGGTCTTGGCAATCTACCGGAGCTGCCATACGCGCTGGCAGAATCATACGCAGGCCGCTGCTGATATCCAAGTGGCGTGGGGGGTGCATGCGTGGCAGGTTTGTGTGTAAACGAATTGAGCATAGACATAAAAGGCGTTGTTTGGTTCGAGTTGAGAACACTTGAGGCACTCGAGTTTGCACGTGGCGACTCCTGTATGCGTTGCGCCTGACTTGGCGAGGAGGGCAGACGAGCACCAGCTCTCTTAAAGTCAGTGGCTTTGAGACCAGAATGAAACTGTTGCGATGGTTGGGACGCAGGCTCATGCCGTACGGGTGGATCATCGTCACTATCGTCGGCAGGATCTGTTCGACTCTGCTCCGCAGCGTTCACTGGCCGCCGAAAAGCTGTACCTGGGGGCGCCATTGCGCTGGCGAGCAAACCTCCTGGGCGCCCGCCTTGCGGGAACGTCAAAGGGTTGCGTATGGGCTGTGGCGCCGGGCGCTGTGGCGAAGAAGAGGGTGCTGCGGGCGAAGAGCATTGCACTTGCACCTCCGCCTGTAGTGGTTGTGTGGGTTGAGTCGCATCGCGAACGGGCTGCGTAGGCTGTGTGGTGAACGACGAGTGTGAGGACGGTCGGTTCACGGAGGAGGCGCTCAAGTCCGAGTGGAATTGTGTCGGCGTGTAGTTCAGCTCCTTCCTCTGTTGCGGCAATGGTAGCGTGGCTGCGGTATGAAAATCGTCTGCCGTGAGTTCCTCTCCACCGTCTTCATTGCCATCCCACGGTTTGCCATTGTTGTTTTCGTTCAGTTTCCGTCTCTTAGCGGGAGTGCCATCGGTAATGGGATCGAAACGATCTGCCATGATCTCGTCTACCTCGGGGCGTGTTACTCGTGGAGCGTGTTACGTGCTACCGATGCGGCAGCGTAGTTGGGGGACATGCGCGATGCGTGAGCGGAATCAGCAGAACGCGCGCCGTCTCGCACCCAAGGTTAAGGTAATGTCGGAAGTGCGCTGGGATGGCGGTGCTGCTACACTTCTCACTGCAAGAACTGCAAACGACCGCCCGAAATCTCACGACCGATGTGGGGTGGGAAGTGGAAAGTGGGTGGAGGGTGTGTAGTGAAGAAGTGTGCAAGCTGAAAGCGGCAGCCCTAATAGTATTTCTAGACTTCCCTTTTTCGGCGACCTCACGTTACCTCCTTTGCCCTCAGGCAGGCATCAAACATTGGGACGACGACAGACCGCACCCTTTCCATTGACACGAACACGAACAAACATCGACTATGGCAACAAGAAGAGTCAACACCTCCGCCGCAAAGACACCGCTCAACGAAGATGACACTACTCTCAGTCCAGATGTCAAGTCGAACATTAGTCCTGCGGTGCCCGCGTACGTTGCATTCCTCGCATCGCCACCTTTTTTTTTGAAGAGACTAAAGGAGGAGGTATCGCAATAGATCCGTGATATACAAACTACTCGGCTTCACCTTCGCCATGATCACGTTCCCCATCGGCAGCTACTTTCTCTCTGTCAATTTGCTATTTGGAGGTGTGTCCTCCTCGATTTAGCACGAAAGACGTCCAAAAAAGGACCATTCATCACTGACGAGACTAGGCAACTCTACTTACGCGGGAGGGTTGGCAGCGCTGGTGGCCAACGTAGTCCTGATTGGCTATGTGGTCGTGGCTTTCAATGACGACAAGTCGGAACGTGAAGCTGCTATCGAAGAGGAGAAGAAGTCACGATGATGATTACTTAAGAAACTCAGCACTCCAAGACCAGGTGGAGGTTTTCGCACAAGGCGCAATATCATATGGGGTGCCTCATAGCTCCTCGAATAAGAGAGCATCACGCACGGCGCTATAGCTCCATCGTCATTACAGTAGGAGGTAGTAGGGATGTGCAACCTGTGGCTCTGGAGCCAAGTGCCGCATGCACTGCTTGCCGAACGATGGAGCTACCTACCTCCACCTCCTACGAGGTCAATAGCTAAGTAACAAGCTTCACCGATGTCACTAGTTAACGAGCTGCACTGTGCGAAGGGGCGTGACAGTGATGACAGACAGTAATGTGGCAGGTAGTTGTGGAATCCGTGGGAAGTGTGTCAATCATTTTGAGCTCTTCCCCCCGCCCAGCATCTGTTCTATTCTGACGTGGGGACGAGAGTGGTTCCAAGATACCTGACCACCCCAACCCATGCTCAACGTCGTCAGTGTTCGTAGCCAAGCAGCGGATCTATCTTCTTTTCTTGTTCTTCCCAAGCAAGCCCTGACCGAGATATGCTCCACAAACACCACCCTGGAAAAGGACCCAGACGGGTCAAAAGAACAAGAGCTCAACTTCATTCCCCCATGACTGCATTATTCATTACAAATTATGTGCAACGAAGCGTGTTATTCGAGACTCCCAAGGAAACTGGCCCAGATTCTCTTTCGTGCACAACCTGTCGCGCGCGCCCCCCTTCCTTTCTAGTCTCTGCCTTTCTTGCTGAACATGCGAGACAGCCGGCCTTTGCGTTTTTCGGGCTCGGATCTCTTTTGCGTGGGCAAGGATCCTGTAGTAGGAATTTGGCTGGAGCTGCCCGAGTTGCCGAGAGGAATGGGTCGACGTGCGCCCGCTGGTGGCTGTACAGCACCTCCGTGCTTCATCGGATACGCGCCGTCCTCGGGTATCGGTCCTGATGATCCGGGGCCATGCCCGTTCGGTGGATGGCCGTTCTGACCAAAGCCGTTGGACGGGTAATTCTTGTCGATTGAGCTATTCTCGCTGCTGGGGTCTGTACTGTTCGCCCATGGTCCCGTACTGTCTGAACCATTCGTCACTCCGGTTGCCATTGTATCCTGTGACTGATGATAGCCATGGTGTGGGGGATATGGCCGTTGCATGTACGGCTCTGACTGCATGCGAGGCGCGCCAAACGAAGGCCTACCCGGACCTGGCCCGTACCCGTCTGCGCCTCGTCCGCCATAGTATCCTCCCGCGTTGGAATTTAAATATCGATTTTGAGGAGGAGCGCTGTAGCCTATGGATATGCGGTTGGCAAGGGATCGTCGCTTGGCAGTGGGAGCAGTGAACTCACCATATGCGCTGTTCCTCCTCGACTGAGCGAAACTTCCCGGCTCGTTGTAGGATTCGGAGCGCCCGTAGGTCGAGCGCCTCTTGTATCCCGAATCAATTGCTGCCTCGAACGATCGGATGGTGTCTAAGGGTCGTTCCATTCGCGGTCGTGTCGGGTTGGACAAGTCCGGATCAGCTACAAGAACAGGAAATGTCAGTCTGGGTTGTGGGATGGATAGAGTGTGGTATGTCGAGAGGTCGCCTACTGATGAGATTGCCATTGACGTCCCGGTGTTGCTGGGTGCGGAGGGACGATAGAGTGCTCTCCTCCAAGATCGCATTGACTGGCGGGGGATTAGCGAGAACGTCGGGAGTCGAGGACGACGTGAGGAGAGCCATGTGTGGTGGTGGTGGAGGAGAAAGTGGTGGTGGTGGTGGTGGTGGTGAGGGACAGCGACAGAGTGGCGGGCAGAGAAGCACCGACAATCAATAGTACAGTAGATCAGGTAGTGGAGAAGAATAGCAGTCGCGCGCGCAGAGCAAGCAGCAGTGTAAAGAGGAAGAAAAAGAGGCTGGTCACGGCATTTGGCTAGGACATACCTGCAGGCTCCAAGTCTCTAAGGGCAGCGTTGGGATTGGCCTTGCTAGTAGATTTCCAGATCTGAGACTGCCTCTCCTTGTCCCTGGGACTCTCAGTGATCTCCTCTTTCTGCCGCGAGCCTGCACTCCGGTCGCTACGAAACGAGAAGCCACGCGAACGCGCCGACGGTGTCTGCGGAGCTGGGGCCTGCTCCATAACGGCGGCAACGACGACGGCGGCGGGAGTTGCGAGGGCGATCTCGGCGGTCGTTGAGAAGATGTTGCTACTACTGCGACAGTACTACTACTGTACAGTAGATTGAGCGCGTGGGTGCGTGGGTTGTGTGTGTGTCTGTGTGTGGCTGTGGCTGGTGGGGACCCAAGAGTGGAGCAGACGAGTCGGCGGCAGCACGATAAGGTGTGGGCGGGGTGTGGTATGGGACGAGAGTGGTATGTGCGCTGGTGAGGGCGAGATTGGTGGCTGCACAAACGAGCGACAAACGATCAATGGGCAATAATGGACAAAGTGATGAACGATGCGAACGAAGCGACGATGAGGATGAGAGGGCGGAGGATGGAAGAAGATGGACGAGCTCTCAGCTAGGTACCTATCTGCTGTCTGCGAAGGGAAGGGAAGGGAAAGGCGGTTGGCGGGCAAGTTGCAAGTGCAAGGACAATGCGGCTGGCAGGCTTGGCTGAGCACGTGTCGGTACATGTAGTATGGTAGGAGGGAGGTACATTAGTAGGTACATGTACTCTTGTATCTACTCTGTACACGCACGCTCGCACGCAAGTCGCGACGCCAAACGCCAACGCCAACAACTTGGAAGCAGTCAAGCACAAATAGGCGGCGTACGTATTCGGGAAGAGAGGAAGCAGCTCGTAAACTTGCGGGAGCTGACGAGGGAAGCTACGCGGCTACTGTGAGTGCTGACCTTTGATTCGATGCTTGTTTGACTTTTTGCTGCGGACAATGCAGGCCGGCCGGTCTTGGTGTACCATTCCTTGCTCTCTAACTCTGAGATGGTCTCGTCCAACAACCTTAGCTGTTCTTGAGCAGACTCGCACCAATCCATTATGAATACCATCATCCTCGCCAATCCATGCCCGCCTATGCGTGACATCTGGCCCATACCAGCACTCTCATCACACACCTCCCGAGTAGCTACATACACCTTCAGGCTTCAGGTATTCACAGCATACGACGACGCCAAGCAATATGCCTACCTTACCTACCTAATCTACCGTACCTACATGTAATCATCCTAAGGTATGACTACGGACATCCTCCTCCCCGCTGCGACCCCACGCTGCCTAGTCATCACCACCATTGGCATCTTCCGCTGACTCTTCCCGGCGAACCGGCGGCCGTTGAACGCCTCGTGGACATGATGGCATCAGTATCAGACCATCAGGAAATCTGGAATGCCCGCTGTCAGTGCCTAGTCACTGCAACATTCCGTGGACTACGACTGCCTTGTTCTACTTCCGTTCGCGTGGGTGGCGGGGAGCCCAAAGCCCAAGCCTATGTCGGGTATGTGCAACATTGCCATTGTCGTTCTACATGATGAAGACAGCCCGAGAGTGTGAGACGAGACTTCCACCACCCGTTGTTTTCCACCCGAGAACAAAAGAATGACGATGTTGCCCGCCCGTGCACATACCCTAGTAGGAGGTAAGGTAGTAGGTACATGTACCTACTAAGTGGTATCATCGTGGCGCAGTAGCCCGTCTTTCTTTTTACTTTTTGATTTTTTGGCCTTTTTACTTTTCCTGCAGACTCCAGAGACAAGCGTTGAACTCAAAGGAAAAAGCTCTCCAGCCCAGTGAGAACTATCAGGGATCTATACTCATTCACAAAACGTGTCCGATGTCGTCTATGACCGCCCCTTGCAAAAATCCCGTTGCCGACGCGTTTCAGAATAAGGTATCATCGTGGCCCGACGTCGTTACACGTTGTTTTTGTGAAGAGAAGAGAGTGCTTATGTATGCCGCCAACTGCCTCCGCCGGGTGAAGTGACGCCCGTCCGCCTGCCGATCATGTAGTGACCTCTTACCTCCTACCTCCTACGAGGCAAACCTGTCTGACGAGATGGATTAGACGGCGCTCTAGTTTCTACTAGCCTGCACACCTCCATCTACAGTACAGTACACTAGGAGGTAGGAGGTATAGAAACGAAAGGTACCTATAATGGGGACAACAACATACAGACTTTTTCCATCTTTTGCGATCAAACTCTCCCTCCCTCCCTCCCTACCTCTCTACCTCATATACAATGCTGTTTTAACTGTAATTCATCCTGAGACCGCCTCCTCGGAAACTGTAGCATTATACCTAAGCCAAAAGTGTTGTGTTGTGCTGTGCTGTGCTGCGCTGTGCTGTGCTGTGCTATGCTGTGCTGTCGTACATCCGCACCCGCATCCGCATCCGCAAACAGCACAGAGCGCACCGCCACGCCATCCACAAGGTTCCTGATTAAGTTGCATATGCAGTCGCCACAGACAACAGCATTCTCTGTTTTAATTTTAGGTAGGTACATGTATTTTGTTCAGCTGTGGAGGGTTCTCACTGCTTCTCAATCTCAGCACGGCACCACGTTTTTCGATTCTTACTTTTTTTTCTTGCTTGCTTCGGCACCCCTCCCCCAGCTTTTCAATGAGACCCCCCAGCGAGCAAAAAGGTTCTCGAAGCCTCACTTTTCTTCATCATGGCTGGCCTCGTACCCTTTAGGAGGTGGCGTGAAAAGATTGCTGCTTCTGTTCGGCTAGGAGGTATCTCCTAGATATTGTATGATTTTTTCGAAGCTGGTGCAGTGGCACTCCTCGCGGGCTGCTTTCACAAGGTAAAACCCACCAAAATGTAAAGCGATCGCAACGCGCCTCCACATCTCCGCCTCAATCCCTCCAGCTCTCCCTCCCTCCCTCCCTCTCTCTCCTCCCTTCCCTCATCATCATCACGATAATAACAATCATGAACCATCCCCTCCCCCTCCAACAATAACGTCCTCCGTCCTCACCAACCCCTCCCTCAACACATACAAAACATCACATCTCCTCCCCGTCCTCCTCACATCATCATCCTTTTCCTTTTCCTTTTCATTTTCATTTCCATCTTCCACCCACTGACTCCCATCCAACTGATATGCAAAACACACTCCACAGCGAGGACATTGCACAGGATAACGTTTTTCAAACCCATCATCGAGTTTGAGTATCAAGCATGGGAAATCCTCTTCTTTTTCTTTTCCTTTTTCTTTTCGTTCAATCGCAATAGCGTTGCTGAGAAGAATACTGTTGTTGTTGTTGCTGTTGCTCTTCGTTTTCGTTTCTTCTCCTTCCTTTCCTTCTTCTTTTTCTTCTTCTTTTCCGGCGGAATTACTACTGTGATTATTATTACTATTACTACTACTATTATTACTGTTGCTGATAATCGTGCAAATGGCCGCGGAGTCGCTTTGGCGTGTGGCGAATTCGGTCAGGGGACGGGTGCTTGCGAATAGCACTTCGCTGCAGATGCAATGGTACGTGGAGATGTGAGTGGACGGCATGCTTGTAGTGGTGTTTGGTGTGGTGTTTTGTATGTGTGCTTGTGTGTGTCTGCCCGTGTGAGAGTGTGTTGGTTGTTACGTTGGGTCGTGTGAGATTGTGTTTCAGCCTTTCAGGGCCCCAGGCATACATGTACCTTATTACCCTACCAGAATATTCTTTTTTGGAACTTCTGCTCGAGTCTTGGCGGGCACGTCGAATCGAAAGAAGAGACCAAACAAGACTCAACAGTACATATAAGCAACTCGGGAGTTCGAATCCTTCATTATCATGCTCTCATAATACTGCTATAGGAGTGGTGGTATCTGGCCTGCTGATACAACAAACGCTAGCAATGCTGCTGGTAACTCCCACACCCCGTCAATCCGATCAACCATCTGCTGATTGCACCGTCGAGGATCGAACCGCAAATCAACATGCTCTACATCATGCCAAAGACGAACTCCATGGCACCAGAACGCAGTCCAACCCATGAAATTCAACCGAAGGCCATCAAAGCCCCGGCCGACGAACGCGGTGAGCGGGAATGAGCCAAGTCAGCCAAGTCAGGCGACGCTGCGGTAGGCCCCAAGGTACAGAACGATCTGCAGTAGTGAATGGAGCTGTGTAGTCTGCTGGATGCTCCTAGTCCTTCCATCTATTCAGGAACTTCTGCATGTCTCCCGATGGCCCTGCTTGGGGTGCCGCCTGTGCCCTCATCTCAGAAATGTGCGGGATACATATAACAAGGTGCCACTTACTGTGTTTTCCATGCTGCTGACGGAGAAAGTCTGTGTTTGTGTCATGGTCGTCTGTACTGTTGGCTTTGGTAACCACGTAGTGGCTATGGAGACACTGCTCGTTGGATACTTGGGTGAAAAATTCTGGGCTGTGATCTTGGTCGGAGGGACGCCTTGCATCGGTGCGTACTTTGTAAGCCCGCTCTGGTCTGCATACGCAATACCATACATGTCGTCGCCTGCACCTGCGGCAGGAGCTGCTGCTGCTGCGTCGTTGGCGACGTTGTCAATCGTATCCGGTCCATCTGTGCCAGTTACTGCTTGCGCACCCGTTACGGCATTCGCTGCTGTGGTTCCCGTGAGTCCTTCTATACTGAATCGTCCTGAGAAATTGGTAACTGTGCCACCCTCCTTTGCTGTCGATATCATCTTCAAATAAAATCCATTTTTGAGCGTGCCAGCGATGTTGGCTGGTACTGTGCCCTGTGCTGTTGTTCCTTGCGCATGACTACCCTTAGTGGACAGCGATAGGAGTCCCACCTGCGAACAGCAATCAGCATGATGCTATGGGCCGTTCTGCCTGGAAGCAAAGCATTCTTATCGCCCCTTCGTCTTCAATCTCCCAGCCCTATTTCTCCGGTCCATGCCCTTCCGGCTTTACAGCAGCACATACCGAAGAAGCATCAGTGTTTCCTCCAACCATCAGCTGGAGCGTATACGTGCTCAAGTCACTGATTTTCGGCGTATCTCCAGACTCTTCCCACTTCACCGTCAATGTCCCGGCTGGTATTGAAGCGCCAGGAGCAGGCGATGTGAATTTGACGTCTGCCAGCACTGTCGCTGCAAGGGTGGTAATCACCGGGAGAAGAGTAGAAGAACGCATCGTGGGCGGAGAGCGTGGTGGACGTCGTGCGCAGTGTGTCAGGCGTGCGTCGGTTGCTTTGCGACGGGGTGATCGATATGTTCGCACGAAGGTGTACTACTCTGGTGCTGTTGAATCCAGAGCAGGAAGCAGATTCGTATAAACGAGTATTCCTGTTGTCGGTGTCGCCGTACGGGAAGTCGCAGGTCTGATGAGCGCACACAGGCACAGCCGCACAGCAAGAGCTAAGAGCGCGTTCCTGACAAGGATATCCAGTGTGGCGCAACTGGCGCCTCATATTTCACTAGCGTCTCCGGTACTTTCTTTCATGTGCAAGACTACCTTACCTACAAGGTACATATATAGACAACAATTCGAGATTCGCCACGAGACATGGGTACATATAGGCAAGCCGATACATTCAGAAGTAACATAGATAGTATTTCCGGAGTCAGGAGAATCAATCACTAATAAATCGCTGCAAACTCCATCGCTCAAATTCAAGACCAGCTCAAATTCCACGCTATGCCAATCACTTGCCAGGCCGTCACTTCTTCACAGTCAAGAAAACATCAGTCTACGAACTGCTTCCTGAACCACCTCCTCGCTCGCTGTACCACTCGCCTCGCCTCCCTCCGCTGCTTTGGGATCAGGGTAGTAAAATGCCCCAACAGCGATCAGTGCGTACACCATGACACAAAGCGCGCCCTCGAGATAATCGGACTTTTCATCCCTAAGGAAATTTCCGACCACGATGACGGCCAGGATGAGCACTATGGCATCGAATATCTCAAAGTTCAGGCTCATATCGCTACCGATCCCCCAGCCGACAAGAACCACCAGTGGGGCATTAAGCAGTGCCGTTTGAATACTTGCACCCAGTACGTGGCTCAGAGCAAAGTTCATCTGATTGTCGTAAGCTTCATCAATAGCGGTGATGTGCTCGGCTGCTTTCTCCACCAAGGGCACCAGGATGAGGCCGACAAAGGCGTCAGACACTCCTCTTTCCACAATGTAATGAATCTCCTTGACCAGGAACACAGCCATGAAGCTGACGAACATCAGAGCGATCAAGAGAGCGATGATGCTCTCGGTCAAGGTAAGCTTCGGTTTGGCGAGATCCCTGTGCCTATCGTGATCACGCTCCTCGTCCGCTTCCAGAATGTCTTCGTACAAGCCGTGGTGGCTGCGTGCTTGGAACCATACGTAGATACAGAAGGCGATGAGTAGAATAATGGCCGCTGCTCGCGAAAGCCTTGCCGTGTTGGTCAGAATTTCGCTCGTGATCTCAGGGCGGGAATTGATGAGCGAGGAGTAGTAAATTGTCGGTATGATGAGGCCCATTGCCGCGACGAGCATCAGATTAGAACCCACTTCGGAGATAGCTTCATGGAACGTCTGCTGAGGGTGAAATATACCTCCGACGAAGAAGCAGAGTCCTGAGAAGTAATTAGTCAGAAAGTGAACTTCTTCATCATCTTCTTTGATCAACTCACCAAGACACATCAACAAGTTGGCCAGGATCGACCCCAGAATGGCAGCTCGAATGACAGGCACGTTAGGGTTGTCCGCGCCCGCCGCTACGGAGTTTTTGCCTTGCACGAGCAAAACCATAAACAGGATAATCTCAACGATACTGCCGAACGTAGTTTCCAGCAGCACGCCGGCCACCTTGGGAATCTTCCTGGCCAATTCCTGACCAGCGAATCCAACCAGATTTGCAGCAGGGATCATGCCAATGTATGAAGTGGCAAATATCCATACCGGTGGGCCGTGAGAGAAGTAAAGCACGATAGCGGCAATGGTGAATGGCCAGAGCACATTGGTCCACTTACTCGCCGTGCAAGAGCTCGTCCAGATGATTTTCAGGAACTTCAGAGGATGGAACCAGCTTCTCCCACTCTCTCCGTCAGGTTGTATGCCCTTGGTGACTTTATGGCCCGCATGATTCACTCTGTGGCCATCCGAGTTGTACATGGGCAACTGGCTCTGGCCACTTCCACGGGCTTGTTTCTCGTTGTGTGAGGTCTCGTGTCCAGTGCCATCGCCCACTCCATCATTCACAGGACCAATGTGCTTTCGCTTGAATACCCTAGCGCGCTTATTCCAGCTGATGCTATGGTTGAGGTGATGATGTTCGTGTCTGTGGTACCTCGCAGTCGACTCTTGTCGATCGGGCTTTGGGCGGCTCGTCATAACGGAGGTGCAGGCTGGGTGCGAGCTTGGTGAAGCTTGGGTCGTTGGCACTTGGCAAGGCTAGGAGGGAACGTGTAGGAGGTAGCAAGCTTGGTGTTTGCTGTGGTGGTCTCGCGGTACCGTAGGAGACTAAAAGGAGAGCCGTCCGCCGGCCAGGGAAGAGGATGATGATCAGGTGGTTGGTGAGGGTGGGTTTTATAGGCGACCAGACTGCGACACACCGGCATTGATACGCGAACGGGGGCTGAGATGAGCGATTTCAAAAGGTGGCTTATCCCGCCGATGTACACGCGAGATGAAGCAAGTGCGCCAGGATAGCTCTGACCACAAACAATAATGGAGGAAAGCGCGAGGTGCTCTCAGCTGAATGGAATAGCAAATGGCAGGCGATGAGGATGAGGTGGAAGCTCGTCTACCTACCTTACCTGGCTGGTACGTAGAAGTAGTGTGTACATGCTTTGCAAATCGACGGAAACATGATGCCTGTCCTTGTTTCTTGCCCGCCAAGTAGTTAGGACTGTGTCACTGTGGATAGCGGACGCCAGCCGTAGGACAACGTGTTTAAAGATCTGCGAAGCCAATTTCACGGAGGCGCCTCACTACCCTGTCCTGTCCTGCTCACCATCCTGAGGCGTCGAGGTGGTGTGAGATCGCTGTTGCACCCGCCGGCTCCGCTGGACAGAAACACTTAACACACAGCACTGATACGGTACTTGCCTGCCGAGCTGAGTTATGGTCGCGAGAAGAGAGGCTGGCTTTATATAGGAGGAGGATAGAGGAGGATACATATAAAGGGTATCTTCGTGTACCCTAGCCCTAGCCAACTATAGGGCCTAAGTGACGGGAGGAGGCGACGAGACTCTAGCTTCGTGCAAGCGCACACCTCCTATGTTTTGTTTTGCGCACCGCTGGAGTGACCACATCGTGCAGAAGCCCCCCCAGAGCTACCTCCTATGATCATCAACAAATCAAGGAAGTGCACACGGCCCACGGGTGATGTGTTCAGTCGTTTGCTGGCATTACTGGGGTCGGTTGTCAGCTGTCAGCGTACGCCTGTTTGCGCAGCACAGGCTCCAGTAAGGTAGAGGTAATGTAAGTACAAGAATCTCGTGCGCCACTGGCCATGACGAGCCTCCAGAGCCTGTCCTGCCTCCACGAGGTCAAGGCCGGACTAGGAGGTGCCTGTAAGGTAGGAGAGGTAAGGTAACTACCTTATGCTTGTGGTACAGTAAGGTCCCTAGGTCAGCAAAGTAAGCTCAGGTAAGCACGTTCTTGGAAAGCTTGGAACATCACGATGGAAGAACCATTCGTATATTTGGTACTTGCTGCTATGCGCCCCGTCACAACGCCATCACTCGTCAGTCGTACAGTGTATATACATGAGTTGCTGATACAAGTCAAGTAGAACTAAGACATGCTCCGTTCAACATTTTGCTGACGATCTGCAGCGCTGTTCCTGCCATCCATATCATTACCTTGAGCCCAGAAAGAGACGAAGAAGTCATCATCATATGATGCCCGGACGGCTCTATGAGCCATCGTCTGGCTGTGCAGCACCAAAGGTCGCGTCGCCGCAAAGCTTTGCAATGTACCATCCAGTACCGGGGGCCATTGGATTAGCTGGGCCAGCATCGTAGTATGCGAGCAGGCCATTGCCGCAGTTCAGATCGCCAGTGTTCCACGTAACAGGGAATTCCAACCTGCACTCGCCACTACGAATGTCCCACGCAGACGAGGCACACTGCCAAGATGTCGCACACAGCTGGCAGCATTGTGAAGCATCAGTCGTGCTCGTCTTCCACGTCGCACCAGCTGATGGGGTATCTGATAGGTACGAAATGCCGTAGTCGTTGTACTGGCTAATCATCGAGCTCGGCGAGCATTTTGGGTCCAGAGTCACAGTCGATGTTTGGCCTTTCTGGGTAATGGTCTGGGTTCCACAGGTGACGGGCTTGGTTACCATCGAGGTGGCAATGGCAAATGCTCTACCGCCAGTCTTGACGCTGGTCACGGTGGTCTGGGAAAAGGCGGAGTAGTCGTAGAAGGTGGCCGTCTCTCCAGCTGGAGCCCATGTGTAGGTCTGGCCGTACGTGGTGTAGGAAGTGACTGTCGTGGTACAGTCCGCATATTGTCGTGGATTCAGGCCGAGCTGGCGTTTGGCAAAGTTCGATTTACCGTACACGGTAGTTGTCGATACCGGTACAAAGCTAGACCGTGATGGTTAGCCCTCTTCCAGGTGGTAGTGGCTCCAATGTATACTCACACAGTACCACTCGCCGCACACGAGGTCGTCGTACTGGTCAAGGTCTGGACGGTGGTCGTGTCCGAGATGGTGGTGATGAGCGTGAAAATTCCCAGGTTCTTAGCCGTGGTCGGAGAGACAGTCACGATCGCAGTGGACCAGTATGTTGCAGTTCTGGTCGGCACAATGATCTGCTTGGTGATGGTAGCACAGGCCGCCTCCTGAGGAAGAGCATAGCTCAGAGCGGCGAAAAGCGAAGGTAGAGCGAGGAACAGCATGGCTGTGGAGTGAAGGCGGGCTTGTGAAACGAATGTGAGTCAATACCAGGCGCGGAGGGTTGATATGTGTACGCTGGAAGACCAGATGCGTTCGTTGGCCTTGGCCAGTGGCTGGAAGGCTTGTGAATGTCTTGGGGTCGGGAGGTATGTGAAGCTGGCGCCTTCTTATGTGTGCCTCGCGTCCTGTCCACGCGCGGGAAGTTGCAGCTCGAGCACCAGTCGTTGATGCTTGTGTCCAGAGGAGGCCAATAAGGCTGTGCTGCGAAGAGTGTGGCCGGGTGGTAGAGCACACGAGGTAGTGGATCGAGTTATAGCAGTCCGGCCAAAACTTCCAGTGCTGTGCGACGCTGTAACGAACGGACTATCAACAGCCACTTTTAGAATCGCTTAAATCGAGTGAATGCAGGCACGCCTCTAGCGCGCCGCTTCTGGAGGGAAGGTGTGGCTCGCGAGTGTGCTTGCCAACGCGCAAGACCTCCCTCAACCACGAGAGCAGCCGATCGGTCGACCACTACCGTCTAATGCTGTTCCTCCTTTCGGACACTCAGTCTTCCGACGGTATCAACACTGCCTCCTCTTCCACCTTGGCATCGCCCCTATGGACCGGCGCACCCATGATGGTCGTGTGAGGCTGATAGCAAGAAATCTATGTGAGACGCTCCGGATCTCTGCATGCGGTGGCTGTCGAAAGGCCTCCCTCCTTGCAGCATGGTCCAGCACCGCATGAATCAAATCACGCTGTGCTCCTATCGCATGCCTATTGACAATGGGAAGACTTCTCTCGCTGTCATCCGTCACTGAAGATGTGGTTGGGGCAGGCGGCGGGCGCAATGCGATGCAACTCCAATAGACGCGCATGCAGACGAGAATCCCTCGCACAACGTTTTTCTAGCTGCATGTACGAGCCGCTAGAAGCATTCGATACTGGGCAAGCGACAGTGCTCTCTTGGTCAGTGGAATGACCTGATATTGCCAAGTGCCAACGCATGGACGCAGCAAGAAAGCTGAAACGTCAGTACCAGCAACTAGAGCGCACACATTGGAAGCAGCCTTTCCAAATCGGTATGCAGTGCTGGATGGAATGAGATCTCAAGGGCCTCAAGATGGCAGACAAAACGATTAGAATGCGGAGAACACGCACAGCACGTGCAATCCGATCAGTTTGACAGGTTTTGATGGTGGGTCTCTCGATTGCATACCCACAAACCCCAGAATGGTCCACCTGGTCCGCAGTCTCGGAATGATAAGTATGCCGATCATTGCATGCCTTTCGTACCACTTTCTTTACCACTTCGAAAAAAAAAGAAATCGATAATCGTCTTGTCTATACATAGCCAGTCCAATCTTGGAGCCAATACATCTGCAAGAAGACGTTCAAGAATGCGACAACTCTTTTGCCACCCTCCCCCGTGTGACTGATGTTGCATACATGAACGTTCGCGGTCCTGCAGGAGATATCTTCGCACAGTCCTGATGATACCTAGGTACGCTAATCGAAAGCGGCGAACGCAAGCTCATAGGCCAGTCCTAGTGTCAAGCGCGCATGCTGCAACATGTGGTCGAAGTCGAGGTAGTCAATTTTGTCTTCCGTGGTATGGATTTTCTTGTCCGAGTATTGAAAGTCCGACTCAATCACAAAGGCAGACGGATAACCAGCTTTGCTGGCAGATGCATGATCCGAGCAAGCATAACCGCACTTGGTCTCAACGTACGGGATCGTGCAGTATGTTGAGACGACCTTCTTGATGAATTCGGTGAGGGCAGGATCGACGAAGTCGGTGATCACGCCGACCGATTCAGGCTCACCCGCCTCTTTGGTGCCATGAGTATATCCCGTCATGTCTTGCTGTAACATTGCCTTGACATCTCGACCCTGCTTCTCGTATGCACTGAAGATCGCTTGCGAGCCAAGCAACCCACCTTCTTCAGCACTGTACCAATGGAACTCCAAGGTATTCTTGGCTCTACCATGCGCGATATCGTCGTCCTGCAAGATCACGCGAAGTGCCTCGAGGATAGTTACAGTCCCACTACCGTCGTCGTCGGCTGGGAACGGTTAGCAATGAACATGTCACCATGACTCACCATGTGTCTCGCACGACGGGTCGTGCCCGTGAGACTTACCTCCGGGCGCTCCCAGAATAGACGGTAGGAACAAATTGATGCTATCCTGATGCGCTCCGATCACCACCGTCTTCTCGCTTTTCCCCGGCAACGTAGCGATGATGCTGTTTTGTCCCCAAGGGTGCTTGAAGTATTGAACGATACCGACAGGCCCTGCGGCACTGAGAGTCTGATTGACCTGATCGAACAGCCACTCGGAAGACTGTCTGCCGTAGTCGCTTTTATAGTATCGGGTGTGAAAGCTAGTAAAGGTTTCGAGATGCTTCCGCATATTCTTCTGATCCAAGCTCTTGAGCAGCTCCGAGACTGTCTCGTTTTGGGCAGGTTTCTTGGGATATGTGACCTTGTTCTTGCTCGTAAAGGTCGACACACCCGCATCCTGATGATCCGTGACATCGAAGAAGCGAATGCCATCACGTCTGAGCGCCCACTTCTCGTCCTCGGACACCCATCTTCGATCGGATGGCGAGAGCTCGATCAGGTACTTCTCGCCACTGGTGAATGGCGTCTGCTGGAGGATGCCAGTGTAGAGGTCGCTAAAGGTGGGGATGGAGACAGCTGAGGCAGACGATGCTGCTAGAATTACCGATGAGAGCTTCATATTGGTGGTTCTAGTGAGCGGTCGTGGACGAATTCGTAAAGCGCTGGGGTTGGTGTATGTGCGGGTGTGGACGTGTGGTGATGATGAAGGTTCCCAGCCAACAAGAATGGTAAGGTAAGGTTCGCAGGAACAGGGCAGGGCAGCTCCAGTTCACGGTGTTCACGATGTCGTATACCTGTAGTAATGTAGTTCTATCGATACGCGTCGCATCCTCTACCTCCTACTAGAACAGAAACAGGTACCTGTGACGGGACCTGAGCGATCGCCCGACTGTCGTCATCCCAACGCGAAGAGTGGACACGGCGCAGACACGTTCTGTTTGTTTACGCCTGAGGCACCAACCGCCTTTTGTGCCGCGAAGGATGCAATGTAGGTACCCAGTACCTAGTACGTCCCAGGTACATGTACTTTGTACCGACCTGGTGCGTGAGGGCTGATGCAGACAGATCAGCGACAACGGAGACGAGCTCAAAGCTTGTGCCATGGAGGTCCGCCGTCGGCAGTCTTGCCATCACAATTTGATTCACTTTGAATCACACTTTCATTACCCCACCGGGTGTGCTGCGAGGGACCTTCGGCATGGTGGCCAATCAAGAATCACTGGATCGATATGACCCCGCGCCGATATCGCCACCAGGGACACCCCAAGAAGGTTGATATCTTTCATGGAGAGACTGGTCATCAAGCCGGTGAGACCGCTCGAGGGATTATTGCACACTCGTCTCACCTCCTATCCTCTTCCTTTCACCTCTCTCCCACAATAATCGAGCCCTCCTCGCCAGCACACCTCGAATTGGTGGACTGCCATTCGTATCTCCATCACATCACACCTCACAAAAAAGTACTCGCCAACACAATGCCTGGTGTTGTGCAAGGGCCGTCGACCCTCTACGACAAGGTCTTCGCGCAGCATATTGTACGTTGGTGGGAGGAGCAGGAGTTTTGGTGGTGTGATCTGTAGAGAGATTGGAAGTGGCATCTAACAGGCGTCTGCAGGTTGATGAGAAGCCGGACGGCACAGTTCTCTTGTACATTGACCGCCACTTGGTGCACGAAGTCACCTCCCCACAGGCATTCGAAGGCCTGAAGAATGCTGGCCGCAAAGTGCGAAGACCAGACAACACCCTCGCCACGACCGACCACAACGTCCCAACGACGACGCGAAAAAACTTCAAAAACATCAGCGACTTCGTCAAAGAGGATGACAGCAGGTTACAATGCGAGACTCTGGAGCAGAACGTCAAGGACTTCAAGCTCACTTACTTCGGCCTCGGCGACAAGAGACAGGGTATTGTGCATGTCATTGGACCGGAGCAAGGCTTCACCCTTCCTGGAACCACTGTTGTATGTGGTGACTCTCACACCAGCACACATGGCGCATTCGGTGGCCTGGCCTTCGGTATCGGTACCAGTGAGGTCGAGCATGTCTTAGCCACGCAGACCCTCATGACGAAGCGAAGCAAGAATATGAAGGTGGAAGTGAATGGAGAGCTTGCACCAGGAGTCAGTAGTAAGGACATCGTCCTGCACGTCATCGGCCTCATTGGCACCGCTGGTGGTACTGGGCACGTGATGGAGTTCTGCGGCTCTACTATTCGCAGCCTCAGCATGGAAGCAAGAATGAGTATGTGTAACATGTCTATCGAGGGCGGGGCTCGTGCCGGCATGGTCGCTCCCGATCAGACCACATACGAGTACGTCAAGGGTAGGCCGTTGGCACCCAAGTACGATTCGCCAGAGTGGAAAAAGGCACTCAAGAACTGGGAAGGCCTCAAGAGCGACCCAGGCGCGAAGTGGGACGCTGAAGTCATTATTGACGCGAAGGATATCGCACCGACTGTGTCGTGGGGCACTTCGCCCCAAGACGTCGTACCCATTACTGGCAAAGTTCCAGGCCCTGATGACTTCGAGGATAAGGACAGGAAGATGGCGTGCGAGCGATCTCTTCAGTATATGGGTCTGACGGCGGGAACGCCCATGACCGAGATCGAGATCGACAAGGTCTTCATTGGATCTTGCACCAACTCTCGAATTGAAGATCTTCGGATCGCAGCACACATTGTCAAGGGCAAGAAGATTGCATCAAATCTCAAGCGAGCAATGATTGTACCAGGTTCCGGGCTGGTCAAGCAAAGAGCAGAATCCGAAGGCCTTGACAAGATCTTCATCGATGCTGGCTTCGAGTGGCGGGAAGCTGGTTGCTCCATGTGCTTAGGCATGAATCCGGATATCCTGTCACCAAAAGAGCGATGTGCAAGCACCAGTAATCGCAACTTTGAAGGTAGACAGGGCGCGTTGGGTCGGACGCACCTGATGTCGCCTGCAATGGCTGCTGCAGCTGCCCTTGCCGGGAAGCTTGCGGATGTTCGACACCTTCAAGGTTACGAGCAGGCCATTCCTAAGGCCAAGGTTGCACCTACGAATATTGAGCCTTACACAGAAGACCCCGAGTCGGACGCTGACCTCGACAAGATCCTCGACCTCCCACAAGAGCAGGACATGACAGTGTCGCCAAGCGATGCACAAAAGTCTGCTTCCGGATCTCCCGGTATGCCACCATTCAAGCAGCTGAAGGGTATTGCTGCTCCCATGGATCGCAGCAACGTTGATACAGACGCCATCATTCCCAAACAGTTTCTGAAGACCATCAAGCGTGCCGGTCTTTCCATTGGTCTATTCTACGCTTGGCGCTTCAACGCGGATGGCACGCCCAACGAGGACTTTGTCCTGAACCGTGAGCCTTACACCAAATCCAAGATTCTGGTCGTTAGTGGCCCCAACTTTGGATGTGGATCCTCGAGGGAACACGCACCATGGGCGTTGTTGGATTTCGGCATCAAATGTGTCATTGCCAGCTCCTTTGGAGACATTTTCTTCAACAATACCTTCAAGAACGGCATGTTGCCGCTGAGGATTACCGACCAGAAGATATTGCAGCAGCTGATGGAGGAGGCCAACGCAGGCAAAGAGCTTGAGGTGGACTTGGAGAACAATGTCATCAAGGATGCTGATGGAAACACGATTACGAGCTTCGAGGTCGAAGAGTTCAGGAGACACTGCCTGATCAATGGACTGGATGATATAGGCCTCACTATGCAGGACGACGACAAGATTACGAGATTCGAGAAGAGGCGCTCGGAAGAGACTCCTTGGTTGGACGGCTCTGGGTACTTGGCCAAGCATCGGACTGGACCAGTCAAGGTCGAAGCCGTACCCGTGCCCAAGACGAATCGTGGCGAGGACAAGACTGAGCCGCTCGAGTGGTAGATCACTCGATGCGAACATAAAATTCGCTCTTAACAGCGAGGAGTTGATGTGTATTTTTTTTCCTTTTTAGCGAGATGCAAAATGAATGATGCCGGTGGGGCTGTTCGCCTGCAAAGCGAACCACAAAACCACGTTCCGATCCATTTCACACTGTATCTCTCCCCATTTTATCACTTCTCCACCCCCGCAAAATTCCTCCTCTCATGCTCCATAATCGCCTCCACCTTCGCCGCACTCGCACTCGTCGGATCAAACCGATAACCAATCCACTCCCTCACCAACCTCCTCGCCAACTCCAACCCCACCACTCTCTCACCCAAACACAACACCTGCGCATCATTACTCAAAACCGCCCTCTCGACACTAAAACTATCATGCGCCGTCACGGCCCTCACTCCAGGGACTTTATTCGCACTAATCGCCACCCCCAAGCCCGTGCCACAAATTAACAACGCGCGATCGACTTCGCCGGCCGCGACGAGTTTGGCTGCGTCGACGGCTGGATGTGGATAGGCGGTTTTGTCGGCCGAGGTGTGCACTCCGACGTCGATAATGTGGGCGATGCGGGGGTCGGCTTCGAGGTCGGCTTTGATGGTGCTTTTGTAGTTGCAGCCGGCTTCGTCGGCGCCTAGAGCTATGCGGAGGGGGGTTTGAGACATGATTTTTCTTTTTGTACTCTCGCGTCTTTTCTTGGAGGTGGAGATGATTGTTCTTGTTCGCTTGAGGGAGATTCTCGGGTGATGAGGGGGTCTTGATACCAACTCGAGACTTTCGGGGCTGTTGAGTGTGTGTGTGTGTATAAAAGGTAGGTAGGAGGTAGGTAGTTGGAAGGTCTTATAGGCTAGGTAGTTTCCAGTAACTTGGCTCTTGCCAACCCAAGTCCTCAAGAATCCGATAGGTGGTAGCTGACGAATTTGTTTAGCAAAAAAGAGGCTAGAACGAACGTGAACAGGTTATACCCAAGGCAGGAACGATATTTATACCACCTTTCATAGCCCCGGCATCTGGTGTACATGGAACGGTGTACCTACCACCAAATGACTTGGTGGTGGGGTACAGGGTACATGTCACGTCGGGATGCCGTATCAGGTAAATCGTACACCAACTTCCCCTCCTCCTTCCCCGAGACTTATCTATACCATGGTCAACATCTTCGATCCCACTCCAACTACTACTATACCTACTCACCTACTCTGATCTTTTGAAGTATCTTCCATGCCAAGAGCGTGCTGGGGGAGCGAGGGTGACAAATTCGCAAATCACGCTATTATCATTGCCACAAGTACAAGCAGTACTCGCGAATAGTAGTCTCATTGCATCCATCTAGTCTGTGTGCAAGAGAACAATGTCTCCAATTATTCCTCTTCATCGTCCTCTTCGTCATCTTCCTCCATGCCTTCCGCAGCGTCCACTTCAAACGTCGGCGCTTGATCTACCCCGACATAACTATCACTCATCAAGAACAATGTCAACTCATGCTTTCCAGGAGTCGGAAGCACAATTTCCAACTTGGTCTTCAGCTCTCGCACAACCGTGACTCTCTTGATTGCAAGCAGATTCTTCGTGCTCTCCTCACCCACCACCAGCCACCAATTCTCCGTCTTCTCGGCCGGGTAGAAAGGTGCGTGAACTTGAAGGTTGGGCTCTTCATCTTCTTCAAGTTGCCGTGTGACTGAAATGTTGACATATGAAGGCTGCCCAGATGCTACATTCTCGGGGTCTGCGAGCTCAAACTCCAGCTCCACGTTGGGGTAACGCTCGTTGATGAAGCGTGCCGCATCTGCGAGCTGAGAGTGATTGAGACCAAGACCAGCCATGAGCTTGCCATGATCAGGGTTCTCATCAGGATCCATAGCATCTTGAAACTCAACGACGTCCTTGATGTTGAAAGTGCTACAGACTTCGATCTTGTCGTCCTCGAAGTGTGGAATCTGTTTGAGTGGCGAGTCGCGATCCCACATAGCTTGTACGACCATTTGACTGATTTCCATGGCGTTCATGGCATTGAGGTGTCCTTCTGATGAGAGCACATCAACACAGGCGCTCAGGATGCTCAGTACCTTGCGTAGAATGATCTCCTGATCCTTTGCAAGATCTGCTGGCAGCTGCATGCGAGAGAAGTGTGCCTGCAGGAGAAGGAATGACTTGAAGTGCGGCGACTCAAAATTGACTTCCGCGAGCTTGACAGGGACGCGTTCGTATATGCGCTCCAGAACGTGCTCCTCGTGTCTGCGGATCTGAATGTCTTCGAATTCCGTTGCAGCAGTCACAATTTCCAATATTCCCTTGAGCTTCGTGCCACGCTTCAGGGAGAGTAGCAACGTCTGCATCGTGATGAAGGAGATATTGTAGTATGCTGCGATCATGGCTGCGTTGAGTGGCGTGATTGTATCTTCATCTTCGTCGATCTCGATGATCTTGGCGTCCGACAAGTCCTTCAGTGTCTGTTCGACTTGCTCAGACAGGTACGCGCTGAGACCATCATGTGAGGTGTCCGTAAGGCCATAGAAGCTGGGATTCGCAAGTAGTCTTCGGTAGAGATAAGTGTAGGTAGTCCAGTCCACCGCATCCTGAGTGCTTTCGATGGTCTTGGTGCTAATTTCCGTCACAAATGCATCGTGCAGATACGATAGCAGTTGACTCTCGATTGGCAGAGCCTCGCCCAAGAACTTCTTGTAGTATGCTCGTTTGGTGTCTGGGCACATGAGAACACCGCGCGCGTCCTTGTCCTCGCCTGGTCGACCAGCTTTGCCGAACATTTGCAAGACTTCTGCAATGGGATAATCGATGTAGCGATGTTCACGGCCCTCGAAGAACTGCGTTCCCATGACAATGACTAAATGTGCTGCAGGCTGGATTTCCCAGCAGCAATCTCGTGCGACGATCAGGATTTGCACAGCGCCTTGCTGGAACAACGATGTGGTAATGCGCTTGTCGGAATCGCTCAATGCCTCATGATAGTATGCGATACCGTGCGACAATGACTCGGCCAACGTCTTCTCCTTGACCTTCGTCAGGATCGGTGCAAGCTGCTCGGCTTCAGTCCGCAGAAAGCGGTCTTCACTGTCGGCTGCAACACATGCGGCCAGCAGGTCCTGTGCTGTGGCTCGAACTTGCTTCCTACTTGGTACAAAAACCATAGCTGGCTTCTCTGGGGCATATTGTAGAATAGCCTGGTAGGTGGGCTTGACCATCGCCAACATGAGTGACGGGAAATGGGGGATGTTGAACGCCTGCAAGTGCAAATTCAGTGGCAACGGCCGGTTATTGGGGCTGAAGTTGAAGATTGTGCGCTTGCTGCAACCGATCCACTCGCCAATGTCCTTAGCATTGGAAAGCGAGACGCTCAGTCCGATCGTACGGAGGTTATTCTCGAGCTGGACTTTGATTGCTTGCGTGCGTGAAATGACAGCCTCATAGGTGTAACCACCGTGACCACCTAGCATATGCAGATCGTCTGCAACGACGAGCTCAACACTCTGGACGTTCTTTCTGCGCTGCCATTGGCGCGACATCATGTCCCACTGTACCGGAGTGGCGAGGATCAGGTCGCCCTCGGCCAATAGCTTCAGGTCAGCGGTGGTCTCGCCAGTGAGCTTGACGATAGTCTTGCCGCCTGACAAAGATCCGAGGGTCTTCTTCCATGCCTCACAGCGGATATCAACTTGCTGCTGGAATGGTGCAATGTACACTGCTTTGCCGCCTTCAGCTTTTGTGAAGTGCCGTAGCAGCGCAAACTCAGCGCATATGGTCTTGCCGCTACCTGTCGGTGCACCAATGTAGACGTTCTCGTCCGAGCGGAAGAGCGCATCAAAGGTCTGCGTCTGGATTTTGTTGAACTGCCCCAGTCCGGAGTACAAGTTGATGAACTCGTCTCTCTTCAGCTGTTCCACGGTCAGGGGTTGCATGTCCAAGAGCTGGGTGTGGGCCGGGAACTTTTCAGGAAGCGCCAACTTTTGAAACGAGAGTGTGAGCTTGCTCTCAGCATGCATCCATCGGTCGCTAATCACAGAGATGAAGTAGTTCGGCGGCATCGGCTCTGTTATCGGCACAGTGAACTCGACCAGATGCTCGTTCATTTCAGCTTCTGCATACTCCTTTCGGAGCAGGAATTGATCGTGGAACAAGATCTCTTCGCCATCACAGTCCTCAACCATGATCCACCAATTCTCAGCACGGCCGTGAATGGTATCGTCCCATTGAAACTTAGGTGTAATGGTCAATTCAACCCGAAGCATGCTGCGAGTGATGGGCTGACACTGCGCCTGGATTTCTAGTCTGGGAAACTTGGCCACCAGGTTGCAGACCTGTCGCCCCTGTTTAGGCATACCCAGAAGCTCACCCATGCGAGGCGGATCGAGATCAAAGTAGCTCTGCCAGGGCACGTCCATCCGCTCAGCTTTCTTGATTATGTCCGGCGAGCAGTCCAGGAACTGGCGGAGAGGAGTCATGGTAGGCCACATACGCTTCTCCGCCATCTTGCACAGATCAAGCGCGTCCTTTGCAACCTGTGCCCAGCCCTTTTTGAGCGCGATCTCAAACATGGCGCGAAGAATACGACCAGCAGACTGAGTGACATAGACGAGATCTGCCATGAGCGCGAGCCCTTCCAGCTTCAGTCGACTCACATATGCCTGCAGAAGAACATTGATCTTGCACTGTGGCTCATCAATGGTCTCCTTGACTGGGATGGGCACTCTTCCGAGCAGTTTCGCCAATTCGAGCTTCTCATCCTGTCGTACAGGAATGTACTTGAATTCATCGCTGAGCGCAAACACTCTGAACAGCTCGATGGGGCTGACGGAGGGCTGGATGTGCAGGTTATATGTCATCATACTGTTGTGTGTGATGTAGTAATGACTTGCAACACGGCCCAGATCTTTACTCTGCAGGCGTCCACTCTTCTTGTCGTAGGCAATGAGGCTCGCCTTTTCGAGCACGACAGCCGCCGAGTGTATGAGATCGACCCGTTTCTGCTCGAGAATCTCATCTTGATCGTAGTCAGCGCCAACTTGATAGAGCGCAGGCGAGCGCAGCATGCGAACGAAGAGATAGGTATAGCTGAGCCATTCCACACCTTCGTCCCGCGTACGCACGTTTCCAAGTACGATCTCAGCGTTCAGATTGTCTGCCAGCTTCGAAACAAATTGCGATTCAATTGGCAATTGCTGATTGAGAAGTGACAGATAATACTGTATCTCAGCCTGTGTCGTGATGATGATCCCCTCACCATACGTATCGTATTGTGGACGACCAGCACGACCCAGCATTTGTAGGACATCTTGAGGGCTCAGCTCAACCCAAGAACCCTTTTCAGGAGAGTAAATTTGCGTGCCCTTGATGATGACGGTGTGGGCAGGTAAGTTGACACCCCAAGCCAGCGTAGCAGTACACACGAGTACTTGAATGGCACCATCGGCGAACAGATCTTCCACTGAAGTTCTGTCCGCCCGCGACATTCCAGCATGATGTATACCAAAACCATACGGCAAAACGTCTTTCAGTTCTGCGTTTTGGCACGATTCGGCTTCTGAACGTAAGATTTCTCGCGATGCGGCATCCGAGCGCAGAATCTGGCCGATCGTGTCCAGCTCGAGCGCCTTGTCACGAATGTACTTGGCAGTTTTTGCTGTCTCCTTGCGCGAGTGAACGAAGATGAGCATCTGGTTCTTGTTCTGACCGACTTGCTCAAGCACTTTGGTGTAGCAGACATCGTTCATGGTCTTGAGCTGCTTGATAGCCTTCTTCTCAGTCACGCCAATAAACTCCTGCTTGAGGGGACAGGGCCGGAATGTACCGTCGAAATGGAACAGATCCTTTGATACATCAACTCTGAGGAAAGATGCAACATCGCGGTAATTAGGAAGCGTCGCGGACAGACCGACGATGCGGACTGGGTCGCCTGTCTGTTCTGTTCGTCGGATCGTCCGAGCAACGATACTCTCCAGGACTGGACCACGGTCATCATGCAGCAAATGGATCTCGTCAATACAGATCAAGCGTACTAAGTTGGTGTAGCTCGTGTCGGTGGCCTTCCGTGTGATGACATCCCACTTCTCAGGCGTCGTGACAATGACATTGGTCTCCGCGATCTGCTGCTTTGTGAGTTGACGATCACCCGTGAGCTCAGCTACCCTGATGCCATATGATTCAAGTCGCTTGCCAAAGTTGCCCACTTGCTCTTGCACTAAAGCCTTCAGAGGCGCGATGTAAATAATCTTGAATTCTTCCAGATTGATGCGACCAGTCGAAGGATCGCGGTGCTTGCCAATCTCGCGAAGCATAGCAAGCATGGCAACGTTCGTTTTTCCAGAGCCCGTCGGAGCACAAATAAGCATGTTGCCATCGTCGAGGAACGCAGAGTCGTGACATTCGGTTTGAATGCGATTCAGCGATGGATTCGAGCCAAAGCCAGCCCTCGCCCAGGCAGGGAGCTCTTCCAGCTTGATGAGAGGTCGCTCCCCTGGGACCTGTTTCCTTTTCGGTGCCGGGACATGGATCTCCTCGTAGCCTTTGAACGCACGCTTCGTCGAGCCTTGAGGCAGTCGTACGTTTTGGTTGGTCATCAAGTGGTTTCCCTGATCAAACTTCAAATCTTCCAGATTCAGCGTCTTGCGTGGTTGCATGCCGCCGACCAGGCCATCCTTCTTGATATCCTCGTCGTCCTTGACCTCAAGCTTCGCATCCAGCTGCATTGGATCGAGCTTCACCTGCATCCTTGTCTTGCCCGTGGCCTCGTCACGTCCACGCAGCTCTTTCAGAATACTAGCATGCCCAGCATTCACCATCTCCTTCTCCACGATGACACGCGACTCCTCATCTTCAGCAACTCGTCGCCACCTTGTGACCCAGACGATCTTATCTCTGTTCTTCACGAGCTTGCCCACAAGCTCGTGGTGATCATAGTCGAACAGCTCCATGAGATCATTCTCGACTTGTCCCAATGGCTTCTCCTCGCCTGCCTCATCTGTAGCAGACATGATAGCCTCGGCCTCTCGCGTCTTTTCTGCTTGTATATGTGCATCGTCATATATATCACCAATATGTCGCTGCAGCCAGTATGCATCGATATCGTGCGCAGCGACAAAGTTTGGGTCCTTTTCTTCCCTGCCTGTCCGCCTGGGTCGATTCTCAATGACCATTCCATCGTCGTCTTCCTCATTGCCGCCATCTGCATCAGGCGGCGAACCAGCGCCATCAGTTGCAGCATCTTCGGCACCCATAGCCAGCTCGTCTTCTGACTCGTCGTTCTGCTCCCGGACCTCGAATGTCTGATTGGCGCCATCGTCCTCGCTTTCGTCACCAAAATCAACTGCAACACCTTGCTGCTCGTCCATGTCGGCTTCATCGGCGTTGGATCCACCCATCTCTTGATCATCATCTTGTGCATCATAATCCGTGATCTTTTTGCCCAGGTTGACCAGCTGATTGAACTCTTTGCTCGATAGCGTAATGCCCAGGATATCGTCAATTTCCTTCTTCCTGTCGAAGTCCTTCATTCCGTCATCCTTGAGGTATTCGAGAATCGAGTCGGTGGCAGAGGCGGTAATGGCCAAGCCATAGTCGCCACCCATCTTTTGCGCCACATTCGAGGAGATCAGATCGTACACGTCTTTCGTTGCGGCTGTTCGAGGTCGATATCGCAGGCCCTCAATGTTCATATCCTGGGCGCTCAAGATGCCCGCCTGTCGTGAACTTTGCACAGGTTCTGTCCTCTTCCTCTTTTTTGCGCCTTCGTTGGTCGCACCAGAGACTGGAGCCCTTTCCCTTGCCGTTCTCGATCCCATCTCTCCCAGCTTGATCTTTCCTGCCAGCGACTCCGGATCGCCAGTTGCATCATCGCCTCGGCGCGAGACAAATCGTCGGTCGGCCTGGAGGACCAAGTTGGACATGGCCGCATATTTGTACTGGCCCAGATTGTCCGGGTCGCCCTTTCCTTGTTTCGACATGATGGCGGTATGGGCGCACGAGCGCTGCGCTGGTATGGAGGAGGTGGGTGTTGTGGAGCTCGAGTGAGCTTGCACGCGACGAAGACACGATTGTGAGGGATGTTTTCGAGCATCAAGAGGCGACGGACGCGCACCGGAGTCATGCTTCCCGCGTCCGAAACTCTATCTGAATCATGCGGCTTGGCGGAAACATCCTCGTGGGCTCAGTTGGAGGCCTTGCATCTCGCCGACCGAAGCCATCTCCAAGCCCCCCTTATAATGCTCAATCCGAAAATGACGGAACAGGCAGAACCTCAAGATCTATGGCTGTTTGGCTATGGCAGTCTGATATGGAAACCACCGCCACACTACGGTAGGCTGCCATCACTTGCCATCGACCCTCCTCCATGCTGAAGCTTATTTCGTCTTCCTCAAGACCTACGTCTCCCAGGCTACATCGAAGGCTACGTGCGACGTTTCTGGCAGGTACGAATACGAAGCCAAACGTCCAGTATATCCATCGATCGACAGCTGAGTGCAGAATCATAGGCTAGGTAGGGCGTCAATCTCGTTGTCTTGGAACAAAAGATATCAAATGAATCTTACTGCCAGAATAGTGAAGACCATCGCGGTACCCCAGAAGCCCCAGGCCGCGTTGTCACACTCATCGACCGCCAGCTCTGGTCAACATTAACAGACGAACATCCTTCTGCTCCACCTCGAGTCTGGGGCGCAGCATACCGGATCCCAGCAGCCAAAGTCCCTGAAGTGACCGAGTACATGAACATACGGGAGATCAACGGCTACAGCATGCAATATACCCCGTTCCAACGACCAGAGGATATGTCTGCTACTTATCAGGATGTCCATGTGCCCACCAGCACTACGACCGTCGACGGGAAAGGGGCGATCAAGTGTTTGGTGTATATCGGACTACCCGATAATCCACAGTTTCTAGGTCCTCAGGACCCGCAGGCGTTGGCGGAACATATCGTCAAGTCCAGGGGACCGAGTGGAGAGAACAAGGACTATCTGTATGAACTGGAAGCTGCCTTGAACAACCTCAGCCCGGAGAGCGAGGATGAGCATATTAGTGATCTTGCAAAGAGGTGTCGGGCGGTTGAGGCGAGGGAGCAGGCTAGCTAGGTCGATCTGAAAGGGGACCGTTCGGGTGTACACTAGATCTGGTGCATACCTTAAGAGGTACTTAGGTACATATAGAGATACAAGGTAGACTGTCTTTTTGGTTCGGCCTGGCCTCTACTTGTCACGGTAAAGATTCTTCAAAGCAGCTTCCCTGCATCTCTCTCTCTCTCACACACACACTCTCAACTGCTCAGGTATATAAGCTCGAGAAAATTGAAGTAATCTTTCTGACTTGGCACGATGGTGTGGCGTCGTAGATGAAGCGCACAACTTCCTTCCGTGGGCACATGGAAGCGCGGCTAGCTTCAGCTGATCATAATAAAATTGTGCCGTATGAAGTACATGCCAAAGCCTTGCCTCAACATTCCTACACGAAATCCTCAAACGCCGTGCAATGCCGTTTTCTGGTACAATATCTTTCTTTCGCTATAGTATCACACTTGTCAGCGCGTCAAACGCTGAGCTCTACTTCCTCGCAGTCGGCCCAGAGACACCAGCACCAATAACGCTCGGCAGCTCCTGCGACCCCATCTCCCAAATCGTGCCAATAGCAAAGCTGACAAGGCCAATCATGCCCACAGTGAAGAGTGCAATCAACCAAAATTCCACACTGACATCCTTCTTCTGGCACGCTGGACCACCCCATACTGTAGTCTTCTTGCCAGCAGCACTCGTGGGCTTCGTGCAAAGACATGACCAGCAGTCGAGACCTGTCTCACCACGTGGACCGAGAGAGTCGGCATCGTGATACTTGAGGTTGCACTGTCCGTGTCCCGTGCAGTTTCTTGTCGCGCTCTCGCATGCGGATTGCGATGTGAAGCAGGCGGGAAGGATGCCTCGAAGGGGCGTGGTGTTGTTGGACTGAAAGGTCGAGACCGGAGTCTCCTTTGGTGACTGGACGGGATTGCTTGTATCCGTGATGCTCATAGGCTCTTCCTGAGGAAATCGCTGCCTCTTATGCAACAAAGTCTTCGGGTTTGGCATTGCATATGTACCCCATTGGAATTTGCCTTCATTGCTGCTGGTCGAACCCACATCTGCAGGCGTGACAAGCGCGGTGATGGCGAAAGTGCCGTCTTTCTCCCAACGTTCCCATGCTGCTAGCAGATCCTCCACTGTTCGAGCGATGTAGAAGATGTTTCCTTGGCCTTGGTGGTACTTCTCATTAGAGCGCAGATTCTCAAGGACCTCGTCGTCTGACGCCGCCCATCCGGGGTTCTCCTGCTTTGCAAGGTCTACGAATAGCCCTCTGGTGGCCGCCGAGGCGGGCACAGGGGATATGCCGAAGGAGTGTCGCGCGGAGCTTTCGTGGAAGAAGGCTGTATATGATTAGCGATTCCATCTTTTCCAATTCGGAGTGTGCAGCATACGTATGCTCTCTGCCACGCCCTCGAGCAATATAAATGCGTTATTCCTCCCGGCATTGCGCGTCGCGAACAGGGGAGTCCGCTTGCCAAAGTCGTTGATGGCCTCGATGACTTCTTGCCGTAGCAGATCTGTGTGATGGTAGTCTTCCACTCCCGCTCGTTGAGCCAACACTAGTCGCGCCGTCACTGGCGACAGATCTTTCCCGCTGTGGCCTGGGGTGGTGGTGGTGGATGCGGGATCGTAGGTGTAGACGTGTGCTTTGGCTGCTTCTGCCAATCGAGTTGCGCATGCCAGCACCGGCATGAACAGATGTGTGGTCAGCTTCATCGTGGAAATGACCTTTGATGTTCTGTCTGGGGGTGTTGGTCTCGATCTGTCTGAGCTAGGTCATCTAACAGAGGGAGAGGTACATACTAAGGTATCGTCCTCCGAGCTGGCAACGCCGCAACGGTCGGATGCCTGACTTGACTTGACGCCACCGCTAGTCGAACCTACGCGTTCTCCAGTGATTACTCACTACTTGAACAACCTCCTACATACTCGCAATAACTTTCCCTTGACCGCATCAACACTTTACTCCGGCATTACTTTGGCTTTCCTCTCCTGTGGTCCCATCATCTCATGTCATCACGTTCGCCTGTCGACACTGTGGTACCTGTAAGGTAGAGGAGAAGATGCATCGCCTTCCACGAGCCCTCACTCTCCGCCACCAGCAGCAACAGCAACTCGCGGAGAGTGTCTGGCGACACGCGACCACCACCGCTTCGAGGCGCTGCGCATCACGACTTCCGCGAAGCCGCCCCGTCTCGCAGATAGCCCACATGCGGAGTGGTGAGTCAGTGCGCTTTCAGGCAGTTCGCTTCAAGAAACCCGGCTTCGGAAAGAGGCAACTGATCACCATCGCCCTCTACGGCGGTACTTTCTATGTGTACTGGCGCATGATTTCGAAGTACCTCGGCATCGAGATAGAGGAATTGGAGGAACTAGACGATGGTGCTGATGAGGAGGGCGGCGAGGAAGTGGAGGAGGACGACGACGGCTATGCTCATCCCGACTCGACCTTCATCCCTCTGACCTGGCCAACGAAACTCCCTCGCACTTTCTACAGAGGCTCAGATCCCGAATGGCAGGAGTTTATTAAAGTCGCCAAAGACCAGCCTCGACATACCAGAATACAAAATGAGCTGGTGCAGCTGGTGTATAGAGAGAGTATCAAGCATCCCGGTGTCGCGAGACAGCTGGGAAAGGACACGAAGGTTGGGAAATGGTGGCTCGATATATCATTCCCAGATGGTCCACCGCAAGAGTATGAGAGGAGTGGCATCGAGATCTCGGACACGTACATCGCCTGGAGTCAACAACGAATGAGCCCTGAAAATCATTTTCGCATGGTAAGAGCGCTGTGGCCCAAGGCGGCCTTCGACTCCCTATACGCAACTGGGAGAGTGCTAGCTGGAATCAACTATCGGAGAATGAAACAAGCTCTTGGCTGGGAGGGAAAGGACCCGTTCAGCCCAGAGGAGAGGATGAGACTTGCCATTGAGACGCACAACAAGCGGCATCACCCCAACGAAAGCAGTCGGAAACAAGTTGGGCAAGGGCAGCTGGAGCCAAATGCAAGTCCGGACGCTGTCAGTGGCAGCGGAGTGATTGACCCTGCCAAGTCTACGAGCGACGAAGAAAAGAAACTGAGATCATGGATGGTCGATGTGCCCATGCCTTCGGGCGATCAGAACTCGCTGGACGTACCTATCGCCATGATTGTCATGCAGAACACCCTCAGGAAGCAGTGGAATCCAAAGAATATGGAACCTCCGCGGGGAACGTTCGTGGTGCATGGGATGGTCGAGGTCAGAGGGCAACGCGGCAGAATGAAGTTTGATGTACGGTCTTGCTATGATCCAAAGGCGGGTAAGTTCACGAGTGTGAATGCCAACGTGCGGAGCTTCAAGCTTGTCAAACAGGCGCCGAGAGGAGGGCCGTGAAGGGAATTCAAGAGGCATCGTTTCGGTATGAATTTGCAGCGTTTGAGCGTTTGAGCGATAAGCTTTACAGATGAGCGATGCATAGCACTGGGGGGCTCTGTTTGAAATGATTGCCCGCTATCAATGTGCATGGAGCTGGCTATAGACTGTGAATCCCTTTTCAACATCTCCGTGCCCTTTCGATCAGGTTGTTGTTGTCCGCTGTCCGTGCCAAAGCCTTGTTGGGCTGGGAGCATAGCTGCTCGGTGAGACTTCTCCCGAGCCCGGAAGTCCAGTAGGTACAGGTCCTCGATCGATCCAGATTTCAACTAAGAATCAACTCACTCACTCCCTAGGAGGTACTAGTGGTACTTATGCTCTGCTGCTATCAGGTCAAGTATATATCTACGATAGGAAGAGTCAAACATTCCAGGTCTTCTGTGCGTGTCCGGTTGTTGTTGACCCTATAGCCTAACCTACCTAGTATACTGTACATCGAGTGCTATAGTTCGTTCTTAGGTGATATCTTATCCGGGAAACCAGCCAAAATTTTAGACCCTTGGCAGGGGTCTACCTTGGCAGGCTTGTATCGTAAGCACTATAGATCTAGAGGTGCGCTAGGCAATACGGATAGCCTCTAGGTGCTGTGAGCCAGGTGGTTCGGGGGTACGTGTACCTGCCTATATGCTACGCGATGGAACGGAGCAGAGGAGCAACAATATACGATAAACGAAAAGACCGTGAGTAGCGTGAGTATAATGTAGGTAGCTAGAGCGAGACGAAGTAGAAGAGGTACATGCCTAAGTAGGTAGGTAATCGATAGGTGAGGTGGCTAAGGTACATGTACCTCCTAGGCTACGGCTGCCCAAGGGAGTGATCCGGATCTTACTCCGGTAGCCCGATATTTCTTTCTTCTCAAGTTCTTATATCGAACTTCTGAAAAATTGCCTAGCAAATGTTATTGCAATTTGACCATATACCTCCTAGCTCGCTATCCTTATTCCCCTCGGCTAATACACTATAAGTAGGCCTGCTTGTAGCTTTGAAGACAGACTGCAGACCGAAGAGCGTACGTCGGTACTTTTTTTACTTAGCAGCTCTGTCTTTTTATCATACCTACCTGTAAGAACTCTTCTCGCGTTTATCATGCCAAGGATCCGAGGAATGACCTTTTCTTGGCCTTTCTTGAGCTTGCGTTTGCAGATGCTGATGTACCGCGCAGTCCTATCGATCCCAGTTGGATTCTTACCGTACAGAGCCTACTAGTTTCTGCATGAATAGTCGATCGGAAAGCTGCGCGGCTTTGACCTGTAAGAAAGATCTGTGCGCAGAGGAGGAGGAGGAGGAGGAGGAGGATATTCCAGTGCAAATTCTGCATTACTGAATGACAATGACTGTGTGTTTGGTCATTGTGCACGCCACTTCAGTGTAGAGGTGGCCGTCTTTCTTGCTTATATACACACCTGGTAGGTAGGTACATGTACATATACAGTGAGCCAAGACCGACTACATGTATTCGCCCTCCAATCGCAAACGTATTGGCAATGGCTTTGTTTCCACGCACCACTCGCTTCAACCCCGAAGTCCCGCCATCGATGCGGTTCGCTATGACAGTAGTATAGTCCCCTTCGACAGCCGGTTCGACATGATACTAGTGGATTGAGAAGCCTCGCAGTCGTGCTATTCAACGCTTCCCGTCCGGGAGAGTGGCGGCACACTGAAACAGTATGTACGTCTTTTGCGATGAATCCTACAGACGACCAACCGAAGATCACCAACGTCTGGGCCTTTCTTTAGACGCTAGGAGGGATCTCGTGGAACGACTGTAGGAGTGCAGAAAAAAAAATCTTAGTGCAGACTGTAGAGATGTTATAAAGAGCCTCCCGTAGAGCCGGTTCGTTCAGAATCCCATGTATGCAATTTTTCTTTGACCGAAACGAACGAAATCGCTGTCTCGAACGACCATCCCACGATGCCTTCTTTCCTCCGATCCCTCTTCCTCGCTGTCTTCGCAGCGGCAACGACTGGAAATGCGTTCTGGATGGCCTGCAACGGCGGCACTGATGGAGATGGCGGTTGTGAATTAAACGGACTTCACACATATTGCGTAAGTAGTGTCCCCCCGACAAGATTGCAGAAATTTCGAAACTAACGAGGTTCTTCGCTCAAAGTGCATCAAAGCTGAGCATACTACGAAAAATTTTGATCAACCTCGGGAAGTAGGCACTATTACCAAGAACGCGCAAGGTGTGGTTGCCTGTAGTTCAGGTGGCGAGCCGGGGGAACCTTACTGTAGTTGGTAATGAGGGGTGGGCGAATACAACGCCGCAGGAGGAGCTGCGAGGGGTCGTCAACCAGAACGTTGAAGGGGAGTAACAATTCTGCTCCGCATGGGGCGACGATCGGCAGGTGTACTGAAGGCAGGTCGACTTGCCATTGCGCTCAGGGGGGGTTTTTTTGAAACTTCTGGCCTTTGGGCGCATAACATTCCTGGCACCGGCGCCACACCTAAGACAACCGAGTTGTTTGCGCAAATGGTGACCGATGAATCACAATCGTGATATATGCCACGTCCTCAGTTCAAATTGAGCTCTCAAGGGTATTATTAGTAGCTGTCATCCTCATCATCCTCATGTTCTGCTTGATCCGCCTTCGGCTTGAAGATTTCTCTGCCAATCCTCCGTGGCTGAAATCCCTCAATTGTACCAGCGGCCAGAGACTCCTCAACATCAGCATCCGGTGCCTTTGGAGTTCTCGAAATGGTCCTCTTCTCGACGACCACATCGGCCATAACTTGCTTTGGCCTGAATCCTCCAGTCTTCTCGCCCCTTTCTGTGGCAAGTTCTGCATCGTTGGCCACTTTCTCTCGCCACTCGTCCACTCGCGCAGCCCTGTTCGCACGTCTGATCGCGGTATCTTCTTCCGGTGGCCTGTCATCTTGGTGGAGTACGATTTCGGGCTGCTGTTCGCGCGCTCGCTCCCAAGCAGGAACCTCGCTTAGTTGAGCTTTGATGAAAAGCCCTTTCTTAGCACATTCGTTGGAGCACCAGACTGCCATACCTTTCTTGAGCTTCCACTCTGCGGCTTTGCCCATTGTCTTCGAGCGGGGCTGGTTTGCACATAATGTGTAGCCACATCGAGCGCCTATCGTCCGTTCTTCGATCAGACTGTCATAATCTGAAGGTTGGAACAGCTTGATCAAGTGTGTGAAAGCAACCGCTTCCTTCGGCGTGAATGATGCGGCTGCAGGGAAGTCGATGAGCAGGGTAAGTGACTCTAAGATGCGCGCCTCGATGTCCTTTTGCGCTTGGATTCTGTAGGCATGCTGCAGAGCGATATTGAGGTTTTTACGGTCCGTCTCGGCCTTCTCTTTTTGCTCGTCTGTCAAAGCGGGAGCCGTCTTCTTGGATGGCTGCTTCAAACTCGATTTGAGTGGAAGCGTGGAGGCCATGATGGGGGCTGATGTGGTTGATGTTGTTGTTGTTGTTGTTGTGCATGCATGTGATTGAGTTGGTCGAAGTGAATGATTAATTTGAAACTGGCCCGAGAGTGATCGGAAACGGCGTATGGAAAATAAGGTTGCCGGAGCTGCCCGTTATGACGACGAGCTGTCTAGGCAAGTCAATGCTACAGCCTACAGTCAGGTATGCACTTTACGAGTGCGGTGTACCTCCACTACATGTCCTGTTCGGTGTCTGCCTAGCGACGCCACCGCGAGCATTTGCCCTGGAGCGAGCCAGCTGCCCACTGACGCTACATGCACTTCTCTCATCGAGCACAGCCTCCTCCCTCTCCTCTCGGCTAGGGCCGCATGGAAAAGCACCCAAGCAACAAATACAGCCCGCGTATCTTACTTGTTTCAGCAAGGCCGCGTCAACGACCGCCCACCACGAGCACCACACCGCACCGCACCGCACCGCCTACTGCCCCTACCTGCATCCACCCTCCGCCGCGTACGGGCTCCTCAACAGCGCGAGGTGGAGCACGTAATGGCGTCCTTGTTCAAGGTCAAGGCGCTGTATGACTTCGAGGCCAAGGAGGACGACGACTTGGGCTTCCCAGGCGGACAGGTGATCGATGTGACTGAGGAGATTGACGACAATTGGCTGGAGGGAAAGTACACCGACGCCTCCGGGGCGAGTCAGTCTGGCATCTTTCCTCGCGAGTTCGTGGAGAAATATGAGCCTCCCGTGCCCAGTCGTCCTACGAGACCGACGAGGCCGAAGCAGGAGCCAGTGCCGGTACCAGTGCCAGTGTCAGAGCCAGAACCAGAGCCAGAACCAGAGCCTCCAGCTTCTGCGCGTGCGCCTGAACTACAGAAAGACGATGCGGATGATGCTCCTGCTGTACCTGCGGCATCTAAGCCGCAGCCACCGCCTGTCGTAGAGCCTGTAGTTGTGGGCAAACAGGAGGAAGTGCGGTCGCCGCCGAGCAGCGTCAGGTCGCCCGTCATTCCAAGCGAGCCACCTGCTGCCCCGAAAGCTACGCCAGCGGAGCCAGCAACTGGTGGCTCGAAAAAACCGCCTCCGCCGATCGCGGCCAAGTCCAATGCTTTTCGCGACAGAATTGCTGCGTTTAACCAGCCAGCTGCTGCTCCCGTGGCGCCCATGGTTCCTGGAGGCCCTCGCTCTGGAGCCAACACCTTCATAAAGAAGCCTTTCGTAGCACCTCCGCCCATGGCGAACTCATATGTGCCGCCCGCAATCAAACATGAGCCTGTATACAAACCATATATCCGTGAAGAGGACCCAGAAATCAAGCGTAGGCAGGAAGAGGATCGAGCAGCGGCTGAGGCTGCAGGCTTCTCCGCGGTTGCAGAACCTTCTGGAGAGCCTCAAAAGGAGGACGAAGACGCACCAAAGCCGCAAACCTTGAAAGAGCGCATCGCGCTTCTACAACAGCAACAGCTTGAGCAGGCGCAGAGAAGAGCAGATGGTGGCACCAGGAAAGAGAAGAAGCCGGCGGCGAAGCAGGCATCTGAAGCTCCTCCTGAGCAAGGGCATTTGCAAGATCTGGATGCTGAAGATGACACTGCAGATCAAGAACACAGTTCAGTACCGACAAGACAATCATCAGAGGCCCCCGGAGAGCAACCCCGAGTCGCGGCTACACAGCGGAAGCCTTCTGTGCCACTCTCGCCAGTTCCTACAGTGCCAGAGTCAGAACTGGTCAGCGATGGAAACGAAGCCGATCAATCTGCTGCAGGCGAGACTACTGAAGATGACGCAGGTACGATTGGTCCGGAAGATAGCGATGAAACCAGCGCGCCACCTCCTCCACAGCGTGCTGCAACGGCGCCCAGACGCGAGCCAGAGCCAGCTCAAGAAGATGACAACAAGGAAGACGCCGAGGACGATGAAGACTCCATGGACGAAGAAACTCGAAAGCGTATGGAGATTAGGGCACGCATGGCAAAGATGAGCGGCGGTATGGGCATGCCTGGGATGTTTGGAGGAATGCCACTACCTGGGGCTACTCCTGTCAAAAAACCAAAGGAGAAGAAGCCAAGCGAAGATGCTGCGCCTACCTCACCCCCTCCACAGCAAAGGATCCCAATGATTCCTGTTCCTGGCCTGCAAAGAGTGCAAAGTCCGGAATCGGAGATCACCCACCAGGCTGAACGCGGTGCAACGGCTGGTAATGAGGGAGACGATGACCCATTGCCTCCACCACGTAGATCTACAGCCGAAGATCGTGGCCCTCCACCGCCAATACCCAAAGGTAAGTTGAAAAGAAGAAAGAGCCTTTGCTCGATATGTATAATTCCATCCGACGGCAAGCTGCAGTTGTGCCCAGCAGGCTGCAGGCAGTATGTTAGACGCATGCGGACAGCATTCTCTACCTGCCTTCTCCTTCCCTGTGGTCACATGAACTCAGGCTGACATGATTACAGAGTCTCGTCCTCAACCAGAGCGTGGTGCGCCACCTCCCGTTCCTAGCAGTGCTCAAACAAGCCGCACATCCACGATAGATACTCGCCCAGTGCCACAACCGCCGCCACACGCAACTCCCTTGTCGCCTGGCCCAGGCTCAGAGTCAGACGACGAAGCTTCAGTGCGCAATCTAGGATCGACGGCTGAAACACCTCTCGCCGAGACAGCAGTTCCTCTGCCCATACGCAATCCATCTGTGCGGGGCACGCCGTCGATACCTGGATCTGAGAATGCGAGATCGCCCGAGGGCAATCGTGCTTCTTACTTTGGCCTCGACTCACAGTCAACGACATCCGACAAGCGCGCCAGCCGAGCGCCACCTCCGGTTCCTGGCAGCCCATTGATAGCGGCCCGGCCTCCACCTCCGCCTCCGCCAGCCGCACCTTCTCGAGCCACCACTGACTTACAGGCCGGCGAGAATGAGCGAGAGAGCGAATATGAAGGTGACTATGATACGGATATCGCATCAAGTGCCAAGCACAAGGATGCCCTGAAGGCCGGAACACATGTCAGAGAGGCCAGTCTGACCGACAATAACTCAATGGGCGATCCCACATTGCGATCTCCACCGCCTCCGCCGCATGGCACTGCTCCGAGGTCCGTACCTCCACCCCCATCTGCTCCTACCTCAGCTGGCCCCAAGACTCCAGCATCGATGGACGCACCCAGAGCGCCTCCTCCCATCCCTCCCACAGCTACTCGTGTACCAGTTCCAGGTGACGATGACTATGATCCGTACCGATACGACAGCTCTCGTGGGCCACCTCCACCTGTTCCTGGCGCGGTTTCCATTGCTGCGCCGCCTCTGCCACCTCCGAGACAGCCGGAGCCTGAAAGCTCTGCCGATGATGACGATGATCTCTATTCCAAGACACCTCCTCGGAAGTCTTTTGAAGCGCCACCTCGTGCTGTACCCGCCCCTCCGCCAGCTCAACCGCCGCCACCAGCACGCGTCGCGCCGAGAGAGTCACTCGATGTGCAAAGATCGAACACAATATCCCGTCGATCGATGGACCAGTCAAGGCCCTCAATGGACAACGCCTACATCGCTCGTGACTTAGATCTAGCTGAGTCTACAACTTGGTGGACTGCCTCACAGCCACTGCCACCTTCGTTGCAGAACAGGCAAGGCGTTGATATCTTGTCCGAATCTGAACAGTCCACGGCATCGAAGCGAGGCGGCCGAAAAGAGGTCTCGAAAGAGATCTATATCCTCTACATTGACTACAGTCAGACGATCATCTCGGTGCGTTTTGACGCCAACAATCCCGCCGATGCTCAGATCGAGCAGCAGCACCGCCCACCACCTCCCAAACCACGCCAAGACCAGCTCGAGACGTACTGGCAGCGTTTCGGACGCAATATTGCCGAGACAGTGAACGCTCTGGGACACGCAAAGAAAGACACATCAGTGGGCAATGCGTCGCCTGCGGCTCTGCCAGCCGAACTGATCAAAGGTAATCAGCAAGCTCTTCAACCGGTGGGAAATCGGGCGTACGGTGCTTTGGTATATGCAAATCTCGCCAACGCGTCCACTCAGCAGCACGATGAGATTCGCCCCGGCGACATCCTGACATTGAGAAATACCCGGTTTGAGGGCACACATGGCACGATGAAGCATAAGTACAAGCAGGAGTATGGCAGTATGCATGTTGCGATTGTTGAAGAGTGGGACGGTACGAGGAGAGCTATCCGAGCTTGGGAACAAGGTCGTGAGAAGCAAAAGGTGCGGAGCGAGAAATTCCGACTTGGCGACTTGAGAAGTGGCGAGGTCAAGGTTTGGAGAGTGGTTGGTAGAGATTGGGTTGAGTGGGAAACTAGTCAATAGGCGTGGTGAAATTCCACGGATATTTTAATGTAGATGTCAGCGTCGCAACGCATTGTTTAGTACATGATGCTTATAGAATTGCATGCAGCGATATGAACTGCGCTTTGTAATTCCATGTTGATGTCTAAGATTGCATATGCCCACTTTCACTTACAGATATGGCTTACGGCTGACCATGTTCATTGCGTATCATGCTCTACAGGATTCGAACAGAAGAGCTAAGCCTGAGAATCGGCCTGGGGTTTCCGACGTAGATAGAGTAACGAGAACCTACCCTATACTCGCAATCGTTTCCGTCTTTGTTGACTCCTCAGCAACGACGATTCCCCTGCGCAATCCAGGGTCAGAATAGGCAGTGCTGCGTACCAACATCGTCCTATCTTGATGAGCCTCACTTGCAGGACTTTTTTGCCAGTGGACCTGCGACTACTGCGTCTTGTGTGAAATAAATCCTATCGTGCTGGCACGAGTAGGGTCACGTGAAGTTCTTTTCGATCTTCCTTTCTTTTATTTTTTTTGCAACTCCGCGGTGCAACTGGACCATCGGATGCGGTCAATCGCTACGTCTTCCCCTGTGATCATAGGCTGTGCGATACATGACGGCGAGATAGCCACAGTAGCAAGGTCTCAGGGTCCCTTCAGCGCCCCTTGTGGCATCTCGTTGCCTCGTCCTGGGCGCCGTTCTTCACGTAGCGGTCCGATGCCTCTCGCAAGATCAGTGTGCAAGTGGACAGCATGAAGTGCGGCGGTCCATTGCGTCTTCGTGACTGTACGCTGTATGACATATTGTTGTAAGGGATGGTTGGAGTAAACTACGATTCGTGCCCTGAGCTGGTGCTCGGTCAAACATCCTGTCGCAGAGTTGATAGTGTTGGTAACTTCCGCTCGCTAGTGTGGTGGTATTCAAAAAGGTACTTGCTGGATCGACTGTTGATCTCGGGCCCTTCCGAGAGCTTTCTTTAGAAGGCATGTGTGTTTGTTAGCTTATCGAAGCCGCTTGGGAAGTACTTATTTTCGAGCTTGCAAATGCACTCCTCTTCATGCCGTGTACATGGCGTCGTCACGACGACCCACTTCCCGAAGATCGAGCCTGTCTCTAGCACTGGAGAGATGGAAGCAATTCCTGGCGAAGAAGCTGGCGTAGGAATCGTGGACCACGGAGATTTGCGAGGGCTTATCACTGTCCTGAAGTACCAACCTCATCCTGGATACTGGGTGGGTGTGGAGTAGGACTTGTGTTCCTGTAGGAGCTGACTCGATGACAGCCCGCCAGGAAGATGAGGCTCGCGTTAGCTTTGCTGACTAGACGTTTTGCTCTGCCTCCATGTCAGTAGTGAAGGTACACATTAGCATCTGCGGAGAAATTAGGGACCAAACAAATATGTGCGACCGTCATGTCAACGGCCACAAATTCGTAGTGATCCGATCGCAGGACACCCTCTTCACGTTCTAATGACCAAACCCATTCTGTAAGACTTGTTTGCTTGCGACTCGTATGACGAGTTCGCGTATTCGAAGTTTGAGCTCGCATGGGATGCCCGCGGATGGTGGCTACGCTACCATTGTCAGTGCTCAAACCTGCGTATTGCTTGATCCCGCAGCGAACGGAAGGAAGCTTGCGCACTTGGTATGTGCTTCGTCGCGACGAGGATTTGCCTCGGCCGTCTAGCTTGCCCACCAAGGCCCCCGGACACCTTCGCCACATGCCAGTCTACCAATGGTGAAGGTCAAACACGGATTGATCTGATGGTCAAGCACTATCCTGACAAGTCTGAGAAGACTGGAAGGTGAGAGTATGTACCTTACTCCCTCTCTCCCCCCTCTCTCTCGCGCGCGCGCAATGCCTGGCGCCAGCAGATCCTCACGCCATCACTACTCTAGAGAGCAACCCTGCCGGGGTCGTTGTGGGTGAACTGTCTCGCGATTCGCTCACAAATCTCCGACACAGGTCTGACAAGGGCATCTTTGAGCTCATGATCAGCGCAGTGGTGCGTAACGGCGCCGCCACGAGGAGCGGGTTCACTGGTCAGGGAGTGTATCATGCCCCTCACAAGAAACGGCCTGGCCTAAGTTCGGGCACATGCGAGCACGGCATCAATGCAGTGGCCGTGGCGAAACCAGGTGGCCGGGCACGAGGTGTGGAAGTGACCAAAGTGCGGATAGGCGCGTTAAGCGATGAAGCTGAGTTGGTGGGAATGCTGAGGCACTGTCTGGCGAGGACGAGTCTGGCAGACGTGTCAAGCCGAAGCGAATGGAAGGCGGACGTCTCTGATGGAAAGGTGAAGGTGATGCACGGACCACGTGTTCGTGGACACGGCTTCGCGGAGAGGACCGTACCTGCTAGCTGAAGCTTGCACAACTCTGGTCGTAAGGAAGGTGCCTCCCACAGTCCCACCAGTAGGTAGGGAAGGTAGGCAGTAGGCGTTCTGTGTAGGTAGGCACGTGCTTGGCGCGGCCAACCTGTTACCTGAGCTTGCTGACAAGCTACAGTAAGGTAAGGTAGGTAGGTACCTCATGTAGAGTCGGTCGTACCGGCTGCAGATCCTCTGGCCATGTCGTGCGTCCTTGAGGTGCTTGTATCAGCGCCGCAATGCGTCTAATGCCCGGTTGAAGAAAAGGATCACGAAGAGTCGTAGGGCAGGACAGAGGCAGGGCAGAGGCGGAGCCGCGGAGGCAGAGGCAGAGGCAGGCCAGGGCAGGGCAGGCCATGTCTGAAACGCGCCGCTCGGGGTCATGAGGACATCAGGACATCGGGAGTCGTCTCTAGCAGTGCAGCAGCAAGCAGCAGAGCCCGCCCGGCCAGCAGTCTCCAGATTGACAAATTCCGCATTCGTGTTGAGCGGCGTCGGAGGAAGGATCTCAACCGCGCAAATGCTCCCTGATGCATCTGCTGTTGTTGTTTGTTGTGCAGTTCGACGCGGCTGCTGGCATGTGTTGGGAAGCGCCGAGGACAATAGAATTACCTACCTCCTACAGGTACCTAGGTCTAGTACCCTAGGTTTACAGTATGCGTGCGGCCGGGCGTCTCGGGCCGCAAGGACCAAGGAATTCGCATTTTCGCACCTTGAGTCCATGGCTGACATATTGACCAACTGCAGGGATGGGCACGTACAGTACAGTAAGGTCAGGTAAGGTAGGTAAGGTACTTCTACATAAGGGCATCAAATGATACTACTGTAGCGTTGGAGGATCGCTCTGCCAGACTGACTAGGCTAATCAGGTAGTAGGTACTCGGTAGGTACCTCATGGGCGAGAAGCGGAATCACGATTCACGACTGATATAGTCGCAGGAGCAGTTGGCGTGCAGAACTTGGGCCACGAAGCAGGCTGTCCCGAGGGCCGAAGGATGGACACATACATAGAACTGCCTGACGTACCCTGCCAAGTTTCGACATCGCAGCGCCCGTGTTGGTGCTATGTATCGCGGACTGTTCAAGCCTACCTAGTTCTGCCTTATGCTGGGCATGGGCATGGGCATGGGCGTGGGCGTGGGCGTGGGCGTGATGGGCGTGATGGGCGTGATGGGCGTGGTGGGCGTGGTGGGCATCCGGCAAGTCTTGCTGTGAGTAAAATAACATGAAAGCGTGCTGCTGCTGCTGCCGGTCCCATCACGTGTGCGCACAGTTGCATCGAGTCCAATAGTCTAGCGGGGCCCAAGTGGCGGTGAAAGGGTGCCTGACAGTGCCAACAGAGGACTGCAGCCATCCGCCCATAGTTCTCACTAGTCCCCCTCGCTCCCTCCCTCCCTCGCGGCCCCCCGCCGCCCAGGGCTCCATACATGGAGTTGACTTCTAGAAAGGCGCACATGAGACAGGTCGTCTTCGCTCTGGCTTTGTACGTTAGTACGTGTGATGGATACTGCGGTAGACTGGCAGTGGGCAACGCATAGCACAACGCTGACGGCGCATGATGATGGATGATGATGGATGATGCTGGGCCCTCTGTCGAGCACCGACAACCAGCCAGCCATCGGTGTGTCGACTACGGTAGGGTAGGCTATATTGGCGCGCAGTGGGACGGACTCGAACGGTTCAGGTAGTGAGAGAGAGAGAGAGGAGCTGTCTGGTATCCAATGGACGGGCGGTGGCAGGTCAGCCTGGTCAGGTTCCAGCTTCGCGATCAAGTAAGTGCTCTCTCGGAGCTTCCATCACAACCACACTGTCAGTGTACCGTGCAGTGGGCGGGCGGGCTAAGTATATCCATTCGTGGTGACAGCCGCGGAATGTGACTCTGGATGAAAAGAGTCGGATAGGCAGGCGGGCAGGTAGGCGGCTGTCTCTTTCGAGGTGCAGACATCGTTGGGGCTGGCGACCACGCTAATAACGTCGCCGGCACGCGATTGGCTGGATGCCAGACCTCATCCTTCGGCGTTGGCATCGCCGACTTCACTTTTCTCAGCCATATTATGCAGGCCAGAACATGGATTCGAGATCGAAGCAAGGGCTTGTTGGGTCGGCCTGCGCAGTTGCAGCAGCCCGCCGCAACAGTGCTTACAGAGTGGGACGGCCTGAAACTGGAAGGAATCAAACTAGATCGAGGGCGGCCGCTCCATTCCGGCGCGAACAGCGACGAGTACTACAACTTCATCAGCAGAGGAGCAGGGATGCGCTAGTCCGCAACGCCTCAAATCATGATGAATATGTCCTTGAGAACAAAGGGAGCCGAGCTCAGCGGCTATGGAGAGCAGTCGTGGAGGCACTGGCGCGCTACCGGATGCACATATTGCGCAAGTGTGGCGGCTGGTAGCGCCCGATGACATGCCCTGACGGCTCTCTCGCTCACTCGCGCGCGCGCGCGCCCTCTCTCTCCCTCCCTCTCACTCTCTCCCGTGTGTGAAGAGAGACCACATCATCAAAACTGTCAGCACTTCGCGTGACTTGCTGCATCCGCGCCGAAAGCCGTGTTCAAGAGACCCTTTTGTGACAGGTTGAATGCGCAATGATCAGCTGGCCATCTCTTGGGACCTGAACTAGCCTGGTCGCGGCAAGTGGTGCATGCAACTGCATCGGGTTCCGGGCCGATCGGGAGACTTCCAGGGCAGTCGTTTGGTAGGCTGCTTCACCAAGAGGTGTCGTCGAAGCTGTGCCAATCCTCCTACTTGTCCATGGGTTGATCATACACACCGGACTATGGAGGTGGAGAGGGCCCTCGATAGATCGTGCACGTCCACCCTGCTGATCAGTGGGCCTAAACGGAGCGATGCGTCTTTGCGCTCTCAGCGACGAGCATCGGTTTGCTAGAATTGCAGCTGAGTAATATCATCGACTCTGCCAGGATTTGGCACGCTGTGGCTGTCTGTTCGCAGTACGCAAGGAGGAACGAGAGAGAGAGAGAGAGAGTAGAGAGAAGGGAGAGGGAAAGGGAGAGGGGGGCAAAAAAAGAGGATAATCCGTTGACTGCCTCCTGGCTTCGGGGATTGAGATAGGGCGCATCATCTGGAGAGCAGACTAGACATGCAGCTTTCCACTGCGACCTGCGAGGCGGTAGTGTGGCCTGAGCGCTGCGCTTTTCGATACGATGAATACTCTGAGGCTGACCTCGACCCAACGAGCTGGTAACGATAGCCAGTCCTGGTAGTCAGTCTCTGCTGCTGGCCAAGGGCGGTGGTCATGACGCCTGTTAGAAGTAGGACACGACGGCCGCCTACCCCTACCAGGTAGATGCGGATCTTGCTGCTCCCTTGGAAACATCATCTTGTTCTGTTGGGTCAAATCAAGAGTAGTCGTCCGGTGCAGAGATCCTGTGCTTCTTTAACTTTACCTCCGGCTCACTGCCACTCTAACAGACCTTCTTTGTTTACAGCCTCATCCGCTCTCCGCCACAGGGTAATACTACACGGGTGTCACGAACACGACCCAACTCAGGTCTTTCAACGTCCACCGCAGCACCCTGCAGACACAAGCAACACCTCCTACTATCAACATATATCGACTTCGGGCACATATCCACTCGTTCAACTGCTCCGCTGTCCAACAGCCTGATCATTCACTACGCACAATCGACCTGAAGAGGAAGCAGCAGCCAGCACAAATTCAGGCTCTGCACGCTGGTACGACTGCTTCGAACCACATTGGCATCCCGGAACGGCGTCTTGCTGCTTCGCCCACGATCGTCCCAGCCGCGTAGCGCAGCGATTATCGAGACTCGGTACTTGAGAGGTCGGTCAGTTCAACAATCTGAGATTCCATTCGTCCCCATTGCAAGCATCCGCCAGATCGCAGCGACGACTCGCGTCATGCTGCCCCGCTGGGTTCCAGCATGGCAGCCTCCGAAACAGGTGTCGAGCGCAAAGCGCTGGTCGACTCACGAGGCATATACATTTCGCAAGCTCCAGTCCCTGTGTCTGCTGCGGCGTGCTGCAACATCGGAAGGGCTGCGGCGCGTCACCACTTTCTCAGGGCCTCGATCAGCGCTGTAGTCCCATCACTACCTACCTAACATGACCTCTGATCACCTCTGCACGCATACGCACATTTGGAAGTCGCTGACGGTTGCTGACGAGAAATTCAGATCAACTACACGTTCATCGACGTCAAAACAAACGCTACGGCATCGGAACATTTGGAACTCAAACCGATTTTGAGTATTGCCTTCCCGAAAGTCAGCGCTGAGAGCCGCTGCAAGGCGTCCAGCGGGTCATCTCGATACTCGGCCTTCAATTCGTGCGTTAGCGACGGATCCGCCATCGTGCCGTTGGCTGAAGCCGGGCCGAACAAGAAGCGGACCGTGTTGCGTCGAGCTTGGGCCTGCCCTATCGCCTATCGCCAAGCGAGCAACAGATGAACGAGTGAGCCCGCTCGGTCGCATTCACGCACGACGCCCGCACCAAAACGAGAAGGCGCGTCTGCGAGAGCGAGAGATTTGATTCCCACGACGAGCGCCACGCGAAAGTCAGGTAATCGAGCGAGCGACCAGCGTCCAAATCGGCGCACGCTCTCAGCAACATCCAGCTTGAACGATCGACAACGGCACAGGCCGAACATATGACCATTGTGGTGACGATGGAGCAAGGTAAGCAAGCAAGCAAGCACGCTTAAATGCGGGACCGAGCACTTGCAGCAGCACCAGCAGCACCAGCAGCATACGCACACGCACACATTCCCACCAACCACCCAACTTCCATTCCCACTCTCGCCCTCTCCTGCTCTACTCCGCTCCGCTCGCAGAAGGCAACCAGGCCCTCCACTCGCACACGCCGTGCGTTACGTGTGGTTGTGCAACGTTGCCACCGACGGGCGGGCTCCCCCCGTCTGTTCTGTCTTGTCGTGCTGGAACGGGTGTTTCACATCTCGCCCAGAAGGTCGAGCAGCCACGTTTGTGTGACACCTGCGAGGCAGCATGCTCACGTGCAAAAGCGCCCTCAACGAATGCCAGCGCGGACAGCCAATGCTTGTATCGCGGTTATCGCTCTGCAGGAGTTTGCCGCAAAGGCGCTGCACTGGGCCCCATTTTGCTAACGTGTCAATGCAGGACCAATACTCCAGCAGCACATTCCGATCGACCACTACTCGCTCCCTTCGGAACACGACTACAACGACCACCAGTATGCAGGCCACGCGCATCATTCCTCCTATAATCCAGGTGGAGCTGCTGTTGAGCACCTCCGCCGCGAAGCCTCGACATCGCTCCAGGCTCCCGCTGCATTCCCCTTCAATTCTGCAAATGGCGCATCAGGAGCTCGCTTCGACCCAGCGCGAGGCGTAGTGGCCGAAAACAACAAGTAAGTACAACGCGTGTCATTGGTTGTCCAGTGCGCGCACTTCCCTGCAAAAATCCTGCCCGCAGCTGGAGGCCTCTGGCCGAGAAGGACGCGTCTGGGTCGGCCCCAGGTCTGCCACCGCGCGCCCTGCGGCAATTGGTTTGGTCCAGCCAGATACATGTGTGCTCCAGCTCCTGCTCCTGCATCGTCACCAACCAGCACAGCTGTTACACTGCGACCCGACAGAGCCCCGTTATCCAAGCACATCGGCCGGTGTGTGTGTGCGCGCGCGCTCTGACGCTGATCACACGACGGATCGTGTCAGCCTCGGTGCTGCAGAGCTGCAGAAGGACTGACGCCTGCTCGTCGGCTTATTCTGTCATCTGCGAGACGTTACACACACACATACCTCACACGCTCTGCAACTTCTCAGCTCTGGCCTCAACGGCTCCCGCCAACCGTGTGCGCCATCTTGACACACCAAGGGCTAACGTCTTATCTGCAGCTATCAAACCTCGAATATTTTTGCCGACTCCAGCTCGGGCTCCATGAGCTCGCCCTCGAGTGCAGCCTCATCCTCGCTCGCTTACACAAACTATCCTCATACCCATTGCACAAGTATTCCCAGCTTTTCCGGATCTGTACAACAACCCCAGGCGTTCACGCAACTACCCTCGTATAATAGTACGCGGGAACTGCCAAAGTAAGTGCACACCGGCGTACAGCGTCAAATGCCACACGCTCGGTCATTGGTTAGAGCTCACACACATGCTTGGCAGTTTGGATAGTATTGGCAGTGGTATGCCGCCGCCTGCGATACGGCCCTCATTCTCGAGCTCAGCGGCCGATCGTGAAGCTTATTCCAACTCGACTCCCTTCCTAGCTCGAACGCAATTCTCACCGGGTTCCGCGCCTGGGTACTCGTCCTTCGCAGACACACCGCGAACATCACTTGGACTCAACGGCCTGTCACTGCACCACAACACCTATGCTCAAGCGAGTCACATGGCTTCATCACCAACGTACGGCGGCCAACAGAATGAGTGTAGCAACTTCCCGTGGCCCAACCTCGAAGTCCACGCCGAGATGACCTGCGAGGGTGAACCAGTCACACCCGAGGTCCATGCCAAAGTCGAGAAAGGCTTCTTCTTGTCTACCGTCGACCAGAAATGGACGTGCTACAGACGCAACTACTTCTCGGTGCAATGTAGCTTCGAGTTGCACCCGAACATCAACAATGGCCGCATGCACCTCAAGCGGAACAACGCTTCGCACACGGAGCCCATTCAAGCGATGGGTATGCGCCTGTCGGCTGCTGTAGATGGATCGCAGGGCAAGAATATTGAGTTGGTACAGCACACACCGAAGCGCGACAACGGGCCGAAGAACAAGATCGATGTCACCAAAGTCCTTCCCGCGCCATCTGTCGGTCGGAACGATCACGGAGTCCCATCACACGGTATCTACCAGGTCCCGTTGTCAACGTTCCATGCGACTGGCCAGGTGCCAAGTCCCTTCCTTCCGCTTCAGTCCAGCGGCGACGGCTCGAATGTGGCATCTTCCGTGGCCGCCCAGGCGTCCTCTTTACCGGCACAGTACGGCTATCCGCCCGCGTCACATCTGCCTCAGCCGGGTCAGAATACCAATCACACCTTCGAGCGGGTGCAATTCAAGCAGGCCACAGCTAACAATGGTAAACGCCGAGCATCTCAACAATACTTTCACCTGATTGTGGAACTTTTCGCAGACGTTCGAAAAGACGGCAGCGCTGATCCCACGTGGGTCAAAGTTGCTCATCGTGTCAGCGAGAAGATTGTGGTACGCGGTCGGTCACCAAGTCACTATCAAAACGAGGGCCAACATCAGAATGGTCGCAGTGGCAGCACCAGTGGTGGGAGTGGCTACGGTGCGGGAGGTGGCTCGACGTTCGGCAATCTCTCCACAGGCGGTTTCCGCCAATCTGGTACCTCATATGGGGGCGGTCTCGGCGGCGGCAACTACCGTACCAACAACACGTACGGACACCACGCATCGCCTGATCACTCCGGCAGCAGTGCCTCGAGCGTAGACGGAGGTGCCGATAACGAATACCAGGCCGATGCTGCCATGTCAGACGCAGAACGAAATGACATACAAACGCACGAAGGATATCGTTACTACCCTGGACCTTTGTATGAGGGCATACAGCCAGGTCTTCCCTTGCCCAAGATTGAAAGTGCCGCACGATACTCCACCGAGCCGTCGCAATGGACTGCCAAGTATGAATCCTCTGATACCGGTCCTGGTCCCGGGGCCCACTGGCATCAGCCTGGCGGCATGAGTAGATTCCAAGGAGTCGACTCCAGTCGTGGTTACTATTCCGATCAGCTTGTCACTACGTACGCTGGTTGAGATTTTTTTTGTATCGCATGAAAACGCAGTCGACGGCAAGGCAAAGAACAGTACAGGCAGGAAGCCTGTCCCTTCCATGTTGAGCGAAAGCATGTTCGACGCTAGTTTCCTTTGTATCGCATGTGCTGCGTTGGTCATGGAAGGAATAGACCACTTGCATCGCACAGTGCGGGCGCTCGATGCACGTGGTATGCGTAACGCTACACCACAACGACGGACATCACCACCACCACCACCACCACACCCATGGAGTTTTGCTATGGTCTTCGCTTCTCACAATACCCTTGGTTGGCCGACAGCTACAAGCATGATTATTTTAATACGTGGACTTCAGAGGTGACTCACGGCGCACACTTTCGGCATTTTGCGCGGAGCGTTACAGCAGGAAGTAGCATCAGGGCGTAAAAGAAGAGGGCGGGGAGGGGGGAGGGGGGAGGGGGGGAAAGCAGGGAAGCTTGAACAAGCTTGATTGGCGTATGACAGAGATGGCTGAACAGAAGCTGAAGCTGATGGAATGTGCGACGATGGACAAAGAAAAGTGTGTTTTTTTGGTTTTGTTTTTTCACTCTGGCGAATTTCTCTCTTGTTTGCTTTTCTAATGATGTAACGAACCGTGTGTGTTTGTGACTTGCATGAATATCGACAGCAAAGACGACCAGTGAGCAGAAAAAGACAAAAGGTGTCACAGTATAGTAGAAGAGAAGAAGAGAGAGAGAGAGAAAAAGACTTTTATTGTAAGAAAACATACGAAGATGTTTCGACATGGGCTGCCAACGAGAGAGAGAGAAAAGAAAAGAAGAGGGAGATATGATGATGATGATGACGATGATGATGCTAATGATGATGTGCTCGAGCGCTCAGTAATTTCGAGCGAGGGGAGGGGTGGGGGGTGGAAGAGCCAATATGATCGAAACCGAGAAAGGCCGATCTTGAGAAACATCTCTCTGTCACAAATTCCCAGAGTTTCGAGTTTCTGGTGGAGGTGGGGGGCAGAGAGGAGGGGGGTGTGTGTGTGTGCTGGTGGTGGCTGGCTCATTGCACGTTTTTTTATTACCAGTCGGAGATTTTCAGGTAGGTAGCTGATATATAGTTCCTAGTGTCTTTATTTGTGGGTGTGTGGGTGGGTGTATGTGTGTAGTGGTGGCCCCGATTGAAATACAATGCAAGGAGGCCAATTTTCCCAGACTTGTACCTGTTTTGCCACCACTCGCAATCACTTTTGTTTTGCAGGTCCAGCTCAGGTATATGTATATTATGGTTCTTTCTCGGGTGAGAGGTGAAGTGTGAAGTGAAGTGAAGTGAAGTGAAGTGAAGAAAGTGTGAACTTTAAAAGCAGGCCACGCGATGAAGAGGGTAATTAATTGAGTTTCAATGGATCTTGTTTTCGCCGGACAGACACGGCGCCGACAAGAAAATACGATGAGATCAGCTCTAATCTCGGACAAAGCTTATTCCGATGGACAACGCATTCTTATTTGATGATATCTCTAAGCGAACTCACCTACCTATCTTAAGTACATGAAACGATGATGTAGGATCTGTAGCTGAACCTGAATCGTATACCATTATACCTGTACTTCGACACTCTTTTCCCAACTCATATCGCCATATATACATGTCCATACATAGGGTACATCCCCATATATATACACACCCGTAAACACATCACCCGCCATGTTGGCCTTCCTCACGCCCGCCAGCATCTGCTACGCTGTGGCGGGTGTGGCCTTGGCGTGGTTTCTCCAGAAGCTACACTTTCAACGGAGTCTGTTGAAAGGACTCCCTTCGCCGCCCCGAAACTACTTTTTGGGCTCGCTCATATCAATGGGGAGAGTGCTCGCAAAACAACCCCGAAACGCAGCACCGCAGACGTACATGCATTGCCTCAAAGAATACTACCAAATGGGCGACGTCCTCTTCTTCGATCCGTGGCCCCTCGGTCCCCCCTTGATGGCCATTTTCAACGTCGAAATGTTGAATCAAGTCATTGACGGAAACTATCCGAAACATCCTCTCGTCAAAGAATTCATTGCCAATTTTGGAGGCCCCGCCAATCTCGTGAGCGAAGATGGTCCCGTATGGAAACGTTGGCGCACCGCCTTCAATCCCGGATTCTCTTCCTCCCATCTCATGACGCAGGTGCCCGCCATCATCAAGGAAGCCAAAGTCTTTTGTGAGATTATGGCACAGCACGCCGAGAAGAACGATCTCTTCCGCATGGAAATTGCCACCACCAAGCTGACCGTCAATGTCATCGGTCGCATCGTGCTGGATGTCGACTTGAATGCTCAACTGGGCTCCAACGTCCTCGTGGATGCATTCAACTCACAAGTGCGGTGGCAAGCACGCGGTGCTCAATTCCAACCGAGCGAACTGTGGGATATTCGGCGGCCCATCATTCAACGGTACAACAATTGGAAGATGGACCGGTACGTCGGAGCTCGGCTTGATGAACGCTTCGCAGGCAGGCAAAGTCGAGGTCGATCCAAACATGTCATCGACCTCGCCTTGGAGACATATCTCAAGGAGATCAAGGGTGGCGGCGGGAAAGACAGTGGAGACGATGACAAACAGCAGACGCAACTCGATCCCGAATTCAAAGAAGCCGCCATCAGCAATGTCAAAACCATGCTGTTCGCCGGCCATGATACCACCAGCTCCACCATTTGCTACGCCTATTACTACCTCTCCCAAAACCCTTCCACCCTCGCCAAAATCCAAGCAGAACACACTGCCGTCTTCGGCCCCGACCCCACCACCGTCGCCGCATCCATCATCCACGACCCTCATCTCCTCCACAAATTAGAATACACCTCCGCCGTCATCAAAGAAGTCTTACGTCTCGACTCTCCCGCCAGCACGATTCGTTTGGGCAAAGCTGGTCATACTTTGTATCATCCGGAGACGGGAGAGAAATTTCCCACGGAACATTTTATGCTCTGGCCGGTGAATGTGGGCTTGCATCGTAATCCGAAATATTGGCCGGATCCCGATCACTTTGACCCGGAGCGGTTTGTGGTGGGAAGTGCGGTTTATCATGAGAATAATAAAGAGGCGTGGGTTCCTTTTAGTAAAGGGTCGAGGAATTGTAAGTGTTTTTTCTTTTTTCTTTCTCTTTTCCTTCTTTCTCCCATCTTTTCCTCTTTCTCCCATCTTTTACCCTTTCTCCCCTTTCCCTAATAGGTAATGTGTATACATGTCCACCATGCCCCCCCCCCTCCCTCCCTCCCTCCCTCCAAAACAAAACAAATCCCATTCCTTTCACACACATGGACGTTAACATGTCATCTCAGGCATCGGTCAAGAACTCGCCATCATCGAAACCAAAATCATCCTCGCCATGACACTTCGCACGTTTGATTTTCGCGCCGCCTACGATGAGCTCGCTCTCCTCAAGGGAGATGGTACGGGATATCCGAGTGATGATTCTGGCGTGCAGACCCAGTTTGGCGATCGAGCGTATCAGATTCAATTGGGCACGGCGAAACCTGCTGAGGGGATGCCGTGTCGGTTGAGGTTTTGTTAGTGAGGTAGTGGGATGGTTCGTAGGGGGCGGGAGGGGGAGTAGTGTAGAGAGAGAGAGAGAGAAGGAGAGAGGTAAGTAGGTAAGTAGGTAATGAGCTACATGTGACAAGTGGTGATTCAATCATTCATTCATTGATTTCTGCTTCCCTTGACTTGTTTGCATACGTCAAATTCTACATCAGCTACAGGCAAGGTAGGTAGGTAATGCTTGCTACCTACTCTACCCTCCTCGCTCACTCACTCACTCACTCAATCAATCCACCTACCACCACTCCTCCTAATCCTCTCTCCTCGCAAAAAACTTCCGAGCCATCCACATCTTCTTAACCCGCTCTCCCAATCCCACCGCTCGCTGCTTCTCCTCCCCTTCCTCCTCCGACGACGACATCACTCTCGCATTCGAGTGATCAATCACAGGGTCCACAAGAACATGACGAAGTTGTCGTCTTCCTCCATGCTCCTCGTCATGATACTCTACCCTGTGACCCGTCAATTGTCACCAGTCGATAATCCATTCTCGAGCACCACTGTCCCAGAATTCGTCACAGGCGGCTTTGAGGCCGAAATTACTTCGGAGGTCTTCTTTTTTTAAGGAATCTCTGTTTTTTTTGGTTATGATTAGTTTTGGGGGAAATCTACTCGAGGAATTTCTTTTTTGTTCGCGAGTGCATGGTGATGATGATGACTTACCTGGTGAGGGGATCGGTGGGTGTGCGTTTCAAATGCTCGTATATTGTCGCTCGCTCGTAGGAGTGGCCTGTAATTTAAGATAAAAGGGAAAGCGGTGTTAGCTGCTCGAGTAACGTTTTCATGATAGATTAAACCGCGGAATTTTCTTTTCCAAAAAAAAGGAAAAAAAAAAAGAAGAAAAAAACATACCATTCTTCGTAATCACCGGATCATGCATCGGTTCAAACGTAATCATATCCACCAAATGATCCGGAATTTCGCGCGGAGTATTATTCTGCGGTTCCGCAATCTCAAACACCGTCCTGAGGGAATTAATTTTCTTCTCATAATTCCCTCGGACTTCTTCACTTCGTTCCGAAGCTTCCACCTGGCCCAATTTCCCACGATGCAATTCTTCCGCCACCAGATCGAGGTCTTGCTGACGCTGCTTCTCCAGCATTTCCTCCAATTCGGCGCGCAATTCCCCCTGTCGTCGTAAACGTTCGCGATCGCGGGCGCGGAATTTTTCTTTCTTGCACCGCAGCACAAATGCGGAAAAAGTTTGGAGGTCTGAGGGACTGGTTTTGGCGGCTGGGGCGGGATGGAGAACTTGCTCGTAGGCTTTTAGAGCGGAAGAGAGAGCTTCGTGGGGATGGTGGAGGGCCAGTTGTGCTTGGGCGAGAAAATACCATGCTTTGTGGTTTTGGCCGTTGGGGCCGGTGATTTCAATCGATTTTAAGCAGTCGTTGACCGTGTCGTCCCATTTTTGTAGCTTCAGTCGCGCGTTGGCTCGATTGGTGAATATGAGTGGGTTCTTGGAGTACTTTTGAATGGCCTAGGTACGCGGATGGCAGAGGTGGTCAGGAGGTCAGTACGGTAGTGCAAAACTACGGGCTACAACGAGCGCACTAATGACTTTTTGACTTCACTTCGGGCGCACCCGCTCGGTCGAGATAATGATGTGCTGATTACTTACTTGGGTATAGAAGTCCTCGGCCGCATGGTAATCGCCCTCTCGGAACGCGTGGTTGCCTTTTTCCTTGAGGGCGTCTGCCAGATAGGACATTATTGACAATTGTTGGTTCGCGACGGTTATGAGTAACGTGTATATCCCGTTCGGACTCTGGAGGCGTACATGTAGTCAATGTACTGTAATTGAGCCCAGTGAGGTGATGGTATTGTGGTAGCCTGCTCTGATCAGGTAAGCAACGCGAGGGGATGGAGAACGCTTAGTCAGGGTAAAGATCAAGAGGGTGGCATCACGTGATCTGGGACTACCCCGTTCCCATAAATTCACGACAACGGTCCGTCTTACGCGGAACTATGATTATTACTTTCAACTATTCCCATTGCTCCTTTTGATCCTTTTCCCAGACCAGATATCACCAGCCTGGCTGCCTCTCCTTTTCGAAAGGTTCAAGAACTGTTGCCGATATACTTCACCCTCTTCTTGGCGGTGAATAGTACCATTTCCCCTGTTTGTCATGCTGCTTTTTCTGCCTCATCTGTGTCCATATACTACAGCTGCCTGTGCCGTCGCTGCTACTGATGTCGTCGACGTTGTTGTCAACTTGTTGTCGTGGTCGAGGTTCAGAGGCGTTGTTGGTGAGTTCTTATGTAGTCTGTTCCTCACCCCTGCAACCCTACGCCTGTACAGGTGGCAGGGCAGGCAATATCCCTCCCCTCGTCCCTTTCTCAGCACCAACCTGCAGCTGACCAGTGCTAGCAACTCCCCGCCCGTCTGCACTCCGTAAATTGATTGTGTATCTCAGTGCGGATGATAGTATACAGTAGTATTTCTAGCGCACGCGCTCCCTGAGAAGATCTTTGCAGCAGTACTACTATGCAGAGTTCCTTTGAGAAAGGGGCAACCGGGTAGCGGGAAATCGATTTCTCTCGGCCTCATTATCATTGTCCCATTGTCCGGAAGCAGTTTAGATACTCGATGCCTGCGGGCAGCCCAGGTGATGGCTGGAGTAATGCCCCTACGCCTACGCCATACCGCTGTCACTTTCGACTCCCGACTAGCAACGCAGCCCCAGAAATACTGATCCTGCATGGGTCCCTTCCAAAGACTGCGGTACGAACATGTCGCGGATAACTGATTGAGCAGACTCGCCCTGTCAGCACCGGGTCCGGCACAGGAGCAAAGACCGTCCGCGATATGTGAGAGTTCGATTGGACCTTGACCAACATGGACCCCCGCCACAAGGGGGAACATGGCGATTGCTGTAGCTGTAGCACACTCTGACTTCTGACTACTCCATCACCGCCCGACGAGAGGAGCTCAGGACGGAAGGCGAGAGCTTGGTCATATGTTGCGACTGCCATCATCATAGGAATCCCACGGTTCCCGTCCATCTGATCCAATATCGCCAGATCAACAGAATGCGCTTCCCAAGCACGTCGATCCTGCTTCTTCTTGGCCTGACTTTGAGCACAGCGACGTCGGTCGAGCTCCTTCACGATGAACAGTATGGACAACTTGTCGGGAGACAGGACTCGGTGGCAGCAGCAAAAGAACAACAGGCTGGGAGGCTGCAGTTGTTAGGAACACTTCCCAAATGTGGCTTGATATGCTTGGAGACCGTCATTGCAGCGTCGCCGTGTCCCTTTACGGATGCAGCCTGCTCATGTCGCAATGCCACCATCGCAGAGGAGATACAGACTTGCGTCTTGCGGAGCTGTACGGTCAAAGAATCGCTCAGTATGTCTGCAATGGTTGATCACGTCTTTCCGCATATTGACGCATGGCTGACTGTCGGGGGATAGCCACAAAGAACGTGACCATGGCGGTCTGCGGGCAAGAGATGCGCGATCGCACAGGGCTTGCGATGAGTAGTGGTGTGGGCGGTCTGGTCTTCGCTCTGGTCGCTTATACCGTTCGAATTGCATCCAAGGTCGACTTCTCCCTGAGCAACGCACATCCGGGCGCGTCCAACTTCTGGCTCGACGATTTCGCCATCACTTTGGCCGTCATTATTGTCACGACCTTTAGTGCCATCACCGTCCCGCTCGCCAACATTGGCTTCGGCAAAGACATTTGGACCGTGGAGTTCCCCAAGATCACCAAAATCTTAAAGCTCTTCTTTGCCGAAGAGATGCTGTACGTGTCAGGCCTGGGCATCGTCAAGATCTCGATGCTCTTGACATATTTGCGATTCTTCTCCTCGCCCACCTTCCGCAAGGCGGTTTTTGTCTTGATCGTCCTGAACGCCATCTATGTCGTGGTCTTCATGTCCATGGTCGCATTGCAGTGCAGACCGCTCAGTTACACCTGGTATGCGATGCTCCTCTGGCATTCCCATCTACCACATCCGCTGACGGCTCTAGGCATCGATGGGACGGCGAGCACGAGGGCTCGTGTCTCAAGTTTGCCTCTCTCGCGTGGCCGGCCGCTGCTTTCAATATTATACTCGATGCGGCAACATTGACCTTGCCCATCAGGGAGCTGTGGAAGATGAGCTTGAACAAAAGAAAGAAGATTGGCGTGGTGCTCATGTTCTCCGTGGTAGGATCCCATGTCCCCTAGTGTCCCTTTCTCGCCACTATCGTGCGTGCTGATCTCCTGCGTAGGGCTTTTTCATCACGATTGTCAGCATCTTGCGTCTGTACTCCCTCGTCGCGTATTCCAGTGACAGCAACTTCACCTGGGCTTTTGTGATTCCTGGAGTATGGGTAGGTGATTGGTGGTGCATATATCTACGACAACTTCGACCGAAGCTGACACACCGTCTTCAGTCTAAGATCGAGCTTCACGGATCTGTTGTCTGCGCTTGTATGCCCGCAATCCGACAATTCTTTGTACGTACCGCCATTCTACCCTCACCCGCACCCATGATACTAATCGCCCGACCAGAGACGCTTCACCCCAAGACTACTAGGAAGCACCGTAGGCTCCAATACGGGCGCGACCACCGACATGTCGGGATCACGCACTGCTGTGGCCACCCATTCAACGAAATTCAGCAACTTTAGCAAGAGTGATGACACGGAGGTAGGTCCCATGGTTCAGGAAAAACCAGGAAATACAATATCAGCCTGTGGAAGCACTTCTGACACCGCCTTAGGCCTTTGTGGAGCTCGTGGACGTGAACATAAACGACGACGCAAGCGATAAACATAAGCACTGATAACGGCGATTGCGATCGACTTCGTCCTCAACGGACACACTACCCACAATCGAGTGCCATGAGTTTATCATCAAAATCGAGCGTGCAAATCGCATCCGAAGCCAATCTTCCATCAAACCGACCAGGACGCAGTCAGTCCAAACGGACACCCACTTCGCTTCACATGTTCTGTCTCTACGGCATCATTCGAATGATTGTTCCCCAAGGTCATGTGTATTTGGTGGCGGCGGCAGCAGCGGACACAAAGTCTCTCTTTATTGTTTTTGTAAAAAGAGGCGTGCCACGCACTTCTCTGAACGGGCTATTGCTTTTTTCTCTTGGAGGCACCGGAGCACGGATACCATATGGAGGTGGTATGGTATGATATGAGACGAGGCAGAAATGCGATCCTGCAACAGACATGGGTAAAATTAACTACTACTACTACTACTTAAGGTACCTACTACTACTATATGTATAACTTCCCACGACGACGACGATGACGACCGAGCAGTCACCAAAATCCACACACCCGTCTTCTTACCTATCTATTGTTGTTGATACGAACATCTTGATTGCAAGTACAACATCAACACGGTACGGTAGCATGGCGATAAAAACTCCCAGAAAAAGTCTCTGGCAAGGGATTGCTCTATCGCGTTCCAATTCTCCCAACAACAATGTACCCGAAGTCACTACCGCACACACCTACTTACTTACTTGTACTTCCCAGAAAAAACACACAGTATGTAGAAAAAGGAAGGGAGAAACACTCACACCACCAAGAAAAAACCAAAAATAAAATAAGAAAACTACTACCTCTTTATTATTTTAAGAGCAGTCGAAGCTTCCATACATACATATAACCTTCTCCTCAGACTTCCAATGCATTTGCAAGCAAGCAAGCAAGCAAGCATTCAAAATCGAGAAACATTTTCCGACTCCATGATTATTATGTATATCCCCCAACAACCAATCCGCTCCATTCAAGCACAAAGGCCCACAAAGCCTTACAGGGCCAGCCATGCAGTTCAAAAGGTCATCCCATCAACGAGCATGATGCCTGTAAATTCTCCCACTCAAAAACAGTACAGGCTGTACAGTGCATCACTGCATCTGACCAATCATGCAATGTACGGCATGTGTCCTGTGTACTGTAAGGTACCGTATACATGACATGAAGTCTTGTTGTCGACCAGGAACAGGCGAAATTAGATCTGTCAGCCTGTGGTCAGGTACTGTACATTCTGTAATGTAGTCCAGGGTCTGGGTTCTTAGCCCCCCGGTTTCCGAACGATCCCCCAGGCCGGGGAGGGGACCGTGATCCCACATGGGGTTTGGCTTTCTTGGATCAGGGGAGGTAGGGGGAGGCCTTGTGCCTGGTCTTGGGAACTAGTAAAGCTTGAAATTTGATTTTTCTTTTCCTTTTTCGCGCGTTCACATCCGGACGAGCCTGGTTCCTTGTTGGCCATGTTGAGAGGGGGGAGAGGGAGAGGTTGGAGAGGGTTTAATACCTACTCTAGTCTACTACTGGTTGGATGGATCTTTTGTACAACGACTTTGTTTTTCTACTTTTGCTTTCTTTCGTGAGGGTTGTTCAAAAAGTTCGTGATTTTGAAAGGTAGGATAGATACGGATGTGCTTGTTCGGATTCCTTGAGATGATTGATTAGGGGGCGGGGGGGAATAAATCATCTCTATGCTGATGGATAGAGCAAAGGCCATTTCTTTTCTCTCCTTCTCCTCGTCAATCTCAACTCTCATCAAGCATCCTGGGAGGAGATTCTTTCGAACCCTTGCAGTTTGTCCTCCTTTCTTTCTTTAGCCGTTCTACTCGTGTCGAGCCGCGGACTACACTTGGTTACTTTTACTTTGTATCCATTTTTGCTTTGGTTGACTACTACTACTGCAACAACAAACACAACAAGAACAACCATCACAAAAGTTCGGCTCTGGATGTGCGGAGCAGTCGCTCGTTTGATGCTTCCTCCAACCTATTGTTATTGAATGTAATTCTTTGCCACTCGTTTGAGCGAAGTACCAGCAGGAATTTACCATGCTCTTCGCGATAATTATTCATTCATTGCTACTGGCATGGCATTGCGTGGCGGCCGATTCCAGTCATCATCACAAGCATAAAGCGCGACGCCATGCGGGAGGAAAGCACGACAATGCGAAGAGGCAGTGGGATGGTCCTCAAGAAACGGGAATCTACGACTACATCGTCGTAGGTTCGGGAGCTGGGGGCGCGCCGTTGGCATCTCGACTTGCTCGTGCTGGTCATTCGGTGTTGCTCATCGAAGCCGGAGATGATGAGGGCGAATCGCTGGAAGTTAAAGTACCTGTCCTTCATCTCCTATCGGCAGAAAAGCCGGAGATGCGTTGGGTATGTCAGCCACAAATGGGACTGTTACCAGCACGGCATTGGGTGTCTCACTGACCGCAGTGGTCATCTTAGGATTATTTTGTGCGCCACTACGAGGACCCTGTTCAGCAAGCCCGCGATAAGAAGATGAGTTACTCATGCCCAGACGGCTCCATCTATACCGGACTCTATCCTGCCTCTGGATGCCAGCCATTGGGTGTGTTGTACCCACGATCTGGTACGATGGGTGGCTGCACTCAGCACAACTCCGAGATTTCCGTATACCCATGGGAAACCGATTGGGAGTATCTTGAAGAGCTCACGGGCAACTGGACTTGGAGTGCGGACAGTATGCGCTCATATTTCGTCCGTCTTGAGCGCAATCGCTACTTGCCCAGCAGTGTCGTTGGCCATGGGTACCAGGGATGGCTCGATTTGACGCTCACCCCTCTCACTCTCGTCGCGGAAGATCCCAAGATCACATCGCTCGTGCTAGCTGCGGCCGCTGCAATGGGCAAAGTATGTTACCAAATGTTACCCCATGATGTCCTACATTCCTGCGGGAATGTGAATAATGACTGATCTGTGTTCAGGGACTCCTCGGAAGCCTGTTGAATACAGTCAAAGGCTTGGCTCATGTCCTCGCTACAGACCTCAATGCACCCGGGAAATCTCGTGACGAAGATGCGAACCTTTGGCAGGTGCCAATCGCGGTCGACCCTACAGACTCAACTCGAGCTGGACCAAGAAAGTTCATATACGATACCATCAACAACGGCTACCCTCTGCATTTCCAACCGAACACGTTCGTGACGAAGATTCTGTTTGATCAAACCGGATATAGGCCCAGAGCGTACGGAGTGCAATACGAATGTGGCCAGTACCTCTACTCCGCAAGTCCACTCTCGCCAGGATATTTAGCTGGAGGCAGTCGAGGCCAGCCAGGTTACGCATATGCCAGAAGAGAAGTCATCATCTCTGCTGGCGCATTCGAGTCGCCAAGTCAGTAGATTCCAAGGGGATCGCGAGAGCATCACTGATAGTTGCCAACAGAACTCCTCATGCTCAGTGGGATTGGCGACTGCAACCAACTCGCAAGCTTTGGGATACCATGTCTCGTGAACCTTCCAGGTGTACGTCCAGACAATAAAGCTCTCCATCTCAGCGACTCTGGAGTGACCGCTAACCAGTATCTTTTCTCGTAGGTTGGCGGCAACATGCAGGACCGTTACGAGGTCAGCGTCTCCGGCAAATCCCCCAGCCCCTTTCCCCTCACCCAAGAGTGCAAATGGACCTTCTCATCGCCAGATCCTTGCCTCGAGACCTATCTGAGTAACACGGATCCTGTATGTACTATTATGTACTACTCCGCTCCCAGCAGCTCGAACTAACACGGTACAGGTCGACAGAGGTGTATACGGCAGCAATGGGCTCGCAGTTGCTATCACGCTCAAGTCTTCCACGGGCGAGGGTCCTAACCCGGATGTATACATCTCCGGAGCACCTGCCAAGTTTACGGGTTACTTTCCGGGTTTCGCAGAAGATACGCTAGCAGACAACAACCATTGGGTCTGGCTGATTCTGAAGGCTCGGTCTCGCAATAATGCAGGCTACGTACGACTCCGCTCGACGAATCCATTCGAAATGCCAGAGATCCAGTTCAACTCATTCGCGGTTGGCGGCGACGAGGATATCAAAGCCATCAGTGAGGCCGTGGACTTTGCTCGGCGGGCGTTTGCACATCACAATGAGCTCGGTATCGACGGCGCTTTCGCAGAAGACATCCCAGGCCCCCAATTGCAAGGACCAGCTCTTGACCAGTGGATCAAGGACATAGCCTGGGGACACCACGCTACCGGCACTTGTGCTATTGGGCGGCCGGACGATCCCTATGCGGTCCTGGACGGCGACTTTCAAGTCTATGGCGTGGATGGACTGCGGGTCGTGGATTTGTCCGTCTTTCCCAAGATCCCGGGTTACTTCGTCGCATTACCCGTCTACACCATCAGCGAGAAGGCCGCAGATGTCATTCTTGGCTTTGGACCTGATCCCAATGCGCACTTTCCTGATGCTGGAGGTCTGTTCGGCACACTGGGTTACGGTTTGGCGGGGGGACTCACCCAAGGAGTGCAAGATCCGGAAGGTCTTCTGGGCTCTTTTGGGGGCTATTTGGGCGGCTTTGGACTATTCGTAAGTCAAATTATCAGTCTCTTGCTGAGTGTATGGCAATGCTGACCCGCTGGCAGGATAACAAACAGCCCATTCATAAGCGCGAGCAGGCGGTCCGAGGTCCGTCAGAAGCGTAGAACTACATCTGGAGGATACTGCTTCGCACTTGCTGGGTGCGTCGAGCGATAACAGCAGCGCGGCCAGTCATCGACATGAGGTGGTGTTCATATCTTCAATTAGTGTGTACAACTGCAGTGAGCTGTTGCACTGTCAACTCGAGCTGTAACCGCAGGAAAAAAGTGATCTATGTACCTCCGAGAACTATGGCGGTTCCCGTGCCCCGTCCCGTGTGCCCGTCCCGTGTTCCCGCCCGGCTAGCGCCGCTAGAGCTAGCCCAATGCACTTCGCGATGCATATACACCAGAACGCGCGCCATCGTATGCATCGTCAGTGAGGGCTTGTGCATCTCGTGAGATCAACAACACGTAGTAACGTGTCCTTCGCGTCCAGTATGGCAGAAAATGTGCCGCCGCCGCCACAGTCTGCACCGGCGAGCGCAGATCAACCTGGACGGCCATACTACGAATCATTGCGATCCACCCTCCGCCAGACCCTCGAGAAGAAGCGCAAGCTGGACGAGAAGCTGGCCATCATCGAGGACAATATCTATAAGCTGGAAGGCACTTATCTGGAGGAGACTGCGCACTCGGGCAACATCGTCCGCGGCTTTGACGGCTGGGTCAAGGGCGTCCAGATTGGCAGTCGCAGCGCCGTCGAGGGCGCGCGACGAGGCGGCCGAGTGCGCGATGAGGACCGCGTGTTCAGTCGGAGCAGCGTGAGCTGGATGCGTGTGCGTTGATCCGCCCCCCTCCCCGTTCTGCCTGTTCACTCGGGCTGAACCGAGCATCGCTAATAATGGTGAGCAGCAACAAGAAGGACCCGACAGCGGTACGCCCTCGCACGCCCCAACGCCGACGGGTGCATTCCCACCGCCGCTCTCCGCGCGCGAGAGTAACGCGAGCACTCCTGGCGTAAGCTCGGGCAAAACTCAAGGCAACAATAAAAAGAAGCGAGTGAATGACAAGGATGAGGAGGACGACCATAAGCCTTCGAAGCGTCACAAGATTTCCTACGGGCGAGAGCGCGACTAGCGGGCCACCATGGTGGATTTGAAGCTTCCGAGTCAAAGAAGAGAGCAGTAATCATGAGCGAGGCGTTGCGGAGTATACAATGATACCCACTGCTTAGACTGGATTGAAGGGCGTGGTTGTCCGGCGTCGACATACGTTTTGCTAATCAGAGCAGGGGCAGCAATTGCAAGTGTCCAGATATCCCGCTCTCGATTGGTGACTGGGCTCACCATGCTATGCACCGCACTTCACAAGAGCAAGCAAAGGCGGATCCGGCTGCGCACGCTATCGAAGAAGTTGGACAGGCCCGGTCCCTCCATTGAGCTCGTGGCGGCGCCATAACATGGCTAGAGCACAATCTGTGACAGCAGATGATGCCTGGCCTGACACATCGAAGGATCCTGTCAACATTAATACCACAACAGCATCGCGACCATGTCTTGGACAACACTTGCAGCGATTGACGATACAGTTGTCGTCGCCATTCATCAGAAATCTAGCGATATATAGGGACCTGGACGGAACGTGAACTGCTCATGCCACGTGCTAAGCACGAACCATGCAGCAAATCAGTTTCGTCAGTCAGACCAAGCTTTTGAGAACGAGTGCCCCGAAGGCTAGCAACGATCGCCTTATTACCATCGGGACAACAACTTCGTAAGGTAACTTACCTGTACCTTGCAAATGCACTTTCACTCGGTTCGATGTGGAGGCCAGAGCTGAGGCGTCGTCCAGCCTGCACATGTCGGCAGCCGGGGCACAAAATCAAGGTCACCAAGTTGGCCAACATCAATCTCGTCACGGCGGCTTCTGTCTAGGCTACGGCACAGGTGATCGCATGGTCGATCTGTCAACGCCAAGGGAGGAAAAGCAACAACCCATGACTCGTGCTAGCCAGATCAAGCAGGAGCTTAAGAAGCTTCACCAAATCTTATCTCTTTCAAGCTAAAAAGCGCAGCCACACCGAACCACTCTACAGGCACCTACAATCCACTCCCGAGCCTGGACTGTCAGGTGCCACTGTAATTACTAGCCAATGAATGCTTCTATTCAGGTACTGTTCTGATTGCGATGCTAGACTCGCGCTCTGCATTGTCTAGGTGAGAGGCGCAAGCTTGCGAGCGGGACGATAACGTATGACATCCGACCGCACGAGGTAAGTAAGTAAGTCTTCAAATTGTTTAGTACGGGGGTATCATCATTTCATGGCTGCAGAATAAGCCTGAGATACACCGTTCGAAGACGAATTTCAAGCACCTGCTTCGGGATATCCTATGTTGCTGAGACGATCTGCAAGTAATACGATCTTAGGTCAATGGTCAAATATCCAAAGTCTACGGGTGATTATGCACGAACTGCCAGGTACATAGGTAGTTTGTCTTTACTGCATATTAATGAGCTGCGCAGGCAACTCACTTTCTTCATTGAGCATTGCTCCGTGCCTAAGAACGGTCACTCATCAACGCCACAGATACGTTATCAGGATCTGTAGACGTAGCACCTTCTTCCACGCGACTTTCCCCCACGATATGCCAGGAACCGATAGCCGAAATAGCGCGAAGACATTAGTACATCGCCTGCAGTATTGCAGCAGTGGACCTCGAAGCGGCCATGGTCTAGAGCGGCGTACGGTCATCGCGTAGAGCATGGAGGTAAATATAAGAAGCGAGTGGCTACTCTCGCGGCGATAGAGTCAGTCAGACACTGCGTGGTACTAACAGCATGTTGGTGACATCTCTGCTAGCCGCCTTCTTGGCCACCTCATCAGCTTCTCCTCTATCCATCCCGCATGTCGTCCACGAGAAAAGGACCTCAGCGCCCCACGGATGGGTGAAGAGAGCAGAGCTAGGCCGCAGGATGGTCCTGCCAATGCGCATCGCACTCGCACAAGAAAATCTGCACAAGGGCGATGACTGGCTCATGGATGTATCCCATCCGACCTCTAGCAAGTATGGGCAGCATTGGTCAGCGGAGGATATTGCTACCGCCTTCGCTCCTAGGTCCGTTTTCCGCACGCTTCGAAGACATCCAGTACTAACAACATGTCAGTGAATCCACTGTCAACGCGGTGAAGGAATGGCTCTCCTCAGCAGGTATCACGAGCGAACGCATCAAGCAAAGCCAAAGTCTGGGCTGGTTGAGTTTCGATGCTTCTGTAGAAGAAGCGGAAAGCCTACTGAGAACGAAGTACCACGTTTACGAGCATCAAGAGACTGGTCAACCGCACATCGCCGTACGTCCACTTTCGACCAGAAAGCCAGAATCAGACACTGACTTCTAGTCGATGGCATAAGTGTGAGGAATACAATATCCCAGCAACCCTACAAAGCAAGATTGACTTCATCACACCTACTCTTCACTTCGATGCTAAGCTGAAGCCGCGCGACGCCAAGTCTGAAAAAGAGAAGAGGGCTGTTAGCCAACACATCAATCCTGGCAACCCCAGCGGCGGGAACATTCCCAAATATCAGCCTCTTGCAAAAAGTAACCTCATCAAAGAGCTCAGTGATTGTGATAAGCAGGTGCGCTACCTTTTGTTAGTTGAGGTCCTGACAGATATGAGCTAATTACGTTCCTCAGATTACGCCTAATTGTTTGAGGGCTCTATATAAATTTCCACCAGGGCTGACTTCAAACCCGAAGAACAGCTATGGAATTGTGGAATACACCCCGCAGGCTTATCTCCCATCTGACCTTGATCTATTCTTCAAAAACTTTAGTACGAAGCAAATTGGAAACCGTCCCATCTTCGACTCCATTGACGGAGGCACTATCCAGCAGAACATGACGGGCTTCGACTACAATGGCGAGAGCAATTTGGATCTTGAGTATGCCATGGCTTTGGTCTATCCACAAAATGTCACTCTGTATCAGGTAGGAGATAACCAGATGGGAGCAAGCTTCAACAACTTCTTGGATGCTATCGATGGCTCGTACTGCTCGGTACCAGGGCATAATGGTAGGACAATCAGCCGGTATCACACACCAGAAGTGCCTAACGATTCGTGCAGACCCTACGCAGGACGGAATCTACCCTGATACGCTCCCTGGAGGCTATACTGGACCCGAGAACTGTGGTGGTTTCGCAGCCACGAAAGTCATTTCTACGTCTTACGGGTACAACGAACACGATCTTACTCCCTTTTACCAACGCCGCCAGTGCAACGAATATATGAAGCTTGGACTTCTTGGGGTATCTGTTCTTTACTCAAGCGGCGATTATGGCGTCGCTGGGAATAGTGGTCAATGTATCGACGGTGCAGGAGAAGACGCTCCATACAACGATGGCGCATCAGGAAGATTCAATCCTTCCTTTCCTGGAACATGCCCTTATGTCACTGCCGGTGAGTAAAGCAGTGTCTTCTCGTTGTCTCAATAGATTGAGCCCACTGCGGTGCCAAGAGCAACGACAGATCCCATTGGAAGATGTTCGAACCTGAGAGACGCTTGCTGACCTTCGACCGGCTATCATAGTGGGAGCCACACAAGTGATTCCAGGAGTCAATATCCTGACTACACCAACACAACCCGAGGAAGCTTGCGAGTCAGTCATTTACTCTGGTGGAGGCTTCAGTAACGTCTTCCCATTGCCAAGTTATCAGTCATCGGCAGTGAAGTCCTACTTCAAGAACCACCTACCATCATACAGCTCCGCTCAGTACAACAACAGCCAGCAAACACGAGGCTTCCCGGACATCAGCGCCAATGGAGCCAACTACGTTGTCACTGTAGACGGCGGGTTCTCTCTCGTGTTCGGGACCTCAGCCTCTTCCCCCACCCTTGGATCCATCCTCACTTTGATCAACGAAGCTCGTTTCAACATTGGAAAGGGATCACTGGGCTTCATCAATCCTGTTGCGTACGCTCACCCTGAGATCTTCAATGATATCACGCAAGGAGGCAATCAAGGATGTGGCACCCCTGGATTCACTTCCGTCAGTGGATGGGATCCGGTTACAGGTTTGGGGACGCCAAATTTCCCGAAGATGTTGCCTGTGTTCCTGGCGTTGTAGAGAAGCCGAATAGGTATAGACTTTTTCAGCATGAGGGATGAGACTATGATCACGACAGCCTAGCAGCTAGAATAAATAGGGCGGCGTGAAGAGAAGAACTGACCATACTTGGAGTGTACTACCAATCTAATTCCAAATCTCACTTTCCCAGTGATGTTCCGGCATTTTCATTTCCTCGTGATTTCGTGAATGCCCTTTTGGTGTCGAGATCTGATAGCTGCAATCTGTAGTGGGGCGATCGAAACCCTGTCACTCCAAAAGCCAATGCTCAGATTCTCGACCTGCGATGAGTCTTAGAATTCATTCGGACGACTTCATCAACCTCGCTTGCAGCACAAGCACTGATTCCCACCACGTTACAACAATCCGCATGAGCATATAGAGGCATCGCGCCTTTCTTCCACGCACAACCGTCAACCAGCCAGGTACACACACAGAGTCAACGAAGATTCTGTCACGAGCGCTTCTTCGGCGCCAGCTATATGCACCCCCTCGCATTGCACTGCGGACCAGCTCACAGCGACGAAGCTTCAAGATGGCGCTGAATCACGCATCACACAACCCGACGGGCGAGCGCACAGGTCCCGCCACAGGTGCCCCGCCAGCGCCCTCTGCAGAAAGCAAAGCTGCGATCCTGGAAGCTGCGAATAGCGACATCATAGGCAACTCTGCGCCTGGCAAGGACGGAGGAGATGCCGATGCCCCAAAGAAAGAGAAGTCAGAGAAAGAATTAGCCAAAGAAAAGGCAAAGGCTGAGAAGGCGGCGAAATTAGCAGCGAAGCAGGCCAAGCAGGCAGAGCTGGCAGCAAAGTCGAAGCCCAAGGAAAAGAAAAAGGAGCAGGAAAAGCTCCCGCCGTACGTGGAGGAGACGAAGAAGGGCGACAAGAAGATCCTCAAGTCTCTAGACGATGAATACCACAAGGCTTACATCCCGTCTGTCGTCGAGAGCGCGTGGTACGACTGGTGGGAGAAGTCGGGCTTCCACAAGCCGCAGTTCAAGGAGAACGGCGACGTTAAGGATGCTGGGTACTTTGTCATCCCCATTCCACCTCCCAATGTCACAGGCGCTCTCCACATCGGACACGCGCTAGCTACTTCACTTCAGGACGCCCTGATCAGATGGAATCGCATGAAGGGCTTGACTGCACTGTATGTCCCCGGATGCGATCACGCCGGTATCTCTACACAAAGCGTGGTTGAGAACATGCTTTACAACAGACGAAATGGTACCACGAGACATGATCTGGGCAGAGAAAAGTTCGTCGAGACCGTATGGGAGTGGAAGGAAGAGTACCACGAGAAAATCAACAAGGTTATGAAGCGACTGGGCGGCTCTATGGACTGGGATAGAGAGGCCTTCACCATGGACGAGAACCTGTCGGCTGCTGTTCGTAAGACGTTCATTCAGTTACACGATGAGGGTCTCATCTACCGTGCCAATCGCCTTGTGAACTGGTGTTGCAAGATGAACACAGCTCTCTCAAATCTCGAGGTTGATCAAAAGGAGCTCGAGGGCTCGACCAAAATTGACGTTCCTGGTTATGATAAGAAGATCGAGTTTGGCTCTATTTGGAACTTCAAGTATCCTATTGATGGCACGAATGAGTTCATCGAGGTCGCCACGACACGTCCTGAGACCATGCTCGGAGATAGTGGTGTCGCTGTGCACCCAACTGACGAGCGGTACAAACACTTGATCGGCAAGTTCGTCAAGCATCCGTTCGTGGACCGCAAGCTACCCATCTTTGGTGATGAGACCGTCGAGAAGGACTTTGGTACTGGTGCCGTCAAGATCACACCTGCACACGACTTCAACGATTTCAAGCGTGGTAAGGAACACAATCTAGAATTCATCAACATTCTCAACGACGATGGCACTATGAACTCCAATGCCGGCTCATATGCGGGCAAGAAGCGCTTTGACGTTCGATACGAGATCATCAGCGAGCTTGAGAAGCTCGGTCTCTACGTTGGCAAGTCGGACAACAAGATGCAAATTCCACTCTGCAGCAAGTCCAAGGACGTCATTGAGCCTGTCATGAAGCCTCAATGGTGGATGCACATGAAGCCACTTGCGGATCCTGCTATTGAAGCAGTCAGGAGTGGCGAGATCAAGCTCAGGCCTGCTCAGTCCGAAGCGACTTACTACCGATGGATGGAGGGCATCGATGACTGGTGCTTATCACGTCAACTCTGGTGGGGACACCAGGTTCCGGCATATTACGTCAAGCTTGAGGACGGTCCTGAATACGATACAGATGCGAGTTACTGGGTGTGTGATGAGACAGAAGCAGGAGCACGCCAGAAGGCCGAAGCCAAGTTTCCAGGCAAGAGCTTTACGCTCGAGCGTGACCCAGATTGTCTCGACACATGGTTCTCATCCGGCCTCTGGCCATTCTCGACGCTCGGCTGGCCAAATCTGGACAGCAATGACTATCAGAAGCTCTACCCAACCTCGTTCCTCGAGACGGGTTGGGACATTCTGTTCTTTTGGGTCGCTCGTATGATTATGTTCGGCATCAAGCTGACAGGAAAGGCGCCGTTCAAAGAGGTCTACAATCACTCCCTTATCCGCGATTCGGAAGGACGAAAGATGTCCAAGTCATTGGGGAACGTCATCGATCCAGTCGATATCATGGACGGTATCTCTCTCACAGCTTTGACTGACAAGCTGAAGACCGGCAACCTTGCTCCAAAGGAGATTGATCGGGCATCCAAGTGGCAGAAGTCAGCATTCCCAGACGGCATCGATGAATGCGGTGCCGATGCGCTGCGCTTCTCATTGATCAACTACACAACCGGCGGCGGTGATATCAGCTTCGACGTTAAAGTCATGCGCAGCTACCGCAACTTCTGCAATAAGATCTACCAGGCCACCAAGTTCGTCCTGGGCAATCTGCCAAAGGACTTCACACCCAAGACAAAGGGCGGTAAGACCGGAAAAGAGAGTTTGCCGGAGCGATGGATTCTGCACAAGCTCACAATCGCGGCGCGTGATGTCAACAATGCCCTCGAGGCTCGCGAGTTCTCGAAGGCCACACAAGCATTGCACGGGTACTGGCTCTATGACTTGTGCGACGTTTACATTGAGAACAGCAAGGGCATCATCAGAGATGGCTCGCCTACGGAGCAAGAAAGTGCCATCGACACCCTATACACGGCTCTCGAAGGCGGTCTACTCCTGATGCATCCCATCATGCCGTTCCTGACAGAAGAGCTATGGCAGCGTCTGCCACGTCGACCAGAGGACAAGACTCCTTCTGTTGTCGTCGCCTCGTACCCACAGTATGACTCAGCGCTTGATGACCTCAAATCCGAGCGCGACTACGAGCTTCTTCTGGGCTGCTCCAAGGGTGTTCGTTCTTTGCTGAACGAGTACGCTATCAAGGAAGACGGCGCTGCCTTTGTTCGACCACTCAACGACGAAGCGGCCTCGACTGCTTCGGCGCAGCAGAGTTCGATCAAGACTCTGTCTGGTAAGTACCTCAAGAACCTCACTGTCCTCAAGGTTGGAGAGTCTGCTCCCGCTGGAACTGCCGTCTATCCTGTCTCCGCTGCTGCTGCTGTCTATGTGCAGCTCAAGGGCCAGATTGACCCAGACACTGAGATTAAGAAGACGCAACCCAAGATGCAGAAGGCCAGCGAAGCTGTCAAGGAGCAAGAAAGGTTGATTGGCACTTTGTCAGATGGCGTTAGCAAAGATGTTCGCAGCAAGGAGGAAGAGCGACTCAAGGATGCCGAAAGTGAGCTGCGGCTGTATGAGGAGAGTCTGGCCTCGTTCCAGAAACTGAAGTTGTAAATCGACCAGTCAGACCACCGATCGCCTTGGAGGGCGATCGGAGCTCTCACATGCACAGAATAGCATCGTCTTTCCAATAAGCAGTACTCCGGGCTTGTGGGACAGCGGATATACCTTCAGCCTTGCGCGATAAACAAAGCCTACTTCACCGCCCACAATATTTACACGGCTTTTTTTTTTACCGCCTTGTATGACTATGCACTCCTACCTCCTAAGAGCAACTCCTCCTGACCGCTCTTGAGAATCGTGTGGACGGATGGAAGCGATATTTACCTTACTTAGTTGCTCCACATTATTTTCTCTTGGAAGGATGCCTCATTTCGGGGGACGCAGTCCCAAACCCATTTTTTTTTCTTTGATGCTCCACAGTTTTTCATCTTATCCGTTGTGTGGATACTCTAATAGCCGTTTTAATCGATTGGGCCATCTATGTACATGGTTGCTCACTTCGTTGCAGTGAGTGTGTCGTATAGATTAAAAAGAAGAATATCTGGTGGGTAGGTGGATGGGTGGGTGCGGAAGAGGATCAGGATACCTGTCGCCTACCTAGTCCGCAGGAGTATAGGGCGGCAAGCGGGCGGGTAAAGCCTGCTGGGTACTCAGGGGGAATTTGATATATATTAATATTACGTGAGTGCCTTCTTGGTACCTATCTCCTCATGATTGTATAAAACAAGATCCTGAAGCTGCGGATCTTCTCGACCTGCAGCCATACTCATTCGAACCAAGAAATCTCGTTGAACGCATTGATCTCTCTCGACGCTGGTCGGTCTTTTCGAATCGAATCGAGCACTTTCCTCTAGGCGCACCAAAACACCAAGAGGAAGATGCTGCTTGCTGCTTGCTGCTGTGGGTATGAGTGATGAGATGCTGTACTATACTGTACAGTCTGGAATGATGATGAAGATGAAGATGATGACGAGGTCCAAGAGAGACAAGTTCAGAGTACAAAATGTACAAAGTACATCCTAGTAGGTACCTCACCGCTGACCGAAAAGGGCGCTGCAAGGTATAGCCTTGTAGTCACTTTGCCGACGAGCCGGGGACGCTTCCGATTGGCGCGCGACTTTTGTCTTTTAGCCTAGTTCTATGTTGGAACCACACACCACACTAGTGCCCAATTGAGAAGATTGATGGAATACCAATCAATAAGTGGATTAATTGAGGTCCGAGGTCTGACCTCTTAAGAAGAGAAAAGAGGGGGGTGGGTATCCCTAACTCTACATACATATGCCAAGGAATCAGTGGCCCCTGTTATCTTATATGACTCATGTCATATGATGCCAGGGCACCTATGTCCTTCTGTCCAAATATACCTCCCTTAGCTTGATTATATAAGAAAAGCTGAAATACTAGACATAGTGACCGTCCATCTCAATCCAATGATCGACTATGCCCACTTACCTGAGCCCCAGGCTCGTCCGGAATGACTGGAATAACCCCTTTGGGAGGTTCTTTGTAAAGCTATTAGCTCGTTGCTTAGCAGTCCTAATCCATTCTACGGTCAATCGTCCTACTATAGTTTCCTGCCTTACCTAGTGTTGATGGATATCCACATGTCTTAAAGCCGTATTAAGTGACCTATGCTTGTGATTGGCGATATCTACTACTCGTTGGTTGTCACAGAAAACCTTGGTTCCACCTATAGTTCCATCCTTGACAGGCTCCCCAGATAGCTTATTTCCAGGTAGAGGTAGAAATACCTTGTCAAATTCAGAGAAAAGTCGAGTCCACCAGTACCTATTACCTGCAATTGATAAGAGTGCTAGCAACTCTGCCTCTGCGGTTGATTTGGTGACTGTCTTCTGCTTGGTTGCTTGCCAATCAATAGCACTACTATACATCATCATCAAGAATCCCTGTGAACTCTTCCTATCCGGGTTATTACCAAATGAAGCATCTATATACAGCTCTATCTTAGGCTTGTCCCTATAGAAGTGCAACTTTATGTCCTTGGTACTATAGAGGTAGGCAATCAGGTAATTAGCAGCTTCTATATAAGCTTGGCTTGGATTCTTCAGAAATTGAGAAAGAGTAGTATATGCCTTTGCCACATCCGGCCTTGCCAAAACAGCTGCATAACTAATTGAACTAACCTTCATCTGATATCCTTTGATGAAGTCAGGCCTGGCTGTATTAGTAGCAGGTTCTAGGTTTCCAGTAGGAAGTGGTGTATCTGGGAATCGAGTCCTCTTATAAACACCAAATTTGATACTAATCTTTGTTAGGTAGGCAGACTGGCACATAGTCAGGGTTTCCTGGTCTAGTGATTCCAGGACTTCTATACCTAGAAAGAAGGATAGCTCTTTCTGAGTAACCTCAAAGTTAGAAAGTAGGTACTGGTTGAACAGGATAGCTTGATCCTCCCTATCCCTCTTATAAATCAACCTGATATTATCCATATAGAATATCATAAGCAGGTAGAGATCTATGTTCACTATCAGACAGTCAATTCTAGGAACTAGCTCAAAGCTATAGTCTTCTATCCTTATAACAAACAGGTCATACTACAGGCGAGGTGATTCAGCTAATCTATAGAGTACTTTCTCAAGGATGAAGCAGGCATCTGGTCCAAATCTATACTCCTCCATCCCTTCAGGGATTGAACAATACATAGTGTAAGGAATGGTAGCATTTGGGAAGGCATTCACTATATCCTATTGCCGGGTTTTCAGATTCCTTGCAAAGGCTAGGGCAGTGATAGCCCTAAATACCTTGTACCCAAGTATAGCCGTATAGGTTTCATAGGTTAATGGTAATTGAAGATCCCTACGGATACAAAGCCTAGCCTTATACCTGAGAATCTCACTAGTTAATAGGTCTGTCTTATAAGCAAATACCTAGACCAAAGGTACCTTATAACCCTTGTAACCAAAGAATACCCTGAATGTCCTCTTGCCTATAAGCTTTCCAGCTTTATCAACTGCTGCTTGTCTGAATTGTTAATAGTAGATATGCCTTTCCATCTCTTTCCAGTTGGCAGGGGGTGACAGTAAGCTTGTCACTTAGTGAGGTTCTTTGAGATTGGGTGGAGTATAGGCTTGGAGGGAAGTAGCAGCTGCAGAACTCAACTCATCCAGATAATCCTCCAACCGTCCAGTTCCATAGTCGATCTATCGCCTATAGTTGTCCACACTGTACCAATAGGTACTCTCTTCTACCTCCCTATCTGAGGCAGGGTGATAAGAGGCCGAAAAAGCGGGTGTTCCCGGTAAGGCCCCCGGGGCCTGACCAACTTGACCTTGGTTAGCAGCCACATTGTCTTCATCTCTAGCGGGTGTTTCTGGTAGTGTTAGGTATGATGACTCTTGTTCCTGTTGTGGCCCTTTACCTCCCTGCTGTTCATCACCTCCCTGAGGTTGGACAGCAAAGACCGGAATATTGTTAGCCAGAAAGGGGTCATCCATAGAACCATCAGAAGTTAGAGATTCCTCAGGCATTAAGATAGAATCAACCACAGTCTAGTGAATAGCAGCAGGAACCAGTTCTCCCAAGGTTTGTCCATTGATGTCCAGTGGATTGTATCTCTCATTGTCTTTGAAGACTACATCCCTCGTCCTGATCACCTTGTTCAGGGGTGAAGGAATCCAGATCCAAAAAATATTGGTAGAGGCATACCCAATCAGGTATCCAATGTGAGCTCTCTCTTCCATCTTGTCTCTCTTGGCAATGTCTCTGCGGAGAGCGAAGGCCTTGCAACCAATAGAGTGGAGATAGCTAAGGAAGGGTTTCTTGGTTGTGACTTTCTCAAATGGAGTTATCCAGTTGAGCTTGGCAGTAGGGGTCCTATTGAGTAGGTAAACAGCTGAATCCATAAGCCATAGCCAGAGTGTCTTTAGTAATCGACCATTAATCCTAAGAGTCCTGGATTTGGTAACAATCTCTCTTCTAGCAACCTCACTTGCTCTATTCTGAGCAGGGGTACCAGCAGCAGTAGGTAGAGTATTGACCCCCTGCCTAGTAATAGCTTTGCCCGCATCCTTTCCTATAGTTGCTTCTATATCACAGCGAACTAGGATGGTTTTGGCACTAAAGGACACTTCCATCTTCTTGAAATGTCCTGGAAATTTGGCAATTGCTTGTGGCTTGGTTACTACAGGATCACCAACATAATAGCCCTCCTGGTTATAGTACTAGTAGCTGTAAAACTTGAAGACCAACCCATTTGGTCCAGGGAGAGAAGGGGTCATATCAATAAGATCCTATGAACAGACAGCTATCTTGGCATTCTCTGCCTCAGGCAGCACTTCCCTGTGCTTGTCTTTTCTCCTTAAGATCACTGCTTTAGCCTTGGCCAGCATGCATATATCACAAGTAACACCATTCAGAACCTCCTTGTCTGGTCCTGTCTCAATTACCTAGCAACCCTCAGTTGCAGGTTCCAAGTGCTTAATAGCCCTCACAGATGGGTAGCCTAGCAACTGATGCCATTGATTGGCCGTTGCTGTCAAAGGTAGGAGTGGTTGGTAACTGGATTATGCAGCAGCAACAGATCCAGCAGGTGACGTTGATGCAGGTAAGGTTGATTTCCCCGCATTCTCGGAGTGTGGGGTACATACAGACTTCACCTCCTCCATTCCAGTACTAATTCCTCCAGATAAATCAGTAAGTCCAGTGGTTCCAGCAACACTTCTTGTTGCAGGCAACCGTTCAATAATCCAGTAACCGTGTCTGCCATTACTGTATTCAGGTTTGAGGTATGCCCACAGTCTGGGTTCCTCCTAGGGTTGGCCAGTAATCAACCTATCAGGCCAGTTTCTAGTGTTATAGTAGATTCCCTTTGTATTAAGAATCTGCAATGAGACCAAACTTGTAAAGAATCCCGGAATAAGCCGGGCATTGAGGAGAGTGAGCTTCCTTGTCACTCCATTCCCTATATCCAGATTGATGGTAGTATCAACAATTGCCTCAGGTTAGTACCTTTTGTCCCTAGAGATTACTATATCAGAGGAGGTTGGTAACTCAGACCTGATAATCCTTGCCCTTATAGATTCGTTGATAATGTGAACATTGGCACTACCATCCAGAATCACTGCGTTGTAGAGCCGGGTATAACCAATTGATCCAACAGATACGGGTTCCAAGGTAGCAGCAGCGGCAGTATCTTCGAGTTCTACGGCTATGCCCTTGTCCTTAGTGTCCTTGCCCTTCGACCCTTGAGCAGCGTTGTATGCTTGAATTGCTTTGTCCACTCTCTCTTTCAGGTTCTTGTCCTCCTTGAATCTCTTCTCAATCTTCTTCTTGGTATCATCTCTTAGCTTCCATACCTCAGGCCTCGGATACTCGGCATTGAGGTAGTAGCATTCCTTCTACATATGGTTCCTACTACAGAGACATGGTTTGCTTGGTCTTGAAGATGAGGATCGGGTTGAGGACGAGGATGATTCGGTTGTAGCGGCGGTTAAGATACTGGCGACGGTGGTTCTGTGCTTGCTCTTAAATTTGGTGTCTCTATTATACTGAAAGTAGGACTGCCAGGCTCTCAATTCTGAATGGAGAGTTGTTACCTCCCTATCATTCTGCTTATTAAGCAGCCTCCCTGTCCTTGTGGCCACATAGTCTCCATACATTAGAGCTATAGAAGACAACCATGCTTAGGTGGATTCATTGTCTGCTTATATACCAACAGCATCTCTCTTACTATACTAAGTAAACCATAGGTGCATATAGTCATGAATAGACTTTCTATATAGTAGGTAAGAAAGGGTTTCTAACTCTTTCTTCAGTAACTGAGTAGTAGCAAGGGTGTTAGGTTTAGTGTATTCTGAGAGAATCTTGAGTATCTGCCTAATTATCTCACAATTGATTACCCTATGTTAAAGGTCTGCAGAGAGAGATTGGTTAATAATTAATTCAATCTTCTGGTACCCCCTTTGCTTAAGTTCCCATACATCCTTGTTATACCTATGCTTGAATTGAGCCAGACTAAGAGCTGTTGGGGTAACATCAGTAGGTAGAGCCGCAAAGTCAAAGACAGGTTGTCCTTTAAGCTATATTAGGTTTTCTGGATCTGGCTCAGCTGTCTCTGGATTGATATCAGCCTATATCTAGAGCTTCACTACCTCCCTCTTGATATAGGTAATCCATACATTCCAGTCCTGCTATATACGCAGCTTGGCAATCGACGTCGTCGTTGTTGAGGGTTCAGAAGAATCAGCCATAGTGTCTTCGTTGAATTCGTCAATCCACTCTAGGTAGGCAATCTGAGAAATGGCTTGATTCCTAGGACACGAGCCGCTGGGTGTCTCTTCTTCTGATATAAGCTAACTTGATGGTCCTTCTTCAACCTCTTAAAAGTCAGGTGTCGGGGATCGAGATCGATTGCTCAATAGGCTCTGGCTTTCTTCTCTTTGTCTAGATGAACGGGTTTGGGCCGGCATAAAGTAATAGTGTACGGTCTTCGGGTTTTCTTGATACAGCGGATTTTGATCAATCTCAGGTGATTCTAGGAGATATCCAGTAACCAATTGATTCCTTTGATTAATCAAACAGAGCTAGCCGGGCTCATAACTGTTGGAACCACACACCACACTAGTGCCCAATTGAGAAGATTAATGGAATACCAATCAATAAGTAGATTAATTGAGGTCCGAGGTCTGACCTCTCAAGAAGAGAAAAGAGGGGGGTGGGTATCCCTAACTCTACATACATATGCCAAGGAATCAGTGGCCCCTGTTATCTCATATGACTTATGTCACATGATGCCAGGGCACCCATGTCCTTCTGTCCAAACATTCTATCTACACCGTAAAGAAAGCCGCGCCTCGCCTCGCCTCGATTGATCGGAGGCCGTACTTCTTACTGCAACGGGTGTCGACATCTTCAGCTTTAGATATACTGCGCAGTAGAAAGAGCGGAGGACAAGGAGAATTTGAAGAGAATCAGTTGAAGATGATTAAGATGGAGGGAGAAGGAGTTGCTGGTGCAGCACCTCCACCGGTCGTTATTGGTGGTGGTGATGGTGGTGATACGATGGCGAAGATGGGAATCATGGAGAAGAGTGGGAAAGGAGGATGGAATACGAAAAATTTGAGTCAGAGATTGGTTGTTGATGCGGGATGTGCAGTTGCTGCGGGGTCTCTTGTGGCTCCGATTGTGAGTATGGTGGATAAGTGAGTAATATTCGATTATGATCTGATGTGGTGAGGCTCATCCACAAAAGTGAATGTCCAAAAAAAGCTGACTGGAGAGGTGTGATGCCCGCATTGTCACAGGGCTATCATGGAGAACGCGTCGGGAAAGAGGCCATTGATGCAATCGATCAAAGCCTCGTTTTCGCAATTGCTGCTCCGACCTCACAAGTATGTCGCATCCAAGCCATTCGCGTTGATTCTGATGGTCTACGGCGGAACATACTTGAGCGCAAACTTTTTGGACACCTTCAAGTCGACCACACGGGCCCGCCCTGCGAGTCGTACATCCGCAGGCTTTGACAAGTTCGCCGCGACAAGCGTGGCCAATGTGGGATTGACCATGATCAAAGACTCCCAATTCACCAAAATGTACGGTACCGTATCCGCTCGTCCGGTGCCGCCCATCACGCTCTTCACCTTCGCCTTACGAGACTCGCTCACCATCTTCGCGAGCTTCAATCTCCCACCCTTGATCGCTCCCAACCTTCCTCTGTCCGAGGCCGCAGAGAAATACATCAGCCGAACTTCGGCAGCGCAGTTTCTGGCTCCGGCAGGAATTCAACTCTTCAGCACACCGCTCCATCTCCTCGGTTTGGATCTGTACAATCGCAACGGCGACACGACCATGGCGGATCGCATGCGGAAAGTGCGAGTGGATTGGTTGAAGAGCTCGTTGGCGCGCGTGTGTCGCATTGTTCCGGCGTTTGGCTTTGGAGGCGTGGTCAATAATAGTCTTCGGCTCAGATTTCAGAAGCAATTGGAGTAGACACGACAGCTCGCTCGATTACAGTGGTATACCGACAGCGAAAGTCTTAGTCTTCTTGGCGAGCAACAACGAGAAAGATAGAGGAGATATTTCGGCAATACTTGGGGGACAAATTTGTGGAGGATTGAATGGCATGTGCCAGCCATTGTTGGATTTGTGCAGATGTGTATTCGATATTTCCATACCTTCAGGTCAGGTCGCATTTGATTTGTGTAATCATACACGCACGGGCATCATCTTTTTGATGCGCGCATTCGGATACTACTAGGTATATGGCTGCACAATGGCTCATTTCGCGATTTGTGATATCAGGGTTCCACGACAAAACGCCAGCAACTGCGAATTGAAGTTCCATGAAGAGCACAACGTCATGCCAAATCTATCTTTGTAGGATAATGTATGTGGCGTTACGTGCAGTGTGCGCAGCGCTGGAAATAGACCACTCTCGGGTTTAGGCGATCTGACATGGGGCAGTCAGTCTGTGGCTAACCAGGTAGGTATACAACAATATTCCATGCGACAGTGGAAACTACTTCGATTCTTCTTCCTCTGAAGTTGACCCACATCGTCCTCACGCCCGTAGGTCGTCGCGTGTTCGTTGCAGTCATGATCATCAGAAGCGCAACTCTAGCTTGTCACGACACAGTCTGGCAAAGGCAGCGGCATTCAAATTGGTGCACCAATGGCATCAATCTCAGCCGCTTCGAGCCACTTGCCTTCAGTCGACTTCTTCCAGACACTCGTGACACCGTCGTCGCCCGTACTGACGAGCATATCACTCAGAGGCGCCCAGGAGATGCGCCAAGGCGTGCACTTGTGTGCCTCGAGCTCCGCAACTAATCGGACCTGTTGCTTGATGGCCCCAGGCGCTCCGCCATTGTCATCGCGTCGGCCACGAGCCCCCCCGGCGAGTCCAGCGCCGATGCCAGACCGCACGGGACGAGTAGCTGGGGACTGTATCTGTGGCGTGCCATGTCCTGACGTGGATCCAATTCCGGTCGTCGGTAGTGAGCTTGCACCGTCAGTGTGAAGCTCATAGATTCGCAAGAAGCCATCTTTGCTGGCAGTCGCTATCGTGTCAAATCCACGCATACTTCCATTCGCCCACTGCACATCGCGCACCAGTTCTTTGGCGCCTTCAAGGATGGCTGCAGTGTAGAACTTTTGTTCCTTGTCTGTCCTAAAGACTTTGACTTGAGTGCCAATCGCCACAGCGAGGCTCAGGCTTTTTCGGTCAAGGCCGGCCAACACCGCAGGCCATGCGGGAATCTTCTCCTTGTGCCAGCTGAGCCGGAATGCACACTCTTCCGTTCTCGAAGGAGTCTTACACAAGTACTCGGACCACATCTTGCGCCATACAGAGAGGTCGTCATGGTCTTCGGGCTCGCACACTGTGATGTGGCCATCGCGAGTCATGACAGCCATATACGTCTCAGTCCCAATATTCTTGAAGTCGAGGCACATGTAGGGAACTCCGGTCTCGGTGAGCTGCTGGTAGATTTTCTTGAAGCGCTTCCCCGAGTTGTGGGCCTCATTGACGTCCTCCTGCCAGATGCGCAAGTACCCATCTTCGCCTATCGTCGCCACGTGCTCGCCAACAAAAGGCCCATTCCACCTCACGTCCGTGACTTCGGCATCATGCGCAGTCCATATATCGGTCACAGTCCATTGATTGGTGTCTTCATTACGATCCCAGACCTTGACTTTGTGGTCTGCAGATGCAGTCGCCATGCGAGTGCCATAGAAATTGAAACTCGTAGACGTGAGCAGATCCTGGTGGCCATGCGAAAAGCGGTGAAAGCCATTCGAAGGCATGGTTCACATAGGTACATGTGTATACAATCAGTCGGATGTCGCTGCCTAACAACAAAGTGCCACGATGAAATCGCGTGTTACAGCCAGGTAAGTGCGCTCCAGGAGTCCGGGCATCTTCAGGTGGTGTAGCTGTCCGTCACCAGTTGATATTGCTCCGCATCCATATTATGATGTTGATTGCTGCTCCACCCTCAAGCCGGTGAAAGGCGGTGATATTTGTCTGGTACCTTAGAGCGTCGACGAGGTGTGGTTACTGGTCACCAACAAAGTTGCAAGACGACGCGACATGGGGGCGGGAAGAAATGCCAAGCGAGAAGGGCGACAATCCAGCCACTTGTTCGGACTTCGTGTGCTCCGTACTCTATTTAGTCAGGTACTGGTTCACACGACGCAGTCATGGCCATCCATCCCATCACCGACGACGACGACGACGACAATACAGTGGCAGCATGCAGCCGCTCAGTGGGACCGAGACGACTGCGCTGGCGAGCATCTCCTTTGCATGCCTTACCGTTCTCGTCAGTTCTTGGCGCAATGACGGCGAGCCTCTCTACGCGTCGTTAGCCATCAGTGGCCTCGCATATGCCTTCACGTATTGCACCATCCGGTGGACAGGAGATGTCTTCATCAAGCAAGGCTTTGGCGGGGATGACAGGTCGAAGAAGCACCGGCCCAGACTGTAGGGAACGCCTTGTTTTTGTTTCTGTTTTCAACTATTTGCATTTACATACGCCTGCTGACAATGCTGTAGTCCGGAAATGATGGGGCTGGTGTGTGGGCTGGTATACCTCCTGACCCTCATCTTCTTCCTTCCATTCGCTTTCAGGCGCGCGTTCGTGGAAGTGACGTCCGATGCCTGGAACAAGGAGCGCACGCTCGAAGCACAGCAGATTGAGACAGGACGTTTTCTCCACAAGTTCCCGCTGGAAAAGGTTTGTCAGAGGACTATCCCTCATTAATGCAGTGCGACGCAGCTAACCGGCTAATTAGCTCGCCTCCTATGGCTTTGCATACAGCACGTTGGCATCCGTCATCATTCTGGGGATCTTGGACGACACTTTCGACATGAGATGGCGACACAAGTTCTTCATCCCGGCGTTTGCAGCACTGCCAATGCTGGGTCTGTACTTTGTGGACTTTGGCGTGACCCATGTCGTGGTACCTCTTCCCCTACGTGGCTATCTCGGGGAGCTGGTCGATCTTGGTGCGATATATTACGCCTACATGGCAGCTATATCCATCTTCTGTCCCAACAGTATCAACATACTGGCGGGAGTCAATGGGATCGAAGTCGGTCAGTCACTCGTTATTGCAATGTTGATTGCGTTGAACGATGTGCTGTACCTGTTACCGACGGTCCAGCAACCACACCCGGCGGCAGAGTCACATCTGTTTAGCATCTACTTACTGTTGCCGTTCGTGGGAGTGTCACTTGCATTGTTGAAACACAACTGGTTTCCCGCCCAGGTGTTTGTAGGAGACACTTACTGTTACTTTGCCGGAATGGTGTTCGCGGTAGTGGGCATCCTTGGACACTTTAGCAAGACCTTGCTGCTGTTGTTCATTCCGCAGGTCTTCAACTTTGTGTACTCGGCTCCGCAGCTGTTCAAGCTCGTTCCGTGTCCGCGCCACAGAATGCCCCGTTTTAACGCGCGCACCGGGCTCCTGGAACCATCAACAGCACATCCTGCTGAAGATGGATGGAAGGACATGAGACCCATCGTCGGCGAGGTGCTCAAAGTGCTGCACCAGGTCAAGCTCGTTCGTGTGGCGGTGGACGAGACCGGGAAGGTGATCGAGACCAGCAATCTCACGCTTCTCAACCTTTGGCTGGTGTGGAGGGGCCCTCTGCGCGAAGACCGGCTCGCTCTCGAAGTGCTGGCAATGCAGACGGTGTGTGGGCTGGTGGCCCTATGGACGCGGCACTTCTTCGCGCGGATGCTCTTCGCCATGGATAACAGGTAACCATCATCATCATCATCCTCATCATCCTCATCCTCGGCTGTGAGGAGCGGCATCTGGACCAGAGCCACCTTGCGTCGAGACTTGCCCTCTGGCCCGACGGAACCATGGGATAGATAGATCCTTCAGAGCAGTTGTACCAACCCGTCGGCGGCTCGAGATGCGCCAGTTCGCGTGGTGGATGTGCGACACACATGGCCGGCCAGCATGCGGCGGCAGCTCACTCGACGTCTGGACGCGCCGCAATCCACCAGTTGTATGATTTGTTTCTGCAGCTGCACACGCTTCATCTCTTCCTCTTCACCCGCTGCTGCAGCACGACCCCAAACCAGACGGGTCACCAAGCGCCCTTGTTGTCAAACTGAAACATGACCCTTGTCTGTCGCTAGCGGGCGCTGCAGCGGGCGGGCCGCCGTGCATAACTGCAGGAACGAAATCTGAATCCGCGTCGCCCGCGTGCTTTGATTGTTTGATTGTTCCAGGTTGTTACTGCGGCACAGACTCACAGACTCTCTCTCTCACACACTCACAGTGTAGGCGTCCTACTACTAGGAGGTACCTTAGCTCCTCCGTTCTTCATCACCTCCGCCCATCACCGACCAGTCACGACTCACCAATCACCAGTCACCAGTCACCCGTCACCAGTCACCAGTCCGTTGCAGAGAACAACCCCTTGTTCGCCCGCACCCGCATCGCCGCCCTTTCATCATCCCTGGCATGCCACACGGTATCGACGCAGCGGCTGTCGACTTTTGATTGCACGCAACACAAGGGGACGCGCGAGTGGGGCTACCGCCAACTGCACTGCTGCGAGGTGCGCCGTCGTGCTCATCAGGGCTCACTGTTGGTCTTGGTCTGGTCTGGTCTGGCTCAATGCCTTGGCTGAGTCTCCCGCACTACTCTCGGACGCACCGGGCTCGTGGCGTCGGCCTAGCTCTCTAAGTACCGTCTCTTCGCACACCTCCTCCTGCTGTCGTGGTGTCTTCCTTTCTGGTCCCATATGCCCTCCTTTGCCTAGACACCATCGACTCCGTCTCTGAGAGACCTGGCCTGGTGCTATCACACTCCTTCAACCACTACCACCATCAACCACACTCACTTCCACCCCCACCACTCCCCTCCCATCACACTCATTCAAAAAGGCTCGCTCTCGTCGACTCGTCCCTTCCTTTGGAACACATTAAACCTCTCAACCGTTCTTTTCTTGAGCATTGGCCAGCAGCTTCGACAGCACCGGCATTCCCTTCTTGGCCATCACGGGCACCCACCCACCCACCCACCATAGTAACAGCAACAGCATCAGGAACAGCAGCAGCAGCAGCACCCAAGAAATACAACAGAACATACAACAGTCTTTGAATCGACACAGGATTCGCCATCATGCTTCTTCCATTCTCCCTTTTCGCCCTTCTCTCGGCCCTGGCCGTACGGACTGCGTCCGCTGCCACCGTCATGGCGCATATGATGGTCATGAACACGTATGCCTACGACGTGGACATGTGGGAGACAGACATGGCTGCTGCCCAGGCCATCGGTATCGACGGCTTTGCCTTGAACTGGACCCCTCCTAACTGCCAGGACGATCAAAGCTGGGCCATTGATCGCATCGACGATGCATTCACAGCTGCCGAGAACGTGGGCTTCAAGCTCATGTACTCGTTCGATATGAGCTACACGGAATGCAAAGTCTACTGGAACACGACCTTCATGCAGACCATGATCACCAAGTACGCCGGCAGCCCCGCCACATACCGCTGGAACAGCAACATCTTGGTTTCGACATACGGTGGCGACCAAGTCCACCAGTACGGCAATGCTTTCTTCCAGACTCTCAAGACCAACATGAAGTACTGGAACAATGCCATCACTCTTGCGCCTGCTCTCACGACATACTCGATGTCCGGCTACACTTCACCTACGTCCGCCGCTGCCAAGCTGATCTCCGACTATCCCTCGGTCGACGGATACTTCAACTGGCAAGCTTGGCCACTCGATACCGATACCAACATCACCGCCACACCTGACCAAGCGTTCCAGTCCGCACTGAAGAAAGCCGGCAAGACAGGACCGTACATTATGGGTAAGTCAGGTGACGGGCATTAGGAATGGACAGGTGGCTAACTGAAGCGGCAGCTGTGTCTCCATGGCAGTACAAGGATCTGGACAATGGCAATCCCCTCGATGCCTGGGTCGCATACAGTGACACTCTCTTTCCCCAGCGCTTTGCGCAGATCACCAGCGACGACGAAGTCCAGCCAGACATCATTGAGATTCTCACGTGGAACGACTTCTGCGAGTCGCACTACATTCGCGATCTTCCTTCGCAAGACATCAATGCCAAAGACTATGTCGAGCTCGGAAACATGGGTGCATATGTGTGGGGCCAGGACCATGCTCCCTGGCGCATCATTGCCAAGTACTACATCAACTGGTGGAAGACGGGCAGCCCTCCTGCCATTACTGAGGATCAAGTGGTGTTCTGGCATCGCATTCACCCCAAGGCCACCATCTGCGAAGGCGGATCCTCGACCGGCATTCGTAACAACAAGTATCCGAATGACGCAGTCTTTGCTTGGGCTCTTGTCAAGGACGCTGCCACCATCTCCATGTCAGTGGGCAGTAACAAGTACTGGACATTCTCGGCCGACAACTCGGGGCCTTCTATGGGCATGGTACCATTTCCGCCGTACGTCTCCGGTACTGGTGTCAAGCCAGAAGTGTCCATCATGCGCGGCGGAAAGGTGGTAGCAGTGTCCGACAGCTCAGTCGCCATCTCGGCGAATTGTGCTTACCAAAACTTCAACCCTGTGGTGAACCTGGTCAGCGTTGGCACCAGGTAAGTCTGGAGAGGATTTCGCGCACGTGTCTCGAAACAGTCACACTGACCGGCCAGCAGTACATCCGCGGCCTGAAAGCGACTTTTTATTTTCTCGAAAACGCGCAACAATTGACTACGTTGCCTCATTTTTGCATTAGCCTGGCGCTCTTTACGTTGGAATGTACGACCCTCATGCGCTCAAGGAAGAACGATAGAGTCTAAATTAGCGACGCTTTTTTGTTTGGCATGGAATGGGTGCTGTTGGTGGGACCGGCATGACTATTCGAAAGGATGGTCTGGCCTCGGCATTTTCATTCTACTTCTTGCTGTACAGCAATTGACAGAGGTATCAACTGATTACTTCTTGCTCTCTTCTCTTCTCTTTTCTTCTCTTCTCTTTCTCTTTCTCTTCGCCAAGTACTACAAGTATGTATCTCCTACTACATACATTACCTCCTACCACCAGTTACCTTATGACATCGTTCTTCAATTCGGTCATGCCCGGCCCCCACCACGGTTTCACGCGTCCCAAATTCTTTTCGTGAGAGGTGTCTTCACGGACCAGCAGGCCAGCTGCTTGCTGCCTGCCTCTTCTTTGTACCTCTCACTTTCGATCTTCGTGTAACTACATGTACCTCTAGACATCGAGAAACCAAACCTGCCATCGTCAGCCCGTCAGACCGTCAGACGTCAGCCAGCCCAAATTTTCCCCCAGCATGACACACACACACACACACCCATGACTGAGGTGATTGATGATGTCTCTGATCATGTCCTGTCCGTGGTAGCTACCTGCTCACGCGCATGAAATACATAACCCATGTACTTAGGAGGTACTGCATCAGGCGTTACTGGTCAGGTGGGAGGGTTGGTAGGGTACCTACCTAGGTAGGCTAGGTACTTTTTCTTCTTCTTCTTGTTCTTCTTCTGCGATCGTACTTGCCGCAACATCGGATTCTTTGTATAAGTAGGTGCCCAGGTAGAGATTGTTTCATCGATAAGAGAGGAAAGGAAGGACGGACCGGACCTGATCTGATCCTCTTGGCTGCCTGTGATGGGATGTGATATAATTTCCTCGTGTATTAAGTTACACATAGGTAGCTCAGCTCCTAGCTACTTGTATCCCATCCCATCTCGTATCCTAGGTAGGTATCTCCCTCAGGTAAGGTATGTATCATTGTATTCATGATTACAGCCAAGAAAAGAGCGATTTTTTTTTATATTTTCCGCGAATTTAATTTCAAAGTTCACATGTACATATACCTTCATATGCTCCCACCATGCCAAGAAGGCTCATCAGCGGCTAAAAGTGTATGTACGTGTAATGTGTAGCTGGTAGAGGGTGGATGGGTGGGTCTTGCACTAGGTACTGATTACTAAGGTAGGTAGGTAAGTAACTTCGGTACGGAACCGCGAGGATAAGATATCGGCTTTGATGGAGATGCCGCGGAAAGGAGAGAGAGATAGAGAGAGAGAGGCGGGGAGAGGGAGGTTGAGAGAGGTTGAGAGAAAAAAGGCAAAAGGTGTGGAAAAAAAGGTAAAAAGGTAAAAAAGCTATGGGGAATTGTATTGCACCGAGATGGTCCACCGGGCCGGGCAACTAAAAATAAGGTAGCTGATAGATAGGCAGATGGATTGGATTACCTATTGATCTTGTGTTGATTTGGGGAATTTATATTTGAACCGACTTCATGGGACCGGGACAGTTTTGCTTTGATCTTTTCTTGTTTTTGTCTTCCAGTCTGGATATTTCTTGTTCTTCTTCTTTCTCATCATCTTTTTGGACTGCAATATAGATCCCTATATTTATATATCAAATCATGGCTCCTGCAGCATTGACGACTACGCAGCATGACGAGTCCACCATTAGCATCATGAGCAAGACAATTCAAGGCTATGAACAACAACAGAAGAAGCAAAATCAAGACAATAATCACAACGATGCAGTTTCCACCACAACAACAACAACGAAGCAAGCAGAGAAGAAGAAGAAAACTCCCCTCGAAATGATCAGTCAAGGCACCTGTCTCCCGGGAATCCCCACCTTTGTTTCCTTTGCTCAACATCGCCAATGGATGCTCGAACACATGGCACTGGCCTTTCGCGTCTTCGCTCGCAAAGGCTACTGTGAAGGAATGTCCGGCCACATTTCCGTGAGAGATCCGGAGAATGTTCATACTTTTTGGTGAGTTACCTACCTGACCTTACTTACCAAACAGGGTAGTGAGTGTTCCATACCTACACAACAGTACCTTAGTAAAATGCAACACATACACGTACGATAGGCTACCAAAATTGAAATAGCCGCTAACGTGAAAAAAAAGGACAAACCCCCTCGGCCGCCACTTCGGCCTACTCAAAGCCAGTGACATGATCCTCGTGGATTACGACGGGAATGCCATCGGAGGGAACATGAGCCGACCGGCAAACGCGGCAGGTTTTCTGATTCATTCCGCTGTGCACAAAGCTCGTCCGGATGTGGTGGCCGCCTGTCATACACATAGTCCTGCGGGGAAGGCGTGGAGTGCGTTTGCGAGACCGTTGGAGATGTTGAATCAGGATGTGACGTACTTTTATGGGGAGGCACAGGCCGTTTATGAGGTGCGTTTCTTTCTTTTCCCCTCTTTCTGGTTTGGTTGAAGAGGGAGAGAGAGAAGTAGAGGGGGTTTTTCCGTTTCAATTGCTGATCGGTTCCTATAGGACTTTGGAGGGGTGGTCTTCACAGAAGAAGAAGGTCAGAAATTGGCTGCTGCTCTGGGTCCTCGGGGCAAGGGCATGATTTTGAGAAATCATGGACTGCTCACAGTCGGCAGTACAGTGGATGAAGCGGCATATATGTACACACTGATGGAGAGATCCTGCGAGGTCCAACTGCAAGTGGAGGCTGCTGCTGCCAATGGCATCCCGAAGATCTACGTGCCCGAGGAGAGTGCCAAGTATACGTTTGAGATGGCCAGTGATCCCGAAACACTCTATTGCGAGTTTCAACCAGATTTGGAGTATGAGATGGAGATGTGCAACGGCGCGTATGCAAAATGAGCGGAATGCAGCATGCCTTTTTTTTGAATATTTTTTTGGAGTCCTAACATTTCATGATTCGTTCGTCCCGTTTCGCCCAACGAGACGTCTCTGGCCAGCAATCCTCGTGGGCCTCATCGCGTGTGGCAGCTACCAGGTCCGCCTCGACGTGGGCCACGCCGCCGTTCATGCCCAGGCTCTCGGAAGGTGTCAGTACCCAATGAACAGCCGCATCTAGACCACGTCTCCTCGGATGTACTAGAATACATGTACCTCCACTTCATAAACTGCGGATGAAGAAGGACTGACAGTGCGTGACGAAGTCAGTTTTGACGAGACAGTTGCTTTAGGTTCGAGCCGAGCCAATGCCAGAGCTCGGTGAAGAACTGGGACAGGGTACGTTGGACAGCTGCGAACGGTCAGACCTTGTCACCAACCTTACTCACCTTGTCGCGCTTGTCCTGCTTGGTCCCCAGTATTCTGCTTGGAAATCATCTCCCAGAAGCCGAGGCATCGGAAGGCAAGGAAGTCATCCCTGAATCGGAACTTGTGGTTGCTTCGGCTTGTGCCTCGAGTCATCCTCCCTGTGGATATGGTATGGACCCCGTCGGCCTACATCGTATAGGCGCAGACTTGGCATATGATTTGTGCATTCTACGCTGCCGAGGTGAAGATGCGCAAGCTAGTGCTCGGCAGCTGGCAACTGCGATCGGTTAAGAGATCTGGCAACAATGGGGCGCAGGTCCGATGTAGAACAGGTGATTCAAATGATCTGGTAGAAGCCCTTCTGGGAGGAAAAAACAACAAGATTTCATGTCTACCGTGCTACACCTTGGTCCACAATGGCCGCGGGAGCACACTATGCGTTAAGCTCGGTCGACGGGTTATAGGATCGACCTTTAGCCCCACATATGCCTCACGTCGTGCTGGACTCCCCGTGGTAACAGACCAAGTAGAGAGACCATACTGGCAGGGTCAGCACCTCATGCCGCATCCAGGAATGAAATACAGCACTTACATATTGCGCAATGGAGTGGACCAAGTAACGACCGAAAGCGGCTCCATTCTCGTCAACGAGACTTTGGAAAACCAGCTTGTCCTTGCGAAGATGCCTCGCCTCCTTCTCCTTGCGCTGGTCGTCGGACATGGCACCGTTGCGGCCCACGAAGACAATCTCGTCGTCCGAACTGTCAGGCTCAATGAGACCTTCACTCTCCAGCTCGCGCTGTTTCTGTTCCCACTGACAGACGAACATGCGGACTTCTTCTTCGAGTCCCTGAAGCAGGTTCTTCGCGCCGCGCGATTTCTTGAGCTTCGCCCGCAGTTCCGACGTGACCTGCGCCGCCACAGCTTCCTCTCTACTCGCAGGCGCCTTTGCTGCTGCAGCTCGTTGCTGGCGCTCTTGTGTCTTTCGACTGTATTCAGCATCCCACAGCGGGGCCAAGAAGTACGGTACTTTCTGCACGGTGTGCGTGGGAGTGGGCTGCCAATCACTGGGCAGTGGTGGCTCCGCGTGGGGATTATTCAGTAACCTATCATTCTCCCATCGGTGTCTCCTTCTACTGCCCTCTTTCCCCTTCAGAAGCGCTTCACGCCGCTTGACGCTATCACGCCTGATTGGTTCGCGCTTCTTGTAGACAGTGTGAACAGCCTCGCGTCTCGGTTTGGGATGGTCTTCGCGAAGGGCTTGCTCGTCGAGCGGAATCTCAATGGTGACGCGTGGTGCATGGGATGGTGGGCTCGAAATCGATGTTGCAGCGAGAGCATCTGTAGCCTGGGACAGAGAAACAGTCCATGCTTCTACGCGTTCGATGGGATCGGAAGGTGGCGAGGAGGCGCTCGCGAGCTCAGGATGGATGGCCATGGTTCTGAGCAATTGGCTCGATTCAACAGGTACCTGTAGGTATCCTGTTACAGGTATTCTTCGCAACAACGATATCGAGGATGTGGTGCGCGACGCGGGCAGGGAGGCACTGAAGCAGGGGCAGGAGCCGGGACCGTCATGTATGTGTGATGAGAACACTTGATGATGATGATACTGATACGCGGCCGATATGCGCCGGTACGATCATAGGAGGTACAATAGGAGGTACCTTATTGTTGGAACCACACACCACACTAGTGCCCAATTGAGAAGATTGATGGAATACCAATCAATAAGTGGATTAATTGAGGTCCGAGGTCTGACCTCTCAAGAAGAGAAAAGAGGGGGGGTGGGTATCCCCAACTCTACATACATATGCTAAGGAATCAGTAGCCCCTGTTATCTCATATGACTTATGTCACATAATGCCAGGGCACCCATGTCCTTCTGTCCAAACACACCTCCCTCAGCTTGATTACATAAGAAAAGCTGAAATACCAGACATAGTGACCGTCCATCTCAATCTAATAATCAACCATGTCCATATCCTTACTTACCTGAGCCCCAGGCTTGTCCTGAATGACTGGAATGACCCCTTGGGGAGGTTCTTTGTGAAGCTATCAGCTCGTTGCTTGGCAGTACCAATCCATTCAACGGTCAATCTTCCTGCCATTGTTTCCTGTCTTACCCAGTGTTGGTGGATATCAACGTGTCTCAAAGCCGTATTGAGAGATCCATGCTTGTAATTGGCGATGTCCACTGCACGTTGGTTGTCACAGAAAACCTTGGTTCCACCTATGGTTCCATCCTTGACAGGTTCCCCAGATGGCTCATTTCCAGGTGGAAATACCTTGTCAAATTCCGAGAAAAGTCGAGTCCACCAGTACCCATTACCCGCAATTGATGAGAGTGCCAACAACTCTGCCTCTGCGGTTGATTTGGTGACTGTCTTCTGCTTAGTTGCTTGCCAATCAATAGCCCCACTATACATCATCATCAAGAATCCCTGTAAACTCTTCCTATCCGGGTTGTCACCAAATAAAGCATCCACATACAGCTCCATCTTGGGCTTGTCCCTATAGAAGTGCAACTTTATGTCCTTAGTACTATAGAGGTAGGCAATCAGGTGATTGGCAGCTTCCATATAAGCTTGGCTTGGATTCTTCAGAAATTGAGAAAGAGTAGCATATGCCTTTGCCACATCCGGCCTTACCAAAACAGCTACATAACCAATTGAACTAACCTTCATCTGATATCCTTTGATGAAGTCAGGCCTGGCTGTATCAGTAGCAGGTTCCAGGTTTCTAGTAGGAAGTGGTATATCTGGGAATCGAGTCCTCTCATAAACACCAAATTTGATACTAATCTTTGTTAGGTAGGCAGACTGGCACATGGTCAGGGTTTCCTAGTCTGGTGATTCCAGGACTTCTGTGCCCAGAAAGAAGGATAGCTCTTTCTGAGTAACCTCAAAGTTAGAAAGCAGGTACTGGTTGAACAGGATAGCTTGATCCTCCCTGTCCCTCTCATAAATCAACCTGATATTATCCACATAGAATATTATGAGCAGGTAGAGATCCATGTTCACCATCAGACAGTCAATTCTAGGAACCAGCTCAAAGCCATAGTCTTCTATCCTTATAACAAACAGGTCATACTATAGGCGAGGTAATTCAGCCAATCTATAGAGTGCTTTCTCAAGGATAAAGCAGGTATCTGGTCCAAATCCATACTCCTCCATCCCTTCAGGGATTGAACAATACATAGTATAAGGAATAGTGGCATTTGGGAAGGCATTCACTACATCCTATTGCCTAGTCTTCAACCTCCTTGCAAAAGCCAGGGCAGTAATGGCCCTAAATACCTTATACCCCAAAGTAGCAGCATAGGTTTTATAAGTTGATGGCAATTGAAGATCCCCACGGATACAAAGCCTGGCCTTATACCTAAGAATCTCACCAGTTGAGGGGTCTGTCTTGTAGGTAAATACCCAGACCAATAGTACTTTGTAGCCCTTGTAACCAAAGAATACCCTAAATGTCCTCTTGCCTATAAGCTTTCCAGCTTTATCAAATGCTACTTGCCTGAACTGTTGGTAATAGACATGCCTTTCCATCTCTTTCCAGTTGGCAGGGGGTGATAGTGAACTCGTTACTTGATAAGGATCCTTGAGGTTGGGTAGAGTGTAGGCTTGGAGTGAAGCTGCAGCAGCAGAACTCAGTTCATCTAACCGTCCAATTCCATGGTCGATCCATCGTCCATGGTTGTCCACACTGTACCAATGGGTACTTTCTTCCACCTCCCCATCTGAGGCAGGGTGCTAATAAGAGACCGAAAAAGCGGGTGTTCCCGGTGAGGCCCCCGGGGCCTGACCAACTTGACCTTGGTTGGCAGCCACATTGTCTTCGTCTCTGGCGGGTGTCTCCGGCGGCGTTGGGTATAATAATTCCTATTCTGGCATCTCACCTCCCTGCTGTTCACTACCTTAAGGTTGGACAGCAAAAGTCGGAATATTTGTAGCCAGAAAGGGGTCATCCATGCCCTTACTTGTTGATTCCTCAGGCATTGAGATTGAATCAATCACAGTCTGGTGAATAGCAGCAGGAACCAGTTCCCCCAAGGTTTGTCCATTGATATCCAGAGGATTGTACCTCTCATTATCCTTAAACACCACATCTCTTGTCCTGATTACCTTATTAAGTAAAGGAATCCAGATCCAAAAAATATTGGTGGAGGCATACCCAATCAGGTACCCAATATGAGCTCTCTCTTCTATCTTGTCTCTCTTAGCAATGTCTCTACGGAGAGCGAAGGCCTTGCAACCAATAGGGTAGAGATAGCTAAGGAAGGGCTTCTTAGTTGTGACTTTCTCAAATGGAGTTATCCAATTGAGTTTGGCAGTAGGGGTCCTATTAAGTAGGTAAACAGCTGAATCCATAAGCTATGGCCAAAGGTTCTTAGGCAAATGGCTATCAATCCTGAGAGTCCTGGATTTGGTAACAATTTCTCTTCCAGCAACCTCACTTGCTCTATTCTAGGCAGGGGTATCAGCAGCAGTGGGCAAAGTAGTGATACCTAACCTGGATATGGCTTTTCTAGCATCCTTCCCAATAGTAGCCTCTATATTAGAGCGGACCAGGATGGTTTGAGCACCAAATGACACTTCCATCCTTTTAAAGTGTCCTCCAAACTTGGCAACTGCTTGTGGCTTGGTTGCCACAGGTTTACCTACATAATAGCCCTCCTGGTCATAGTACTAGTGGCTGTAAAACTTGAAGACCAATCCATTTGGTCTAGGGAGAGAAGGGGTCATATCAATAAGATCCCATGAACAGACAGCCATCTTGGCATTCTCTGCCTCAGGCAGCACCTCTCTGTGCTTGTCCTTCCTTCTCGAAATCACTGCTTTGGCCTTGGCCAGCAAGCAGGTATCACAATTGACACTGTTTAGAGTCTCCTTCTTAGACTCAATTACCTAGCAACCCTTAGATGCAGGTTCCAGGTTCTCAATAGCCCTCACAGATAGATAGCCCAGCAACTGATGCCACTGATTGGCCGTTGCTGTCAAAGGTAGAAGTGGTTTATAACTGGATTGTGCAGCAGCAACAGATCCAGCAGGTGACGTTGAGGCAGGTAAGGTTGATTTCCCCGCATTCTCAGAGTGTGGGGTGCATACTGACTTCACCTCCTCAATTCCAGGGGTTCTAGATAAAACAGGAATTCCAGTGGTCCCAGCAACACTTCTTGTTGCAGGCAATCGTTCAATAATCCAGTAACCATGTCTATCGTCACTGTGTTCAGGGGTAAGGCATGCCCAAAGCCTGGGCTCCTTATATGCTTGGCCAGTAATCAACTTGTCTGGCCAGTTTCTAGTATTATGGTAAATACCCTTCTTGTTAAGGATCTGCAGTAAGACCAAACTTGTGAAGAATCCCGGAATAAGCCTTGCCTTGAGAAGAGTGAGCTTCCTGGTAACTCTATTACCTATATCCAGATTGATGGTAGCATCAACAATTGCCTCAGGTTGGTACCTCTTGTCCCCAGATATCACTATATCAGAGGAGGTTGGTAACTCAGATCTGACGATCCTTGCCCTTATGGATTCGTTGATAATGTGCATATTGGCACCACTATCAAGAATCACTGCGTTGTAGAGCCGGGTATAACCAATTAATCCAACAGATGCCTCAGGGGTCGATTCCAGGGTAGCAGCAGCAGCAGTGTCCTCGAGTTCTGCGGCTATACCTAACTTGTTCTTGGCTTCTTTGTCCTTCGACCCTTGACCTTGAGCAGCGTTGTAAGCTTGAATTGCTTTGTCCACTCTCTCTTTCAGGTTCTTGTCCTCCTTGAATCTCTTCTCAATCTTCTTCTTTGTATCATCTCTTAGCTTCCATGCCTCAGGCCTCGGGTACTCGGCATTGAGGTAGTAGCATTCCTTCCACATGTGGTTCCTACTACAGAGACATGGTTTGCTTAGTCTTGAAGATGAGGATCGGTTTGAGGACGAAGATGATTCGGTTGCAGCGGCGGTTGAGATACTGGCGACGGTGGTTCTGTGCTTGCTCTTGAATTTGGTGTCTCCATTGTACTGAAAGTAGGACTGCCAGGCTCTCAATTCTGAATGGAGAGTTGTCACCTCCCTATTATTCTGCTTATCAAGCAGCCTCCCTGTCCTTGTGGCCATATAGTCTCCATACATTAGAGCCATAGAAGACAACCATGCTTAGGTGGATTCATTGTCTGCTTGTATACCAACAGCATCTCTCTTGCTATACCAAGTAAACCAAAGGTGCATATAGTCATGAATAGACTTTCTATATAGTAGGTAAGAAAGGGTTTCCAACTCTTTCTTCAATAACTGAGTAGCAGCAAGGGTGTTGGGCTTGGTGTATTCTGAGAGCTTCTTAAGTTTCTCTCTCAGAGTCTTGCAGTTGATTACCCTATGCTGGAGGTCTGGAGACAGAGACTGGTTAATTATTGATAAGATCCTCTGATACCCCTTTTGCTTAAGTTCCTATGCCTCCTTGTTACACCTATGCTTGAACTGAGCAAGGCTGAGAGCTATTGGTGTAACGTCATCAGGAAGGGAGTTAAAATCAAAGACTAGTTGTCTTCTGGACTGAATAGGGGCTTCTGGGTTTGGTTCATCAACTCCTGGGTTGATATCATCCCATATCTGGAGGGCCTCTGCCTCGTTCTCAATGTGGGTGATCCACACATTCCAGTCCTGCCAGGTGCGCAGCTTGGCAATCGACGTCGTCGTTGATAATGAGGGTTCCGGTGAATCAGCCATAGTGTCTTCGTTGAATTCGTCAAACCACTCTTAATGCCCAGGACACGAGCCACTAGGTGTTTCTTCAACCTCTTGAAACTCAGGACTCGGGGATCGGTCGATTGTAAGCTGATCTAATGGGCTCGGGCTTTCTTCTCTTCTTCTGGATGAACGGGTTTGGGCCGGCATAAAGTGATAGTGTGCGGTCCTCGGGTTTTCTTGATACAGCGGATTTTGATCAATCTCAGGTGATTCCGGGAGATATCCAGTAACCAATTGATTCCTTTGATTAATCAAGCAGAGCTAGCCGGGCTCATAACTGTTGGAACCACACACCACACTAGTGCCCAATTGAGAAGATTGATAGAATACCAATCAATAAGTGGATTAATTGAGGTCCGAGGTCTGACCTCTCAAGAAGAGAAAAGAGGGGGGGTGGGTATCCCCAACTCTATATACATATGCTAAGGAATCAGTGGCCCCTGTTATCTCATATAACTCATGTCACATGATGCCAGGGCACCCATGTCCTTCTGTCCAAACACTTATGTACCTCTGATAAGGTATGTACCGAGCTCTAGATTGCCGAGGGCTCGGCCAATCAAAGCAGCACGTTGAAGACGACTCCTCGGGTGGCCTTCCCCCTCTCCCTCTCGCCTTATGAGAACATAACAAGGAGGTATATAATCAATTATTGTGAGCGCCGTACCTTCTGGGCGTATGGGACGAAGCCTATCTAGGTATCTCCTAGCCATAGATAGCAGTACGCCTACTGTCCCGAGAACTGCCTGGTCTATCGTGTGCGTGGAGGTGGCGCCCGACGGTTTGCAGTGCAGATCTGCGCCCTAAAAACCACCAACTCGACTTCCATGTGGAGGACATGCGATGCGATCACCCATGCCGCAGTGACATGCTATGGGAGTTTGCGCATACCGTACATGTACCCACACCCATACTCATGTGCCATTCCTGCCATTTGACACTCGATCACTTCAGGTGCGGCCCACGACGCTAACGAGCGACTTTGTCGGTTCCAATTGAGATTGTTGCGCAGTGGCAGAGACACACGCGTCTTGCTTGCGCAGACGTTGGACGCCTCGCCTCATCGCGTGTGCGAATACGCAGCCGGGCGGCATCAAGGACTCGTCAATATCCACGGGGCTGATACAGGAAGCCCCGGCCTCATCTATCTGATGCGAGCGCCGCACTTAGAGTGAAAGCGCCCACCTCCATACAAGCAGGTTTGCGGTGCCAAAGCATTGCAGTCGAGCGTCATAAAGGCTCAGCGGCAACACAATGGAGCGTCCAGTTCAGCTTGACGAGCCGCGGCCTCTCGTTGCGGACACACTCCCGTCATCAAAGACTGTGGACTTTGGTAATGTGCCTATGTGCAGTGTCTGATCCAGCGATAAGATGGCAGCCCTACTGCTCATGCCACCTACAAGGCCTGCATTATCACTCTGTGGCTACTGAGAGCATGGTCTCGGTCTGATATGCATCCCTGAATGCCGCTCCAGGGAGTATAATTGCAGGTAGAGCCGAGTTGCACCAACTTGATTGCGCACTTGGCCTGTTGCTAAGCTGCTGACCACAACAGGCAGGATAGTGAGGCCTGGTACAGGACTCTCCTGTGATGGGAAGTTCTGCCTTTTTCTCGGCTTTCTGTCCACTCAATCAACGGCCGGACGGCGGGTAGGAGCTCTCGTGCTTGAACATTAACATGAGATAGTGCGGATACCCACGCGAGCCACACGTCCTCCGTCAGTCGAGTCGATGTTTTCGCTGCTGTATTTCGAAAACGAATCAAGCTCACACGGAAGCAAGTGCGCGGTCGCTTCTCATTCTGCAGACCGCTCTTGCCTTGAAATTTCGCGAGGATGCGCACTGCTCGATTCTTGCTGCTGAGGCGTCATTGCGATCTCCGTCTGACGAAGAGAAGAACACGAGTACATTATGCTGCCAGCGTCGCCAGTTTCGCGGCCTACACGTGGCAAGGGTGCAGCCAATGCTGCCCCGGGCTTCTTCCACACTCCAGTGACTCCACAAGCCTCAAGGAAGCCCATAGAAGGGACGTTGAAGTCGTCCGGAGTCGACGAGGGTGGAGAGGGTGGCAGACTGCTGACTACTACTACTGCTGACTGCCCGGCAATACATGCAGTTATCGTCCAGGAACTCTCAGGCACGTGCTCGATGTCTCATGCAGCTCGAGCACAGGCAAGCGGGGTCGCCATACGCACGCACCAATAGCCAGCCGTTGTCTACTAGGCTTTCGAGAGAGGGAGGTCCGAGCATGCCCATCAGAAGCGTTCTGATCATCTTGTGGCCTATGCGGGCTACGGGAGCCTCTTTTGCGTGCTCGACAGCCTCCGAGCCCCAGACACCATGTGGAGTGGTCTCAGTGGTGGACGAACTTACCTCTCATAAGTTTTCTGCGCTCGAGCTGTGGAGGCCTCCATGTCACCTGTGCAAGAAGAGTCGTGGAGTACTGGATCTGGATGTGTGCCGGGGGAGCAAGGCAGGCATATTTTGGGTGAGCTGAAACATTGGAAGCACTTGACGCGACGATTAATAAAGTTTGCACGCTACCGCTGAGTTTGATTTCGGATCCATTGCACTGGGTCGCCGACAGCATATCCGATCGAGATGGGCAGACACTGCTTTCCAAGTAGGAGAAGCTTATAGTGACCGCAGTTCCCTCCCATCACGCCTCACTGCTCGGTCTGCTCCGTAGGTATGTCTATGGAAGTGCTGTCACGCCCGATACGTTGCATTCGAGACGCAACGCCGCCATGCACTGCAGCTGCGCTTCGAAGCCATGACGATGCGTAGGGACACCACCATTCCAGTCCTGTCGCCAGCTCTCATGCTTGCGCAGACTGTTGTGTGACACGTCAGACGATCGCGCAAGCCGAATTGCGACCAATGGACACGATGCTCTGCTCAGAGCTCGAAGGCATGTTTGTCGATCATCACACTCTCTCTCGCGACGCCATCACCAGGCGTAGGAAATCTGGAGGCCGACACAACCAATGCCGAGCGGTTCTGGTCGCGGCTGGTCTCGCAATATATCAAGGATCCCAAGTCGCCGAAGCAGCGAGCAGACCGGCGCGGTGCGCACAGAGAGAGCGAGAAGGATCACGAGACCGGCACGGCAGGGGCTCGTTGCCGCAGGCGAACGAGATTGGTCAACGCCGTCGGCGCGCCTTTCGGCCATACGCGACGTGCCTACACGAATCATCAGCTGCATGACTTTCTGCAATGAAATGTGGTGCTGTAAAAACTGACACATTCAGGTACAGCTTCAACCCGGGCTGATGCAGCTCTCGTCGAGCGCCCTCCAGCAAGTTCTCGTACTGCTCTCGGGGCATCCGGCCGAGAGCAAGGAATGGATACAGTGAAACATCTCTCAGCATCTGCGTGATCAAGTCTCGAGCCTGGATGCCGAGCTGTACGCGATCTTGCAAATTGTCAGTGAGCTAGCGCTGCATGGTACGAGGCTTCCAGCAGAACGGAGACGAACCTGGGTCCCAGTTTCCCACGGGAAGGCGGGAGACGTGGTAGTGCACATCTGTGAAGCCGGCGTTGACCATCAGAGGTTTCAGTTGCGACGCTATCCGAGGGTTCTTTCCCATCTGGAGCAGTTTCTGGCTATACCAATCCCACCACCTGCTCAAGAACGGAGCATCTCGACCACTATCGGACTGAAAAATGGCGTGAAATTCGACCATCTGGAGCCAGCCATTGGGCTTCAACAATGCATACAGCTCGCGAACATACGTCTCCCAACGATTGGCATTGATGCCATCTATGAGCATGCGACTGTTGATGAGGTCGAACGTTTCCGGCCGGAGTCTGTCGCTGCTGGTATCTTGTCTCAGAGGAATGTTCAGGTTCCACCTCTTTCGAATGAAGGACTCGATGCCATCACCGTCCTCATCGTCCTCCTCATCCTCGTCCTCGTCGGAGTTACCTTGCCCGGTGAAGAGGTCGATCCCAACTACCACAGCGTCCGGCCGGTAGCCTAAGAGCTTGTCCACCCACGCGGCCTTACCGTAGCCACAATCGAGGACGTCAGCTTCGTCTAATCTGTGTCCTTCTTGAAGTGGAGGGGGCAGAACGACGCCTTCGAAGCCATCTCCCAGGAGTTTCTGCAAGATCTCGTTGATTTCATCGAAGCGTTGCTCCTCTTCCTGTGACAGTCAGAGCCTGAGTCACAGCCGGGATGCCATATCACATCGCTGCCAGCCAGCAATATTGGGCCGAGCTTACCTCGTCTACCGGGACACAGTGTATGTGGTGTTGTATAGCATAGCGAGGATAGTTCCTCCCGGCGTACTGGAAGATGGCGTTGTTTTCTGGTGGCTGAATGGACATGCTGCTGCTGCTGCTGTTCGTTCTGTCCCAGCTGTGCACTCAGACACCGAATGCTTTGCAGAGCTCCTGGCTGACACGAGATGGGCAAGTTGGGCAGTGTTCTGCTCAGTCCAGCTCGTGCCGCGCCACTGGTCCGCTAACTGAACTCTGATTCTGCAGTCGACGTTGCGTGCAGCGGTACATATCCCAGCAGAGGCTGCAGAGTGGCCGAGATGTACTTGGGAGCATCATTATGCCCATGGCAAATGAGCCAACCACGCCTGTGCACACTTCGACCAGAGCTAATAGAGGTCTGCGCCAGCAGCCGCACGAACGGTGCCGCATGACCAGTGTGACGGTGCTCGTCTAGCTTCCACACTGCAGGTCTATGTCGAACTAGAGACCCGGTGCATGGCGCTGTGTGTATCAGATAGGCCGGGCCATACGGAATCGAGGCCCCCACGATGCATGCAGATACCGAACAGGAAGGGCAAGTCGTAGAGCGGAAAGCGGGAGCTGACGAAAGGGTTCCAGAGCAGACTACTGTGAGGAATTCTGTGAGTCTGTTTGTGACGAGGCTTTCCAGCACGTCGACGGGCATGCCTCCTCGCAAAACTTTGCACATCCCCACCGAGGTTTCATCCAGGAGCGTTGACCGAATGCGGCAAAATCTGATGCAAGGGCGCCTTTTTGACAGCCACCCACTTTCCAGGTAGGCAATTTTGAATTTTCTTTGACATGGGAACGTAAGAAAAAGCCTGGGCATGCAAGAAACTCGTGACACCGCATTATACATTACATACAGTATATACCTGACATACCTGACATTCACATGCTGAATGACAACATTCACTGACAATAGGGAGGGGGGAGGGGAGGGGGGCGTCTGGCCAACGCATGAAGCTGAGCTCGACCCCAGTTCACAGTCCAGTACGTACTACTGATCGGCCAGTATTAGTTTAGTAGGAAGTTAGTAGTTTACCAGCAGACCGTGCCCACCGAACGGACGCCATGGCAGCATGGCTCTCACACGGCGCCTCGTCTATTCTCTTCACCCTGGCGTTTGCCCGCCTGCCTCGCGCCGACCCCCCTCCCTCCCTTTCCCCCCTTTCGCCTTTCGGACTTTACTGACACCGCGACCTGCATCGGCTAAAGTACAGGTGTATGTACCTCGTAGCGTCGTGGATGTGGTGTACCCAGTACACATACGTACGGTGACAACATACGACAGTAGTAGGACGCAGAGGGGAGGTAGGTAGGTGGAGAGGCAGGTAGGTAGTAGGTAGGTAGGTACAGTAGAGAGTAGGTACCTCTCCACAGGCTATTGTTCAATCCAGCAGGCGAGGCGAAGCGTCAGCGCAAAACGGGGAGCCGCTGTCATGGGTCGTCGACCCATTACTGTGTCAAACAATCCGCACCCAACCCATTGTACTGGGATTGAGCTTATCCTCTCTATTCCAACCTTGTTCTTTCTCTCTTTTTCTCTCCCTCTCCCTTTCTCTCTATCCCGTCTCCAACAGCCCCAGTGGCTTAGGCTTATTAGGCTAGCTAGGTGCTCGGCTCCTATACCATAGACTATACATGGGAGGGAGGGAGGGAGGGCGGGCGAGGGGAGGGGGGCCCTTCTTTTAGTAGGTAGCCAGCAGTGTTGTGAAAAAGTTAGAAAAAATTGACGACAACCCTTTTTTTTGCAGCAGGGGGACTGACCGTAGGTATACATACAGCCAGGTGTTGTTTTTGGGGCATCGCTTGGCTCGATCCTGTTTGTTGTTGTTGTTGTTGTTTTTCTTTTTCTTTTTTCAGAAATGTTGCCGCCGCCGCCGCTGATGCTACTGCTGTTGCCGCCGCCGCTGCCGCCGCCGTCGCCGTACGCCGTCGCCGACCGTCAAATACCTACCTACCTACCTTAGGCTACATGTACCTGACCTGCAGAGTTGCTGACTTCACTACCTTGGGTACATACCTTAGTTATGAAACCACTAATGAACACGATGAATGTTGGATTGCCGATCTGGGGCATATAATGATGCATCCCGAGTGCGAAGGGTGTGTGTGTGTGTAACTGTGTATGTGTGTGTCAGACTGGTAGGTAGGGTGAGAGTCTTTTTTTTTATTAACAACCACCTACGCGCTAATTCCTCTCGTACAATGTATGATGTGTCGTTTTCATGTAGGTACAATAGTAAAGGTAATGTAGTATTGATGCGTGTTGCAACCTTTTCTTCTCGTTTCTCTCTCTCTGGCGAAACAATGTTACCCGAGTGAGAGGTGGCGGCTTTTCTGGATATATACCTGTATCTTTTTGTACCTACCTTACCTAGGAGGTAGGTGTGCAGAGACATTCTCTTTCTGTGTTCCACAGCATACCTTCGGAACCATGAACTGGACATTATACATGCTTCAGGAATGTCAGATTCCATGTCATTCATTCATTCATTCATTCATTCATTCATTCATTCATTCATTCATTCATTCATTACGCAATCATGCGGCAGGTCTAGCCGCGCGCTGTGGACTGCATTGTGTGGTAGTATACATGTAGCTCGGCCGACGCTCGTATTGATTGATCAGCAACACGCCAACAAGGGAAGCATCATTCGGATCAGGTACATGAGGTGTAGCTCAATTCGATTCCTGTGGACTCGGACTACACACACACTTTCTTCCTCTCTCTCTCTCTCTCTCTATCTGTGCCATCGAAGAAAGACATTCCAGAGCTCTGAAGAAACGGACGTGACACAGGTTTGCGATTGACTGCATATCATATATAATTCTGCTGCCGTGCAGGGCATCGCTTGACTGCATCCGAACCGACACTCTGGTCCGGCTGAGAAAGCCGGATGCTCGAAGGAGGAGGGTTGGGACGTTATCATTCGCCATCGACATGCATGCCCGTGTAAAGTCCCTGTCAGATGATACCTTAGGATCAATCAGTGGAGGGCAATTAATAATGCAATTGTTTGAGAGCTCCAAAAGCATAGGATGTACATCCTACCTCCTAGCCTTGTTAGTTTCGTGCTTCTAGACCACCACTTCACCACCAATACCATCACCATCACCACACCTTGTCAGCAGGCCAGCATACGCGAGTACGGCTTGGTATACGGTCTCCTTCCCATCCCCGAGCTTGCTAGATCAATCAATTTCCCTTCTTCAATCTCCCATCAACCAGACGTCCAGAAGACAGCTTTGCATTCAACCTTCCAAGCATATCCAGGCCCATGAAGACACTGACAGCCAAATATGGCACATACCTACGGGTTTCCCGATGCAGAAAATCGTTAGCAAACCACTAAAAAGGCCAAAAAGAAAAAAGTGAAAAACAAATAAGAAGAAAGAAAAAAAGAAACTAACAATTTCCCCAACTCCACCTTCTCCTTCCCACTCAAATCCTCCCAACTCAAAAAATCCGCAATACACGTCGCCGTCGTGACAGCCGTCTGCATCGCATACGCCAGCAAATGTCCTGGCACCCGAGGATCGTCCCGGAGAAGTGCTCCAATGGCCCATATGGACAAGGGTGCGTGATAGAAGAGTTCGAGCCATGAATATAACATGAACCACGCCGGCGGGGAGACGAAGTTTGCGTCGCGGTAGGTGGCGATGTACCAGGTTCGAAGAGAGGTCATGAAGGTGGGGATCAGGGAGGGGGGGTAGAGGGGGTAGATGTCTACGACTGTATATTCGGGGGGTGAAGGGAGGTGAGTGAGAAGTTAGTGGTTAGGTTTAGTAGTTTTTTTTGGGGGGATCTCTGTCTGTTTCTGTCTCTCTTCTTTTCTCTTTCTTTCGCTGGAAAGGCGAGAGAGAGGGAGAGGGAGGGAGGGGGCCATAGGTACGTACGGAAGACAATAGGGATGTGGATTGTGAAGAACACGAGGTAGATCAAACTATACACAAAAACAACCAACTGTCAGCATCAATCGTCATAATAATAATCATCATCCCTCGACTTCTACCATAACGGAACATACTCTTTCTTTCGGGATAGGAGCGGTGCCATGTTTGGATGATGTTCTCCCTTTTCTCTTCTTCTTCTTCTTCTTCTTCTTCTTCTCTGCAGAGCACGCACACGTTCGAAGGAACAAAAAAAAGCTGCTTGAAGGAGGGGATGGATTATGGCTGGCTGGATTGTCAGATGTGGCTGATTCTTTTTATGATAGTGATATAGGGGAAAATTGAAGTGGAAAGGTTCGGATACGCGACAAGGTATATCAGAGCCGCGTCATCTTGGCGTTTGTTATCGAACGGCATTTGGTGTTTTTGTCTTCTGCTACCTATCATATGGCTATTTGTGGATTGTGGTCATAAGAGAGAGAGGGGGGGAGAGAGAGAGGAGAAGTGGTATTAAGTACCTAGGTATCCTCGGACGAGATAAGCTACATGTATTCATACAGACTGCTCGATAGAAGATATTGACTCAATCCTTCCGAGCCAATTTGAAGCTACCTACCGCGAGAGCATGTAGGTAAGGTAGTATCCCAATCATTACTTTTTGATATCACTGGCCCAAAATGCGCTTGACAACTCGAGCGACCTCTGCTCGATCCACAGGCTTCCCCTCTAGACTGCCACCAGGGCCCAACACTTTCTTCAGCACGTCTCCCATGTTGACTTTGACGTTCTCTGCAGCTGCTTTCGCCTGATCCACCACGGCCTGCACCGCATTGCTAATGTCCTCTGCGCTCATGGTCTCGACACTGCCGGCGTACTCATCGAGCACCTCCACTTGCTGCTGCTCTTTCTCCACCAGATCCTCGCGCCCAGCAGCTTTGAACTCCTCTTGCGCCGACTTTGCTGCTGCTGTTCGCTTCCGCAGCAGAGAGAGCAATTGCATGTCTGTCTTGATGGGATTCGACGTCTTGGCGGAGTTTGTCACTTCGGCGATAAGCCCTCGAAGGACGTTCAATCGGTTGCTGTCTTTGGCTTTCATAGCGGACTTGAGGTCACCTTTGAGCTTGCCCAGTAGTGGTGAAGCTGGCGCATCGGTCGAGGATTTTCGTGTCGCCTGGCATAATGGACAGATCCAGTTGTTACGCAGCGCTAGGCGGCTCCTCAATAGCATGCGTGTCGTATGGAGAGACATTGTTGTTGTTGTGGTGGTAGTGCCGAGTTGAGTATTGTCTCTGGCAATAAGGAAGTAGAAATTGTTTCATCAATTCATCAATGGGGCTGGGCTGTCCGATTAGGGTTGCAGACAGACGCGATCTTCACTCGCGCGTCGGAGCTCTGTTCTACCTCCACTGTAAACTTATTGCTTCCACCTCCACAACACCTCACCAGCACCATCACCACCACTGCCTACCACGGCGCCCTCGACGACCGCAACACTGAGACGGCGCGCATCTCCTACTTCTGATCACTGCATCACGATCCCAATCCGCTGCATGTCACGACCGAACGCAAATTGAGCTTTCAGGTGCTCCCAGCGCATAGCCCAAACACACGCCAGTCCGTCTCTCTGGGGAAAGGTGAAGATTGTGAGGACGCAAAAGAGCGGGAGGACAGCACGAGATCATGGCGACGCCAGCGACGCCGCAGAGGCCTATACCAGGTGGGTTTGCTGCGACACCAGCGGGAGCTGCAACACCAGCAGCAGCGTCGCAACAACCACCGCTGGGACAGACCATCTTCGCTGCGAATGCAGCCACTCTGCGCCAACATGCCCCGACGCAGCAGACGAACAGTGCCCCGACGCAACAGTCGAACGCGCAAACGCGAACGCCCATCGAGCGCGCGGCTCGGACCATCAACAACACATTCGAGCGAGAACAACAGTTTCCAGCGCTAGAAGACTATGTCCAACAGGGAGTCAGTGGAGAGTATGAGCAGCCCAAGGCTGGCTCGGCGCTCGAACCTTTTCAGAAGATGAAGTTGCATGATCTTCCACCGAGGCTGCTAGAGCAGGCGAACCGCAGCCAGATGTCAATGCTGATGGGTGTGTTCGCACCCATTGGCTACGCATGGGTTGCCTTTGACACATTTCTGTATCTCTGGGACTATAACTCGCCTAATCCCGAGATTCTGGGCTTCGAAGAGAATGATCGCAACATCACTGCCGTGCAGATGGTGCCCCCAAGGCCGGGCGTGTTTGTCGAGGACATCAAGCAAATGATTGTGGTCTGCACCGACTCGGAGATGCTGTTGCTTGGTGTGGCGAAGACGACTGCGGGAAATGGTGCGCCGGACGTGGCTCTCTACAATACCCGCATGAGTATACCCATAAGAGGGCTCTCTGTCGACCTGGTCCGGGCCAGTGCAAACGGCCGAATCTTCTTCACCGGCAGGAGCTCAGACGACATTTACGAATTCCAATATCAACAGGAAGAAGGATGGTTCAGAGGTAAAACAGCACGACTGTGTCATACCAAGGGCAATGTTGGCTTTGTCCCGGCCAAGATAGTAGCCGTGGGATCGTTCTTCAGCTCAAGTGCTCCCGTACAGCGCATCACCCAAATCGTGGTCGACGACTCCCGTGCTCTGCTGTATACACTTCTCAGTACGAGCGAAATCAAGGTCTGGCTGATACGAGACGGCACACTGGATCAAGCTATTTCTCGACCATTCTCAGCACTGCTGCAGAACACGGGCCATTTCAGCAGTCGCACAGATCTACTCACTGGTCGAGATGTGAGGATACAGGCGATTAGCGTATTGCCGAAGGCAGAGACGTCAAAACTGTGTTTAATGGCAACGACGAGTACCGGCTGCCGATTGTACTTGTCGCTGACCAGGGGCTATGGCTATCCGGCGGACTCATCAAATCCACCTACGAGCATGCAGATTCTTCACATTCGATTTCCGCCCAGAGATCCAGGCGCAATCCAGCAGTCTGGTGGTCAATCACAAGCCCTGGCTCAAACTGGCCAGGCTCACAACCAAGTTGACAATACGTCCACCCTTCTTACACCCACTATCATGGCTCCTCGATTCTCGCCGGGCTATTGGTTCGCAATCCAACAAGATCCGAACGATGAGCATAGGGACCGGGTATACATTACCGCGCCAGACTCCGCACGTCTCAAGGGTCCTCAAGGTAATGGGCCGATGAACTATGTCGAGTATGGCCAGTGGATTACACTGCCTGCCATGGCCAACGCTGTCCAAGAGTTGACCGACGCCTTCTCTGCAGCAAAAGAGCCCAGAGGCTTTGGCAACGAGCTGGCCGTACAGTTCGACCAGCCCGCAGCCGAATTCGCAATCGTGACAAACACAGGTGTTCAGACTATCAGGAGAAAGCGTCTCGTAGATGTATTCGCGGCTGTCATGAGATATGGGGCGGCGTCCAGCGATGACGGTATGGAGGGCGATGTCAAGCGGTTTGTGCGGACATATGGTCGCGCCGAGACTTGTGCTACTGCACTCGCAGTCGCATGCGGCAAAGGCACTGATGTCGCCGACAGTCGCGTGGCTACAATTTCGGATCCAGATGTTCTCGAACGAGCACGGAAAGTGTTCATTGAGCACGGCGGATCTGCAGATGTCAACGCCAACGGTGTCGTGGACAATGTCACCAGCCTCGCCGACAATGTGATTCCTAGTCCTCGACACGATGGCATCGCGCTCTACATATCCAGGCTGATTCGGTCGATATGGAAGGCGCCCATCATCAAGTCGAATCCATCTCCTGGTCCAAACGGCGCCAAGTTCGTTCCTACAATTGGTCTAGAGAAGCTGAAGACGATCCAACGCGATTTGACGACACTGAGAGACTTTCTGGACCGAAACCGCAGCTTCATCGAAGGCTTGGCTGGACCAGATTCATTGAGAAATGCCAAGACACGACAGGACGAGATCGCACTGCAGGGCGAGCATCAGCACATGAACAGTCTCGTACAGCTGCTCGAGACGATCAGTGAGGGAATCAGCTTTGTAATTGTTCTTTTTGACGAGCGTGTCGAGGATATATTGGCGCTACTTCAGGACGACAGCAGAGGCAAAGCTCTCCAGCTGACATTCGAGGATCTCTTCGTCTCGAGCGTCGGTCACGACCTGGGCAAGGAGCTGGTCAGAGCCATCGTAAACCGCAACATCGCCAATGGTAGCAACGTTGACACAGTTGCCGAGACACTACGACGGCGGTGTGGCAGTTTCTGCAGCGCAGACGACGTGATTATCTTCAAGGCGCAGGAACAGGTCAATCGCGCCAAAGATGCAGGCGGACAGACAGAACAAGGCCGAGCCTTGCTCAATGAGAGCCAGCGCCTTTTCCAGAAATGCGCTGCGAGCCTACAGCTCGAATATATGCGAAAGGCAGTGGAAGACTATGTCAACATGGCATTCTACGCTGGCGCCATTCAACTATGTCTGGCTGTCGCCAACGAGAAGGACAAGTCGAAGCGAGCTCTGGCCTGGCTTCGAGACGGCAGACCAAGCGATGATACCCGGATCGCTGCCTACAATGCCCGTTCAGAAAGCTACAAGTTAATCTTCTCAGTCATCCGACATCTCGATGACGCCACGGGAAATGCTCCAGAAGTCGTTGATGGCAGATACACTGTCGCTATGAAGCGTCGCAGCGAGGCATACGATGTCATCAACAGCTCCGACGACATTGTGTTCCTCACCGACTTGTACGATTGGTACGTTGGTGTGCGAACGTTTCAAGACGTGCCGCCTTTGGGCCAGCCAGATCGTGTTCTCGAGATCAATAACCCATACGTCGTCGAATACCTTCGCAAGCGTAGCCAGGACCACAGACTCCACAACGACCTTCTCTGGCGATATTTCGCCCACCACAACGACTACCTGCAAGCAGCTGGTGTACAGCTCGATCTTGCACGTTCAAGTTTCGAAGAGCTCACACTTTCAGATCGTATAGAATACCTTTCACGCGCACGAACAAATGCCAGCACTCGACAGACCATCATCACAGACTCAAGACAAAGCAAACAACGTCTGCTTCGCGAGATCTCAGACCTAATCGACATTGCCGAAGTCCAGCAAGAACTCCTGGAGCGTATTAGTGCAGAATCTCGTGTAGACTCGACTCGGAAAGCGGAGCTGGTACAAGACCTGAATGGCCAGATTCGTCCAGTTGAGGTCCTCTTTAACCAATACGCCGACGCAGCCAGATACCATGACATATGTATCCTGCTCTTCAAAGTTGCCGACCACCGCAACCCAGCCGACATAAAAGCAAGCTGGGAACAACTCATCAGGGAGACCTCAGGGGAAACGATCGCTCTTTACGGCCGAGCCATGCAGTCGTGGGAAGCCGTGGGCGTTGAAGTTCGTCGTCTGGGTCGCCGTCTGGGGCTCAACCCATCGACTTTTCCGATTCAGACGCTCCTTCCCATACTGGAGGCGTATGCCCAAGAACCTCGATCTCAGCAGCCCCCCGACTCGTGGGCAATTGACATGTTTCTCGAACTGGAAATCCCCCACGAGACACTTTTGCCAGTCTTGGAGAATATGTTTTACGCCAACATGCAACCGTTCACGGGTGGGAAGAAGAGAAAGCTGGGCGAGAAGATGGTCTACTTGATCCAACAATGGTTCGCCGCGAGCGAGAGATCCGGTGAACGAGTGCTGTTTGGCTCCGAAGAGAACGCGAGCATGGTGATGGAATGCTTGGGGAGCTTGGGCAGGGACGCGTCGTTGGGTCAAGCTGTCCGAGATGTCGCATTGACCATGGTCAACCAGATTGAAAATGCGCTGAATTGAAGCTGCAAATGACCATGGTAACTCAGATCGAACATGCGCTGAACTGAAGCCGCACAAAAAATGAATGAGAGAATCCAGTATGCTGTCGTTGTTACTGTTACTGTTGTTGTATGTGTATGTCTACAGCGAGATCCATTAGCGTGGCGTTTCGCATTGCATCAGGTTGTAAGAGGTATGAAGATGAAGATGAAGATGAAGAAGAAGACGACGATGATGACGAGTGGCGAGTGGTGAAAGAGCTCTTTCATCAATCGATCAACCAAGTGGCGGAGGAGAGGGGGGGGGGGGGGGTGAGAAAACCAAAGTAACCACAAAAGCCTCGAGACAGAAAGAAGTTCCTCTCTGTGTAGCTTCGAGGATGGATGGATGGATGGATAGATGGACAAACAGATGATGACGACTGTGGGTAGATAGGTAGGTAGAAAGGGAATTTCTCCCCCCTCTCTCCTCAATAGAAGGCTTCGTTCTCGAATGCCTCTCATGACCTCGTCCCCTTTTTGAGATGCTCATCGCCCCGACATGCGCATATCAAGACCCGACCCGTGAATATTCAAGTCATCGCCTTCGCTTCGCACCTAATTCGTACCCAGTCTCCAATCACAACGACTCCTCAATCACGTCTCCTCCAGCTGCTCCCAAAATCCCTATTGACAGGTGGCCCTTGCGGCTGCTCTCTCTGTTGACGTCTCGGTGAATCCTGTCCTCCCTCGCGCTGCTGGAAGCCATCCCTTTGTTGGAATCCTCCGCGGCTTTGGTAACCGCCTTCGCGTTGCTGGAACCTGTCGGCCTGTCCAAAATTACCGGCAGGTCGTTCTCTCGCGAAGCTGATCTTGTAAATACCACCGTTAGGCGTCGGTTGACCATTCATAGCCTCGACACCGCGCTGAGCCTCTTCCTGGCGATCGAAAGTCGCGAAACAATAGTGGTGGTTTCCGGATTCTGTCTGTTTCGACTCGTGGGGCGTGATGAGCTTGCTGATCTCGTTGATCTGTAGTCCGGCAAAGAGTTCTCGGATCTGGTGATCCAGCTCTTCCTGAGTGGCAATCTGAGGCAATCCCGAGATGAAAACCTTGGAAGTCTCGACTTGCTGCGATTTCCAAGGTTCTCGCTCTCCAGTGGTAGGACCTCTCTTGCCTTTGGCGTGACTAACACGGTAGATGTCGCCGTGGGGAGTGGGCCTGCCGTTGAGGTTTCTGACTGCCTCGACAGCTTGCGCAGGTGTGGCAACTTCGACGAAGCAGAATGAAGAGTTCTGGTCCGGGAGGGCCGATTGAGGCGTAATCAGCTTGCTGACCGATGTTACTTCGTATCCTTCAAAGAGGCTTTTCATTTCAGCGTTGATGGTTTCCTGGTCCGAAGCATGCAGACTGCCAACATAGACTCGTTTCGGGTCTTCAGCAGGGGCATTCCACTGCGGTTGAGCATCCTCCCGCTTCCATCGATTGTTTGGGTAGGAGTTCTCATTGCCATCGGTCGCCCGTGGTCCCCAGCCTCGCGCAGTCCTTTCGGCGGTTGGATTAGGTTTGCGGTCAGTCTTGGGGTTAATTCTCAATGCTCGGCCTTGCAGATTGATGCCTTGCAGCGAGTTCATAGCATTGGTAGCATCTTCCTGGGTCTTGAACTCGACAAAGCAGTAGCTTGGATTGCGGCCAGTCTCCGGATCGATCGATATGTCAACTTTGTTACTGGAAACACGATGAGATTTGGAACAGGTCGATCCGAGAGAGTTTGGGCTTCTTTCTGTACATACATGTCGACATGGTTCTCGGCGAAGAGTTTTTCGATATCTTCCCGTTGGGCGACGTAGGGCAGATTGCCAACGTAGAGCCGAGGACTCTCGTAAGACATGCTGATGAGGGATACGATCGGCGATGTTGTCGTCTCTGTGATTGATGTTGTGAATGCAGGAAGATCGCGTCAACAATGCAGGTACACGCGGAATGGGCGCGGGCGAATTCACGCCAAGACCAATTTGAGTGGGTGGGAGGGAACCGAATTGAGCGGTTTCAGGTCAGTTTCGTCTCACCCACCACAACGACCTGGAGCCACCAGCTTCAGACGTCCCTTCAGGTTGTCGTTCTTCCAAAAGCAGACATCCAGACAACAACAACAACGACAGCAACAACAACAGCGGCAAATGAACGTTCCACGGGTACATGTCAAATTCGTAATGGTCGTATCAAACAATGCTGCATAACTCATGGGTATCGCATCAGACGTCCTCCGTAACTAGTGCTTGGCTCAACGTTCCTCGCAATAACATGCTCTCTCCGTGTTCACTTCCACCATGTGTTCCTCTGTTCTGGTTCTGGAATTCGACTTCTAGGGTATGCGCCGTCGGGCCACTGTGGAGGCTGCGAATCTGTGCAGAGCCATACCAGGCTATATCTGGCTTCTGACATCCCGTCTGTCCTCTTCTGTTACCTGACTGTTCCACAGGTCTCCATATAGCGGGCTGGTCTCAGAACTCTCCCCGAACCTGATTTGCTCTCTCTCTCCCTCTCTCTCGCTTCCTCTAAGAGAGCAAGCTGCTTGACATGACCCAGCTTGTCCGGTGGGTGCAGATCTTCGTCCCGGATAGAATTCTCAGCGCTGCTTCAAGATTTCTTTCCATGATCGTCAGCATGTATCCTCCTCTAATACAGTCCGGTATCGGTTTGCGGCGAAATCGAGTTGAACAGAAAGAGGCTTTGCGCACCTGTCAAGAACTCCTCGAAGCTCAACGTGATGTATCCGTCTCGATCAGAATCGTACTTCTTGAAGACGTCGGTCATTCTCTTCAAACTGATGCAAGCTTGCACGAATAGGTCAAAGGACAGCACCTTCTCCCTCTCTTGCTCATCGCCTCTACCTCTGCTTCGCGTTCGAGCAAAAGTGCTAAAGAGAAGTTGCACGAATTGGGGAGAAAGTCTGTACCCGAAGGCGACCAACGCATCCTCAAATTCGCGGAGGGAGATGTTGCCTGATCGATCCACATCGAAACGATCGAAAAGGTTACGCCACGCAGCCAAGAAACCCCAGAGGCCGCAAAACTCGTCAAAGTTGATGGATCCACTTCTGTCCGTATCGAACATACGAATCATCATCTTCACTGTGTGCCCGTCGAATGCAGTGTAGTCCCCGTTAACCAACGCCCGCGACAGCTCGGCCTCTGAGAGCTGCCCAGTTCTGTTTCTGTCCACCTGCAGGAACAAGGGCCATAATGCATCTCGATCGTTCCCGTCTCGCGGCGGAGCAACTGTTGGCGGCCTTTGGTGCTCTGGAATGGGCGGTCGATTATGATAGCCTTGCGGTGGTGGTCCGTGACCATAGTTCGCCGCGGGTGGGGGAGACGCTACACCATACGCAGTTGAACTGCTTCGTGGCGGAGGCGCTTGTCCATACCCCTGTTGTTGATATTGCTGCGATTGTCCTCCATAACCAGCTTGCTGTCCTCCATTGCCGTAACGCGGAGATTGCGATCGCTGGTTTGATTGCTGATTGTACGAATCGTGACGCGGCGCGCTCCCCCTCCCGTCGTTGTATCCTTGATTTGGAGGTGGTGCGGGGTTGGAAGAGCCATATGCGCCGGGTGGTTGAGGATCTCTATAGCCTCCCGAAGGGGTGCTCTGCCTGCCATAGGAATCCTGCTGAGGCCTCAGGTTCTGCGGCTGCGACGGTGGAGGCGGCGTGGGCTTGTTGTAGTTCGGGTTGGAGGCAGCATGATCTCGTCGCGGCAGAGCTGGTGCGCCGTTGTGCAACATTTGCGCAGCTTGCTCGGGTTCAGCGTGCCTGTTGAAATGAACGTGCTTGGTCAGTTCAGAGTCTCGTCGTGATCGGTGCATGGAGCTGGAGATGGAGATGGGTAGCTCGAGATAATCGACGAGCGACACGGAAATGCGGACGAGGACTTACGCAGGCAAGGCATCCGGGTTGTAGCCGCGATTGTACGCCATCTCACCTGAGGAAGGTTGACGAGGCGTTCGGTGATATTCTAGAAGAACAGTGCGGGTCGGAGTGAGTAGACGATATGTTCCTCGTTGAGTCGTGTCGCGCGCGCGTAGAACTTCCGCTGCTGCTGCTGAGGGGAACGATGGAAGGGTCAGGAATTTTAGGGCGTATTTCTACGTCAGACCTCGAGTTTGTCTGCTAGTACGGCTGTTAAATTCTCGAAATAGCAACTGATTTGCCACCAGGCTGGGCTAGGGCTGGGCGAACAAGCTGACAAGGCAGACGAAGACGAAGACGGAAGATGGAGAAGACGAAGATGAAGAAGACGAAGACGAAGACGAAGGTCACGAAGCCGAAGAAAGGCGAAGGCCAGAATAACAAGACCTGTAGCTGAGGCTGAGCTGGACTGCCCTGTGGAGGTAGGAGGTACTATACTGTACAGCACATACAGGTAGAAACTAGAGTGGGTAGTACTAGGGGGTACTGTCCCTACGATAAAAGATACTATATGCCAGTACAGCCATATGGATCATGCGATCACAGATCATGGGAACTGGCGGCTACAACCCGCGTGACCACGCGCCACCACCGAGCACTCGGAGGAAGAAGGCTGAGCTGACAGCTGTACCTGCGTGCTGCGCGACATCAACGCTGGCGGCCATGTTTCATCTGCTCGGAGGCTCCGCTTCCAACTCCGCCTCCATCTCACGCTTCCAACCAGGATAGGCTTGTCTCGCCTCAGCTGCGTAGGGGACCAATCGTCAAACATCTTCATCATCCGAGTCTTCTTCGTCAGAATCATCGTCGAAATCCGGGAGGAATTCCTCTCCAAAATCGGCACCAACCATATCATCTTCATCCGAGCTTTCATCTTCGTAGTCCTCTCGTCCGGCCCTATCCGCATCTCTAATCCTCTCCAGCTGTTTCTCCTCATGGTCTGTGTCAAACAAATAATCTGGGGGATCGAATACCAACTTCTCCTTCCACTGTCTCCTAATACGATGTCGCCGCAACTCCTGCAGATTTTTCCTCTTCATAGCCCACCAAGAGTCCATCACATCGATAATTGCACTCATACCTCTAGCAGAAGAATAGTAAGAAGAAATCATATCGTGGACGCCTGCCAGAATCTCTTTCTCTTGCGATAAATCTCGCTTCTCAAGCTCGGCATACTCGATACAGAACGCGTGGAGCATGGGTTCCCATTCGAAGCTGATTTCTCGCTTGCTGACGTCGTATTGCAATCCGGGCAACTCGCTGTCGAGAGAAGCTCCATGTATCGTTATGACGTGGGGTGTCATGCTCGGTTCTCCGCCGTAGCCACCATCGACGCCAGAGTCGCCAGTAGTGGTACTGCGCCACTCCTCCTCCTCCTCCTCCTCGTCCTCGTCCTCGTCCTCCTCCGCAACACCGATGTAATCATCAATATTCCTACTCCACGTCTCATATATTTTCTCGTCCAAACGCTTGGCCCGATCAGACTCTTTGTCCTCATCTCCATCACCATCCTCACCCTCATCTTCCCAAGGCATCCTCCTCCGCCCACTACCCAGTATCAGCCCAGCACGAGGACTCCTGTCCACTTCTTTGAAAACCACTCTCGATTCATCATTGGCATCCAAACGATCAAAACCCATTTCCACAGTAGCGGTGTGGAACATATAATCCCATTCGGATTCATCCCATTCGCAGTGGAAACGGATTCGAGTTTGCTGCTGTTGCTTTTGCTTTTGCTTTTGCTGCTGCTGCTGCGGCTGCTGCTGCTGTGGGCTGCATCGTAAAAACACTTCGAGGTACGTCTGAGCAATGTTGGCGCGCCATGCGTGGTTGACTTGTCTGGCTTGGAGCCAGAGCTGGGGCCATTGGAGCTGGGAGGTTACATGATTCCCGTCGTCGTTTGTAGGTGATTGTCGGGAGAGACAGGCGAAGCGGAAGATTCTTTGCCAGAGTTCGGGTGGGAGGTGGGGGCTCATTGTGGTGCGATGGAAGGATATCGAATGGTCAACACCTACCTTGTGATTCTGGTATTATTACAGGAAGGTATAGGTAAGGTACCTGTACTGTTTAGAAAATTGTACAGAGCACCTACGCGCAAATATGGAGTGAGCCAATGATGGGACGATAAGTGACGAGGCAACAGCCGGCCATGCTACTGATGTCACATAAAGTAGTGGTATTCTAGATTCTGGTGTCATAACTTCTTCTGATCAACCTCATGTATGCTGCTCGGGATGCCCGTCCGGGTTCGTTCCTAGTAGACTAGTACTGCCCGTCCAAGGTCAAAGTGCCAGTCTTGGTGATCATATACTCTGCAATTGCGACGTCCTGTTGTATGCGAAATTAGCACATGGATCAAATATGGTATTACCACTGATAGGAAAAAGAGTACGACTCACTTTGCCGCTCTCCTTGCCATAGCCGGACTCCTTGATGCCTCCGAACGGCGACTCCGCTGCTGATGCATTTCCAGTATTCATGCCAATCATACCAGCCTCAAGGTTCTCCAGCAGCCGCCAAGTGCGGTCAACGTTCTTGGTGAAGAAGTAGCTGGCAAGACCCATACTGGTATCATTGGCCTTGCGGACAGCTTCCTCCTCGGTATCGAACTCGAAAAGGGCCATAACTGGAGCGAATGTCTCCTCCTGCGCAATTTGCATGCCATCCTTCGCGCCCGTGATGATGGTCGGCTCGAAGAAGTATCCATCATATCCCGAGGTACCCTGGAGCTTCTTGCCGCCCAAGATGACCTTCCCGCCTTGCTTTGTGGCATCTTCCACCTGGGCCAAAGCCTTGTCAAGACTGCGCTCAGTCGTGACTGGACCCATGGTCGTCTTGGAGTCGGCACCGTGGCCAAGTACAAGCTCTTTAGTCTTTCGGGCGAGGATATCGGAGAACTTTTCGTACACGCCTTTCTGTACGTAGACGCGGTTGGCGGTGATGCATGCTTGACCAGCATGGCGCCATTTCAAAGCCATAAGCTCTAAGGGACAAATTAGCCTACTACGACCAGAGAAGATGACGCGAGGGGAAACATACGTGTGGCAGCGGCTTCGAGATCTGCATCGTCGAAGACAAGGAAGGGGCAGTTGCCGCCGAGCTCCAGTGTGCACTTCTTCAAGCCATCGGAGCAGATCTTGGCAACGAGCTTGCCAACTCTGGTGCTGCCAGTGAAGGTGACCTTCTTCACCAGAGGGTGCCGGCAAAGAGCTTCGCTAAGCGCTGGAGTTGTGTCCAGACTGGTTTGTAGGACAGAAAAGACACCCTTGGGGAAGCCTGCCTTCTCAGCCAGGTATGCCAACGCCGCGACGGAAAAGGGCGTCTCTGGAGATGGCTTGACAATCATGGTGCAACCAGCTGCCAAAGCGGCACCGGCTTTGCGCAAGATCATGGCAATGGGGAAGTTCCACGGCACAAGGGCCACTGCCACACCGATAGGCTGCTTTACCGTGAACACACGCCTGTTTGGCGCTGCTGGTGTTTGAACAGTGCCTTGGACTCTTTCCGCCTCGCCTGCAAACCACCAGGTGAAACCCAGAGCATAGTCCAGCTCGCCCTGCGACTCGAACAGTGGCTTACCAGTCTCATGGGTCACGATTTGTGCCAGATCGTCTCGGTTCTCGCGAATCAGCTGGTCCCACTTCAACAGACATTGTGCTCGGATCCTCGGGTTGACTTTCTTGTATTCCTGGAATGCCTCGTGCGCTGCCGTGACAGCCGCGTCGACGTCTTCGGGGCCACAGTCTGGGGCAGTGGCCCACACCTTGCCATTGCCAGGATCTACAGTTGTCAGTAGGGACGACATTTCAGGCGTGGCAGATTGATCGTACGCACCATAGACGTCGAATCGCTTGCCAGATTTCGCTTCTACCCAGCTGCCGGCGGACAGTGCTTGATCTCGGAACAGCTCTGGGTTGTTCAGCTATAGAGATCGTCAGTCCAAGTCTCCCATTGTCACTTCTTGGGCGTGAGAAAGAGATCAATCATGCCTTGAAGGGGAGGTTTGACGCCATGATGGGTATAGACGTGGGAGAATACCGCTATCGTATGCGATACGGGCTCTTCGGCTGCTGTGGTGGCGACGAGTAGTATATGTCCGGTAGATGCAGGAAAGGTCGTGGTATACGTAAAGCACAATCGTGTTTTGTACATGTACATGTACAGGTAGATATCCATGATGTGTGTAGTCTGGCGCGGGGTTTGTCCATTGCAATTCACGGCCCGGTGGCGCGCCTACTACATCATCTATGCTTGCCCACCTCGGCCGCTGTCTCCGACTTCGCGTCTCCGGGAGCGTTTGCTAGAGAGTTTGTCAGCGAAGGGTAAAGTAACCTTCCGGGAATAAGGAATAAAGGAAACAAAAAAAGAGAACCAGCAGTCTGGGTCTTGGGGCAAAAGACCTCTATGAGGTTCCCCGCACTACTTACGAAACCCTGGAGACAGCAAGACGGCGACAGTCTCCAAATGGTTGCCTCCTACCTCCCCTCCGCGGCTCCGGGAGTCTGTTCTTCTTGGCATAAATCCATTACTTACATGTACCTTATTAGGTGGTTAGAAAAATTGAAATCTGCACTCAATAGGTACATCACCTTATGCAAGCAGTCCTGACTACCTCCTAAGGATTACGGACATCGCCACAACGAATATTCCGCAATAGCAAACCACTCATCCTCAAATTCTTTCATGAGCCTATTAGCCCAACCCTCCGTCCTCCAGCAACTTGCAGTACTCCCAGTACTCTGGATACCAACCGGCTTGCTCCCAATCAATAATGCCTACGATTTTAGTTGGCGAACCGGGTATCGTCGTCGAAAGGATAATCTTGCCCAAGGTAAGGTCGCCGTGTGTGAAGAAGACGTTCCCGTGGTCGGGCAATAAATCGCGATATACTCCTTCGACCCCCGTCACATTTGTCGTGGACTGTTGGCGAGTGGCTGCTACAAAGATCCAGTCGATGAAGTCGCGGATAGATACGAAAGGGCCCCGTTCGTAGTCGAGTTTGAAGAACCTGTCTTGAACTGTTCCACCGCTGACAGAGCCTAGCTAGAAGTAAGCATATGGCGGAGAAACGACTTTTTCGTTTGCTAAGAGCACATACCGATTAACGACTTGGCAGAATTCCCAGTTATCCGTTGTAGGGCCGCGATTATGCAACTGAGTTCTGCCGAGATTGTCTCTTTGTCGGTTGTAAATCATCACAATTATTCTCTTGTCCAGGAAAAGCATCAACATACATATGAGATTTCAGGATTTGGCATCAACATCCAGCAGGAAGGAATCTCCGGTACTGGTAATGGCGACCAGACGGAAGGGAGTTTGCGAAATGGACTTACATCTGGCGAAGAGTGCTCGAGTTCTTTTCTGGGGAGAATGAAAGGTCTTCAATGAGCAGAGCGGCGAGGGCGACCAGGAAATTGTCTTCTTACACACTGCTGGCTCCGATGGCGACAATACCATAGCGTGGTGAATAATGGGCGCATGAGAAAGAAGTGTCGCATGACTGCTTTCGATCTTCCGGTGAGTAAGATACCTACAGAGGTAGCTTAGCATAACGGCGCGGTTCGAGTCGAGTTCTGCACCTGCTGTGCATTCTGGATGTTGTTGTTGTTGTTGTTGTTGTTGTTGACCATCTACTATGTACTCCAGGCCCACAAACGTTCCTCCCCCTACGAAGGTTATCATCCTGGCAGCCACACCAACACCGAAGACTCCTACATCGGTTGCATCGCGGCTCTCGTCAAGAAACTCCGCTTGAACAAACCTATCATCTGTGGTGCACCCATGGCCGGCCAAATCTGTCTCGTGTGTGCGATCCGCTATAAGGAAGTAGGCTGCGTCGGCACTATTCCCTTGCAAGGCTCCGACCATCTGGACATGGAACGCAGCTGGCACGATCGTAGTCCCCACGTCAACCAGTCCTTGTACAATCAATCCCGAGTGGATCTACGGCATCATGTCGCCCACCGCACCGCTCAACAATCGTAAACTCATCTGGCACTTGTAATCTGCTCAGGCCTACGGTATCTTCCATGGAGATCTGGACTTTTATCTTGGTGGCTGGGATGACCGTTCCAAGATGAAAGATATCGATACCAAGGCGTGTCCCGTGTATATATGTTGACTGGAGAGTATGATTGGTCGAACACACCCGCGATGTCGCAGCCTACTTGTGGCTAAATTCCAGGTGAAAAGCTGGATCAAGCAATGTCAGGTTTAGGCCGTTTCCCTGCGGTACGTCTGAGTCTGACCTGTCTCGTATACAGTGCCGTAGTGACGTTGAATGATCTGTCCTGCAGAAGACTGAAAATCCCAAAGTCTTTGTTGGGTATCTTCTCCAGGCTATCGACCATATTCCAAAAGAACAACTCGTGCTTAGATCCGTGCATTCAGCCGCGAGTTCTCAGAAGTAGGTACCTGTAGATTACATGTACATACCCGCGGCGTGCAATCAAATGTTGGAATGATTGGTCTTCACAGCGATGCAATTGCCCTGTACTTTTGTCTGTACATGCAGCATCCGATTCCACAAGACACTTTATCATCAGACAAGAGATTCAGCTAGCAGCGTCTCTCGTTGGGCTCATCAATGCGTTGCTTTCCGCGACCTCCACCGGCTCACGCTGCGCTATGTCTGCCCCGTGTGAAAGTGTGCCATCGTTTTGCCCAGCGAGCATGCTGCCCACACTCCGTCAATTGTCCACTGGTGGGTTCGGGGCTTTCGTGTCGCACCAGCGAGCCGGGCGCAGGCGGAATATATAGTGGTTGAGCGTCAATGATTTCAATGGGCACAGGAGGTGGTCCAGGCCCACGTTCGGTGATGTCTATGCAGTTGAAGTAATCACCTCTTTCGAAAGCTTTATCTTCCTGGATGGTACTGTGCCTGTCCGAATGGTTGTCCAGATGCGGGTCTATACGCTCGATTTCCCGCAACTCTGCCGACCAAGGTGTCAGAATGGCGGCATCTCGACTGAACAGATGTGGTGGGAAGCCAATGTTAGTTTCCTTTCCGTGTTTGCTGGCCATTTCCATTGCTTCCGGCTGACGATCTGCCCAGCTGACCGAGGAGCCGATCTTGCTTTTCCTTCCGGTAGCAGCACTTCCTTTCTCCGTCGAATTCCCGGTCTGATCTTGGTCCCTTGACTCTGGTTTGGGACCAGACACCTTGGAACCCCTCGAATAAAAGGACCTCGTCGCAAGCGGTGCCAGCATCGGCGCATTCACCGCAATAATCCCAGCTATAGTTTCTCGCACTCCCCATCGGTTGATCGTGAGCGCGTTCGGGTTGCCTTGAAGCGACATGACGATCCGAACAATGGCGGCTGTGATGATAAAGATGCCAGAAGATAACAAGCACGCCAGAGTGATCTTCTTGCGCAACGGCACGCGTAGCTTCCAGAGCATAGGAATTGGCACAGCCAAGAGCGCGGCATCAGTGATGACATTGAGTATGGTGCACACGTAGAAGTTCTGGATGCGGAGCGTACAGCGCAGAGGCGGCTTGGGCGTGACTTGCCAATGCATTCGAATTGGATAGCAGCTGAAAGTGATGGTAAAGAACATGGCCAGATACGTGGCCACGCAACACAGCACGAGTGCTTTCACAAACTTCTCCCGAGTGAGACCGAATGACAATCTGCTGAAGAAGAACAGCATGCACCCTTTGAGGGCCCAGATCAGCGTGACATAGGTGTACCACGCGAGCAGCTGCATCTTGGATCCCAGCTCGACATTCTTGATTTGCGAGCGTGTGAGTCTGTTCACATCGTCCTCGGAGAAGTCGAGGTTGCTTCCCTTGTGATAGGTAATGGTAACCTGGCACGAATCTCGTCAGTGTTGGACCCAAATTGGCGGCACTCAGTCGCTCACAGTGACAGCGTCGGCAACGTAACAAGCCAGCACCACGAGCGACATGTAGTCGTCTCCTGCAAATTGGCGGATTCCCACAGTACGGATACGGACGGCAAATCGAGCCATAAGGACAGCCACGCCGACGCCAAAAAGAGCCCATACCTCTTTCATGTAGCTGGGATCGTGATGCACCTGCGTGCTGCTGCTGCTCATTCTTGTCCCACGCGATGCCAACGCGCTCCACTGCTCAGGTTTGACCGTTCAATCACCCAAAGCAGAAGGAAGCATAAGAGTCCATCGTCTACCTTACCTACCCAAGTACACTGTGCAGGAGGCCGTCAGGCATCAGGCACGATGCTGCTTACCTTGTTCTGGTCTAAGGTAGTGAAGAACGATCGCCTGGGGCTCGGCCTGGTGCGCTTACTCGTGGTGCCCCAGATCGTCCATCTCCAGCGTGGCAGACTGGCAGTAACGCGTCTATCACACTGGCACTTCTTCGGCGAGAGACACCCCGGGGGGGCATCAATGGTCAGCCCTGACGAACCCAGGCAGATGTTCCCGATCGGGACAACATGATCTTACATGACAGCGCCCAGCGCTTAACGGCAACGGATGATCATTGCACAGAGAGACTCACAGACTCACACAGAGTGAAGCAGCGGAAGCTTGCGATGGCCCCTGTCATGGATACATACATGTCTGGTGTCTCTGGTGGCACGTATACCTACGGCCAGATCATGCTGTGCTTCCTGGGCGTCGGGTGTGAGCACTCTCAGTCAGTCAGCATGGAGGATTGCAGGCCTGTCAATTGGCCTGCTGGTGGACAACATCAGTTGCGAGCGATCGTTGCCATGATTGGCGATGATGATGACGGGAATGGAGAGCGGCAGTTGCATGACATTTGCATGCTACAGAGTACTGTGATTTTACTCTTCCTCACCGCCCGTCGCGCGGAGGCCGAGCAGTAGATGATGTTACATAACAAATGGTAGGGACGAGCACAAGCGACGGGATGCTGGCAGTGGTGGCAAACATGGGGAAAATGGGAAAATGGGAAAAGTGGTGGTGGTGATAGGAGGTAGAGGCAAAGGGGTCTTGGCATCGCACCAACGCTGACTAGAGGGGAGGTAGGAGGTATGATGTAGGTCCGTACCTAAGAATAACGATAGTGGTGGCAGCCTGAGGCAGGGACAGGGCGGGAACCCCGTTGCCATCGCAATCATCGCGTCGCGTCGCGTCGCCTCTTCCCGTCCATCAGCCTCAAACCTTTCGGAAGTCCGACGGCCAGCGAAAGCAATTCGAGTCCGGCCACCACCGCAGCGAGCCGTGTTCCTGCCGAAGAGAAACAAGATGTATAGGATTCCGGTACTGTACCGCCTTGATTTGTGTGGTATAGCGGCAGAGTCCAATTCCGTGCGGGATCGTCTGTTAATATCGAAGCTGGAGTGGCTGGTAACGTCCAGCCGCCCACTCCAACCACCACCAGCACAAGCCTCTTGAAAGGCATCACCACCCCAGGTCCCCAACTAGGGTATATCATATCATGGCTGGTCCGACAGGCCTCGTGCCGCAATCGCTCCGTATACGCCTGCTCGAACCACCCTATCACCGCTGCAGAACAACCCTCGAACCAACATGTCTCGCTACGACTACTACCAATCCCACGATGAGCCAAGCGACTCCCTAGCAAGCCCGTCTGACAACCACGAACCACGTCATCCGCGCAGACCTCGACCGGCGGTCATTAAACACTCATCGTACGACAGCGAGCCCAGATCTCAGCACGATCGTCGAGAATCGCGTCGAATACACCATGGAGATCGGCGGGAACGGAGGAAGCAACCGCGCGATCCAGAACGAGAGCGACGCAGACAAGAACGCGCTGCTCGAGACCCAGAGTATGCTGCGAGACGGAACCAAAGGCGGGCGGAGAGACGCGCCGAGAGGCGTGCTTCATTGCCGGTCCAGGATGCGCAGCGCAGACAGGGCCCGCTCGCCATCGATCGCGTGAAGGATGTCGATGTCGAAAGCCATGATGATGGTCAACCTGAGGGCTCCGAATCCCCGGAAGGTACTGCCATTGATGCGCCTTTGCCACAAGTTGAGCTTGCTGCACCTCGAGAGCATGCTCCGAAATGTCCAGACTGCCAGGAGCGGAACGCATCGCCCGGGCGCTACAGAAATCGCCCCTCCCAGCGCGAATCGAGGAGACGCTCGGCCCAGTATCAATCCTCACCACGAGCTGATTTCGACGAGGATCTGGAGAGCTTGTCGAACGATGACGAGAAGCAGCGGCCTTATTCGAGTTCCACTTCGACTTTCAGTGAGCTACAATGGTACAAACGAGGCACGATACAGAACGGCCGCCACTATTATCGTGATGACCACCGACGGCGGTGCTGTGGCTTCGGCCGGAGATGTATCTGCATCAGCACCATCGTAGCCGTGGTCCTTCTCGTCGTCATTATTGCAGTCGCAGTCGCAGTCTCCCAGAAAGGCAAGTTTACGTATCACGTATCAGTAGCGCAGGTGAACGAAACTGCAGCTTTCACCAGTGGTGCTGCAACGCGCAATAGTGTGAATGATACCAAGGACGGCGTCGGCGCGGGAGTCGATGTTTACACACTCCACCAGGGCAACGCGACCAAGTTTCTCGCCGACGTACCCGTTTCGGCCTGGGTCTCGTTTGAGGACATGTGGAGCAACAATCTTGAAACTATTCAAAACTCCTGCGGCATTCTCAACTATGGCGACAACGACTCCCCAGAAGAGATAGCGAACATCTACAACGCGATACAAGATCGCGCCACTGCATCTTTGGTCGACCACCGACTCATCCTTGCCTTCATTATCCAAGAATCCAAAGGCTGTGTTCGTGTTCCTCACACCACATCCTCTGGCGATGTGAAAAACACTGGCCTGATGCAGGCGCATCATGGCCACGAATACACCCCGAAGCACAGCGCGAAGAGTATCCTGGCTATGGTGCAAGATGGGACGCAAGGGACGAAGAAAGGCAACGGCTTAGTGCAAGAATTGAACGCGTACTATGGCAATCCGTATGCTGCAGCGAGAGCGTACAATAGTGGTTATATCCCTGGTAACGGGGAGTTGACTGAAGCCGCTGGCGCTACGAAATGCTATGTCAGTGATATTGCAAATCGCTTGACGGGCTGGGTGAAGGCGGAGAGCAGTTGTTCGGAATAATCACCTCAAGCTCGGATGTGTACCTTAATAATACTTGCCTTTGGTACATTTAATTTTCCTCGTTCCTTACTCACTTGGCGCTCAGCAATGTCCAGATGTGGCTCCACGCTCGTGCAAAATACCGTCGTTAAATGAAATTGTCAACGAGTCTCACGATGCGAGCGCAATCACAGAACGCCCAGCGCTGGAGAAGATGGCACAATGGCACGTCGGTAGTCAATGCTTGATACGTGGTCCATAACACTATCTGCAACCCCATTAAGAAGCTCCTCTCTCCTCCTGCTCCTCCTCTTCCTCACAGATCCTTCGCTAAGCGAGATACCGGAGGCACATAGACGTGTCGAGCATAGAAAATGTAGTAGACAGTGGCCACCACACCCACCCCTCCGTACACGCATGACGCCCAATTCATCGTCTCTAGCATCGGATTGTTATACAACGGAAAAAAGGCAAAAATGTACGCCAGCATGATGTAGATTAACCCGACCACGTTTGTAAACCAGCCGAGGGGAACGCCGAGATCAAATCTTCGTGGCAGAAGCTCTTCTCCGCGGACTCGTTTGATGAAAATACAACCCATGGACGTCAAGTATGAAGTGAGCAGCGCCACAACTCCCAGGGACAAGATGGCGTTAAAAGCCACGATACTGCCCAGATTGATGAGGGATAGCAAGGCCGTGGACACAAAGCAGAAGACGACGGCATTGAGCGGGATATCCCAACCCGGTTGCACATAGCTCAAGACTTTGGCAAAAGGCAGACCTTGGTCGCGCGCAAAGGCAAAAATCTGTCTGGATCCCGTCGCGAGATTCCCAATCGCCGAGCACAGCGTGAGAGTGGTGATGATGCACGTCATGACCGTCGCTCCTGCTCGCGATTGCGTCGCGTTGTAAAAAGTTCCGATGAAGGCGAAATTGTATTGTGGCAACAGCGCGGCATCGATGGGACCAATACAGTACACGAATGTAATGGCCATGACGAGTCCCGTGAGTCCGTTGAGGACCAGCGTGGAGATCATGGCGAGAGGAATGGTGAGAGAGGCATCTCTGACTTCTTCGGACATGTGGACGGCAGAATCAGGGCCAATGAGAGCATAAATGGGTCCTGTGAGAGCAACCAGCGTAGCCACGCCCATGCTCGGCCATTCCGCAGTCTGTGTAAACTCCGTCCAAACCGCAGAATTGGATTGTCTCGGCGCAAAAACCCAGAGCGGAATCAAAATGGCAAAGAATCCACAGATGAGAATTATGAGCATCAGACCCTCCAGTAAGGGCAGTTTGCGCGCAAATACCGTGTTGAAGAGCACTGCGACGCTCGCTGCGGCAATTGTCAAGAGGACTCCGTGCCATCGCTGCGGTACGTATGTTGAGTCGTTGAGGATGATGAGGCCTTGTACTTGCGTCGCGACGGTGAAGCATTGTCCTGCGATTCCGGCTTGCCAACCTAGAACGCAGAACCAACCGACGATGTAGCTGAGGAGTTTTTGGAAAGATTTCGGAGCGAATTCTGAGACCCTAGATTTATTTGAGCATTTGAGCATACGCACACACATACGGATGTGTATATATCAGGTATACAACATCATCATCACATACCAATGATACTAAATTTCCACATATTAGCCTTTTCTTTTCACTTTTATCAGCAAGTTCATATGAAGAAGAAGAAAAAAATCAATAGAAAAAAAAGGAACAGAGACAAGAGACACAAGGAGAAAAAAAAGAATAAAAAACAGAAAGAATAAAAAAAAACAAAACTCTCACCTGCCCACCCGAAGTCGGTGCCATCGAAGCCATCTCGGCCATACAAAAAATGGCACATCCAAACCCCACCAACGTGACCAAATACATCCAAATCATAGCAGGCAGTCCCCCATTGGGAAGGACATAACTCGCAGAAGACAAGACCGAAGCCCATGTCATCATCAGAGTGGCCGCGAAGCCGAAAATGGGGATAAAGGAGAAGTTTCGTCGGAATTCCTGTTTGATGGAGGGGAAGAAAAAGGGAAGAAGATGTTATTAGTTGGGTTACTCTCTCTCTCTCTCTCTCTCTCTCTCTCTTTTCTCTTTCTTTCTTCTCTTTCTTGGGGTGTGGTGGTGTTGTTGTTATACATACTTGTGCTTTTCCCATGCGATGCATATCCCTTCGATCATCCACTGTGCCCTTTTTTTCGGGCGGCAAATCTGTCAGAGTGAGAGTTTCATCTACGGCGACGATGTATGAGGCATCTTCTTCTTTGCCTATGGCGAAGGGTTTTCGTTGTGCCATGGTTGGGTTTGGTTTTGTTTGTTTTGAAGGGTGGTGGAAGACGAAGAAGAAGATGATGATGACGGGAGAAGAAGAAGACGGTATGAGTGAGAGCGAGGACTTTCACAGCCTTGTTTGGTTGGCACAACTTGTTCAAGATCTTTTTCTTCTTTCTCATTCACTTTGCTTGTCCAGGGTTCCGTGTCAGGCCTTTTAGTGTGGTGTACTCATATTGCTGCTGTGTCCGAGTAGATTCAAGTCGGTTAGCAAACATACATACACACACTCTCTCCCTCATCCTCCACCTCCACCACCACCACCTCGTCTGGAACGGAACCCTGCCTTTACATATCAGGATTGTACTACCGTATATAGCTTGGTACTGTCACTACTGTGGTGTGGGGGGTTCAGAGACTACGTTGTTTTCTTAGCGGACAACGTATACAGTCAGGGGTTACATCCGAGAAGGACACGAACCTTTAGGAACGTTCAAGCTACCGGGCGTACCGCACAAAGAAGCAAAAGGAGTTTAACACATGACCAAAAGGAGAGCTCTGTTACTACTGTATACCGGGTCAGGTAGGTAGGTACTGTAGTACATAGCAAAGTACAAACAAGGGGATCCCCGCCAATTAAAATACCAAGCGTTGTAGGGTGTGGGATCACAATCACCACTTCCCCAATTCCATTAACAATTTACCGGTATTTTCATTAAGAAGTATCAATTCACTCACCACATTCCTCTCTCTCTCTCTCTCTCACCCGTCTCTCCGTCATCACCTCTTTCTTGGACACTGCGCACCTCGCCAGCACCACCATCCTGCCCTTATGCGTCGTACATGTCCCGCCGCCAGGTCGCTCCCAGTGCATCATGGGCGACGATGCGGATTTGCGGTACATCAGCTGTCACCAGGACCTGAACTGAACTTCCCTGGATGGCTGCTGAGACAGTGAATGAACGTCCTGCTAGCGCCATCCCAACTGCTACAGTATCTGCCTATTAGGCTATTACCCACGTCCAGGCTAGCGTACCTCGATATGTATCACAATCGAATCCATCGATGATCACAATTGATGGCCTATACGCTACGCTTCGGCAGAATGTCGCTGTGCTGGGGGAAATCATCATGGGGGAGAAGCATCATGGGGGAATTACCATGGGTTCGCAGGTGTCCAAGCTGTCCAAGCACGAACTAGAAAAAACCCCATCATGGATACTACGCCGCTAGCAAGACGTGTGGAATTTGTCCCACCAGGATAATAGGCAAAGAGCCCTTCTCAGTCGTCACGGATGGGCGACATTGCCACTCGGGGATCGACATGTGCTCCATTAGCATTTGAAAACGGCATTTCCCCTGTGCCTGTTCTACCAGAGGCACAGCACCTTGGCCATGAACGACAAGTCGAACTAGTCGAATGCTTGCGTCCTTCAAAAGTACTATTGTACTCCCGCGGCTCCTGCGAGGAAAAAAAAAATGTTATCTATGTAGTAGTGGACAAGGCAGCAAGCTACCTCGAAGAGCGAGCATTCCAACAATCTCGACTTTCCTGTGCTGCTATGTGAGAGTCCAAGACTTCCAGAGGAAAAAAAACGAGCCGCGCGGACGTCGTCCATCCTCCATCCTCCATGCGAGCACTGGAGCTGGAGCTGGAGCTGAAGTAACACAGCTAGTCCTGCGGAAAAGTGGTATAGCTGTCGTCGCCATGTCGGCCCCAGAGCTGCCAGTCCTGCCCGATATGAATTCTGGTCCTAGGAATTTCATCACGACCGAGCAAGATCATGGTGGAATTGCATTGACCATATGTACGCTCATGGCAACCTGGGTCGTGCTCTGCTTCGGTGTGCGTATCTACATGCGAGCCACGGTTAGCGGACCCTTTGGCATCGACGACATCATATTCACTGCCGCTACGGTATGTCTTGCAATGTCTTTCTCTTATCCTTTTTCTCTTTTTTCTTCTTTTGTCTCTCACAGCGAATCTGCCCAAATTGGGAAGATAGGGGAAAGCTGACTGCTGACAACGTGGTGTCGAAAAAATAGCTCTTCGGTATCTTTCACGCCATCGTATCCTCTACCGCAATCATCTCCTTTGGTATGGGCAAATCGTTGGTTCTGTTGACGGGCTCACAGATCATACACGCACAGAAGGTGAGAAGAGAGAAAGAGAGAGAGAGAGACTCAGTCAGCCTGCACGAAGCAATCAAAATCACAATCGGCTCGGGGAACACTGATATATATATGTTGGCATAGGCTGTGTATGCGGCAGATCTCATCTACTTCATCGTCAACGCCTTGACCAAGTGTACCGTGGCCCTGCTCCTCGCACGGATCGTCTTCGTCCGAAGGCGCGTCTACGCCTGCTACGGAGTCGTCGTCCTCGCATTCCTGTGGGGAGTGATATCCTTGATCGTCGGAGGCTTCCAATGCAGCGAGCATCCCGGATGGAAAATTGTGGGCGAACGATGCGACAACTTCCTCCTCTCGTGGCGCGTCGTGACAGCCTTCGACGTGCTCATCGAAGTATTCATCTTTGCCATTCCCGTCTGGGTAGTCTGGGATCTCCACTCCAACATCAAGAAAAAAATGACCGTGATCGCCGTCTTCGCATTCCGGCTGCCTGTTATCGCTGCTGCAATTCTGCAAATCCACTATCTCAGCTACGCTATCGAATCGGGCGACCCGTTGCTGCATGGAGTCTCTGCTTTCATCTGTCGCAATGTTGAACTGCACTGGGGATTGATCTCCGCCACCATCCCCACCCTGAAGCCCTTCATGGCTGCATTCAACACGAATCTCGGCACGTACACCTCGAGGGGATTCGACAGTTACGGCCACAACAGCAGTGGACGTTCCTATGTGCTACAGTCCATCGAGAGGAAAGGTGGTGGTAGTGGTAATGGCAGTGGTAATGGTAGTGGTGGTGAGAGGGGTAATGATAACGAGGGAAACAAAACAGCAGCAGCAACAGCAGGAGAAGAAATTCTTCTTCTTCCTCTGCCAGGAGAACTTCAGAACAACAACAGCACCACCAATCATAACAATCTCTCACCAACAACACCACCACCACCACAATCACCACGACCACCGCACTGGGGAAAAAATGTCGTACGCGTCAAATCCTCCTCCTCTTCCTCCTCTTCCTCCTCTCCTCGTCGGTTTTCATCGTCAGCGGGAAGCGATCAAAGGATGATGATGATGATTCGCCAAACACACACGTGCGAGGTTCATGTGGAAGAAGCAGAGCCGCAGAGCAGAGCAAGAGCAGGATCAGGATCAGCGGAGCAGGAGGAGGAGGAGATTCGTGCTGTGTTTTAGATGGATAGATGTATCAAGGGGGTATATATAGATATTCTCTCAATGAAATGGATAAAGCACGCACACACAGACACAGGCTTGAGTTCTCAAGGACAACAGCATACATACATGTACATGCCAGGTCTTTTGAAACCGATGATGATGATGATGATGATGATGATGATGGCCATCAACTCCATTTGCACACAATATAGTATAGACGGCGTAAGGAGCCTCTCTTTCATTATCGATTCGTATCGTTATTACAAAAATTCCTTTGAATTTTCTTCTGCTTATTCCTCCTCCCTTCGTCATCATCATGCAACACGTCAGAGAATGCTTTCATTGCTCTCGAATCAAGTCGTCACTGGTCGAACTCGCCAAAACTCACACTCACACAAACACATGGACGTCTCTGGCGCCCCCGTTTGGTTTTTCGCTCTTTGTCTGCACACCGCTGGCTGAAAAAAACATACAAACCCAAAACCAAGACAGAGACAGAGTGAAGCACGTTTTTTTGGACCATCTATCGTCCAAGCGTGCTTCCAATACTGCTCGGAGTCCAGCTGCTCGCCTTGCTACTCATCCAGCTGCCTGTGCTCGACATCCAACTCGGCATGCTGACTTTGCTGGTCCAACTTCCCCCTGACCGTACAGACTTGCTCGTACTGCTACCACTTTTGTTCGACCATTTGAGCTTGCCGTCCGCAATCGAGTGCACACCACTGATGATCAAGAAGGCCGTCGATCCAAGGGCTCGAAACAACGCGAGACATGCCACGGACCACAAGATGAACTTCAGGTAGTAGTTTTGTCCCACATCGGTGTTGCTGTAAATCTCCGTGATCGCCATCGCAAGAACGGCATTGCACGCCATCCAGATAATGACCACATATGTTCTCACGGCCCGATAGTAGTCCTCTTGCATTTGACTCTCGGAGATCCCCGGCGTGGGGACTTCCACTCTGTCTCTCAAATTCCGGAGTGCTTCATCATATCCGGAATCAATATCCAGTTGCTCCGATGGCATCTCCAGCTCGACTGTGCCATTCTTGTTGGCAGTCGCAACACCCAGATCTTTCTTCAGCACGTTGTCTCCCTTCGTGCCCCACGTCACGTCGTGTGCATTGCAGAAAGCGTAGACTTGTAGTGTGGCAATGTACGATGGTAAAAGGGCGAAATATTGTGCCGAGGACGTGAACATGTGCCATGGGTCCATGTACATGAAGCTCATGAAGAAGTAGAGTCCCACCGTAGATAGCGTGCTGACGACGAGATTGGTGAAGACATTGTTTCCAAATCCAATTTCCGAACCATTCGTGAGCTGACGAACAACAATGTAGATCGCGGCAAAGGTATTGTATACCATGATGATGGAGAAGATGATCAGGGAGGCCATGAACATCTTCACCGCACCCTGCGGTCGGTTGCCCATCGAGAGAATGAATTGCACCATGATGGTCAAGACACAGATGTATCTCAGCACAATGAAGATGAAGTTGCCAATGCCGTGGCCAAAGGGGTCCACTTTCTTGTCCGCGAGCGATCCGGCAATGAAGTAGAAGGTCAGGTAGAAGTTTCCCAGAGAGAAGAAGGTGAAGAGCAGCTGCACGAACTGATATATAAATTCCACGTGCAGCAGAATTTTCCTGGTGATGGTGTGGTCTGTCTTCCAGATCTGCTTGAAGTGCAGCAACGAGTACACAGCTGCGAAGAAAGCTCCGTTCAGCCATCGACGACGTTGTGAGATGAACTCGGGCACTGCATCGGGAACATCGGTTTCTCCTGTCGCCTTGCGAACGTACTTGAGGACCCATCTGTCGTTACGCTTTGCAACCAGCTCCCAACAAAGGATGCGATCTTCGGCAAGATACATGTTGGCTGTGAATACGTCTGCATCCTGTCCATGCAGTGTCTCACCCTTGAAGTATTGACTGAGCGGACCATGCCCCGTCTCGTCATTTTGGAGCGCATGATAGCGGTACGCACTCAAAGCTCCAGGCAGGACTGTAATGTAACCAAACACGGATTCGAGGGGCTTGTCCAATATGTTGGACATCTTGTACTCGAAGTTTTGCGAGGCAACCAACGGGTTGATGAGAGCCTTGAGGTACCGGCCCTTTGCAGCCTTGATTTCGCCAGCTGCACCAGCCACATTGGAGTCACGGTCGAAGGCTTTCCATAAGTGGTAGAGGGAGTCGTCGCCTGGTCTGGTGCCGACGTCGAGCAAGATGCACACGTTGGGGTTGAGTGCACGTCCAAAAGCATTGAAGAACCATCGATGACTATTGAGCTTCTTCGAATTCTTCTCCTTCAGGCAGAAGATGACCTGACAGGGCACAATACCTTTCTCAGCACCTTTGAACTTCAGGTCTGAATCCAGGGAGACTTGTGTTGTGTACTCGTACACATGCGCAGTGACTTCGCGCTGATTGACCAAATTTTTTGCAATGCCCGACTGGTAGCAGCCCATCGCCGCCAGCGCATCAAGCGTTCGGGGATGCACCTTTGAGCGACCATCCGAGATGATGCAGACAACGATCTTTTGCCAACCATCTTTCCCCCATGTTCTCGACTTCGCACGACTGCAGAAGTGTGACAGATTGCGCATGACACCGTGCATCGTTCGCGTGAAGTCGATCTCGTTTTCATTGTACATGGTGATACAGATCAAGAGCTCTGTCTCTCGGGACGTGGATCCGATGTTCTGGCGCAGCTTGTAACCTCGATCCACAAAGTCATTCGGGTCACAGGTCACAGCAGTGTACCGCATGTGCGTGAATTCGACGTCGTCGCGCCTGGGGAGAAATGAGTACAGGATGGTCGGGATCTTGCACTCCAGGATCAGTTCGCCATTGATCAGTTTGACTTCCTTCCTGGTCATCTGTGCTGGGCGAGCTCCCCGTCTTCGATGCACGCCGTCAGGAGCAGGACCACATAGATCGTCCTCTGGATCCTTGTTGTCGAATTCCTTGTCATCTGTCACAGTCGACTCTGACTGAAAAGTGTTCCGCGAAACCGGTCGAGGGCGCTGCAAGTCACCGTCACCAGCAGCCGGGCCAAAGGGATCCGCAGTATCATCATCATCATCGATTGGTATGGCCGTTATGCCTGGCTCTTGCGGCTCCTCCATACTGATCATTGAAGGCGGTCTTCCGCCAGCAAAGAGCGGTTGTGGTGGAAGAGGCCTCCTAGGCGATCCTCCGTAGGCCGACGATGGCGTTCCAGGCCGCGGCACACCATTGATGTCTGCTGGCTCGTATGGTACGTTCGATGCCGGCGGTCTTGGGTACTCTCGACTTCCTCTCGGAGTGAAAGCCTTTGTAGGACTGTCTGATTGTCTCGAACTGGAGGGTCGATAGGGATCGTAGGCATCCACTGGTGGCGCCATATCGGGCGCACTATCGAGCACAGATGGTTGTCTCGAGAGTCTTGAGAAAGAAGGTTGTGTGCCTAATGTGGAGGTCGGGGCATATGATCGCGTGGGACTCGGTGGCCGGTAGCTTCTTGTCGGACTGTCGGGCCTGCTGCTGTAAAGATTGTATGAGCCAATGTCTTCCTCTTCTGGTTGCTGGTCGTCCACATCGTGCCGCTGGTGCTGATTGAAGCGCACTTTGTATCGCTTTGTGCGGGGAGGTGCTGCTGATGAGGATGTTGCGGATGAACGAGCAGCGCTTGACTGGGACAAGTCACTCTCGACCTCACGCAACAGGGAATTGAGCTCTTCGCCTGGAGGAGCTTGCGATCTGGCATAATGCGAGTGCGTGGTGGCGGAGGGGAGTGGGGCATCTTGGCTACTGTTGTCCGCTCTCTGGTGGTTGCGACTGTTCAATCGATCTTGAGCTCGCAGAAACAAATCATGGGGCGAGGCTCTGTTGTTGTTGTTGTTGCTGTGGTGGTTGGCGGCCTCTCGCGAAGGTGATACTGACGCTGCATGTGCACTCTCTTCGGGGCTCGTGAGGAGTCGCATTGTGGATGCATTGGTGGGCGTGTCGAAGTCATCGTCGTAGCCGGGCGGCGGTTCATAGGCGTGCGGCCTATTCGGAGCCGCCATGAAATGGGATGCTGGCGGGCGGGCTGTGGGAGTGAGCGATGGGAATGGAGACGATGATGATCTTCACCTGAGGGCGAATGCTGAGCGGAGACAGTACTAAGGGTATCTGCCAGTACTGCTAGGAAGTAGCGAGTGGTGGTGAGCAAGGTCGAAGTGGAAGGAGTGATAATGTCACTCGCAACTGCCTCCGGAGGTACGAGAGATGCCATGGGCGCGTGTGGTGTTGTGTGTCTGTCGTGCCTTGCAACCGCATTGTAAACATTGCCAAGCAGTCAACGGTCGGTGTCCCGGGCCGACCCGAACAGCTTTCTCACCGGCCATGCGGTGCCCGCTCATTTGGGCGGGGCTCGTTGGCTTCCAAGCTTCCAGCTTTTCAAGCAGTGCCGGTCTGAGATCGTGACATGAAATTAGTGAGTGAGACAGAGGTGGGACATCCCCGTACATACATGGGACTCGTTTCGATTCAGTACGCATCTCTGTCACTATGCTACTCACTCAAAGAAAACAGCCGCCTCGCAATGGGTCAGGCCGGTATACAGAGTACAGAAGAGTTCCGCGTCTCGCCCTTTGCAAATATCAGGCGGGCGATCATCATGATTCCGTCTTTTCGTAAAGGGCCCCCTCAAGGCGCATGCCTGGCCATCGCCCCAAATCATCTAGCATGCGTGTGCACGCCCGCTTGGGCTGTTCCTGCATCGTTATTCCTCGAATCGTAAAAAGTGTAGAAGACCCCACCCCCCCCGTACGCCTCGCTGAACTGAAGACAGATCAAACCGACCACTTGCAAACTGTTCCTCGTCGCTACGCTGCCGTCATGGGCGGTGGCGGGGGCGCGTGCTCTGCTTCTTCCATCTTGACATCTTCTTCAATCGCATTGCCCTGCGCCGCGTGTGCTTCCGTCGACGAACTGGGCTGTAGTGGAGGTACCACGGGACCAGACGCCACCGAAGAGGGACTGCTCTCGCCATGGCCGGCATCCGAGTCTTCCTTCTTGGCTTTGCGACGAGTGTAATCGCTCAAGCTGAGCTTCTTCTTCATTGAAGTGGACCCCATCGCTGCCACCACGCTGGGGGGGAACATGGAGCCGGGAGTCATGCCCACAGGGGACTGCGCCATGGAGCCCGACATCGTCGTCGGCGTACCCGCAGAGAACGTAGAGGTAGACGACGCCGTGGAATGGAGACCAGGCGGTGGCATATCAAGGCGCATGGCAGCTGGTTTCGCCGCCGACTGCTCGGGAATTGCAGCTCCATCGGTTACCTTGGCGCAACAAGGTGAGGTCGAGGAGGACACTGCTGAGTTCAACTTGCCACTGCTGTCTCCGTGATCCTCGGACGGGGAAGTTGCCACCTGCTGAACCCCAGGAACTGGTGCTTGCTCCGTGCTGTCGCGTTCATCGGTACCTGTATCTGCCATTTCGGTGTCGCCTGCATGAGCATTCGCAGAGCTTGCCAAAGAACTAGACGATCGCGGCCGCTCGGTAAGTTCCCTCTCGGCGTGCGCCTGTAAAGGCGAACTCTTTGCGCTGGGATTGTCGACGTCCATTGCATCGGCAGGAGCGGGACTCGAGTGCTGTAATGATCTGGGACTAGATGGTGCAGAAGCGAGTATAGCGTGATTGTTGCTGGCACATCGATCCAGCAATATCTGTCGTAGCGATTTGTATTGCTTTCGAGCAGAGGATGCTGGCGCGCGACGCATAGCCTCTTCAATATCCATGTCACACTGCGTGCCAGCTTCAACGCAGACAGGTCGTGGCTGCTGCTGCCGCCGCTGCTGCTGCATGACTTTGCTGGGTGGCTTCATCAAAGATTTCAGGGTTCTTGGCTTACGACTCTGCGTCGCTGCTTTACCAGAAGACTGTCCTGCTGGTCGCGCCATGTTGGCATCGGCGTACTTGGACAATGCGTTGGTAGGGAATCCCAGTTGCTTCGACGACGTGGCACTGGGTGTGTTCAAACTGGAGCTGACGCTACCGCGCTTCTTCTTCGCTTGCTTTCCGGTGTGTTCTTCCTCTTGTCGTCGAAACATCTCTTCCTCCTTCGCCAATTTCTTCTTCTCCCGCTCCGACATCTCCGGCATGCCGTTACCACTGGCCGAGTAGTGAGTGTTGGGAGTGATGTCGCGGCTAGCGGACCCTCTTCCGACAGATCCAGACGCCGATTGCGAGTCGGTGACGTCGTCTTCCAATTCATGCCTCCGGGCTTCGCTTCCTGAGCGACTGTTGACGACGTTCGTATTGGGCGGCGAAGGGTCTTGTCCATTCTGGCAGTTCTTTCGTTTTTTGGGTCTAGCGCCCTTCGGACTCAGGCGCCTGTCGAAACGAGCGAAGGAGCAGGAGTTTGGAGTTTGGTCAGGATCTCTCGTGGGCAGACCACAAGCGCAAGGCCCACAATTGGCGAGAGCAGTGGAAGCCCAGGTCGAAAATTGCTCCAGCTCAATCTGAGAGAGAGAATTCTTCGTCGGAAGCGGCATGGCCTCCTTCGTCTCCCACGCAATGGCAATTTCCTCTCCCGGATCGATGGCGCGGGTCGACAAAAAGCAAAAGTGATAGTCCTTCTCGTCCGTGATAAGAATCTGTAAACGCGCATTGGGGTCGCAACTGCGTCTGATAAATCGCAGGTCGGTGCCTTCGTTGCGGGCATCGAGCGCAATCGGTAACTGGGGGTGGAAGAATACGAATGGCTCCGGGTGCCGCAGTTCACGCCATCGATTGGCGGGATCTGCTTGATAGTCTTGCTTGAAACAAAGGCGACCCTTGAGTTCACCAATGTAACAGCCATGGACCATTGGCTCTTCCACAATGACCGCCTTCCATAGGGCAGCAGCGTGGCCTTGCACGTCGTCGTCTCGCCGTTCAGCGATTTTGTAAACCGCCTTCCCGGGCATATCTTCCAAGCTGCTGTCGTATCGATTGAGGACAGTGCCTTTCGGATGCCCATGTACATCTCCGAACTCGTCGTCAGGCATCTCTACCCATTGTGAGAGAGAGTTGGTCACTGCAATCGAGTCGTGTAGATTGTTCTCCGCCACGGACCAGTGGTCATCCGCATAGAGTCGCATGAAGTTCTCCGAATACCTCTCGATGGGTGGTGGTGACTCAGGTGACTGTGACGGCGTCCTACGATGGTGACTGTGGACGGACGACACGTTGCGTTTCCGAGAGTGCGCTTTGACCGACGTACTTGTAGTCGAGTCTGAGGCGCGATGACTGGTCTTGGGTCGCTTTGCAGGCGGAGGTTGATCGCGTGGACTGGCGCTGTTGCGATCGTGCCGCAATTTGTCAGTGGGCCAGCCGTTTGTGTAGGGCGGCGGCGGCGGACCATGCTCTTTGGCCTTTTTCTTGTGACTCTTTGAGGCCGCTCGCTTGACGCCATTTGTGTGTGGTTCCGTGTGCCCACGTTTCGTCATCTGGCGACGTCGCGCGGCCTGAACGTCGACATTTTTCGGCACGCAGTCCACGCAGCAGTGCTCGAGCGCTTCCGGTAACTGTTGCTCGTCATACTCTGGATAGTAGCACGATTGGTGCTGCCATCTATGACATTTGTCGCATTGCACTGTATAGCCGTCATCGTCCGCAAAATCGCAGATGCAGCTTATCTGGCCATCATCTCCCGGATCGCCATTGACTGCAGGAGCGTGATATCGCTGTTGATGAGACGCCGGGTGGAAGAGAGGCGCGCGGGAGAGATCGTAACCGTCGATAGGCTTAACAGGGAAAGAGGTGTCTGTCATGCTATCTCTTCTGGTGGAGAGTGCGTACAGGTTAGGTGACGGGATGGAGGTCAGGTTGGCGTCGCATGACTGTATCGCCACTGTCGTCGACGCTCGTCGCTCGAGGCAGGATCTTCCGGCGCGGCGCTCGTGATGGGGTGGTGTGGTGCGCAGTCTCGACAAAGGACGGGCTACAATGAACCAGTCAGATGCAATTCGCCAGGACGACGGCGATGCCGCGTGCTGCCAGGACGCAGTCTAGAGGAGGCTCTGGTGGTACTGCTGTTGTTCGTGCTGCGATGCGTACCAGTGGGTCATGGGCAGGACGCTGTTCGAGTCGTGAAGCGGCGCTCGCAATCCGGCGGCTCTCCAGGACAACGTGCTTTCGGGGGACGTGGTGTCGTAGATGCGGTATGCGAGTCGAAAGGCTGCTGGTGGAAGGGTGGAAGAATGAGCTGGGCCTCAGTGCGGCCAAGGGTAGTGGGAGGTGAAGGGAAGAGAGAGGGAGGGAGGGAGGTGGTGAGGGTGAAAGAGAGGTGGTTATCGCGGTGCGACGAATGGCAAGTGCAGGTGGGAGAGAGGGCCGCAGAGCAGAGCAGAGCAGAAGCAGAGGAGGAAAGAGTAGAACGAGGCCAGAGGGCACGTGACCGGGGCGCGCGCATCAGGTAGGGCAATTTTGGGGAGCCTGCGAGCCTTGCGAGCCTGCCTGCCTGAAAGCTGCGCGCAAGCCTGCTCGCTGCTCCAACGAGGCAGACGCTCCTGTGCGCGGCCATGTCGCCATCGACACCACCACTGCACCCACTCACCGTTGGCGCACTCACTACGCTTGCGTGTGCGCGACTGATCAGAGCACCGGAGTCGGCGGCGTTGTGAGCAGCAACAATCATCGTAAAAACAATGAATAAACAGTCGGGATGGTCTCTGGGGCAAGTGATTGGGACGAGGTGGTCGCAAGAGCGGAAGAAATCGTCTGGGACCGGTGCCATCCTTTCCCATCACTTCTAAGACCCAGGGTGGCGAAGGAGGGAGCGGCAGCGGCGTTGATTGGATGCGTAGTGTCTCGTATCATTTGGCGGCGGCGGGCTGACGAATCCCAGACAAAAGACGGGCATCGCTATCATCATCTCTGGACTTCTGGACTCCAGACTCCGCAGGCGGACGGGCGGGACAGTGGATGTCTCGCCTCGCCCTCGCCCTCGCCCTCGCACTCCCCAGGCTCCGCTCCTCTCTCTCTCTCTCTCTCCGCGGTCCGGATGACAGCATGGTGGGTACAACGACTTTTCTCGTTTGTTTCGTACCCGCTGCGTGAGCCATGAAGGCTACATATATACCTCCTAAGACCACCGGGCGCTCCTGGATCATGAAGATATATGCAATGCGTGTACTCCGGGGCGGTATTGGAGTGGAGGAAGGTTGCTGCTCTGCTGCACGATGCTTGAGTCGTCATGGTTGCACCGCAGTCACAGAGTCACAGACTCACGGCTTCGCAGCTCTAGAGACTGGGGGAGGCTGCATTAGATGCATTAGGAGGGGATGTAGCTTTCATGCCACGCCACGGCACGCCGCACGGCCACTAGTTTCCTCACTAGCGGGCGGGCGAGCCAGGTCCCAGGATGACTACATGGCATGAAAGCTCTGTCGTGCTTGAAATACCTCCTAGGAGGTCCACCACCATCGTCCATTCTTGTTATTTCATTGCATTTCTTGGTCATGTGTAGTTCTTTACCAGCTGCCATAGGCAAGCCGATGAAGCCACTTGCTTTCCTTGATGGCGCCGGTCATTCTCGCTGTGCAGAAGCCCGACGGCGGTTGTAGTGCGTCCGTGTGGTGCACAGTAGACTGTTGCCGGTCCGCGGCAGCAGATGCCGAACGCTCCAGCTCAATAAATACTCCAGTGTAGAAACGAGATCACAGTGCTGACATCCCACTTCCAGGCGCACCGCTTTGAAATTCGTTGTCGATGGGTGGTGCAAGGTTCCGAGGAGACTGCGTGGAGTGGACACGGCGGAGCGCCGCCACTGTGCCAGCCAAGGCAGCTCTGTTGTGTCCTTGTGCAGACCGAGGCGGCTTCTGTTGTCGCAGTCAGCATGTAGAGAATCATGTACTTGTTGGAAGATGATGCGGAGTGGGATGGATGGTTGTGTCTGCACTTGCACGCGGAGTGGGATGGATGGTTGAGTCTGCGCATGCACGCGAAGCTGTGAAAAGCCCAAAAGCAACAACAACGACAGATGCGTCTACTGGCCCGAGCTCCGGCACCTCAGGCTGGACATATTGTAGTCTACTCCCGTCTCCGGCCCCCGTGATCATCACTTCAGACAGTCTTCACTCTGGCAGCATAATAACATGAACTGCTCATGTGCAAGCAAGAAACTGCACCTTCAATACACCTCGCACGCCGCAGCCTCAAGGGGTGATCATTAATCGAGCTCTGCCGCACCCGGTGGAGGCCAACAGCGAAAGACTGAAAAGCACCTGAAGCTCGCACTGAGAGCGATCCTCTTCGCCCTGATCGCTCCCCAAGTTTGAGGCGTCCAGACTCGAGGGAAGCGGATGTTGTGCCCTCTCCATAGCTATTCCTCTGCTTCGGAGAATGGCATGCTTGCACGAGGGAGCTGCTTACATACCACAGTCTCTGTCAGTAAAGGTCCGCGTGGCAAGGACCAGTGATTCCCGTGATGCGCACGCAAGACCGTGGACAAAGCGCAGCACTAATAGTTTACAGAGAAGAGAAGAGAGAGAAGAGAGCGGACTCGACGGTCGAATAGTATACGCTATTATCCTGTAGAAGACAGAATGACTGCTACCAGGCCTACATGTAGGTAAGAACAAATACTACCGAGTATCCACGCTCAGCAAAGTCAAATCAGTGGCATCGCGGCTCCTGGCACCTACTTGTCTGTCAATTTTGGAGGGCTCCGAGATCTTGTTGGCACCCAACCACCCAGAGAGCCCTCTCACCCGGCTGGTGATCTGGTATCCTGTCGAGCACCGTCACGAAACCCATATTCCGGCGTCACTTCTAGTAGTGCCCGAAGAACCAGGAGAGAAAGAGATTGTTCAGAAGGCTAGAAATCAATCCTACTACCAGCAGGACCCTGTTTCAATCCAGACCCTATGATACATCACATTCGAGAGCAATCAGGCCGAGAGATAGGTGCTAAGGATGAAAGGGGCAAACAAAGACACCGCAACGAACAGGTGCAACTACAGATGACGAAAGGACATACGCCCGGAATCGACCATAGGGAATCGAGGTGTGGTACGAAAAGGGAAGAAAGACATTTTGACGGTGAAGATTACACTAAGCAACAAGGAGAACCATTCGACAAAAATTTGAGCAATTGCAGCATTAAATACAGAAAAAGAACAGAACAAGATGCGGGGAAAGCAAGCAAGACGCGAACAATCAAGCCTCTCAGATGAATCACAGGAGGTCGGCGCGAGTCTACCCAGAGGTAGTCTTGGCCTCACCATGCTTCATGGAAAGGATATGCCTCACGAGACTCTGCAGGTTAGCAGCCGTGAGAATCTGCGTCATGGCCATTTCCACACCGGCCTCCCTCTTGATCCAATTGCGCAACTCCACCGAGACCAACGAGTCCAAGCCATAGTCTCTGAGGTTCCTTTCCGGAAAGACTTCATTCGCTTCCATCATCGTCATGGAACAGATCTTGGCCATCAAGGCGTCCAGTAAGCCCTCTTCAGTGTCCATCATGGCTTTGCTCGTCGCGGCAGACGTCTCGGATTTGTCGCGGCTCTCGCTGAGGAGCAGACTTTTCGGACGCAGCGCAGAGAGCATGGTGAAGCGATCCCAAGGGAGCGTGGACTCGTAGCCGCGTACACAGGACATGGTCTTGCCTTCGTGGAAGAAGCCGGACGAAGAGCCGATGATGGCGCCCTTGATCAAGGTGTGCACCTGGGAAACTGCGAGAGATACACCGAGGGAGCGCTGGAGCGGCACGCTCAGACCACGGTCGGCCACATAACCCACGTCTTCGATGACTGGCAAGCTGATCGAGACGGCGGGAAGTCCGAGGCTGCGGCGGTAGGCGGTGAAAGCGTCGAGGAACGTCTGGATATTACATACATATGTCAGCACTCAAATTCCATCGATATATCCGTTGAGGGGGGTATGTATTTCTTCTTGGCACTTACGGTCGTTCCTCCATAGATGGATTGTCCAGCATGTCCAGTCACACCGGTGACAGAGGCCAGAGAGACGAAAAAGTCGAGTTCAGGCAGAAGTTCATGCAGACTCCAAGCGGCATCGATTTTCGGCGCAGTGACCTTTTGCCAGTCGTCGAATTGGGCATTGAGGAATAATGAGTCCTGTAATGGTAATGATTATGTCAGCCGGGAAAAAAACCTGAGTGGGGCAACTACACCTCATCTCTCTCTCTTTCACTTACTCTTAGGTACAGCGCGCCATGAATGACACCTGCGATCCGAGGCAGATCGTGTACTGATTGCAAAGCCCTTGCGAGGTCCTCGCGGTTACCGACATCACACGCAACAGCTCTGAGATGATACTCGGTGTCTTGATATTGCTTCAACAGCGCCGCAACCTCGGGGTTGGAGGAGCCACTTCGGCCCAGCAAGACGACATTCCTGGCACCGTTGTCAAACATCCATGATGCCGTCGCTCTGCCAATACCGCCTGTACCGCCCGTGATGAGGTATGTCGCATCTGGCCGCAACACGTGCTTTCCTGGTCTTCCGAGAGGATGTGGGAGATCGGCCAGCACCTCATCGTCGGCGTTCATGGTAATCACAATCTTCCCGATGTTGTTGCCTGTCTGCAGCCGACGCAGACCGGAGGCGATCTCTGAACATGGCACCTCGGTCACTGGTCGGATGGGAGTGATGGCTCCGCTGCTGAACAGTTCCATGATATTGGCAAGGTGCTCTTTTGCCTCAGCAGGCCGTTTCTTGAAGATCTTGTGCAAGTCGACACCGCTGAACGTCACATTGCGGTCAAAGTGGCGCATGCCGAGATAGGAGTTTTGGAGCAAGTCTTTCTTGCCGATTTCCACGAACCTGCCAAAGTCTTTGATCAAGTCCCAGGTGGCCTGGAGGAGATCGCCACTGAGTGAGTTGAGGATTACATCCACACCAGCTCCGTTGGTGGCCTTCAGTATCGCATCACGGAAGGTCGCATTTCTGCTCGAGAAAATTCTCTCCTGGGGTATGCCGAAGGTGTCTTCGAGGAACTTTCGCTTCTCGGGTGTGCCGGCGGTGACGAAGATATCAGCCTGTAACCGCTGTGCAATTGCGATACTGGCCTGCCCGACGGCGCCTGAAGCCGCATGGATCAACACCGATTCTCCCGGTTGTAGTCGGCCAATCTGCGCGAGCGAGATGAGAGCCGTGCTGTACGCAATGGGCATCGTGGCCGCATCGACGAAGCTCAAGTTGGCAGGGATTTTGTAGGCACACACTGCGGGAATGCGCACGTGGGTGGCAAGACCATTCATGTTGGAGATGTAGAAGACACGATCACCCGGCTGTAGATCAGTAACCTTGGAACCACAATACCTCACCACACCTGCTCCCTCTAGACCGATACCGTGACTGAATGGCATGGAGCCTAGTACCATGAGCAGGTCTCTAAAATTCACGCCGGCTGCTGCGACTTGAATGATCACGTCGTTCTCCTGGAGAGTGTCAATGTCTCGTGCTTCAGTGCGATGGAAGTAAATGGAGTCTGGACTTCCGACAGCTTCAACCGTCATCTCGAACGCTTCGTTGCCGCTCCAGATGTTCTGCTTGGCTCGCGCAGATTTTCCGGCCTGTCTAGCGAACGTCTGTTCAGCGCTCTTGAGGGCTCGAAGGCGAGGGACGTGTAGAGCACCATCTCGCCAGACAAACTCTTGTTCGGCGAGACGTGTTGCTTCATTCTGCTTTAGATGCTGTACGACATTGACGACCGCAGATGCGCCAACCTCCGTCTGTGGCGCATTCTCGAGCAGGAACATGCTCTTGGAGGGATTTTCCAACCGAAGAGTGCGGAGCAGACCCTTCGCCACATGAGCATTCGGCTGTGCAGTATCAGGAGTTACCCAAACCAGCGATGAGGTGTCCAGAAGGACGTTGCGAAGTTGATCGAAAGCGGCCGCAGAAAGATTGCTGAACACACTGCCCTTGGAGTCCACAAAGACGCAATTTCTATCGCTGCTCGCAATGACCTCTTGGTATGGCTTGATCAGTGTGCCACAGTGCAGTTGCCGAGAAATTTGGTCCGCAACCTCATGAGCAAAGATGGAATCGCTCGGGGTGGCAAAGTCTCCACAGACGGTGACACTCCCGAGGCTGCCATCATCTTCTTCTGCAATCTTCGTAGTGCAGATGACGTTCATCTGGTATTCCGCAGCATCAGGATAGTCTCCCAAAGCAACATCAACACCGGAAAATTGTCTCTCCTTGAGAAGATCGTCCCAGGCTTGCTCAGACAGCATGGGGCCCAAGCTGGTGCGGTAATCGTCTTCAGTCAGCCACCAGCCGGGGAGGAGTGCAAAGGGCAGAATCAGCGCAGGATGAGTCCTGCATTCGAGCATAACTAGCTTGCCACCGGGACTAAGTAGGCTGTGGACATTGTCAATGGTTCGCGCGATATCTGGAGTGGCGTGCAACACATTGGATGCAATGATGAGGTCGTAGGCGCCATGCACGAAGCCCTGTGCTGTGGGCTCCTCGCTGATGTCTAGCTTACGATACTCCATGTGGCTCGACCATTGCTCGAGCTTACCGCGCGCGGCTTCGAAGAAGCCCGTGGAGAGATCTGTGAAGGTGTAGCTGGCAATCGAAAGAGGCTCGCCATCCTGCGTCATCTTTTGGAGCACGGGAATCGTGGCCGATGCGGTACCTCCTCCAATCTCGAGAATGCGGAGACCGGGCTTTAGATTCGAAATGTGGCTCACGAGTGCAGCCAAAGAGTCTGCGCCTCGCTTGCCAGCGGTGTCGTCTTCGTAGTTTCGCGACAGGAGATTGTCCTTGAGCATTATCTCTAATGGCTCAATCTCTCCACGCAGAATTGAGACCAAATTGTCACCAATGGCACAGAGCATAGCACCTTGAGCGTCAACCGACCGGACTTTATTCATGGCTTCAGATGAGATCTGGACCGACGCGCCACTCGCAAGACGCTGCGTGATGGTTGTCTCGGCCCACGCACGGAACTTCACGTAATGAATAGGCCATTTGGTCTGATCATCGACGGCAGTCTGATCGAGTGCTTGTGCCAAAAAGTGTACAGCGGCATCGTTCAGGTGTCGTCGATGCAGGAGCTCTTCGTCCGTCACTGCAGGCGCAGCAATGAGCTTGACCAGCTCAGTGGAAGACATCGAGTCGAGATGTGGAACAAGAGCTGTGTAGTAGCTGTCGGGGAGACCATCGGTCGACACATCATCCGAGGCGCCTGCAATCGACCTTCCAGTCAATTGCTCAAATTCGCAGAGTGGCTGCCAGGAGTCTTCAACGAGTGCAAACGCAACGACACTCACTGTGAAGCTTCCCAGCTTCTGGTCATGACCAACACGTTGAGTGACAATTCTCAACTTCTGCGCATTACTGACTTCTGCCGTTCGCAGGAGTCGCAGTCGCTGGAAATACGTGAGCACGAACGTCGAGCGCGGCCCTCCCATTGCCTGGATGACTCCCATAGCGTGAAAAAAGGAGTCCACCAGTGGCGAAAGAGTTTGAGCTTTTTCAACCGATGCCAATGTCGTAAGCGTACGAGGTTGTAAGTCAATCTCATGTACAGCGCCGCTTGGGGTTAGCCATAGTTGAGACATGTTGCGGAAGGTTGGGCCGTAGCAAAGGCCGCTGGATTTGAGCAGCTCGTACTCGAGGTTGGAATCACCGCCGGCCAGATGCGTGCCGTCGACGAGCTGGCACGCCCTTTGGACGGCCGCGGTCTCGATACGTGACACTTGAGAGTTTGCTTCGAGATGACCTTGAGCGTGCATCGTCCAGCCTTGCGCCTCAGTCCAGCTGAGCACTTCGAAGGTCCAACGAGTGGATGATGCTGTCTCAGTGCTCATGGGCTGTGGACGAAGTTTCGTCGTGATGTCCACGCGCTCTTCTTCGTCAATCTTGAGGCTATGCTTGGCAAAGAACTCGTGGACATTGACTACCGCGCCAGCATCGGGGCCGAGGAGAGCCTCCAGAGCAGCGATGGCCAAGGTAACGTATGCGGTCATTGGGAAGATCACATCCCCGGCGATGTTGTGGTCCCGCAGCCATGGCAGTTCGTCTAGGGTAAAGACCTGACGGAACGAGTGTTCGTTGCCCTCGCTGTATGGCACTTTCCACCCCAGGAATGGGCTGTATGAGTGTCCAGGATGTGCTTTGCTCTTGGTAATGCGCGATTCATGCTTGTACGAGACACTGTGATTCCATTCGTAAGGGGGCAGATCGGACACGACAGCGGCAGGGGGCGTGATGAGATTCACGGCTGCAAAGTTGACGTCTGCCCCGGCATCAAAGAGATGGGCAGCCAAGGTGAGCAGGGCATCATCGGCCTTCTCGCCACGCACGAGCGAGGAATGATACTGTACGCGCCCCTGCTGCTCGTTGCGGATGACGTCCAGGGTCTGCTTGATCGGGCCCTTGAGTGCAGCGTGCGGTCCGATCTCAACAATGGTATCGGAGGACTTGAGGCTGGCCTCCGACGAAAAGATGGTCGTCAATGCCGATGAGAATCGCACCTCTTGAAGCAGGTTCTTCACCCAGTAGTGCGCTTCGACAGTGTCTTTGTCTTCAATGCGACCAGTGACCGAGGACACAAAGACCACCGAACCAGGGCTAGTCGTTTCCAATGGCTGCTTACAGAGGGCCTGGATGGATGCCAGATAAGATGCACCGACCTGCTCCATATGCTGCGAGTGGTATGCAATGCTCACCTTGAGCTTCCGCACGAACAGTCCTTGAAGCTGAGCTGCGGCTTCAATGCGATCAATCTTGTCTCGGTCTCCCGAAAGAGTGACGCTGGCAGGACTGTTGGTCGCAGCGATGGTAGCGTAGCCGGCGCCCGACTCGTCGATCAACATGTTGGCTTGCTCTGCACTGGCGCCAAGAGCAAGCATCGTGCCTTGAGTAGAAGGATTGTTCATGACTTTGAGTGCCCAATAGCCGCGGAAGTATGCAATTGCCAATGCACTTTCGAAAGAGATGAATCCCGCCGTGAAAGCAGCCGCAATCTCACCAGAACTATGACCAGTCACCGTCGAAGGGTGAATGTTCCATGACCGGAGAAGCTCTACGAGTGCAAGCTGGATGGCAGTACAAGCCGGTTGACTGTATTCAGCCTCGTTAATGCGTGACTCACTGCCAGGCCTTTCCAGTTCTTCCACAAGTGACCAGCCTGCACCGAGAGTCTTCAAGATGCGATCAGCTTCAGCGAGGGCAGCCGCAAAGACAGGGAAGCGCTTCAATTCTCTGCCCATCTGAGCATGTTGCGCACCTTGTCCGGTGAAGACAAAGACAACGCTACCGGACTTTGCCTTGGTCGGCTTACCAGTGGGCGAGAAGGATATAAGCTGCTTTTGTAGGTCCTCCAAGGACTCGGCTGAGAATGCTGCTCTGTGAGCGTGGTGGGTCCTACGTCCACCGAGAGTATAGGCGAGATTAACCAGAGACAATGTCGGCCGCGCAGACAAGTACTCCGCGAATGATGAGATATATGCTGTGAGGCTGCTCTCTGTCTTTGCTGAGAAGACGAACAGACGTCCATGATGAGTATCATCAGGGGGTGTCAGGGCTCCGTGAACTGAAGGGCCAACTTTGTCACTGCTCTCCAGAAGCACTGCAGCATTACTGCCACCAAAGCCGAAATTTGATACAACAATGCGTTTCTCACGGCCCATCGGCCACGGTGTTAACTCGCTGATAATCTGCTACTCATCAGTACTATGGCAGCTGACGGAGTGAGGTATATCACGACTATACCTTTAGCTTCTCTGGTTGCTCAATTCTGGCGTTGAGGCCACCTGTGGTAGCCGATGCGTTTGGCAAGATGAACCCAGTCTGCAGCATCATGACGGCTTTGATGACTGCCAGTACACCGCTAGTACTTTCCGTGTGCCTGCAAACAATGAGCCAAAATCAAAGATCATTACACCCAAGGCCTGATCTCACCCGAAGTTAGACTTGACCGATCCGAGGTATGTTGGATTCGATGGTGTACTCTTGCGACCCACAACGGTGGCAATCGAGTTTGCTTCGATTGGGTCGCCGACTTTGGTGCCAGTTCCGTGTCCCTGGTCTCAGGTCAGCCCAGCACGAGCGCGATATGCGAGAACAGCTTCTTACCTCGACGACAGGAGTGTCCGCAGGGTCTAGGCCGACCTGCTCGTGGACTCTTCGCAGCAGGGCTTCTTGCGCAGAACGAGAGGGTACTGTGATACCGTCTGTACGGCCTCCATGGTTGGCCTTTTGCCAATGTTAGCTGGCGTGTGTAACCCAGACAATTGGATCAAAACTTACCGCTGTGTTCCGTATTATGGCCTGGATAGGATCTCCATCACGAAGAGCATCGTCGAGTCGCTTGATCAGCAGACAACCAGCGCCTTCACCACGACCGAATCCGGACCCTCTGGGATCATAAGAGAAGCATTTGCCCTCTGCAGACAATGCTCCCATAGTGTCGAACGCACTCCACATGGTAGGGTTGAGGATCAGTGACGCTGCGCCTACAAAGGCAGTATTGCATTCTCCGGAACGAATGCTCTGGCAGGCTAGATGAACTGCAGACGAGCCGCTAGCGCATGCAGCATCGATCGAGACGCTAGGACCATTCTGGAACGACGATCAGCTAGGGGCGATCAATGTTTGAGAGGGAAACACATACCAGGTTGAAGAAGTAGGACATGCGGTTGGCAAACATGCAGGCTGCAGTGGATGTGGCGGTGTATTTTGAAGTCGTTGGGAGATCGTCGAGTGTCTGCTGCCAATACCTATGCACCAAGTCAGCCCGCTTTCCAAGAATCTAGCTCAGACGTTTTGCACTGAAGGTGTTGGTTCGCGTAGCAGGAAGTACTCACTCTGATTTCTCGTTCGCGGCGAACGCTCCTACGTTGGACCCAGCAAGATCAGACAGCCGTACACCAGCTTGCTCAGCTGCTTCGAAGGCACACTCCAGAATGTGGCGATGCTGAGGATCCATCGATCGAGCTTCTTCCGCCCGAATCTGACCATCAGAAATGTACAAGTTAGCAAGCTCTTTCGAGGTACATGACTCATCTCCACCCGTCGCATACCTGGAAAAACGCTGCATCGAATGCGAAGATGTCGTGAGGGAGGAAGTGCCCTCCTTTCGATGCGTAACAGCCTGGCTTCTCTGGATCCGCATGATAGTATGCATCTTGATCGAAGCGATGGGCGGGGACGTTCGACCACGCTGACTGAGCGTCGGCTAGATACTCCCACAGACCTTTCCGCCCCACTCCAGGAGCCCGATAACCATAGCCAATAATGGCGATTGCGGTTTGGTCGACCATGGCTGGCTAATTCAGCTGGATAGATGATAACGAGCACTTGTTTGTACGTGTTGAAGCGTATTCGATGTGGCAGGTCTCCAAACCAAAAACAAAAGGATCAGACTACAGCAGGAGGGTCATTCGCTTGTCCCAGGTATGCGTATACTTAGTATACTACAAGCTCTGGGCACTTCGTCCGGACATAGGGTTTCCAGTCAGGAAAATTCACAGCTTCTACGCTTGTGGCTTCGCCACCACGCACCTTGCCATGTTTGCAGACCCCTTTTCTAGTGCCCAAGGTGTTAGCACCATGGCATACCGCACAGCAGAGAGTGATCGATATGGTCCAGCCGCCCATAGTGTCTCAGCCTTAGCGGTGAGTAGTCGTAGCGCTCGCGCCGTGTCAGAGTGACATGACTTTTGGTATGCAATACCAGGTGACATGAAAAAATTCTAGTAGCCGCTACAAAATTTTCGTGCCAAGTATCATTATCATTAAGGCCACGAATATACCTGCGCGCGTAGGGCCGCCAGAGGCGTAGTGAAAAGGTACCTATATGCACCTCTATTGCACATACAGCTCCCTAGATTCGTCAGAGGCGCGTTTGCAACCTGTACCAGTCAGTATAGTCTCTTCTTCATCCGCTCCAACGCAGCCGCTCGCAGAACCGAAAAAAAATCATCAGGAAGGCGACAAACGGTCAAGACATGATGTCTAACCATCCGAGCCATCTCCGACTAACATCGTTGAGATGCTCGGATTCAGGAACGAGGAGGACCACTTCGGGGACCGAAATCTTGATGTACTGAGCCAGTAAAAGCCCTAGAGGGCATAGGGCGATAGAATAGTGATAGTACCACGTCCTAGAAGGTATAGGTAATTTCCAGAAAGAGATGCTACGTCGGAAATGATGTCGGGCCAAGGTTGGAAACTAAGGTAAGTAGTATAGTGAACATAAGTCAGGCCTATTGCTATAGAGACTACTACCTCCTAGTCATATCTCCTTAAGACATAGGTGGTTGTTTTAAGCAGGGCCGTTGCTTAAAAGACCGGAGACGGGAGTAGCCGATCCGCGGAGACGGTAGCAGCCGAACTACGGGGACGGAAGCAGCCGATCCACGGAGACTAGACGGAGAGACGAAAAGATGAGAGAGACGAGAGAGACGCGGAGAAAGTTCGGCCGTATGCGCATATGTGAGCACGGTACAAAATCTACGCAGAGGTCATAAACCAAATTCCGGCCGAGAAGATTGGCCTCTACGGTAGCAAGATTGGCCGACGTTCCGTGCCACCAACGGGCAGGCCCGTCCCGGAATGTCGGCCTACCTAGTTTTTTTTTTCCTCTTCTACTTGCCCGTCGTGGCTTCGTCCTCTTCGCTACCTCCATGACACTGATGGAGCAGACCGAAAAGGCCGAGTTGTTACTATCCACGCCATCCCCTTGAAGACAATCTAAAAAAGCCGAATTGTTACCTGGTACTATTCAAGCCGTCTTCTTGTCAAAAACAACTAAAGAGCCGAATTGTCACTGTTCAAGCCGTGTTCTAGAACAGAAACTAGAAAAGGAAAAATTATCACTATCCAAGCCGTGTCCTTGTCAAGAAAACAAAGAAGCTAAAAAAAGCCGTAAAGATCACTATTCAAGCCTTCAAGACGATCGCGCGCGAAAATTTCCATGGCTTTCAGCTTGGCCTCTGCACCTCACTCTTGTTCCTCCCAAGGAGTCACTGGGGAAAGCCGAGAGGCGAAGAAGGGCCATCCCTCAAATTCTTACACTAAAGCAACGACAACTGATACAGCAATGCCAAGTCGACCAATGTTGGTTAAGTTTTCCCCTGCGTACGTACGCACGATACGGCGGCTACTGTAAGTAGTGAGAGTTCCACAATGGCACGATGCGCTTGTTCTTCATTTCATCTAAGTAGTGAATTGGTACGAAAACTGTAGAGCGCTGAACTCGTAGGGATAAAACTATGCGTTGGCTAGTGGAGCCGAAGATACCGCTCATGCTATAGTCAGGTAGCAAGTGGTTAATGGACGAAAGACAGTCGGCTCTAGCAGGATATTGCCGGTGTTACTACTCTGCACCATAGGCATGGCAGTAGGCTGGACGTCTGAGCCTCGCGCGTTATCAAAGCTCGTTGCGGCTGTGTAGTGATGGAAATGCCAGACAGGACAGTTGCTGGATCAAGTAGGTTGTGCTCAACCACTGCCTACTGCTCACTCGTTAGCACACCCTTTCCGCTCGTTTGCATACCCTTTCCGCTCGTTTACACGTTCAATTTGATTGTCATACAGAAGGTCTTGGACTTCACTAGCTACCAATATGGCATCTCGAATCATGTCTCTCCAGCAGTGCGATCCAGGGACGATTTCAGAAATCGCACAAGCTTGTGGAGTTGCCCCAGACGATATCGAAGATGTTTATGCAGGGACTCCGCTTCAGCTGGGCATGATGGCCGATTCGTCCAAGCGAAGTGGAGCATATAATTACAGACTGATCCTGAATCTGAAGGACCGCGTCGACATCGAACGGTTCTTGGACGCCTTTAGTATTGTTGTTTCACGAAACCCAATCCTTCGAACTCGATTCGCAGACTCAGCGGTGGGCATACTACAAGCAACCATCAGAGAACGATACCACACTCTGCGTTATGGAGGAACAATAACAGAATACTTGGAAGAGGATGGCTCGCGGCCGATTGGCATGGGTCAGCCATTGCTACGCAGTGCCCTCGTTGAGCGAACACTGGTTATTACCCTCCACCACGCCATTGGGGACCAGGTTTCAAATCTGGCTTTCCTGACCGATGTGTCCCGTGTCTACCAAGGAAAAGAGCCAGAACTACATGCACCATACAAAGACTTTGTCCACTACTGCTCGAGTATCAGCGATCACGATGCCGAGTCTTTCTGGAAACCTCGATTCCAGAGTATTCCAGCACATTTCCCGACAGCCATACCAAACCATGTTCCGAACCCCACCGAGCATATCTCCCAACATGTTGCTTTGGGTGCGTCTGCGGCCAATGTTTCGATCGCTTTGGTACCCTCATACATCGAGGTTGCTTGGGCTTTGACAGCGAGAGCGTATACAGGAAGTGATAGCGTGGCTTTCGGTTTGGTATTGTCTGGTCGCTCTGCGGCTCTTGGAGGGCTCGAGACTACGCTAGGACCCACACTGGTCACGGTACCGGTGCAAGTAGATCTCCCTTCCCATGCTAGCATCAAAGACGTGCTCCAAGAACGAAGCAAGCAACGACGTCAGCTGCAGAGCCACGTTGCGCTACAATATGGACTCGCTCGTATTCGCAAGATCAGCGCGGAGGCAAAGGCTACGGCTGCATTCCAGACATTGCTCAGCATACGCCCGACAGGAGACGAAGGGACAGGCTTCCAGCAATTCACAGTGGAGAAGAGTGATGTTGTGGGACCGTATGGAATCAGTTTGACGGCTACATTGGCGCCTTCTGGCATTCTGCTCGAGGCGAGCAGTGATCCGCCCGTACTGGAGAAGAAACAACTCCAGCGAGTCCTACATCAGTTCGAGCATAGTCTGAAATGGCTACTGGGACAACCGCTGCACGCCACAATCGACCAATATCCAGCCTTGAATGTGCGTGATCAAGCAGAGGTCATGGCCTGGAATGGCTTTATACCCGAGCCAGTGGAGAGAACATTGCATGATATCTTTGCCGACCAGGTCCGCCTGCAGCCGAAGAGACCTGCAGTCGTTGCTGCAGATGGTAGCCTGTCATATGAAGACTTGGATGCCCTCTCCGAACGACTTGCTCAGCAGCTTGTGCATAAGGGTCTTGCTGTGGAAGAGCCAGTAGCCTTCATATTCGAAAAGTCGCGCTGGACGATCGTGGCCATCTTGGCGATATTGAAGGCAGGGGGAGCATGTGTTCCTATCGATGCCTCCAGCCCACATTCTCGCAAGCTCTTACTCATGTCTTTGGCCGGAGCACGCTTCCTTCTCACATCAGAGCAACACAGTGCGGGTTGCGTCGGACTGTCGCAGCATGCTTTGACGGTCTCGTCGATGGAGCTGGACAAACTCCTCCCAGTCAGCTCTTCCCTCCAGGCCACATCTCGAAGCTCACCGTCAAATTTGGCCTACATCATGTTCACTAGTGGCTCGACCGGAGAGCCCAAGGGCGTTCTCCTTGAGCATCGATCTCTAGCATCTTCGCTCACTCGGCTTTCTTCAAATTTCGGCTGGGGAAGCTGCACTCGAACGCTCCAATTTGCAGCCTATGTCTGGGACGCCAGTCTTTTGGAGATTTTTGGCGCAGTACTGTTTGGAGGCTGCATATGTATGCCTTCACAGGCAGAGAGAGAGTCTGGCCTGGCCAGCTTCATGAACTCTGCTAAAACGACATGGGCTTTACTCACGCCTGCTGTCCTCAGAACGATATCACCAGATGAGGTGCCACATCTTGAGGTGTTAGCTAGCGGTGGTGAAGCCATTGATGTTGACGCAACGGCGCTCTGGAGCCGACGACTATGCTTTTTGAACTGCTATGGCCCAGCAGAAGCCAGCATTATCAGCACACTTGCAACGCTGTCACCAGACTCCCCCTACCCTCAGACCATTGGACGCGCGACTGGCTGTGCAACATGGGTTGTCGATCCTGACAACGCGAACCGCCTTCTGCCCATTGGCGCGACGGGAGAGCTGGTTGTACAGGGCCCAAATGTGGCCCGCGGATACCTCAACAACGATATCAAGACTGCACATTCGTTCATCGAGCCACCGTCATGGGCCATACGTGGACATGGGCCTGGACATAGACAGGGTGTAGCACACTCGGCTGCCTCGCAGAGAATGTATCGCACCGGCGATCTGGTGCGTTATAACCCTGATGGCTCTCTATGCTTCATGGGACGGAGAGACCAGCAGGTGAAGCTTCGTGGTCAACGCTTCGAACTCGGCGAGGTGGAGGCTTCTCTATCCAAATGCCCTGGAGTGCGAGAAGTGTTTGCCGGGATCGTAATCACAGCGACGGGCCACAAGGATCTGGCTGCTGTTGTGACGCTGTCCGAAACCACATGCACGCAATCAGCTTCTCCCGTTTTGCAGGTACTCGATTCGACGCAGCTTGCCAATGTAGACACGCTCAAGCGCCAAGTACAAGCATTTGCTCATATGCAGCTGCCATCGCATATGGTACCGACTTTGTGGTTCGCAGTGTCCGCCCTGCCCACATCAACTTCAGACAAGCTGGATCGAAAGCGTATCAGCTCGTGGCTTCAAGAGCAGAACCTGGAGACAGCCAAGCTCCTCATGAGTCAAGACGCATCTGCATCGACTACGACGACACCTCCGAAGACTCCTGAAGAGACTGCTCTACAAGCAGTGTGGTCGTCTGTTCTAGGCATTCCCAAAGTTGATATTGGCCGCGAAAGTGACTTTATTGCACTTGGAGGAGATTCGATCTCTGCCATGTCGGTGGCAACTCGTCTTCGTAAACAGGAAGGTTTCCAGATTGCTGTAGCAGCACTGCTCGGCAGTGGAAGTCTTGCGCAGGCTGCGGTGACATGCACAGCGCTACACCAACCATCGAATGCCTCTGTCCTGCTCAACAGTGTTACGAGCACCAGTCTGTCTCCTGTACAACGACTGTTCTTTGAGAACGATGGACCAGCGGCACACAACCATTTCAACCACTCCTGGGTCCTGGAGCTACGATCAGATGTCTCTGCTAAAGCACTGGAGACTGCATTGGCAAAGGTCGTGGATCATCATGCTATGCTTCGGGCACGTTTCAAACAAGGGGTAAATGGTGCGTGGCATCAGGAAATCGAGGCATTTTCAAGCGGCGCTTGGCATTTTGCTCATCACCAAGGGGTCATGCCTGATAGTGTTCCAGCTCTCGTTGAGGCACGTCAAGCTACGATGGACATCCACACTGGTCCTGTCTTCTCCGCCGACTTGATCGAGAAGCAAAACGGCAGCCGCCTGCTTTTGCTTGTCGCTCACCACATTGTTGTCGATCTCGTTTCCTGGCGTGTAGTCTGGGAAGATATCGAGACTCTCGTCCATGAGCCTCAAGCATACCTCCCCGACAGTGCCTCTTTCTTGACTTGGACAGAACACCAGGCACAGTCTGTCGATCCGACCGATCTGAGCGACAGCTGGCCGAAAGCCAACCTAGGCTTCTGGAATGTGCAGGACAAGCTCGCCTTGAGTGGCAACCTCATCAAGCACCGCCTCGAGTTTGATCCAGCTACGACCGAGCTCGTCATGGGCTCTTGCAATCTCGCCTACAATACCACTCCGACAGAATTGTTGCTAGCAGCCACCTTCAGATCGTTTCAGAGAATCTTTGCAGGTCATAATCAGCCAGCAGTATACTGTGAAGGCCATGGGCGACCTCTTTCAGAGACGGCACTGGATGTGTCTCGCACAGTAGGCTGGTTCACAACCTTGACGCCTGTGGTACCATCAGCTGCTGGTACCGATCTGACAACTATCGCTATGATCAAAGACAGCTATCGCGATGCTACCGTTAATTCGCTACATTCGTTCACGTCACGCATGGCCAGCACCCAGCCCTTGCATTGGCGAGACATTGAGCTCCTCTTCAACTTTGCTGGTCGACTCCAGCAGATCAACCAAAGTGACAGCTTGTTCAGTCTAGATGCTCGATACTCTGATAAGGTCCTACAAGTAGCGGACAATGTGCCTCAACCTGCGCTCATTAGTGTTTCGGCAGCGGTCCAGGGCGAGTGCTTACAGATATGGGTCGAATACAACGGCGAAATGGCACACCAGGACCGTTTGCGTGGCTTCGTCGACGAGCTGAAGCATGAAGTCGAACGCTTTTCAACCACTCTACCAGGCGGGCAGTCAGAACTTACGCTTCACGATATGCCATTGCTTCATGCAACATACCAAGACCTGCCACGAATTCACAGATCACTGACCGCAATTGGCGTGCCAGCTTCGAATGTCGAGACTATTCTGCCATGTACGCCGATGCAGGAGGGTATGCTACTCGCACAGTTCAAAGGCCACGAGAACGCATACCTCGGTCGTTTCATATTCCGACTGTCGGGGGGCTCAAGCCTCGACGTCTATCGTGTTGCCGATGCCTGGCGGCTGTTGTGTAAGACACACAAGATGCTCCGAACGCTCACGACCAGTGGGCTCTGCTCAGGGGGTGCTTTTCAGCAGCTTGTGCTTAAGAAGACGGAGCCGCGGGTGGTTCATCTCGAGGCCGGAGGAGCCAAAGATATCTGCTCGGTGTTGAAGGCATATGCACGACCCCGACTGCAGCCAGACCGTCCGACACACCAAATGACTCTGGCATCCGGCTCAGGGCATGTCTACGCGATGCTTGATATCAGCCATGTCTTGTCCGACGCCCGGACCATGCAGCTTCTAGCATTGCAACTTCGAGCGGCTTACTTACATCCACTGCAAGTGCCTATCAGCCCTTCATTTGATGAGCATGTTGCCCATATTCAGCAGAATCGAGAGACCTCCCACAAGTACTGGGTCAACCACCTGAGAAATGCACAGCCTACACTCCTACCACATGTGGAGAACGGGGCTGAATCCAATGCTGAGGACGGTGCGAAGGCGATTGATGTCCCTTTCGCGAACGCGCCAGAACTACTAGCCTTCTGCAAAAAGCACAGCCTAACCGTGGCGAATGTCGTTCAAGTCGGCTGGGGACTGGTCTTGCAACAACTGACCGGATCCCACGATGTTCTCTTTGGCTACCTATTCTCAGGACGGGATGCCTCGGAAGAGGCACAGAACACCATCGGTCCTTTTATCAATATGTTGACATGCAGAATCCAAGCTAACTCCGATTTGAGAGTTTTGACTGTTCTGGAGAAGGCCAAAGCAGACTTCTCTGCAGGTCTCGAGAATTCAGCTTGTGTCCTCGGCGAATTGCAGGACGCGCTGGGTGTTGGTTCATCACCATTGTTCGACACGGCAATGTCTGTGCAGCACACTTGGACTGATGAGATCAAAAGTCAGGGCTCGTCAGACCTTGCGATTGAATTGGAGCATGTCGAAGATCCCACCGAGGTACGTTAGAGAGGGCGAATGTGTATGTGCCATACTGAAACAGGCTCATGACTGACTGTGCAATAGTTCCCACTCACGGTGAATGTCATGTATACGAACAATTCTTTTGCTTGCAAATTGTTCTACCAGGCTGGTAAACTTTCCAGAAGTCTGGCAGAAGACCTTGCCACCACGTACGCAGCTACCATCGACTGCATCATCCGAGACGATCAACAGTCTATCGGCACGGTTCATGCCTCTTCAATTCTACCTCCTCCTCGGCCTGTCCGATTGCTATCAGCTCTGCCGGACAGATGGAATAGCGACTCTGTGCGGGCAGTCGACTCGTGTCTGCATGAGCTGTTCAGGACGGTGGCCAAGAATTATCCAACGGCACCCGCAGTATGCTCATGGGATCGCTCCCTGAGCTATGGAGATTTGGACATCCTGTCAGAGAAACTGGCCGCAATGCTGCAACGGATGGGTATTGGTCCAGCATGTATCGTTCCGTTTGTCTGCGAGAAGTCTGCATTGGCTCCTGTGATCATGTTGGGGATTCTCAAGGCAGGCGCAATAATGTTGCCGCTGGACATTACTCATCCAGTGGCTCGACTGACCAGTATTGTACAGGAAGCCAACGCTGCGGTTGTTGTATGTTCGTCCACCTTACAGCATGCAGCCGCTCAGCTTGCTCCGCAGACTTTGGCAATCGACTTCAAGACACTCGAGGATGAAGCCTATAAGACCATCCAGAACAGCACCACTCCCTCCGACGGCTGCTATGTGATCTCCACGTCGGGCTCAACTGGAAAGCCCAAGATGATACTCGTGGAACACCGCAACGTGGCAACGAGCATTACCTCGCACCTACAGCCCCTTGGAGTCAACGCTTGCACAAGAGTTCTCCAGATCGCAACCTTCGCCTTCGACGCATCCGTAGCAGAGGTCTTCTTTCCCTTGCTAGCAGGAGGATGTATTTGTATGCCGAGCGATGCCGAGAGGTCTGACAATATTGCCGCTGCCATTGTGAGGACATCTGCGAACTTTTCCTTCATGACACCGTCCATGGCAAGACTCCTCAAGCCCAGCAAAGTGCCTACACTGCGTACGCTGGCGTTGATGGGCGAAGCGATGACACAGGATGATGCCGAGCTCTGGAAAGACATTCGCCTGATCAACGCTTACGGCCCTGCCGAAGGTGCTATCATCTCCAGTTGCGGAGATGTCGATCATGAAAAGGCTAATGCCTTTGCAAATATCGGTCGACCGCACGGCTGTGCTTTCTTCGTCACGGAGCAAGATGACCACAACGTCCTCGCCCCGATTGGATCTCCTGGTGAGCTCATTATACACGGACCTTCTGTAGCTCGCGAGTATTTGAACGACCCAGAGAAAACTGCAGCTGCTTTCATCTCTGCACCAGAGTGGAGCAAGTTCTTCCTGTCACTCCAAGCAGCGCAGTCGGATCGATTCTACAAGACTGGCGACTTGGTAGCGCAGAATACCGACGGCTCCATATCTTACTTGGGGAGGAAAGGACTGCAAGTGAAGATTCGTGGACAGCGTGTCGACCTTGCCGAGATCGAACATCATCTGACCCTGTTGCTGGGCGGCACAGTCTCCTTGGCAGTCGAGACCGTAGATGCACATGGTGATAAGAGTGACGGGCGACTCGTCGCCTTTCTCGCTGAGACGGCATCCGAAGGCTTGGGTGATGGCAGCAGCAACACATTGGGCTGCATGTTAACGGACCCGGAACCAGGTCAGGCCGCTCTGCTTCGTGAAGGCCTCCAGAAAGTTGTCGCCCCGTACATGGTACCGGATCTGTACGTGAGGTTGCAAACACTTCCCCTGTCTCCGTCTGGCAAGACGGATCGAAAGCGACTTCGAGAGCTAGGCGCTGCATTATCAAAATCAGAGCTCATGGCCTATAGTGCACTCCGCAAGGGGAAAGAGGAGAACCTAGCGAAATGCGATCTGCCCATCGTCGAGCGACATTGGACGGAACACGAGCGCATACTCCAAGGACTTTGGTCCAAAGTCTTGGGTATCCCACATGAGTCGATCGCACGTGAGGACAACTTCCTAGCAATCGGCGGCAACAGCATCAAGGTCATACAACTCGTCGCGGCTGCTCGAGACCAAGAACTGCAGCTCACAGTGGCAGACATTTTCGGCCATCCCGTACTGAGTGAACTCGCGGCCGTCGTACGCACTACTGCCATCAAAGAGAGCACGATCGCGCCTTTCACTCTGCTTTCTGGCTCCCCTGACGTTGAGTCACTCTGCCAACATGTGGCCGCCGTCTGCGGTGTTTCAGCATCACAAGTTGAAGACATGCTTCCTGCTACGGCGATACAAGAGGGCTTGCTTGCGATGGCTTCGAAGAGAAGCGGTGACTATGTCGCTCAAATGGTCCTGCCGCTCGGCACTTCGACTAATCTCGATGCATTCAAGAAAGCGTGGGAAGCTGTGGTTGCATCTGCACCCATCTTGCGAACACGTCTGATCGATATACCCGAACATGGTGTTGTCCAGGTGGTACTCCAAGAAACTGTAGCTTGGACAGAGTATGTTGATCTGGAGACCGAACTTGCCAGCGAGCTACAAGCGGAAATGACACTGGGCTCCTCGCTCAGCAGAGTGGGCATCAATGTGGACTCTGTAAGCGGAACGAAGAATTTCGTGTTGACGCTTCACCACGCAATCTATGATGGCTGGTCCATGTCGCTGTTGCTCGACGCTGTCGAAGATGCGTATCACGATAGGATTCCACGACTGGTGTCGTTCAAGCCCTTCATTCGACACCTCTGCGAGCAGAAGCTGGAAGATGTGGAGAGATTTTGGTCATCACAATTCGCGGGCCTGGAGGCGCCACCGTTCCCTACACTGCCATCTGCGGAATACACGCCCCGTGCAAACGCAACGTTCGAGCACAGTGTCACACACCTCAAAGGATCCTCGTCAGCTGTGACCATGTCCACCATCGTTCGCACCGCCTGGGCACTGCTTCTTGGCTCATATACAGGTACCCCGGATGCAGTATTCGGCGCCATAGTGAGTGGTCGACAAGCTTCCGTGCCAGACATTGAACGTATTGCTGGACCCACGATAGCGACCGTACCAGTGCGTGTCAGGCTCGAAGGCAACCAGACTATCGAGAGCCTACTTCACCGCGTTCAGCAACAATCACTAGACATGAATGAGTTTGAGCAGACAGGCTTGCGTGTAATCAAAGGAATCAACTCAGAAGCACAAATTGCATGTGGCTTCCAGACTCTGCTATTGATACAGCCTCCGGAACCTTCAGATGCAAGCAAATCGACGAAGGATAGCCTATTCCTGCAGGAGAAGACGAGCAGGAACCATGTCGCTTTCGATGCATTCTCCACATACAGCATCATGCTCGTGTGCGAGTTGCAAGCTGACGGACTTCGACTTCGATTCGCATATGACAATCACGTTGTAGAGCACGCACAAGTTTCGAGGATGGGTTCTCAGCTCGATCATCTGTTACACCAGCTCTGTGACATCGACTTGCGGGGAGGCACTCTCGCCAATCTCCAAAAGATCAGCTCCGACGATCTGCATGATATCTGGAGTTGGAATGCCGCGGTGCCCTCAACAGTCGCAGAGAGTGTGCACGACTTGATCTCCAAAACGGCACATATGCAGCCTCAGGCTCTGGCTATACAAGCCTGGGATGGAAACTTGACATATGACGGTCTCGATGAGTGCTCGGATACGCTATCCAGCCATCTTCTGGCGCTTGGCCTTTCTCGGGGCGACGTGGTGACCCTGCTGTTCCCAAAGTCTATGTGGACCGCCGTGGCCGCTTTGGGAGTCTGGAAAGCCGGTGGTGCAGCGCTTTTGCTCGATGTTGCGCTTCCGCAGGACAGACTGGCTACCATCATCGCAGAGGCCAAGCCCAGGCTCATGATCTGTGCAGCCTCACTCGTCACGCTGTCCCAGTCTTTGGCACCAGCGTTGCAGCCTGTACCGCTGGACTGGAGCTCTTTCAAAGTGATGGATGGAATTGAGCAGAGTGTAGAGCTGCCAACTTGGCACCCATCTGACGTGTTGTATATGGTTTTCACGTCCGGGAGTACTGGTGAGTCGAGGCCTGCTTCCTTTTCGAGTCAATCAATTTACTGACAGAGTGACAGGAACACCAAAAGGCGCACTGGTCACGCATAGCAACTTTGCCAGTGCTCTGCGGCATCAAGCGGCCAGCCTTGGCCTCACCCCATCTTCCAGGGTTCTTGACATATCCGCATATTCGTTTGATATGGCGTGGTACACCATGTTGCACACCCTTTATACCGGCGCTTGCCTATGCATTCCCAGCGATCAGGAACGCAAGGATGACCTCTCCGGTGCCACTCTTCGTTACGGTGCAACCTTTGTGAATCTCACGCCCAAGGTCGCAAGTTTGCTTGACGGAGATGCATTGCGGCAGCTGAAAAAGATTGAGATGGCCGGTGAGACTGCAAGTAAAGAGCTCCTGGACAGACTACGGACGCATGACTTGCAAATTAGCAACGCATATGGACCTGCGGAGTGTACTGCGATAGTCGTTTCGTCCAATGAAATGAGAACGCCATCACACATTGGACGCGGCGCCGGTGCGGTCACATGGCTCATGGACCCGCTCAACACAGATCATCTTGTACCCGTGGGTTGCATTGGTGAGCTCTTCATTGAAGGGCCATTGGTGGGCAAAGGCTACCTGGGCCGACCGGAGCAGACCGCAGCGGCTTTCGTCGAGGATCCGGAATGGCTTGCGCAAGGATATAGCACGCATCCAGGCCGGAGTGGCCGTTTGTACCGCACCGGGGACCTCGCTCGCTACGAAGCAGACGGTAGCCTATCGCTGCTAGGTCGCAGAGACGGCCAGGTCAAGATCAGAGGGCAGAGAGTGGAGCTTGCTGAAATCGAACATCATATTCATGCTCTCCTCGAGGCAGCTGGCCACGCGGGCTTGCATGTCGTGGCCGAGGTTGCAAAGCCTCTGAATTGTGATTCAGCCAGACTGGTGGCTCTCCTGGTTCCAACAGGGGCCAAAAACATGACGGAGCAACGCTTGGGCCAAGAAGTCTCGCATATGATCCGTGGTCTGGACGACAAGCTCGCGACACTCGTTCCTCAGTACATGGTCCCGGATGCATACGTCCCGCTAGTGGAGATCCCACATACTGCTACGGGCAAGACGGACAGGAGACGCTTACGCGAGAAGATTGCGTCCATGGAGCTCGAGAGTTTGTCTGGTGCAGCCGAGTACGTTGCGCCGTCCACCGAGCTTGAGGCCAAGTTACAATCAATCTTTAGCGATGTCCTGAACGTACCTGCGACCTCTATATCTGTGGAAGCTCCCTTCCGCAGTCTTGGTGATTCCATCCAGGCAATGCAGCTCGTTGCAAAGTGTCGGCGGGAGCAGATTGGCCTTACCACTGAGCGCTTGCTGCGATTACAGACAATCAGAAACATCTGCAAAGAGCACGAAGCTTCGACTAGCAGCGGCTGTCAACTCGATCAGAGCATTGCCAAAGTCCTCCCTGCAGAACAGCTCCACACCCTTTTCGACTTGTCCCCCATCCAACAGTGGTACTTCGACACCAAACCAGCCAAAATGTGCTTCGATGTTCCTTTACTCCTCGTACTGCAGCGCCGCTTGAGCCCAAAGCTGGTTAGGCGAGCCATGGAACATCTTGTGGCCCGCCACTCCATGCTGCGAGCACGATTTGAGCAAGACGCAGCAACAGGCCGCTGGAAGCAGCTAATTCACTCTGACGTGGAATCCTCGTACAGCTTTGAGTACCACGCTGTGGAGACCGAAGCTGCTCTGGCTTCGACAGTGAAGAGTTGTCGCGCGGGATTGGACATCGAAAAGGGTCCATTGATTGCAGCTCGACTGATCGAAACGGGAGACTCTCAACTCTTGTTTGTAACCACGCACCATTTGGTCATGGATTATATGAGCTGGCGCATCCTGATCGCGGAGCTCGATGATCTGCTCTCCAGAACCACCACGCCAGCAGTGGAGCAGGCCCCTTCGCACTCGTTCCAGCACTGGGTACTGGCACAAGCTGAATACACCCGATCGAGATTGTCTCCTGAGCTTGCACTTCCTGCAAATCACCAGATCCTGCCTGCTCAATTAGACTATTGGGGCTTGAACGAGGCCAAAATCCAAACCATGCGATATGCAACTCGCGTCGTGACGCTCGACACCAAAGCAACCTCTCACATCATGGAGTCGCCATACATCACAAAACAAGCTTTTACGCCTTTCGAGCTCCTCATGTCCGCCCTCTTCTACAGCTTCAGCCATGCCTTTCCCGACCGCCCTCTCCCACCTTGTTTCGCCGAAGGGCACGGCCGCGAACCCTGGTCCGGAAGCCCCTTCGACCTCTCCCAAACCGTCAGCTGGTTCACCACCATCTTCCCCATCCAGCTCCCCCCAACAACAACAACAACAACAACCTCCCCCTCCCGATCTCTCGCAGAAACCATCCGAGCCGGAGCGCACGCAATGCGATCTCTCCCCCACCACGGCTTCGACTACATGTCCACGCGCTATCTCCACCCGCGCGGACCCGAGAACTTCCACTCAAGCCAAGGAACATGGGAATTGAATTTCAATTTTTTGGGAACTTTTTATCAATTCGAAAAGGAAGATTCTCTCTTTCATCTTCAACCACTTCCCTCCGGTTCGGATCCCGAGAGTACGGCGGATTTTGCCCCGACGGCTGTTTTTGATATTGGTGCTGTGGTGATTCGGGGGGAGTTGCAGGTTACGTTTAAGTATGCTTGCGCAGAACATTTTGTGGAACGCTTGGCGGGGGAGTATGAGAGAGTTTTGAGGAGTTTTGGTGCAGGAGGAGTAGCAGGAGGGAGATAAATTGTTGGCGGTTGCTGGTGTGGTGTATAGTCCGCTTGGTTGTGGATGGTTGCTCCTAGGGGTAAGGTAGTCGTATAGCGAAGCGAAGCGCCTCTTCTTGTGTTTATTTGTAAGGAAAACTCCCTCGGCGTACTTTTGGTACCGTGCTCATATATACGCCTACAGCCGAATTTTACGAATTTATGTGCGCGACGCTCATACGGGCATACACAAGTTTATGCCCTTACCAAAAATCATCTCCAGATTTCATTATACTAACGATTAATAGTACGACGTCTGAGGCGCGGTCCCGCCTGTCCCTGTGTAGTCGATTGCAATAGAGCCTTGTCGACAGGCTGTAATCGAGCCAAATCGCAAAAAGTTTGCCGATATATTCTCCAGCGATGCGGCGACGCTTTTGGTGTCAACGATGTCATGTATCAACACCATGCAATGTCCTATGAGTCTCTGAAAGTCGTTGGCCTAGGAACACCGCTCCACGAGGCTGCAAGGGGAGGCAGACTGGAAGCCGCCCTCGTCTTACTGGAATATGGTGCGGACCCTATGGTCCTGGACTCGAACGGGCGTACTGCGCTGGAGGTGGCGACTTTGCATGGAAACGACGCGGTAGCGCAATGCCTGGAGCGCAGGGCGGCTCGACTATGAGAAGCTGCCTATCTCCAACCACGGTCAGACTACATGAGCGTACAATGGTCTACACCAAGGATGCCGTCACTGCCATCACCATTCGTCGAGTCCTTTAGTCCCGACTCGCCTTCCTTCAAATCCTCCCAGTACACACAAGCGAGGAGGCCGCCCCTCATCTCCTCGAACGCTTTCGCAAAAAGCCTCATCGCGTCCTCATCCTCACTTGCCATGGCCTTTACAACCAGGTCGACACGCTTTCGCCACTGCGGGCGTGAGCGCGATGACCTTTCGTACGTCTCCACCCACAGTGGATGCCTGGCTTTGCTGAAATGGTTCTCGATGCTCCTGAAAAGCATGATGATGTGGCAAGTCACAAAGACATAGTTTACGCTGGAGGCTGGATTGTTACCGCAAACGTCGGCGAACAGATCAGGGCGCAGCATGGTGAGCAGATCGCGGCCTTGGGCATCCGCCACCGGTCTCTTCTTCTTTTGCTCTTGGTGCAAGTTGTACGGATCACGGCGTGGAGGCGGCAGCTTGTACTCATTCAGCGCCGGAATCTGGCGCATAACTGCTTCAGTGAATGCAGCATCGTCATCGTCATCAGTGGCCGCGGTGTGCCCCTGTACTTCAAGTATCGACCCTGATGCAATATCTTGCAGCATCGAGGCGTGTTTTGGGTCTCTGCTGGCGCGCTTGACAAGCTCCGTCTCCTTGAGCCGCCGCTCGCCAGTCTCGGGATCGATCACGCGCTCTGTGCTCATTAAACGCATCATGTACCACATCGACTTGAGCCTGACGTCTGCGTCTGGAATCTTTTCCGGCGCCCACCCGGCGTCATAATACATCATAAGGTCCGATTTTCCCGTGAAGAAACGGTTGAGTTTGACATCCAGTATGCCATGGATGTCTGTGGTTGGGTCGCGAGCGAGTGCCTGGATGCGGCGGCGTAGCGAACCACGGTCGGCGTGAACCTGATTCACTCGAGCGGAAAGCGCGCTGTAGAAGTCTTCGGTGGGAATGCCGTCGGGGAAGAACTGCTCTTCGTGAAGAGCCACGATGGCGGCGTACAAGCCAATGGGCCTTTCCAGATAGCGCTGCTCGACAAGCATGTTGTGCAAGTGAATGGCGAGGGTGGGCTCGGGCATGTTTTCCCAAAGCTGCATCACGACTCGTTGGACTAGGACGATGCCTTCGACCAAGCCGGCGGCGCAAAGTACCGGAGAATACTCCCAAAGACCGTTTGAATTGTGCTTTGAAAACGAAGAAGGCGGAAGTGTCTTGAGACCATACATGTATTTGGACTCTCCCAGCCAATTTATGAAGTCCCCCCTAAGCAAATCGAGCAGTTCACAACTGTCAGAGTGCTGGGAGGACTCATATTGGCTGTCGCGGTCTTTCTCCATGAGTTGCTTGAGCACATCAATCGACTGCAGTACTCCGTGGCCTAGCCTCTCGTTTTCGCGGTCGAGAAACAGATCGACATCGCGTCGAGGTCGGAACTTACGAGATGGTCCAGCAAGGATATGACCTCGGAGCGGATTGACAGTCCATCCCCGCGACGCAGCGAAAGAATCGACAATGCATTGGAGCTGGAAAACATGATGTAGCAGGATCTTGCCCTTGATATCGGTGCCCTGTTTCTGCATCGCTAGTGTCGTGATGTCGCCAGCAAACTCGTTCAGTCCGAAAAGCCTACGATGTTGATGCCACGGCCCGGTAGTCGACCAGTCGACGTGCTCATAGATGTGATGCTCACCCTTCATGGTATTCCGCTGAACAACGATGGAAGAGAACACGTTGACCAAGTCGTAGAGCCATGAGATAGTGTATAGACGGCGCCATCTGACACGATCCTCATTGGCGACGCGTTGAAGATCCAGTGTTGGAGTCCAGGTGTCGAGCTGGGCCTGCATGGCCTTGGTCGGCTTGCCACGATTCTTGCGGAAGTCAGAGATGAAATCGACGAGGTCATTATAGGCGTGCACCCAGAACTGCTCCTTGACATCCAGGAAGGTTTCTTTGACCTTATCAGTCTGGTGACCGCACTGCGATACTCGATACAAGCTCAATTCGAATTGCGTTTGAGCTTTTTCTAAATCGCCGCGTGTCATTGTGTTGATGATGGTATCATATGACTCGTGGCCTGGGAACTCCGCGAAGACGGTAATGCAGGTTCGCTTGACCATAGAGACGGCTATGTTAGTCAGTGCGGCAGCGACAGCACTGTTGAGCCCATCGTAGGCTACCTCACGCCACAGATCTTGGGTATAGAGTCTGAGATCCATCCACTCGCCAATGACTGCGTGAACAGCCATCAGGTAGTCAGTGACAAGTCCCTCTCCGTCTTCGATGATACGGTAGCTCTCAATAGGGATATCGGCCATGGCTGCCTCAGTAGGAATTGAAGCCGCTCCCTTCGACTTCGCCTTCTTGCCACGCTTGCCCTTCTTGCCTTTGCCCGGCCTAGGCTGCTTCCGTGCTCTCGTTTGCGTCGTCTGCGCGCCGCCTGCGTCTGAATCGTCTTCGTCTTCGTTTTCACCTTCAACGCCACCAGCACTTCCGAGACTCAATGCCGAGAATTGGTTCTGGAATTCGACATCCTCGCGCGCCTTCCCCTCCATCGCAGAAGCGTCATTTGATTCCCATGAGGCGCCTCCCAGAGCTTCGAAGGCTTCTGTCAGTGCGTCAATGAAGTGCTTGTGAGTTTCGTTGGCTCTCTCGATCTCTGGATCCGGCTTCTGGGTGACGATCTGCTGGAAAGCCGCGTGAGTGGCCGAGCGTGCTTTGATGATTGCTTTGAAAAGCCTGAAGACCGTGGAAGGGATCGGATGAAGATGTTTGGCGATCAGTCTGGCTATGTTGACGATCTCGGCAACTGTCGTACGCCCTGTGGTGTTGAGATGCACGGAGCCATCTTCTGCCTGCTTTCCGGATTTGACGATTCCGTTGCTCGTGTTAATGACCCAGTACAAGAGCAGACTGGTATCTTTCTTGTAGGTGAGGTAGAGGTTGTTCCGGCTCCGCATCTTCCCAGTGGCAGAGACCGAGCGGTCTCGTGAAGTAACGCCCTTGCCACGGCTAAGATGGCCTTATTGAGGCGATGCTACGAAGTAGACTGAGGTGGACTACAAGGGCCAAGGCTGCTACCGTTTGCTACCGTTTGCTGATCTCGTCGTCGTAGCCTTGGTAATTTCCGCCTCTATCACCCCGAAGAGCATAAAAGAGAGTGATGAAGGGGCAAAAGGAAGATGAGTAGAGAGATCCAAGTTTGGTGGCCTGGCAGCGCTGCTTAGGAGGTACAATTTAGATTTTTTGTTGTTGCTACCTCCCGCTCCTCCGAAAGTCTGTCTTCTTGGCGTTTTCCTACTACCTCAACAGGGGGTATATCATCTTTGTAGAGTATATACACTGTTTAATAGCATCCTACATCCATTGATCGTCGGCGTCGGCTATGCTTGTCCTTGTGCTTGTATTTGTGCTTGTGCTTGTGCTTGTACTTGTACTTGCACTTCTGCTTCTTTTCCAGCAGCCAATCAGAAGCCAGAGAATTGCGGTCAATTCTCCCTATGAATTTCGTACCTTCCCAACATATATATCCCGCCAATAAATTCCCAGAAATTACATGTAGTTGTATACCGCGTTGCATACATAGAAAATAATCCGGAGAATTTGGCTGTGTGCGTATCTCTACCTAAGTATGGTACGCAAATTGCACGACAAGGGCATAAAAGAAGATTGCGCTTCCACGTTGGCTACAATTTGGCCAACGTTGCGTGATACTAACGGGCTAGCGAGTAGGGACATGCGATAGCATATACATGTAGTATGCGGGCACCCGGAGTAGGAACGGCGAGGTGGACGGGCGAGGTTGAGGCCTGAACGATAGCTACTCACTCAATTGACACATTATGGATGTCAATCTTTCATCTCGATGGCAGATAGGTATATAGTAAACTTGAGAAGTTCACTAACTGTTTCGCAATGTTGATGATTGAATGAAAGAAGAAGGAGGGAAAGAAGAAGTAAAAGAAGCTGTATACACACAGAGAGAGAAAGAGAGGTTCGTCTCCTAAACTCTATCTTCCCCCTTACCCTCTTCTAGGTACATTTCATCACTGATTCACTACTCTCAACCCTCCCTGAGTAGCAGGCTGTGGAGGATCTGGACTGAATCTGCCTCTTTCCTCGTCAAACATTCTACTGCTGCTACTACCATCTTCCTCCTTCTGTCCCATAGCCGAGGAGGTATGGTCTGCTCGAATCTGTTGTTGATGCGCTGAAGCAGTCCCTACTGCTTCCGCTGCATTCGCCACCTCAGGCGGAGCTTCTGTTGGGAGGCGATAGGGTTGATAGAATTGACTGTACGGGCCGGATTGGAATGTGGTATTATTACTGCCTCCCACCATATCGTGATTCACTTCCGGCATCATGGGTTGGGATCCTTGTTGGTGGTGGTGCTGGGGCAATGCAGGTAATGGAGAAGGCTGCGCGAGACCACTTCTTCTTGCTGCAGAAGAAGAATTTCCCTCCGCGGGTAACTCTTGTGGTTCAGGCTGCTCTGCTACGCCTGGCAAAAGGGGGCTGGTGGTCCAGCAGCCACCACCTCCTCCTCCTCCTCGAGTAGTTCCTCCTCCGTCTCCAGGACCGCCGTAGACGACACTCGGACTATACCCCGGTGGACTGACGATACCGTTGCTGCTGCTGCTGTTTTTGGTGGTGGTACTCACAGGACTATTCGGCGTCATAAAAAAATGGCTCGAGCCCGTGAGTTCACTAATTGGGCGACTCTGATCTTTTCCTCCTCCGCCTCCGGAGACATCTGCAACAGGATACGAGTCGATTTCGTTGGCGGTTTTGGAGTGGCTGTACATGTCAGAGATCATGTCGTGGCGAGCATAGTCGGAAGTGGGAGGTTGGCGTTGCGCGTACTGCTTTTGCTTTCTGCGACGCCAGAGGATGAAAATTGTGAGGAGGAGCGCGAGGAGTGCGACTGGGATGGCGACGCTGAGGCCGATTACGATGCCGTTGTTGGATGGGGCGTGGTGTGCGGCGGTTGATGGGTCGGCGTTTCCGGTGCTGATGGGGATCTGAGTGGTGAGAATCGAGGTGATGATCACGATGCCGCCGGCTGAGTCGGAGGAAGTGGCTGTTGTGGTGATTGTAGATTCGGAGGTGGAAGAAGTTGGTGTGATGGAGGAGGAGGAGGAGGAGGAATGGCTGGAAGACGTCGTGGAAGCACTGGCAGAGGCGCTCGTGGCGGCCTTGTTGGTGGTGGTAGGAGGCGCATCTGAGGATGGCGCCGTGGGTGTGCTCTCGATCCTTGTGACAGGAATGGGATTCCCGACGTCGATAGTCTCCTTATCATCCCAGTCACAGCAGTCGACCTTGGTAGGATCTCTGTTCTTGTCGCAGCACCAGCTTCCATCTGCACACTGAACAATGGCTTCATTACCGGCAGCCGTGTTGTTCGAGGTACAGTATTGCGGACAGTCGTCGCCCCCTGGCAGTTATTAGCCCATGATCTCTCTCTCTATCAAGGACAGCCTCGATACACGTGCGTGCAATGCAGGACTTACAGCTTCTATCCGTGCAGGTGTACCTCCCATAGTAGTCATTGGAGTCATCGAGCCAGCAGAGCCCATTGCTCAAGCAGATCCAGTCGAGCGGACAACAAGCACCTCCATCGTCCGAGCAGGAGGCATCAGTTCGGGAGACGTCGCCGTTGGGATAGTAGCAGTTTTGAGCCGAAACGGATTCGAGTGCGAAGTGAAGCACGGCGAAGCAGCCCGCGGCGCGCAGCATCTTCTGCGACTTCATTGTTCGTGCATGGTGTGGTGGATGTTCTGTTTGGTTCGATGGTCTGGTGAATGCTCAATAGACGACAAATGGGAAGTCTCACTACTCGGTGAAGTGACGGCGAAGTCGCCAAGAGAGTGAGAAAGAGAGCGAGAGAAAGAGAAAGAGAGTTGTTTGCTCCCAAAGAACGCTGAACAAGCTTATTTCTGGAAACCTGCAGCAAGTGAAACTAAAGGTCGCTCGTGCGCAATCGTTCTTCCACCTACGTTGCACAGCCAACGGTCGCTGTAGAGACCTGAGAATTGGAATTCTGCGACAGAAACGAGCACGCCGCTCTCATTTTGTCGGTCAGAAGGGGGCTATGAATGTCTGTTATTCGACCCAAAGAAGTCGACCGAGGTGCGCATAGCTGCATATAGCTGGTGGCGTTGCAGTGCCACAGGAGGCGGAGGACGGGTGCTTGCACCAGTCTCAGGAGGAGACGACGTGTTGATTGGATGGTCTGGGTACATGGTGATAGTTCTGAGCCTTGTTTATGGTCCAGCAAGCACCTGCGCAGCTTCTTGGTACGTGCCTCACACAACAGGACTGTCACCTCGTTTGATTCTCCGCCACCATGAGATCACAAGGACGCTTCCCGCACGCAGCAACGTCTTTTATCTCCTGCCAACAAGACTCTGACTAGCCCTCAAATGGCCTTTCGATACTGTTTGGGGTCAACCTTCATCTCGACAGGTATCACAGTACCATTGAACTTGGCCATCGTCAAGCCATATCTGTCCAAGACACGTGGTTCCCACTGCTCTGAGAAACGTTCTTCCGTGAGCATGGGCATCAGGTCGGCAACAGAGCCGCCGAAGATGGTGAGCATTGTAGATGAGCTAGACATGGCAAGTCAGTGCAGCCTCTCGAGCGCCGTGCAAGACGGGCACATACTTCGCGCTACCAAACATGTTGTGGAAGAAGCTTTCAGAGTAGTCTTTGTTTGTGCTTCGAGCGTCGGCTCGTCTCTTCGACAGTGCTCGCGAAAGATCAGCCTTGGTGAGCAGAGGCGAGCCATCGGGCTAAGTACCAGAGTAAGATATTGAAGGTAAGCAAGTTTTCTCCTAGGACCTCAAAGTGTCGCCATAGACTCTCTCTTTCTTCCAATTTGCAACCTTGGTAGGCTCAAGCCAAGAGGACCATTTGGCAAAAGGGATGTCGTCGAACTGCTACACTTACCATCTTTCCCGTGGCTTCAGACAGGAGCTGTTGAACCAGCTCGAGGTCCGGCTTGCCCTGATCTGGCTGTATTGCGGCATCGTGTCGTGTAAGACTAGCATCATGCTCGATGGCATCCGGTGCATGCAGGCTGAGATCTGCCAGATCGAAGCGGTCGGTCTTGTAAGATTTGTTCAAAAAACGGGAGCTGAAGTTTGGGACGAAAAAGCAAAAGGAAGAGGCAAAGTTGAACGTCTGTCTGATTTTGTGGTTCATCTCCGAGAAGCTGATGTTCTTGCCGTCGTGTGGAAGGATGCCATGATTTGCCTAAGGAACGATTAGCATATACTGGATAGCTCATACGCACCACCTATCGCGCGTATTCCCGGTATGGCCTGAGAAGGAGTCGGCTGCTTTTGTCGAATTCGCACTGACCATGGCATTGAGCATCGGGCACGCAGATCTTGAGTCGCCCTCTTTCGGTGGGACGTATTCCGGCCATTTCAGATGATGACCTGGAGCTCCTTCGGGCACTACTTGTCCTGCCTTGAGCTTCGGAGTGACGAGATTTGCCAGAGCTATTCCGTTATCCCAGCAGATAACTGCGAGGTCAGTGATGGCTTCGCCGATCTTGCCCATGAGTCCCATCGTACTACCAGTAACGATGGAGAATTAAAACAATCGGAGGAGCATCAAGCTGAGAAGAAGCTGCGTGGGGGACTACATGTACCTTTCTACATCTAAACGTCGATCACAGCACGAGCCAGCGCGAGGTACAGCGTGGTGTAGTCCTACGCTTGGTATGCAAGCCACACCATCGCAGAGTTTCAATGATGTAGCTGGCAAACTGGCGATGGTCGGGAACCCAAATGGTAAGGTATCTTGGTATGACTATTGGTTGAGCTGCAGGTTGACGATCTTGACGCTGGAGCATAGACAGCAAGTAGCGTGTTGGCGATGAGCAGAACGAAACGTAAGAACAGTGTGCATTGGCAGGACTGGTCTCTATCTAGGTACCTACGATATAGCAGAGTCAGCGTGTAGCCATTCACTGCACGTGGTGTTTTCCACCTTACCTCACTTACTGTTGCACAGCTCGAAGCATGCACTACACCGCGTCAGCGTGGCAAGGCTCCTTCACGCCCTGACACGACATACGGTAGGTTCGTCCGAGACATGACTTGATCCTCCTGGTCACCAGCAGTACACACATGGAATGGAGCAAGCGCTGTAGTCAGTCATTTTCAACGCTGAGCTCGTCTGCAATATTCAGGTACAATACCATTCTCTGCGTCTCAACTTCCATTCTACCGAGAGAAGCTGGCAATGAGGCACCCTCGCTCGGTATCTCCGGAAGTTCAGGCAATTCCTCACGATCGCGGCTGGAAGAGAGGCAAACGCGCGCCGACGGGCCACTCGCACGTCGCACACAGTCGCCTGCCTGCGAAAGGACAAGACAGGCCAATCCTGTGGTATGACTATGACAGGAAACCCCGACTCCCCGTCCATTCGTCCACTCGGGCGATGAATATGATGAATATGATGATTATCATGATGATTATGATGAGTGTTATGACTGTAACAGACAGTGTGATCATGTATACCAGCCTACCAGGTTAAATGTGCCCGTATAGACATGTCTGAGAAGCCGGTCGGCGGCCGTAGATTTGCGAGAATGCGAACAAAGTTATGGCAAGGATGGTCTGACCGTCGGACACAGCCTGAGGCCCTACGCCTGATGACATGGCCCTGCGAGACTCTGGCCTATCTCCCTGAGCTCCCCACTTGGGGCAAGGGTCGGATGCGAGGGAGCAACGAGGAGAAGAAGCAGCAGCAGATATCTCGAAAAGACTGCTTTGTACGAGAAGTGAATGACTTTGCACATCCTTTATATTGTAAACAATAATCCTAAATCCCACATCGAAAAGAAAAGGAAAAAGAAAAGGAAAATGACGCTCTTCCCTGGCGTTGCGTTGGTCACAGGCGCCGCGTCAGGTATGTAGAACCACCTGGTGTGATGGAACACCGTCTTCTGATGATCACGATGATCACGAAGATGATGATGATGATGATGAGATGTGCGACTGATCACTAATGGTGGTGGTGGTGCTACTCCATACAGGCATTGGACAAGCGACAGCAATTTCATTTGTTCGCGAAGGCTGCCGAAAAGTTGCCATTGCAGGCCAGAATCCCGCTGGCCTGGCGGAAACGGAGCAGCTGATGCGAGATCTGGTGTCGACTTCTGTCGCCGGAGAGCTGGATATTGTGTGCCATACCACCGACGTCTCGCAGGAAGCCGAAATTGATGCTCTGCTGGAGAAGACGGTGCGCGATCTCGGGCGGGTCGACTATGCGGTCAATTGTGCAGTATGCAATTTCATGACTTTTTCCCTTTTTTTTTCTCTCTTTTTTCGTTCTTCTCGAAATAGGGTGCTGACGATACCTAATATCTGTCTGCTTTAGGGTGTTCTCCAAAAGGAACAGTCTTCTCATGAGACCTCGGTGGAAGACTTTGATCGCATCAATAGCGTCAACTACCGGGGTTGCTGGCTGTCGTCTCGAGCCGAGATCAAGCAAATGCTGAAGCAAGAACCGCTTCCGACTCACGATGGTCGTCCTGGTAACAGAGGCGCCATCGTGAACATTGCCTCTCAGCTTGGTATTGTCGGAAGGCCTGGGGCTCGTAAGACCTACTCACTGAGTCAGTAGAAGTATACGTGATGTGCTGACCCGTAGAGTTATAACACAGCGGCCTATTGTGCCTCCAAGGCCGCGGTAATTAGCTTGACGCAGTGCGACGCCATTGATGTACGTATTCTGTTCTGTTCTGTTCTATTCAGAGAGAGAGAGAAAGAGTGACCCCAAATAGCTAACATGGCAACCAAAAAAAAAAAATAGTATTCCAAGGACAACATTCGAGTAAACTGGTAAGACACACCACCCAATCACAACAACAATCATCAATAAAAAAGAAGACACAAAAAAAAACACACCACACCTCATTTTCGAGACTTGAGACACCACCACTGATGACCGACCGACTGACTGACATTCATCTTTTTTTTTAATTACTTCCTTTTTTTTCCAGCGTCTGTCCAGGGGTCATTGATACGCCCATGACCAGACCACACATGGACACGTACAAGCCGGCGATCGCTATTGCTCCCATGAACCGTCCTGGCACTGCACAAGAAATTGCCGATACCGTCTTGTTCTTGTGTAGCTCCAAGGCTACTTTTTGCCAAGGAATGGCGTTGATTTGCGACGGGGGATATGTGCAGAATTGAAAGATACCTTAGGTGCTTTATCCGTATATCAAGCTTGCTATACCGTGCCTGTATTTCATGTAATAAATTCAGGTATCTTTTTTGAAAACTACATATACTTCCACCTGGTTTGTGCGTGCGTGATGAATGAATAGATTGATGGACAGATTAGATCAGATCCCATGTTCCAAGTCCTTTTTCAAACGCCGAGCCGACCTTATCTGCATGTACCTGAGGTAACCTGTAGTCAGCTCAATCTCCTCAATGCCGACTGGTACAGTAAAATAGCATTTTTGTTTAAAAAAGAGACGGACATGTGCCTACCCAGGATCTCTCCGAGTCTCCAAACATGACAATATCGGATAATTCTCAGATTCCTTCTTCTATCTCCATCAAATCGAATCTCGTATCATCACCTCTCTAACCCTACCTATTCAGCCTGGACACGACCTTCTCAGCCTGAGTACTCTCGTCTCTCTCTATCTTGAAACTCCCTCTCTCTTGAAACTCTCTCCCTCTGAGAGAGATAACGGAAATTTCCGAACATGTACATTTTTTCAATATAATCCATGTCCCTCGGACCACGAGGCTCTCGTTTGTTTGAAGAAAAAAAAAAAGCTCACCAGGGATGGGTAATGTATACCTACTAATGTACATAGGTACATTTAGATGCCGATATCCTCTATTGTAGAACCACAAAGTACAAAGTACAATCAATCTTCGAGAAAAATAAAATAAAATAAACAAGTGACGAAAACGTTCCCAAGTCCCACAGTCATGTAGCTCTAAGAGATGACCCCCCCAGCCGTCCGACGCATCTAGTGCCTGCCATGCACGGTAAGTGGAGGGACTACCTCCTACACAACTCAAATCTCCCCCCCACACCCGATAGATGCGATGATGTGAGAGCTAGGTACTTTTTGTTTTTTTTTTTCCTCTTATAATGATCTGCGATACGATAGACCTATCTTGGGAGGTGGTAGTCTACAATAACAATAATATCATGCCAATGGACGTAGGTGGGAGAGATGTGGTTGATCGTTACCTACCTAAGGTATCTACCTACCTACAGGTACTTATACATATTCCCCACGCTCGGCTCGGGCAAGCTCTCTAGTCTGTAAAAGCGCGTGCAGCTGGTGGAAACAGTAAGCAGTGGGCTCCCAGTGAGATGGTGGCCTACAGGGAAACGAACAGACTCTCAACACTTCCATCCACTACACATGTATGGAAGTCTATAAGCAATAGCACGAGGTAGCACCAAGCATCAATGAAAAGAAAAAGAAAGTGGTTGTACTTCGAACAGCTCGTTGTATAAATCATCACCCGGGGATTTAATTTACAAGTGCATCCCTAGCGATGGCAGGAGAGCACCACATTATTCCACTGTCGGTAATGACACGTCTTCTGTGTTTTCTAACCCCTAGTATGATTCAACGAGAAAAAAATTGGTATCTTGGTGTGCATCTAATCCTCTTCTTCCTCCTCGGCCGCCTTGCCCGTGATTGTCCATTGGCTCTCGCCATGTGAATCCGTCTCGTGCTTGAGCGCCAGCTTGCTGAGATGTCCGATAATGTTCTCCATCTGGGTGTCGTGTACGCTGCGGTTCTTGCGGCCGAGATCAGCGAGACCGGGGATCTTGTTGAGCAGGTAGTATGTGATGGCGATGAAGATGAGAACACCGATCGAGTACGCCCAGACGACGACCACGGTGACGACATCGGTGTGTCCGTTACGGGTCTGCACGAATTGCGACATTGGGGATGGGAGAGGCTCCTGGTAGATGTTGGGGTTCAACCATCCGAAAATACAGAAGAGAGTGGCAATGACGTCGACACCACCAATGGCGCCAACGAGCTGCCAGGATGGAAGAGTCTGAGCACCACGGGTGACGAAGATGAGCCAGTTCTCAGTAAGGGCGACTTCGAGGAACAGGATTTCCTGAACGTTGCCCCAGTTCTGCACAATACCACCAGATGGCAGGTACATTGTGCCACGGATGATCCAAGTTGCGATTGCAAGTTCGATACCGAGGATGACCGAGATGATCCAGATCTTGGGCAGTTGCCATTCGACAGGCTTCGGGTCCGAGTGCGCATTGTCGTAAGCGATGGCAACGGTGGCCAAATCGGCAAAGAGGGCGATGAAGACAATGAGCTCGGAGCTGATGGTCTCGTTGATGATGATCATGGAGGTAACCAGGTAGATTTCCAAGTGAAGGCAGAGGGCAATACGGTACTGGATGTATGCCTTCATACGCTGGAAAATCTGGCGGGCAGTCTTGATGGCAAAGACAATAGTGGAGAGACCTGGGGCGAGGAAAACGATATCGGCGGCGGCCTGGGCAGCTTCGGTGGAACCTTCGACGGCGATACCACAATCGGCCTTCTTGAGAGATGGAGCATCGTTCACACCGTCACCAGTCATGGCAGTCAAGTGACCACGCTGTTGCAACATCTCGACGACCTGGTACTTGTGTTCGGGGAAAACTTCAGCGAAACCGTCGGCACGCTCGACGAGATCGTGCTGAGTGGAACCGGACAGACCACCGTGGATGAGCTTCTGAGAGTTGTAGACCTTGGTTCCGAGGGCAAGCATCTTGCAAGTCTCCTTGGCGATGGCGATAGCATCACCAGTCAACATCTTGACTGGGACACCGAGCTGCTGAGCCTCGACGATGGTTTGGGCGGTATCTTCACGAGGAGGGTCGAACATGGAGAGCATACCAAGGAGGACCCAAGGCTCGTTGTTCTTCTGGTAGGCGACACCGAGGGAACGGAAACCACGGCGGGCGAATTCAGCAGCCTTCTCCTTGAAGAGATCTGCGGTTTCGCGCGAGCACTCGGTGAGGTTGAGGATAGCCTTGGGTGCACCCTTGGCGCAGGTGAAACGGTCGCCGCGGAGAGTACAGACAGTTGTGATACGCTTGGACACAGGGTCAAAAGGAGTGAATTTCTCGGTCTTCCAGTCGTCCTTAAGGATGTCACGAGCCTTGGGGTAGCGCTTGAGGGTCAAGATGGTCACCTTGTCGATGGGGTCGAGAGACTTGATGTTGTGAGAAGACGCGAGAGCAGCGCAAGCCATCATCCAGTTGACATCCTCGCCTTCGGCGACGTAGGGCTCACGGATGGAGAGCTGGTTAGCAGTGAGAGTACCAGTCTTGTCAGAGCAGAGCACATCGACACCGGCAAGGGACTCGATAGCAGTAAGCTTCTGGACGATGGCCTGTTGCTCAGCGAGGTAGGCAGCACCGACAGCCAGAGTGGTGGTTGTGACGACAGGCAGACCGACGGGAACACCAATAATGAACAGGATCAGGACGTATTTGAGGAGAGTGTTGTCAGAGTCTTCTGGGGTAGCGAGCTTGAGGTTGCGGAAGAAACCACCAATCCAGGCAGCGAGAATCCAGAACATAACGAGAACCAGGAGAGCCGTACCGATGCTGTTCATGATGGCCTTGAAGTGACCTTGATCCTTTGCGCCCTGGACGAGCATAGCAGTGCGACCGACGAAAGAGTGCTTTGCGGAGGTAGTGGCAACGGCGTAGGCCTTTCCACGCTTGCAACCAGTGGTGTAGTAGACGACATCTCCCATGAACTTGTCGACGGCGAGAGACTCTCCAGTGATGGCAGACTGATCAGCGGCAACGATGGAGTGACCTTGGTGAGCAATGCCCTCGCCCTCGTCACCCTCGGCATCCTCAGAGCCAGCAGGGTCTTCTTCTGGGTTCAAAGCATGCTGCTCGCGCAGCTCCTTGTACTTCTCAAAGTCCTCTGGGTGTTCGTAGTCGCAAATGAGACGAGCGTCGGCGGGGCAGACTTGACCTTCCTCAATGATGACAATGTCACCGGGGACGATCTCGCGAGCCTTGATCTCTTGTTCCTGACCATTACGAATGACAGTTGCCTTCATGGCAATGTCACCCTTGAGTTTTGCGACGACATCAGCAGCCTGTTTTTCCTGGTACCAACCAACGACGGCGTTGAGCATAAGAATGGCGATAATGACACCGAAATCGATCCAATCACGAAGACCGGCGGCGAGGAGGACAGCAAGTTCCATGACTGCACAAAGTTAGCCGACATTTTGCACAGTCTAGGGCAATGCGATGCATGGCGCCATGGTGCAGCTTGCATGCCAAGGCTTTTGCGCCGAAGCAGAGCTTGTGTGGAGACCAAGCTTGCAGAAAAAGCAAAACCGGCCAGCTTCGGGAGCGCGAACATCCATTGCAACGCGCATCCGAACGCAGTGGGAGTGTGATGTGCCTAGGATGCTGGAGCAGACTCACCATAAAGAATAGGACCCTTGAAGAAACCCAAGAACTTGAGGAACAAGTTTTCCTTCTCAGACATGATCTCGTTGAAGCCGAACTTTTTACGGCGCTGCTCAACCTCGTGATCGGTGATACCCTGCTTGATGTCGGCCTCGAGCCAGTTGTCAGGGACCACGCCATCGTCGTCAACGCCCGCCTTCTTCGAGGACTTCCAGAACTGAAAGGTGGCGCGTCAGTATGGTAAGCAGATGGGTAGAGTGGTCACGGTAGATGCCGACGAACCTGCCACGACTTTTTTGGCTTCTGGTCCTCCTCCTCGCCAGCCTCGGCGGCAGCGAGCTTTGGATCTCTGTACGTAGAGATGTACTTCTGGAGTGCCGTGTACTCATCTGACATGAACGTGTCAGAGCCCATTGCGAAAGCATGCAATGTTATGGTGGTTGTTGTGGATGTGGGTTGTTGTTGTTGTGCATTGTTATTGTCGGCTTACCTAGGTCCTCGATGTTACCGGCGGCTTGCGACCATTTTCTCGATCTGCATCTGCCGTCAGTAGCTGTTGCCGGAAGGAGCGAGGTCGCCGGCCACGTGTGCTGCTGTCGCTGCTGGTGATGCAGGAAGTGAGGTTTGCGCACGCGGCAGCAACAATGGGTGGTGGTGATGGTGGTGGTGATGGTGCGTACCTCTGCGCAGCGCCAGCCTCGCCGTTCTGCTCGATGTCCTTGTCGGAAAAGGACACGCGAGGAGCTGCCATCGTGAGGTGTAGCGATGCAAGTTAATGTCGCTGTCGATGGGTGACGCTCGTCGATGGTGGAATTGGGGAACACGCGCTGGGAGGGAAGAAAGCGAGAGTGCGAGCTGGAGAGAGAGAGCTGGCCGCGAGCATAATAAGGCCCGCCGATAGAGCGGTTGATGCCGCGCTGCCGAGCATTCGTCAGTGGAGCCCTGCGAGGACCACCCATGCAGGCTGTTGGATGAGGGCCGCACAGGTCACGGTCGGACCGTTCGAAGATTATGGCAATAACGTAACCGCAGCCACCACTACTGATACCGCGTTGCTTCTGCGGAACGCGCAGGATGTGAGGCATTTTACGTTCACCCTAGTCCCGCGCCAGCCCGTTCCAGCTGCTATACCGCTGCTGCCACTGGCTGCTCACAGGCCCGAGCAAACTCCATCGGTGCAAGTGTGCCTAGCCCACTTGTGGTAAGGCGGCCTCGCGTTCCAAGCGCTCGATGCAATGTGGTCGATGCTTCGGCGCTGGAGCTCGTCGACCGCATTTCACTCGCTCTCTCACCTGCCAGACCCGAAAGCTTCCCACTTCCCACCAATGCCCGTGGGTGGGAATCTGGCGGCAGCACAGGTGATTCCGATCACAACAAGGACCCAGGTTGCATTCGGTCAGCTACCACCTACATACTGCCAGTGTGTGGTATGGTAGGTAGCTGGTAGCTTGTAGCTTGTAGCTGCTGTCAGGTACCTTTTTGTATTGTTTTTTATGTTTTTTTATCTTTTTGCTGTGCTGTACTGTACCTTACCTCCCGCGGCAAAGCAAGCTCGGAGCTCCAAAGTATGCGGTGATGCTACCCACTCCACTCGTGGAGACAAGCGCCATGTCAAGCACTTCTGGGATGCCGCTAGGAGCCTTACGCAGCACGCCCTCAGAAGTGTACATTTTACATGCTCCTCGCAGCGATAAGGCCCGCCAGGCTCAATGAGTCCTCGTCCGTGGCCGCACTAGACACGCCTATAGGCACGCGCCAGACGTCATGCTGTATCCGTCTCGTCAATAATTAATGACATGTAACCACGCAAACCCTTACTGGCCAATTTCGGTCAGACTAGTATAGTCAGTTTCTCTTTCCACGATAGCTTCTCACGGGGAGCCAGCGTGGGCAGTACCTTAGGCTGTAGCATAGTGGACACGAGGCCAAGAACCGAAATGAGATCTCCAGTGGGGAATAGGGTGGTAATTCTGCAGGGCAACCATCAAAACAAACAACATTGCAGTGCAGCAGCAGAGATTGGTGCATGCGACGCCCTCCCGCGCTCTCTCACATTGGTTTTTGCACCGGGTGCATGGATGGTTTCATCATATCCCACTGTGGTCACTGGTGCATGCCCATCTTTGGACGTCTTCTTCGGTGTGGCCCGGTGTCCATCTGGATGACGCCTCCGCTGTCCGCACAACTCTCAAACTCAACGAGATGCTCGGTTCTGCAGATGCCAGACACCTACGGTACCTACCTCCGGTGCAGTACCTAGGTACAGTAGGTACAGACCGTACAGTAGGTAATCCATCCTGTGTATATTCTTACCCGGAACAGCAGCCCTACGCGGCTACGCCTTCTGCGGCTAGTAGGATAACATAATAATAACATAATACACTCCCACGGTTAGTAAGGCAGTCGTAGACTGTAGTCTAGCAGAGTATGAAGGTTTGCACCTTTTTTGCATATGCGGCTTGCCCTTGGGTGAAGGAAACATCTCACCGATTCTTCTCATCCACACCACACCACACCGTTCACGAATGATAATGAATCGTGCGACGTGCGTCCACCTGACTGACGCTGTCGGTCAAGGTCATCATCCGCCTCTCGCCGAGTGAAGGTCAGCCTTGCGATTTCCATCCCTACGCTACCTAGGTACTTGGCTAGAACGAAAGCGGTTTATTCGGACGCGGATCGTGGAGCTGGAGAAGGCTCTTGGCAGATCGCTGTTGTGCTCGTTGCTCGGTGCAAGGGTGCCGTGTGCCAGATGGCCCTTATTCGCCGCACATAGCGTCTCGCGGCGCGTTTTTTAACAGCAGTGTGTGGCATTATGCTCCGGCGAGGTTGCTGGGGGGACGCCGGCCTCGCAGAGATTTTAAAAGCGCATTTGGCCACCGAGACCGAAGGGAAGGGCCGACGGTGAGGTGAGGTGAGGCATTTTTTGAGGAACGAATGGTAAGGTAGGTACAGTACATACTGAGGGTGCCGCACAACCGTCTGCTGCGGGTCTCCGATATCTTGACGCTGCTTGAATTGGGAAGGCTTTAGAGGCCATTATTCACATTGTTGAGGTCAGATGCATCGTGCTCCCCCTCCGACAACAACCACCACATCCCGACACGATTTCGCCCGCAATATTGACCGCATGCGCACGTCCAAAGCTGCAATAACCATCACCGAAGCGTGATCCCCGTTGCTGCTCTGATTGTCATCATGATACGTTCCACCGCGCACTTGGCCTTCTTGTCGACAGCAATGCCCACGCTCTGGTCACACCCAACTTTCGTGGGCTCCCATCGCTGTCCGTCGCACATTGCAACCTCTCACAGCGCCCACGACTTTCCAATCTGCGCAACACCGCGATGAAGCTGGTTTCGAGTATATCACGGTGCGCAATGCCCAGAGAATCGCGCTTGGCGTTCATCTCCCCGAAGCGGAGTTTCCTTGCTTGGTGCCCTTCTTCATTTCTTGGCTGGCATCATGAGCGACCATCTACGACAACTGGATAGCACAGGAGTTCCGGAGAGCATGCGACCACCGCTATCGAACGTTTGTGAAACGGAGCAGGCGCCCCAGATTACTCGTCCGTCGTCTGTGGGGGACCGACATGCAACGCAACGGTACATATCGGTTCGACTTGGCTCTCACACTTCTGGACCTAGGACACATGGGAGTACCTGTACCAGTCACAGTAGACGCTGCAACTCCAATGGGGAAGCCAAGCATCAGACTATCAGTGATGATGCATCTCCGCTGTGCAGTATGCGCTGTCAGCAGCTCAACCTAAAGCATTGCAAGCATTCCAGGTTGCGCCCCATCGTGGTTCCTGCCTCTTTCCCGGATGTGCCGCGCATTGCTTGATATCTACATCCGCCTCGGAGTTTGCGTCATGCCTGCCGGCACGAATGGGGCTTCTCCGCAGACATGACGGCAATGTTCTGAATGACATACAGTCAATTCTTCCGAATGGGGACAAATCGGTATGGCTGAGGAAATGGGTCGTTGCCGACCTCTCTGCGATACCTATGGCTTTGCCCGGCTCCGCTGCTTCGATCAGGCTCGATCTGCTGTGTCTTGAGAGACTGGAAAACAGCCCAGCGCCGCATCCCATTTGCCGCGAAACCGCTAACAACCACGCAGCTTGTGACAGAGACAATGTGTAGCGGCAATGACCCACTGCTTCTAGCTGTTTACCAGCATTCCCGTCGAGTTTGCGAGGTAGGACGTGATATGAGGTGATGAAAAGTCTTCTGAAACTGCCAGAAACATGGAATCTGCTGACAAGCAGAATGCGGAAGTGTTTGGGCGCACTTGAAGAATATTCAGAGGTCGCACCTGCATCCCGTGACATGGCCTCAGAACGCGAGTCGGAGCGAGAGCAAGGACGAATAAGGCAATTCGGTGTAGGTGATGTTGCCGTGCCATGAAACTACATTCCAGACAGATTATTACCCACCAAGAAATCGAAATGGATGTCGAGCACAGGATTTCGAGCAGTTGTCCACACTTCACAGAATCTCATCGCGCATCACTTCAGAACGATTCTGCTCAATGTGACCAGCCAACAGAGCCCATCCCTTCACATCACCCTCCCGATTTATCCCCTCCAAGAAGGCGTTGGAGTAGGCGCTGGCAGAGCCTGAAATCAGTTATGAACTCTCGGAAAGGTTGGCAACAGAGAATGGCAGCTGATGGGGATCAAGCCCGTCCGTCCATTGGTCGAATGAAGGATAGCGACGACTACATCACAGCTCGAGCAGCAAATCCACGAACAGGATTGGTTTCACCTAGTCCCTGTAGTTCCACACCAAATTCTCCTGGAGACGCTCTGAACTTGAGGAGAAGAACAACGCAACAAGAAACAAGATCGCATGCGGTGAGGCGGCGGCCAGTACTCGCCAAGGCCAATGAGGGGAGGAAAGTCAGTGGTCACAGCGCAAGAGAAGGGGTCCTGGAGCATGGACACTGCGAAGCTTCGTACAATATGGGACAATGCAGGGCGCTGAACTTAGAAGAAGCTCAAGGCGAGCTCCAGGAAGACCAATTTGTCGTTCATATGCCGTCAGCTAGAGAGCCTCAGCCATTCACGTATCCTGGGTATACTGCTGAGCAGATCGAAGCATTGGAGCACTACAGGTGCAAGGCTCGACGAGTCTCAAGCGAGGGTTACGATCGACGTCTGTTCTGCGACAGATCTACAGCTGCGATTGGTAGCGAGCAGGTAATTGGAGCACCTTCGCAATCCTTACAACCTTCTTGTTACCTGCGACCTTTCACTCCATATACTGCAGGGCGACTTCACGACGAACCTGGAAGTCCTGAGCCCCCAAGAATCTTGGTGCGCAAAAGGAACAGCTCCAAAGTGCGCAGAATTCTACAACACAGTCAGCCCAAGGTCGGTGCGCAGTCCCACGACATTGACCAGGGATTGCCTCCAATCTTGGGCCCAAGATCTCCGAAAACATCACTTCCGCAACGGTCAGCTGTGCAGATGCATTGCGATGTTCCGGCGACGGTTCGAAATATCAATCAGCATGCCGAGAAAAGCTCGGCGTCTGTTATTGGTAGCGGTCCGAAACTTTACACGATTAAGGCGATTGACAGCTCGCCGCCAAGCAGGAGACCATCCACAAATGACGAAGACCTTGTCGACCAGTATACGCGAATCCGCTCTCCGCCATCTGTCAACATGCATGCAATTCCTGGCGCTTATACGGACTTGAGCCAGCTACCAAGTGTGAGACTGGTGAGACCAGAACACGCGGCAGTGCCTCGAATGAAGGTCAAGAACCGCCAATGCTCGCTAGGATGTCAAGGAGATGGTAATCAGCAGGGCAGATGTACTCAACAACGCTCCACCTCCAATGACACTGTCGTCCGATCAGGTTCGTTGTTGTTCAGAAGACATGTGACACCAGAAGAGAGGCCCCTATTGAACCTCACTACCGAACAGTTGCTTGGCTACTTTTTGCAATTGGCGAACTATCTGGGCTCCCTCCAGCTCCCTCGTATAGGGTTGTTGGAGATATTGCGTGACCCCGAGGTGTCGACGAAAGAGAAGACGCAGGCTCTACAGGCGATCTTGTCACTTGCTGGTCATACTCTCGCAATTTGCACCTTGCTTGCAATGCTGTGGAAAGTGGGCACCGCACTCAAGGAATTTTGCGAGGTCGTGCTGTGGCCTCTTGCTCTGCCGTTACGGCTGATCAAGTGTGTACTTGTTGGTTAGAAGTGGGAGGGAATATAGGTCAGGTAGGGTAGGTAGGTATTGTTATTTGGTTCCCGTCAGAGTCTGACATTGTCACGCACGCGGGTCCTCTTCCATATGGTACATTGCCGTATCACTTCCTGTGGGCAGACTAAAGCTATGAGACGCTTCTGCACGAGAAACAAAGTACTCCATCTACCCTACTTAGGTGCGTATTCCTCCTGTCTCCTTCAATACCTGAGGCACAGGTAGGTAGGTACCTTAGCTAGCCAGACCTCTATTCACCTCCCTAAGACTGTAGATCTATATTTATTTCTCTTGTACTTCTTTCTATTAATTGCCCTAATCCTACGTCCGGACCGGCTATCTATCCTACTAACATTAGGTACATATAGTCGCGTTACTCAAGTGAATAAGTAAGTAATTGAATAAATAACTATAGCAAGTACCGTCTATTAAGGTAAGGTACCTAGTAGGTATAGGTAGGTAATCGTCGAATCTCTATATAGCGTTTTTATTTTTTTTTTAAAAAAGGTAGTAGTAAAGAGTACTTTATCTTACTTTATTCTACCTTCTATCTACCTTCTCGCTATCTATAGCCTATAGTTAGTAGGGGAAGAAGGTAAAGGAAGGGTAAAGGAAGAGTGAAGGAAGAAGAAAGGAAGAGTAAATAGAAGACTAGAGAAAGAGTAAAGGAAGAGTGAATAGAAGAGAGAAGGAAGAGTGAATAGAAGAGTAAGCTTTCGTCGTTAGGTGCTATATATTCCGATGTTTAGAGGCTGGAGTTTCTCATTTGAGACACTGAGATACTGAGAAGACACCTACATTGCCTTACCTACCTTAGTACCTCGTGTTTTGCTCATACCTGTGAGGACGATCTTCCGATAGCCTGCTCAGAGATTCCCGCCCGCCTGGACGCACAAAAGGCTGGACATCTTTCTGCGGTCGGGTGTTTGTTGGGGGTGGAAGCCGAGAGAACATTCACTTTCGTCAGGTACCTAGGCAACAGGATCCACGCCATCAGTCATCTGGAGTCGTCGCTGCTAAGAGCTCCTCGCAACTTACACCTACATCACCTACCGATCTGCACTCCCCCTTCGGCGCGACTTGATCTCGACACACGCAAGTAAGCAACCGAAAAGACTCGCACAGAGTACCGGCCGCGAGTAGTCACCCAAATCATCCACTTTCGAAGTTTGACACCACCACCCGACAAGCAGTCGTCACCGTCCACGGAGTCAGCCATGCCAGCCAAGCCAGAATCTCCGTCAATAGCAGCCGAACGCGCGATGCTCCAGTCGCTCTCCAGACAGTGCTCCGAGCTGCATCACGCTATGGACGACAACGAGGGCTTGGAGACGGGCGTCAACCTGATGTTTGGCGTCATATCGCGCTGTAGAAAGATCTCGCAGGATCACGCCGAGAATCTCAGTGTGCCAGACAAGCTAGAACTCGACGAGCACTGTCAAGATGCTATGCAGGTGGTCGGAAACATGGCACAAAAGGCGTTCGCTTCCAGAGCCAACCCAACGAAAGACGTGGATATGAGAGCCATGCGTTACACCCCAGGTATCTCGATGCTGCCGATCACGACTTCGGCACTAGCGCTCCGCATGCTAGCCATCCGCCAGAACATGTGCGAGTTATGGTCCCTGGACGCGAACGCAAGCACTGTCCTGAGCACGGCGAGTAAAGTGCTCCGACTCTGCTCCGGTGCCGAATTTACGCTTCATTGCTCAAACGGACAGGCTCTGAAGCTGGATGCCATGGACTTTGCGGACATACATGCCAGGCACACTAAGAAGGAACTGTTCGACATCGTTGTTTTGACTTTGATGTGCCTTGCCAGATCGCATTCCGTCTGGTTCAATGCCACGATACCGACCACTGAGCCGAGACGAGCAGTAATGCTGTGGAATATCAAAATACCTGGCACCGGCTCCGAAGTCCTTGCAGGTGCGTCCGGACGACGCAACTGCAAAAGCAGCCGAGTCATAGACAATAGGGCCATGTCCTCGCATCAGGCCTCATACATCCAAGTTCTGCGCAGCAAGTTGACGCAACTTCGGAGCATGTCTCCAAATTCGCTTCCGTGCCACAGTAAAAAATATCTTCCGATAGAGACACCATCAATGCCTGACACCATGCGGCTTCCAGAGCGAGCTGATAGGGTTGTTGCGTTTGTGGAAAGTGTCATTCGAGGTCGCAAACTGGAGCGCGACAGCTTCGATAAGACCTACAACGACAGTCTATTCGGCTGTGCCGAGGAGGCATTGACCCATCTCTTCTTTGCCGCAATGACATTCTTCGGCGTTTCCGAGCTCCCGTCTGCCACCACGCCTTCCGTATTCAGACCGTCATTGAGTGAACGACCGCGACCAATACCGAGCGATACGGATGGACTGCGTAGTTGGTAAGTACTGCCCCTTCGGGATGTGTTGCCTAGTCTGGGATGCTTGCTAAACTTTGACCTCTCTCTCTCTCTCTCTTAGGCTGATAGAGGGAGCGCTCGATCGTGCCGGTCCTCTGGAAACGAGCATCTCGACTCGTGTGAACATGACCTGCTCGGTGGTGGAGTACGCCGTGGGAGAGACCATGATTTCCGCGTTCTCTGCCGGAGTGCCAGAGATGCTCCTGTTGCCGGCGGTGCACAACAAGGATGACGCATGGAGAAGACAGATGTTGAGTTATGTGGGATTCGCCATTGTGGCTCAGGCTCAGTAAGTGAAGCGTTCGTCACCAGGCGCTTTGCCGTCTTGTGGTCTCTGCCCGAGAGTGAGAGTCCAAGAGCGGCATTTGTTTCCGGTCGCTAACCTTCTCACCGCATCCAGGCACTTGTCGAGACATTTTGACGGAAGAGATGTCAAGATCCTGAACAAGCTCGTGTTTCCGTGGAAGAAGGTTGTGGACGAGAGCGTGATCGAGAAGTACGCGGAGCAGCGGGTGAGCTACAGCTGTAGCGCCTGGAACAAGGATTGAGAATGTGGGAAGGATGGAGAATTCGGATGCGGTGCTCTCAGCAAATCGAGGAGGGAGCAAGCCAGCCAGCAAGCACTCGTATTTGAAGTCCGTATCGGGGAAATTATAGAGCGTGCCACAGAGGAAGAAGGTGTTGGTAGTAGTTTGTATGTGTTTCCAATCAGCAATTCAACAGCTTTCGCAGTTCAAATCCATGGCTCCCCGTAGAATTCCACGAGGATGAACGTCTCCTCGTTCGCAAAAGTCAAAGTCATCAATGCTATGTCACCGTCATCTACCAACGGGGATTGGATGATGCGTGGAGTATGAGATGGAGTGAAGAGTAAGATGATATGCCAGTGGAAGTGAAAGAAGAAGCAGAAGAAGACGAAGGGAGATAGGTAGACTACGGTAGACTACGTGTACCAGAGTTCTGGACGCGGCTCTTTCATGTGATCCATGTTGAAACGCGTCTACATTAACATCGATCCAAGATACATATCAACATCTACGGGACAACACCACGTCAAGTCGAGCAAGACTGCACATGTCACCTTTGACGAGCCCCATCATCAATGGCCGTCATCAATGGTGGCAGTGTGCCAGCAGACGCCCTCGATGCAGGTATGTAGGTCGCATACATACCTTTCGTCCATTGCATCCAGAGGTGTATATACTAAATGAGTTTGCCTGTGCTAGATGAATACAACCCAATTGACCATCTCAACGCCCTCTTCTCGCATCCCTCTACGCTGTCCTCGCTATCTGACGTCTCGAGTCAGCTCCAGACCTACCAAACCTCCCTCGACACCTCGATAGCAACTCGCTCTCGGCTCGCTGCCCAGACAACCTCGGACAGCGTCCGACGTATCCAAGATGCTAAATGCGAGCTGGCCGCGCTGTTCGCCAAAATTGACGGCGTGCGCGAACGAGCCTTGGAGACGGAGAGGACCATCACCGACATGACGGCGGACATCAAGCGCCTGGACAGCACGAAGCGCAACCTGACCCTATCCATGACGGCCTTGAAGCGACTGCAGATGCTCACCACTGCTTATGAGCAGCTGCGAGGGTTAGCAGAGACGAGGCAGTACAGAGAGTGTGCACATCTGCTCCAGGCTGTGATCCAGCTCATGGCACACTTCAAGAGCTACAGGAGCATCGATCAGATTGCGACGCTGTCGAAGAACGTCAGCGAGGTACAGAGAGAGTTGCTGGAGCAGGTGTGCGAGGACTTTGAGGTCACATTCGCACGGGGCGAGGTGCAGCAGAAGAGGAGCATGCTGAACGAGGCCTGTCAGGTCATGAGCGCGCTCGGGGACAATGCTCGGGCGAGGCTCGTCACTTGGTATTGCAACACGCAGCTGCGAGAGTATCGCCAGGTGTTCCGTGGGAACGATGAGGCGGGAAGTCTCGACAACATCGCCAGGCGCTATTCGTGGTTCAATCGCATGCTCAAGACATATGATGCTGAGCATGCTGCACTTTTCCCGCGAGAGTGGAAGGTCAATGAGATGCTGGCAAATGCATACTGTGAGAATACACGGGACGACTACAAAGACATTCTCAAAAAGAGTATGCGCAGGGCAGACGGGCAGCCACCAGATGTGAATTTGCTTCTGTCATGTTTACAAGAGACATTGGATTTCGAGCATAGTCTCGAGAAGAGATTCTCCTCTGGCGAATCGAGGTCAAGTATGGACACCGTTACCTCCGGGTTAGACGGTGACAGGAGGCCCGGATTCAGTCAAGCTATATCGGAAGCGTTCGAGCCGTACCTCAGTGTCTGGGTTGAGTCGCAGGACAAGCAGCTGGCCTCGCTGATCCCCAAGTATCGCCAACAGCAGATCCGGCCGCCAGAAGAGGAGTTTCATGCCCAGCTTGTCATTCCTTCGTCTACCGAGCTCTTTCATCACTATCGTGTCACTTTGGCACAGTGCGCGAAGCTTTCAACTGGTGCTCGTCTTGCAGAGCTCTCCGCCACGTTTGGCAAATACCTCGACCAGTATGCGCAACAGGTACTGTTGTTCTTCTTCTCTGAGAAGACCGGCGGACCGAGTGTAGAAGATGCAGTCATCATCCTCAACACGGCAGACTACTGCTACACTACCACCAATCAGCTCGAGGAAAAGATCAAGTCTCGCATTGATGAAGAGTTGCGTGATAAGGTCGATCTGCAAGCACAAGCAGATACATTCATGGGCGTTGCATCTGCGGCTGTGCGCGCGTTGGTGCACAAAGCGGAAATTGACTGCGAGCCGGCGTGGAGAGAGATGCGATCAATACCCTGGGGCAAAATGGACAGCGTTGGCGATCAGAGCAGTTACATATCCTCACTTCTCTCTCGGCTGAGGGATTGCAGCAAGGATATTCTACGTTATCTGCACAAGCCACAGTATGCCCGAGCCTACTGCGACAACCTGGTTGATGCCCTCACCACGACATATATTACCAATATCGTCGCTTGCAGGCCTGTGTCAGAGACTGGCTCAGAACAGATGCTTCTTGACACATACGTGTTCAAAAAGGGGCTAGCTGAGCTCGCAACACTGAACGCGGACACTGGCACACCCATCAACCAGGCGTTCGTCAAGCGTGTGAACCAGAGCACAGCGAAGCTTGACCCTATACTGAAGACGTTACAAGTCCGCACGTCGCCACCCGAAGGTCTAGTACAAGCGTATCTGATTCACATTCGAGACCGTTCCGAAGCCAATTTCCGCAAGATGCTCGAACTAAAGGGCATCACGCGCAAGCAAGAGCAGAGTCACCTGGTTGAGCTGTTTAACGCTCACAAAGCCAGTCCCGCAAACGACAGCTTGCAACCCAGCAACCCGCTCATCACAGCATTGCAGCTCACTAACCAATCTGCACCTACGAGTGCAGGTCTGAATCTAGCTTCACTCAAGGATAATGCCATTGCCAACTCAACGCCTTCGCTGCCAGCACGATTCGACCCTTCAAACTTTGGAAGTGCACTGATGAATGCTGCGCGTGATGCTGGAGATCGTTTCTCGTCGCCAAATGCTGCCATACACCGTGACGGTACCACTTCAACCAGTATTGGGAGCCGCACAACATCACCGCCCGGAGGTCTGGGAAGAACGAGTATGGATGCGGATAGTACAGCTACTACCTTGAACGAGAACTTGAGGAACATCGGTCGGTTCTTCAAGAAGGATGGAGCGGGTTTCAGTGGCTTTGGCAGATGAAGAGAAACGGCATGGTCTGAGGCCTGCCAAATGAGTCCAGTTGACTAGATCTCCTCCATAGCTGTAAATGCCAGCTGGCTATCCATGTCCACGGTTTCGACTCAAGCAGGAGCTCACCAACCCAACAATTTCCGGGAGGTTTTTTTTTTCTTTTCCTCATTGTGAGTCTGTTTTCGTAGATGTCAAAAGTCCAGACTTCGATGAGCCAATTCTTTCGAAGAAGCCAACCTGTTGAAATCCACCTGAAGAAATCCTTGACAGACGAGTCTTCACCTCTTCTCCTCAATCTCCTCTTCCATCCCCATCACCCATCCCTATCACCCCCCACCACTCCCCTCTCCCATCCGTATCCCCATCTCCAACTCCACCTCCCGTTCCACCCTCCTCCGCCACTTCATCAACTCATATTCCTTCAACTGCTGTCCCGGTTCCTCCTCCTCCTCCTCTCTACCACTACCCTCCTGCCCACCACCATCATCATCATCATCATCATCAACATTCGCATTCCTCGAATTTCCTCTCGCAAGACGACCTTTCTGGCCCTGGCGTCGTCGTCGACGGAGAAGAATCTTATAGATTGCAAGTATTGTCATGATGAGGAGGAGTAGAGCTAGAAATGAGGCGCCGGCGCTGATGGCTGCTATTGTGTTGGTTGGGAGACCAGCGTGGTGGGGGGAAGAGGGGTTGGAGGAGGGGGAGGGGGAGGAGGATGAGGATGAAGGTGAAGGTGACATTGTAGTTTTGGCTGTCTCGGATGGATATATTGAATAACTTGGATGAATAATTGAATGCATGTATGCATGCATGCCTCGAAAAGGGCGGAAGTAATTGGCAAGAATGAAAAAGAAAAAGGGATGAGCCAATATGACTGACCTGACCCGACTGACCTGACTGACTTACTAACTGACTGACTGACCCGATGGCAACCAACGGTAATAATCAACTCGACACAAGGAAGTGGGCGTGTCTTGGGTGCGAGCTCCACCAATACGCCCCCTAGATACGCCTCCAGTGCACGGTTGTATAAGGTAGCTCACCTGTGCCGGTCAGTGAAAGTCCGGATGTCTCAATTTCTTTTTCTGCAGTGATACAAACTTTTGTACAAAGGTGGTCACGGAGTTGGCTCACATAATGTACCTGCAATACTCGACTGGAACACGACAGGGCGCAAGGCGGCTCAGTGATAACGTCTGTGCAGCCCGGCCAGATCATGTATAAGACGTTTCGATTTCTTTGCCTCGTGAACGCGCATCTATAGCTCATCCCTCTTCGTGCTGGCCTTTTCCTTCTCTTCTTCCTCCTCCTGCTTCCTGTCCTCAACATCAGCCTCAAAGGTCTTCTTCTTTGGGTTCTTCGGCACATCTCCTCTATCCTGCAGGATCGTTCCATCGCCCCTTCTTACTACATTTTCTTCGCCTTGCCCCGTCTTCTCGCCCTGCTGTCCGCTCTTGTCCGCCATCTTGCCAATACTCTCACTGAGTTCTCCTTCTAGAATATGCTCTTGCTCGCGCAAACGCTCCAGCTCGTCTTGCTGGCGCTGAATTTCTCGCTCCGGATCCTTGCCGACTTTAGCGCCAGACCCTCCTGCACCTGCTCGGACGCCTCCTGCTTTGGTCCGATCTCGCAGCTTCTCGGGTAATGGTTCTGCCCTGCCCGTTGCGCTTGGCTGAATGATTAATGGGGTACGTGTTGAGGAGTTGAGAACAGTCGATGAAATAGACGGCGTAGAATCAGTCCTCACAATTCCTGTCAATCCAAGTAAAGCAAAAAGTGGCTTGAGGAAGATCCAGTTGGCGAAGAATAAAACGATATTGATGAAGAAGCGCGGTAAAAGGTAGAGTGGACCGTAAAGGAATCGTCGGAAGATGAGCCAACTGAGTGTGGAGATGAGTATGTAAAAGGCCGTTTCCAGATACCAGGTATCGCTCTTTTGGCTGCGCAAAAGCGTTCCAAGTAAGTTCCTAGAGTTGCTGAGAATTGAGTCAAGGTTGTTGTACTCCTCGCCAAGGTCCTTGAGAGCAGCGGTAGATTCGTCAAATGTCTCTTGTGCAAAGCGTGAGCGTGACAGTTCGGTGCTCAGCAAGTCGTGCGTGCGTCTCAAGGCAGCAGTCACGTCCGTGGATGCGTTGGCCAAGATCTCGTCTTTTGTAAGCTGCTTTTGCTGCTGGTGCTTGCTCCTTCTTGCAAAGAGTCCTTCCGTAGCGCTGAGCTTCGTCCCGTTGACGGAATCCCCTGGCGGTGCAGCAATCTGCTCGGCTTCTCTTCTATAGCTTTGCAACAGTGCCTCTCGTTCTTCTCGCTTGGCCTTTTCGCTTGCAAGTTTTGCCGCAAGCTGTGCGTTTCGGAACTGCTGTCGGGAATGGACCAGCTCTTCCCCCACACGAGCAACTTTGGCACTGACCCGCGCTTCTTCGCCTGCTCGCGAATCTCGCCTTCTGCGCAGCGAGGACTGCTCCCTGTAGTCGTCTGCTTCCTGGCGCAAGAACTCTAGCTCTTCTTCGAGTTGTTTCAAGCTCTCGTGAATATCCTGAGCAAGCTCTATCCGCGCTCCGCCGTCGTCTTCGAACGACGCAGTGCCAGGTTGGAATTGGAGTTTGGCGAGTTTGCTGATAAGGGAGGTGGTGGTTCTGAGGGAGTCGGAGAGGGAGATGAGCTGGGCCGAGAGGTCGGCAGCGTTCATGGTCGAAGGCGGAGAGGAGGAGGAGGGTGGAGGGGTGGAGGGGTGGTGGTGCTAGTTGATCAACTGCGGAGCTGCAGCCAGCTTGCAGGCGGTTGCGGTCTTTGTCTGCAGATGACGTGGTTGTTGCCGAAGGGCCAAGTGAAGGGAAGTTTAAGGAAGCGGACGGGAGGGAAGAGACAGCACGGGACGTCCCTGTCACATGCAAGTTGCAGGCGGCAAGTGTCCCGTCAATCAATATCCATCAAATTTGCATCAAACTCCATCAATATCCATCAATATCCAAGGGGAAGCCTGCGTGAAATGGGTCCGGCTGGTTCGGGTAGGCTGCACTAGAACTTACACTAGAACTACCTAGCTTTCCATGCCCGGTCTCATAACCACTTGTCCTCTATCGGTAAAAATAACTGAACTGTCGTGCAGCAGTGCAACGACCACCGTTCCTTTTACACCCGCTCCCTCTTGCACCACTACCACCTCCACCTCCACCACCACCACCACCACTACTCCCATCACCCATCACCGCCGCCACCAGCTTTGGTCTGCTGTGCAGTGCCATTGCTGTCTCGCGACGCCATTGCATCGACAAGCCCCTCCGACGCTCCTTTATCCGACCATTCGAGACGACTCGGTTTCTCTTCAGCCTGGGGGCTGTCAGTATTGTATTACTACCACCATCACCACCACCACAAGGCATTGATAAATCGCCACCATGCCTGCCAAGTCACGCTTCACCAAGCTCGATGCTTTCACCAAGACGGTCGAAGATGCCCGCATTCGCACCTCCACTGGCGGTATCGTCACCATTACTTCTCTGATCTTGATCCTCTATCTGGTCTGGGGGGAATGGACCGACTACCGGCGCACCGTCGTACATCCTGAACTCATCGTTGACAAGGGCCGTGGAGAGAAGATGGAAATTCATATGAACATTTCCTTCCCTCGCGTGCCATGCGAATTGCTCACTCTTGATGTCATGGACGTGAGTGGAGAAGTGCAGTCTGGAGTCATGCATGGTGTGAACAAGGTCCGCTTGGACGCGAATGGGAAAGAGATTGGCAAGGAAGCGTTGACTGTCAACAGTGAAGAGCAGGTGCCCCACCTGGATCCGGACTACTGCGGCGATTGCTATGGCGCCCCAGCGCCCGAGACTGCGACCAAGGCAGGCTGTTGCAACAACTGTGCGGAAGTCCGAGAGGCCTATGCGGGTGTCAGTTGGTCGTTCGGGAGGGGAGAGGGCGTGGAACAGTGCACCAGAGAGCACTATGCAGAACATCTAGATGAGCAGAGGAAAGAGGGTTGCAGGATTGAGGGTGGAATCAGAGTGAACAAGGTGGTGGGCAACTTTCACTTTGCCCCCGGCAAGAGCTTCAGTAACGGGAATATGCACGTGCACGACCTGGAAAACTACTTTCAGAGCGGAGAAGTGCAGCACTCGTTCACGCATAAGATTCATCATCTGCGTTTTGGCCCAGAACTTCCAGATGACGTCGTGAAAGCGGTTGGGAAGAAGGGCATGGCGTGGTCTAATCATCATCTCAACCCTTTGGACGACACGGAACAAGTCACAGACGAGGTTGCGTACAACTTCATGTACTTCGTCAAGGTTGTCTCAACAGCATACCTCCCACTCGGCTGGGACGGATCAGGCTCGCTCCTGGACATCCCACACGAGCTCATCGCACTTGGCGGCTACGGTAAGGGCGAACAAGGTAGCATTGAAACTCATCAATACTCTGTGACTTCGCACAAGCGATCCTTGACCGGAGGTGACGCCAAGGCCGAAGGGCACGAAGAACGGTTGCACGCTAAAGGCGGCATTCCTGGAGTCTTCTTCTCCTACGTGAGTTGTCCAATGTCGTTCGGGTATATGAATGCGCTAACATGATGCAGGACATCTCACCCATGAAAGTCATTAACCGCGAAGCTCGAGCAAAGTCCTTCTCTGGCTTCTTAGTAGGCGTCTGCGCCGTCATAGGAGGCACGCTGACAGTTGCTGCCGCCGTAGATCGACTACTGTACGAAGGCGGATCGAAGCTGAGGAAGTACCATTCGAGCTAGATATATCATCAAAGGAACATATTGATATCTGATAGATGTATCATTGGCAAGGTCCCACATCACACATGATCCAGTGTTCAGGCACACTTCGCACAGCTCACGGCATGCCATTCGTATGGGTGGGTTTTCTTAGACCCGGCTCGATGGCCTGGTGCTAACGCCTATGACTCCGGCGACTTGGACGACGAGACACTTCAGCATAGAAGCATCTTACTACTTACTTCTTCTACAAGCTTATGCGAACGCGAATACCTCGATCTGGACAGACACTCCCTATATATCGTCAGCCTAGGAGGAAAAGGAGTCGATTTTTGACGCATGCTCAAGCAATACCTAGTGAAATCTCGAGGGCCCGTTATATCATTGGCACGGAACGACCTCCGAGCCTTCCGAAGCGTATTAGGGGCAGAGATATCTAAAGTCTTAAAGGTTATAAGTAAAATACCTTACTAATACTAATTACTAACGGAAAGTCAAAAGCAAAAGTAAAAGTAAGAAGTAAGAAGTAAGAAGTAAGAAGTAATACTAATTAGTAACGTAAGTAGTATAGAATAGTTTCTATACTTATTTATACTACTTATATAGTCCGTCTTATATAATATACTACGCTATATAGCCTATACTTAAGTTTTATCTAGATATATATAAGGGTTTTTATATATAGCGGGAGTATAAATTTTATATAGTAGGAGGCCTCTTAGGGTTAACCCTAAAGTCTAGGCCTTAGGTATACTTCTTTTTTATATAATACTAATAGTATCCGTATTGCCTAGTATACTCCTATAAGTACTTCCTCTATACAAACATATATATATATATATATATATATATACGCGTACAGTTGTAGTATATAGTATAGTATATTACTATAAATAGCAATAAGAGTAGTAATACCTTAGGTATATTACGATTTAGGCTACTACTAGAGCGACAATATAATAATATAATAATGTAACAATATAACAACGTAACGATACGACAACGCGATAATATAACAATATAATAACGGAACGACGCGACCGCCGACAACGCAATAATACGACTATATTACAAGATTACTATTACTATTATAGTATATAATACGTTAAGAGAATTCTTGAATTTCTTCCTATCTACGGAGAAGTATACCTAAGGTTTTTGTACCTAAGGGTATAGGATTAACTCTAAGAGGCCTTCTACTATATAAAAAAAAGCCTCCCGCTATATATGAAAACCTATATATAAGTTCTCTATATATTGTTTAGCTTATTATATAGTATATTGTATAACTCTAACTATAAGTTATAATATTTAGCAAAAACTAATAAGTAATATATAAGTTAATACTACTTTATAATAGTATTATAGTACTATATATAAGAAGTGTATTATAGTATATATAGAATATTAGATTCTAGTAGTCGACAAGAATTATAAGATCCTAATACTTAGTAATATTATACTTACTATTATTAATTTATTAGTATAGGTTATCTATAGATATAGACAATAATAGCCTTATATCAATACTTAAAGCCTCTAATAACTATAGTAAGGTTGTACTACTAGTATATAAGTACATTCAGTAGCTATCTCTTATATTAATCAAGTATACTAATTTAATATAAATATAATCTCCTAAGGCTATAGAGCTATAGATAGCTTGTATATAGAATATACTCTCTACTTACTATATATCTCTACTAAACTACTTACTTTTTATAAATATATAGCTATAGATAGCCTAGAGGCTAGATTAGTAAATTTGTTATTACTATTTTACTTTTACTTTTACTAATTACTAATAGGTTGTTATATATAGCGGAAGTATAAATTTTATATAGCGGGAAGCCTCTTAGGATTAACCCTAAACGCCTTAGGCAATAAGGTTCTAGGTATACTTCTCCGCTTACAAAGAATTTGTCTATCGGAGGTAGCTAAATTATTCTATACTAAAAACGCGATGCCGTACTCTATTACCTACTACAATTTATAGTATCTCTCTATCTCTCTATTAGCTAATCTTACGTCTGTCTTATAATATATAACAGCTAGGCCTAGAGGCATATAGCCCTAGGGGGCGGTTAGGTATTTAAGTCTAAGGTACGTTAGCCTAAGGCAGGACAGGCTATAGGAGCAGTACGATCCGAGTCGTCGGGCGATCGGCTATCGGGCGACCGCCCGCGCGGCGTAGCGCCTATGTATGCTTAGCGTAGGGGTATATTATACGACGCCGCTCTCTCCTTTCCGAAGGATAAGAATTAGTTTTGTTCCTTTTCCTACGTAGTAGAAAGGACGCTCTATACATTACTATATACCCCTACTCTTATATTTCTAATTCTTCTATCCTTCTAAAGGGTAGTGATCTATAGAGGTCCTATAGCCCTACGACAACAACGCGACCGTACTATAGCTATAGCGTAGGCAGGCCGCGTTATCGGCGAAGTAGACAAAGATACCTAACCTTCCGAGGAGACGGTATCGGGCTCTATAAGTGCCTAGGCAGACGGGAACCTAGGGGAGACTCCTTTCGAGGAGGCTTCTACCTAGCCGGAAGCCTACGTAGCCGATGCCCGACCCGTATACTAGACGTATATAGCTCGAGGAGGCAAATTAGCGTCTCTATATAGAGTTGGAAGTTTAGGCCCTTAAGAGGGAAAACCAACGTCTATAGGAACAAATTTAGGGCCGAGTACTAACCCTAACCGTTATAGTTACTATAGACGACGACGCCGAGCCCGACCTTCTTAACGGGCTCGAAGAAGACCTTAGGTCGATAGACCTATACGACGTACGCAGACAGGCTGCGAACCTACTATATAGCTCGTATTCTCTATATAGGGGTCCTAAGATTCGGGAACTAAAGCCCTTTAAAGGAGATACCGATAAAGAGTACCGTGATTTTATTAGGCACCTCGAGGTCGTCTTCCTTAGCGCCCTCCGAGAATATCGAACCGACTAAGACAAGGTCCTATACGGTATTATATAGCTCGTAGGCGAAGCGTAGAAGACGTAGTACGACGAGCATTCCGACGTAATCCCTAAGGACTATACTTAGGAGGAATTCAAGGGATAGCTCCGTAATACCGTCGGCGATTAGTCGAACCGTTAGATCGGCGTAATAATCGAGTATAAAAGGGTACGTTAAGGCCCGGACTAGAGCGTCCGTTATTTCGTAGCGTAGCTTAGTTATCTAGAAGCCTAGTTTGACTATACGCAGGCGTAGCTAATACGCTACTTCCTCGCTAAGTTAAAGCCGTCGCTACGTAGGGATATCGTTAAGGGATATACTATCCTTAATACGCGAGTAGAGCTCGTAAACCTAGTAAGGCGCCTCGAGTAAGTAGATAACGCGCTAGTAGTCCGTACTAAAGACGAGCCTTATTAGCGTAACTATAGTATATAGGGCAAACGTAAGCGTACCGAGAGCGATGTACCGCGAAGCTACGACGATCGATAGGATCGAAGTAAGAGTAGGGCCCTACGCGATAGACGTACCTTATCGACCGTAGCGACGTCGACGGTACGAGGGTACGAGAACCTAGAATATTACTCCTATAAGAAGAAGGGATATATCGCGACTAACTCTATATACCCTAACTATACAAGCCGCGATAAGGCGGATACGGTTCGTAGGGTTACCGTACCTAAAGAGTAAGCGCCGAAAAAAGAGAAGGTATTAGAGGAGAGTCGTAAGCTCTAGATGCCTATCTCGATAGCAATACCCCCTTACCTATCTAGGTATACTATACCCGCGTCCTCGAAGGATAAGTCGAGACGTATAAGGGGCGTACCCCTACTACTATACTACTCGACGATACCGCTAATATTAACGTAGTATCGCGTAGCTTCGTACTAAAGTATAACCTCGCGGTCTATAGGAACGTACTTCTACTACCGGTAAGCTCGTTTATAGGCTAGTTAGGCTACTACTATAGGGTATACTATATCTATATAACCCTCGTAGACTCCGTAGGTAACGAGCGTACGATAGGCGGCTTGTTTTATACCTATAATATACCGGAACCTAATCTTATCCTAGGACGGCCGTAGCGTCGTACCTAGCAAGTAGTAGTAGATAGTACTACCGACGAATAGCGCTACGGTAGCGAGTACTTGTACGTTAAGATCCGAGAGGTATCTAATTTCTTTAAGGACCTAAAGAACTCGTCCTACGTATACGTAGTAATAGTATATAGGATAGACGTAGGGTTAGAGCTTACGGAGTTACTGATAGAATATCGGGACTACTACGACGTCTTGTTTCCTATAGACGAATAGCGTAGCAAACTAGTAGATAGCGCAGAGTATACGATCGACCTATAGCTAGGTACCGTTCTACTATTCCGACCGTTGTACTACTAGTCCGGCGCTAAACTTAAGTATCTATATAAATATATTACTAACATACTAGAACACGACTAGATTAAGACTAGTATAAGTAAAGTAGGCGCGCTAGTACTGTTCGTACTAAAGAAGGATAGTTTACTACGATTGTACGTAGACTACCGTAGTCTAAACGAAATTATAGTAAAAAATCGGTACCCTCTGCCCCTTATAGGCGAAACGCTAGACAGGCTTATAGGAGCCGAGTAGTTTACGTACCTAGACTTAGCCGATACCTACTACCGTATTAAGATCAAGGAAAGCGACCGCTAGAAGACTGCGTTTCGTACGCGCTATAGCTACTTCTAATATAAGGTTATGCCTTTTAGTCTAACTAACGCCTCGGCAACGTTCTAGGCGTATATTAACAGAGCCCTAGCAGGATTGGTCGATATTACCTATATAGTATACCTCGACGATATCCTTATCTATAGCAAAATACGCGAGTAGTATATAAAGGATATACGCGAAGTGCTTAAGAGGCTCCGTAGATTCGTACTCTATACGTAGTACGCAAAGTGCAAATTCTTTATAAAGGAGGTCGATTACCTCGGGTTCGTCGTAACCCCCGGCGGCGTAAAAATAGACCCTTGTAGAGTAGACGCAATCGGAGCGTAGCTAATACCGACTATCTTAACAGAGGTATAGTCCTTTCTAGGATTTGCGAATTTTTATCGTAGATTTATCTTCGAGTACTCGAGGATTGTAGTACTCTTAACAGCGCTATTAAAGGAAGCCGTAAAAGGTAGGAAGCTAGGACCGATCTAGTAGGGCGCAGCCGAGGAGTATACATTTTAAGAGATTAAGCGGCGTTTCTAGTAAGTAGGCCTCATCATGGGTACAACCTACCCTAGTGGGTATGTAGGGTAGGTTGGGTATTGGCAATACCTAATAGGTATGGGTATTTAGCTAGGTAAACCCAACCCATCGGGTTGGGTACAAACCTAGTAGGTATTACGATACCTAGTAGGTATTGCGTACCTATTGGGTATTGATTTTTCGTAAACAGAAAGAAAAAGCCTAGAAACCGAGTGCCCTAAGAGCAAGTTATTTGAACTAGGTATTAGAAAAGAAACTGTATATAAGCCCGATATAGATAAGAGGAGAAAGAGAGTAGTCAGATCGAATGAATAAATATAGAAGAATATATACGCTAGATTACAGCTTGTGATATTTTGAAACTTAAGCACTATAGTCGGTAAATATAGTCGGCAGGTAAACTTCATACAAGCTCAAACTAAGCTCGCTATAATCGTCTCGTAGCATCCCGGAGGCACTCTTGCGCAAGCTTGAAGCTTAGGCGTACCGATCGCCTTGGCTCCTCTACCCTATCTCCCTTATCATCGCTAATTGCATCTAAGTTACTGATCCGTTCTATAAGATCTTTTGTCTGCTCTCGGTCTTTACTTAGGATCTCCTATGAAGTTAGAGTACTAAGAAGCGCTTGAGTAGCCTCTGTAGCCTCGTGGGCGATAAGAACTCTAGTATCGTACTCATCGTCGCGGTAGCGGAAACGGGATACTATTAGTTTAGAGAATGTTGATACGGAGTATTGGCGATTAAAACGACTTTGGTGTCGAGCGATACTGAAATCGCGCTTATACCCAACTCCGGCCGCAGGAATACAGAGAATATCCCGCGCTATTAGTGCGAGAGTAGGGTACTTAGGCTCAAGCGAAGACTATATCTTCAGTACCTCGAATAGATCCCCTTTATCTATATTGGCGTCCAGATAGTCGGCAAGCTCGTTACCCTCACGAGTGCTACGTCGTTAAGTTTGAGAAGACTCTGTACTCCTACCAAGAGTAAAGTCGATCTGGCCCTTATGCCGACCACTTCTACTACGTGACTCGTAGGTAGAAGTGCTCGATAATAGACGATAGCTCTTCTCCTACTCTGTTCTTAGCTTACCCTCGTAATACTCGCGGTAGCTTTCATCCCCGAAGTCATCGCGTACCTAGAACTTCCGCTTAAGGCAGGGGGTAAGGAGGACACTAATGCCGTAGTAATCGCCAAATCGATCCCAGGTATCTCGATAATATTTCTCAAGCTTAGCCCAAGCAGCCTCGCATACCTGATATACATCCTTCTTCTAAGGTATCCTCTTATTCTTGAGTCGCTTCATCGCCTCCTCTAGAATATCGAAAAGCTGGTTGTAGTATGCGAGGACAAGGTAGATAGTCGGACCTTTCGTTGTTCCGATCGTTGCTGTCGCCGCTGCGAATGGTTTCGTAAGGTCGATAAGGTACTCAACCCTTTGCTACTCTTCGGAATCGATACCTATATCTTTACTCAGGTCGAGTCGATCGATATAAGATTCGATAATTCTTTACAGTCTGCTGAAGCGATCGAGCATTAACGTTATTGAGGACTACCTTGTCTTTACGTCTTGAACGACCCTTAGGATCCGATCTTGAACGCTATTCCACCGACGGTGCTTTGCAAATAGCTCCTTCTTTTGAAGCATCTCTTTCTACAGGTCGATAAACTGCTCGAACCTTTAAGAGCTCGAGTTGATAAAGACGCAAAGTTTCCGGATCTAGGGATCGAAATCAGCGAAGGGAATCTCGAGTGCCGACCATAATTGCCGACTACGAGAGCCGACCACACTTTGAAAATAGGGAGGTTAACAGGCGATAGGCCGTAGAGACTGATCTTACCTTCAGAAGGAGGTAAGGCATACTATCAGCTTAAGGGCGGCTGATCTGCTTACTCTGTTTTCTCCTCCTCTATAATATCTGCCGATCTTTCTCGTAATCCCAGTATTCGGAAAGGTCGTTAGTCGGACAGAGCCCTAGGCGGTCGAAAAAGGCCTTTAAGGGAAGCTGGGCAGTATGTACAAAGTAGGGAAATCGCTCGGGACGGCTAGCTCGATTATGCTCCGAGATTGCCTCCTCCTTATCCTCTCCTATCTCCGAGTCGGGACTGCTCTCCGTACCTTCCTCTAAGCTCGTTACTGGCCTCCTAGCCGTTATACCGTACCTCTCTTAACAAGTATCAATCGCTGAAACACTATAGAATATTAGAAGGAAGTAGGAAGAGTAAAGCAAGTAGTCTTACATCGCATTGTGTAGGGTCTTATTGTTCGAGGCATTGTCGTACGTAATTGCAGTCAATCGGCACTTAATCTCGAACTCTTGTAAGATTTCGAATAGTATCTCCGCAAGGTAATTACTAGTATAACGGCCAGTAATATATAGAAAGCTAAGCATCCCTTCGTACTAGACCTAGTGGTCGTCAATCTAGTAGACCCGGATAGTAAGGAATAAGGTTTTCATACCTCTGGATTGCTAGCTATTATACGCGATAGCTATCTTAAATCTACTAGTAAGACGGGTCTTAAGGGATTCAGCAGACTCTTAAACCTTGGTACCGAGCATCCTACGGTATATCGAGGCGGATTTGAACTGAATTGTCTCGACCTGTCCCGGGAGTAGGGCTATATAAGTCTGTTTTACTGACGGTCGTTCAAAGAACTGGAATAGCAGACTATTATCGATAATTATCTCGAAGGATAAGCGCGGGAAATCGTCCGGTGTATAGCCTAGGTCCCTCGTCCATCGCGGATTGCTTACAGTCTAGAGATGAAGTTTCAGTATAGTTACTCAGACGTAGTCGGCAGACATAGTCGGCAGGTATAGTCGGCAGGCATAGTCGGCAGGTCTGGTCGTCGGTAGTTAGTACTTACTTGTCGATGCTTTGCGGTTGCAAACATCTCCTTCGTAAACCCTTGCTTATCTTGTTTCTCCTAGCAGTTCGAGGAGTCCAGATACTTCTCGACAGACGTTGTACCGGTATTCAGTACAGGATGTTTTAGTACAGCGTTACAGCACCTATATACGACTTTGGGTGTCGCATCTTCTTGAAGCATTCCCTCCTCTAGGAAATCCTATACCTAAGATGTCCGAGACTTACTCCCCTAGGTGACTAGGGACCGATTAAATATAGCACGACCGTTCCGCTTTTTGAGCCGCTTCCCAGTATAGTTCTACTAGCGTACCTCGTACTACTTCTCAAAGTTCTCCTTATACTTAAACCTCTATAGCCAGCAGTTGGCCTTAATATCCTACTCCCCGATATAGTCCGGCTCAACGGGGAGTACTAGAGAGGAATCTAGATCTTCTTCCACTATAGTCGGCCGTCTTGTACGACGCTTGCGAACCTCTGTTCTACGTCGGCGGTCCCCTAGTGTTGGGCTCGGTAGGAGGTTCGTCGCGGAACTATATCGTTGGCGTAAGCGAGCGCTCGATCGTATAGGGGTAGCAGAAGAGCTTCCTAGCTGCGAGGAGGATTCGAATCGGGAGCTTCCGACTCCTAGAGAGGAAGCAAAGGAAGACGAAAACATAGTATTTCAGACTCCGACGTCGTAAATCCGTTACGAGAGGATAGAGGAGAGGGAACGTAGGAATTGAAAGGAGGGAAAGTAGGAATTTCAGAATCCTAGTACGCTACTCTATAGGGGTTGAGCGAATAGAATTCGTAGGCCTACTTCCGGCTGCGAGCCAACCTATCAGATAGTCTGATTCTTACTACCAACCCTCCTACCCTTTCTTCTATCCCTCTTCGTCTTCTTGAAACAGGCGAGGCTCCTAGTCCTCCGAGTCTGAAATCTCGAACCCTCTAACAAAGTTGCGAATATAGAGTCCTTCGTAAGTACCTTCTCGATTCCCGAAGATGCTAGGCATAGTTCATCTTCTCGCAGTAGTAGGAGTAGAAAGGCCTCTAGAGTAATCCCATTATACTCTTTGATATTGCACTCGATAAGGGCAGCCATTATCTTAGGCTAGAGAGTCTGTTCGCGGCTTAGAGTATTCTCCCTCTTACAGAGCTTGTATACTATCTTCGCGAGGTGCTTCTCCCCTTTTAAGCTCACTAATAGAAGGAAACTATTAGCGGAGTAGTTATAATTTTCTGGTATCAGCTAGGAGGGTCCAGAAAGACTACTTAAATAAGCCCTTTAGGCTGCGACATCCTAGGCAAGGATACTACGGCAGACTGCGCGCTCGATTGGGCTGAAAATCTCGTATAGCAGTAGGAGTCGTACTTCTCTAACGCAGATCTAGGATTATTAGAAAATGGTCGGCAGGTGTGGTCGGCAGATGAGCTTACCTTTTTAGTCTCGCTATCGACAATTTGTGAAATCTGCTTTATAGCTGCCTCGTTAGGGAGAACTAGACTCTCTAGAGCAACAAGTTTGTTCCAGAACTTCCGGATCGAGCGATGCTATTGGTTATAAGCAGTCGCAAAAGTAGAAGAGGCTGCCTAAAAGGCAAAAGTTCCAACAGAGTTCGCTATCTCCTTGTTAATCTCTTTTGATAACAAAGGATTGAGAATCGTTTCTTAAGGAAGGCATTCGTTACTAAGGCCCCTAAGTGCTTTATCGCATCGTTTACTAAGGGTGAGGGTATCCTATTCCCACTTAACCTGATCCTCCTTTTGAAATGTTATCTTTGATTTGCTTTCACTATCTCTAAGCTTAAGGAACCAGTTAGCTTTATCGATTTCGGCCTGTTCGTCGGGTAAGAGAGCTAGATTAGTCTCTGCTTG